AGAAGGGGGGCTGGTTTTCACACACTGTTTGAGTTTGATATGAACAAAAATCAACCTGAAGAGAAGAAGAAAGATCAGAGATTTGGACGAAACCAAACCGGTTAAACAGATTTTTTAAATTATTCCTTTAATTTTAATCTGAATCTGCAGTTATCAGCTTCTTTAAAGACCCACTCTGATGAAAATCATGTTTTTCTTGTTTTCTTCATGTTCATATGTTATTTTTTCTGATGCTACAGGACAGATCAGGAGAAAACTAAGAGTGAAACTGCATTTCTGAGCATTTCTGCATTCAAATCTCTGTGAATCTCTGGCAGACCCAAACGACAGGCTTAGACACAGTGAGATTTCTGACATCACAAATCCAAGCTCCGCCCCTAGAGTTCTACTATGCAGGCCAGACTCAGAGAAGTAGAGAGGAAGATCGCAAAACAAGCGTGTGTGTTAGCAGATTGCAATGCTCGTAAGAAAGCTAATTATGATATAAACTTTCATCATGTCCACAAAGACATTAGTGTCTGAGAGCTGAATAGCTCCAATGTTACCTGCTACTTCTACTACACCGGAAATGTTAGGCTACAAGCTAGCATGAAGAGGAGTGTTCAGAGCAGCGCTGACTCCTCCCATGACTCAGAGGTGAATTACTAATGAGCTGCTGGAGCTTAATAATCACAATTTAAAGACCACTGAGAACACTTTAAGGACCAAAGCAACAAAAAGTGGAAAATTTTAGCGACTGTCGTGGGAAGAGTTTGAATTGTTTGTCAGCTCCTGAGTGTGATGTTGACTTTAGGAGGCGGTGGATAACTGCTCTTGTTGTTTCTTATCAGGAGTCTATTTAGTATTAATGAGCAGCTTTTCACCTTTAAGAGGTTCACATCTCATCATAAATAATCGACTGAATGTTTGGATTTTGAAGTGGGAGAAATCACCACAGTAAAGTTTAAATGAGTTTTTAAGTCAGACACTTTGTTTACAATGTGACTTGAACCCTTCCAACCATGTGACCTCTTTAGCTCCCATAATGCATCAGGGCATCTGCATTTTTTTTTTTTTTTTTTTTTGCACAGACTTTTATATTAAAGATTTTACAGCGAGTAACATGAATAAAAGGTGTTTCCATTGAATCATGATAATCCGCCCCTCTTGTCTGTTAAATTCTGATGCTTTTGAACACATGAGATTAGATTATATTAGATTAGATGAGATTATATGAGATCAGAATTAACAGAAGAAGCAGAGTCTCAGCCTCGTTGTTGTTTGTCGCACTAACCCTGGTGTCAGAGCTCCATGGGCCCTCATGGCTCTCACGGTGGGATGTTTAGTCTCTGGTTATATTTTTTTAATCCACCCTGTTTGGTCTTAAATGTCGGTTCTGTGAATGTTTCTTTCTCACCGTGAGCAAAGTTGCCATCAGGCCATAAAACTCTGAGACATGACAGAGAAATTTTGACTCAAGGTCTCGTCTTCAGATTCCCCTGCCTGAGTAGAAACCCAGCTGGTTGAGGGCTGAGATGATCTCATGTTCAGGGGGAGATCAAAATTAAGGTTAGCTCGACTTTTTGTGGGTGAATTTTGAGTTATCGTGTCCTCTTCCTTTTCATGGTGCACACACACACACACAGAGACTCTGTTTGTTTTTCCTGCCTGTAGGTGTTTGTAAGGGATTTCCTTCACTCTGTGGCACACTTAAACAAATGCCTGTGATGGAATCCCTCTCCTGATTCAGACCGTACACCGCCAGCTCTCCTCCATGTGACCCGGCAGCCTGAGAGTGACTCAGTAGAATTACAGGAATTCATCGGGACGTTTCACCGCACACACTCCTGTCTAGGAAGAAAGAGGGGGGAAAAAAAAGGAAACGCAGAGTAGTGCCAATAATCTCTGCTCGGTCCATAAACAGAGTCAGAGCAGAGATAAGCCGATTGCTGCAAACAGACTGCGGTGCGATCGCTGCGAGCAGGGCTGGGAAAAATAGCAGGAGGGATTCTGGTGCATGAATGGTGCCGTTTGAATGAATGTGCAGCCGCATAGTTCTGCAGCATTTTTCCTGCTGCACTCAGGAATTCTGCAGCACGTAGCTGTCTGACAGCGAGCGAGCAGGAGGGGGGGAAGGTGTGTCTCTGGATATTTGTCATAAACACGCAGCAGTGTGTTATTCAAGCGATCATTTATTAGGTCACCAGTCTAAACGTTGAATTTAGTGTTAAATCTGAGAAGTCTGACCCTGAAAATATGTGTCAGTTTTCCCTAAATTAAAAAGTTAGTTGATCATTAAAATATATTTATTTATTTTCTTTAACATGATTAACAGACCAGCATTGGTTTAGATGTTTTAAATTGTGTAACTTCAAGTAGCTGCAGTGTATTTCATTGCGTAAATCAGAGCTGCAGAGATTAACTGATGATTAACTGGACAAAAGAAAACTTCACTCCAAATATGTCAGTACTTAACGAATTATTTTGATGCTGGAGTTTCAAATATGAGTTGATTTAACAGCAGAGATGAACGTTTTTTAAAGCTTTTTACCAAGATGTGATGTAAAGATTTTCTCCATAAGTTGATTGACACAAAAAGTGTTTTCTTGAGTTTAGGAAACTGTTGGCGAACCATCCACAGGGCAGAGCAAAGGGGTCGGGTTTAATGTGCAGGTAGCAGGTGTCTGTAGGGGATTTAATGAGCCTGCAGCCTGATGAGTATTTCACAAAGTTCTGGTACGATACATTATGATACGGTGTCGCAATCTGATACGATACGGAATTATACGATACATACGATACAATACAATTTGATATGATACGATACAATACGAAACAGTATAAAATGATACGATACAATACAATACAGTATGATAAAATACAATGTGATATGATGCGATACGATACAATATGATACACTACAATACGATACAATACATACAATACATTATAATACAATACAATATGATATGGTATGATAAGATATAAGATACAATACAATATGATACAACACGATATGATGAAATTGTCTGTATTTCTACTGTATTTATGTCATTTTCTTGTAGGACACATAAAGTTCACCTGCTCATCTGTCCTGTTTTTTTTCTGCTGGTATTAAACTGTCAAATTAACTTTGGTGAATTCCTTCCATTCACATTATCCTCATTTGTATCGTTAATGCTACTGTATGGAGTCATTTTACTTCAATCAAATCAAAGATATGGAGTTTTGGCCTCTTGATAAACGTATCTGACAGGTCAGGATGATGATATAAGCCCTATGTCCATAATTTAGATATTTTATCCCACCCCTATTATACAGACAAAAACATTGGATTAATTATAAAAGTAGCAGCGGGGTTTAAAGACGGCTAAATCCTCATATATGTGGCAGTCTTCATGTGAGTCATTACTGTGATGAGATGTTTCTCCCTCAAACTTGGCTCTCAGTTTCATGACAGTATGTTTGTAACAGCTGGGCTAATCTATTCAACATGTTAATTACAAAAGACTTCATCCTGACATGATGACGCTCTGGCGGTAAATCGTGTTCAGGATCCGAATCCCAAAGGCCTCCCATCTGGACGCTTTTCCCAGGAACTCGCCGTGATTGGCGTTCAAGTCCGTGAAACTGTCGTGGAGGAACTTTATTTATTGCTCACTTTCATCACAACAAGTCTCGACTATTGTCACAGTTTGGGATCCTGTGACTCCAATAAGAGGATGTGCTGAAAAAAAAAAGTGGCTCCTCTGACAAAGCCCTGCCTCTCGTCCGAGCTCGGGGCGTCACAAAGCGGCGGCGTGTTCACTGCTGATGTTGCATTCCAGCTGGAACAATCCCACTGTTTTCCAGACCCCAAAGTGGACGCCTAAATTGGACAACACCAACCCCCCCCTTCCCCGTCTCTCCCTCCCCTCCTCACCCTACATACACACCCCCTTTTTCTCCCCCTCTGCTCTCCAACCAACCACCAACCCACCCACCACCCACTCCTCCCATACACGCATCCCCTGGTCTCCTGTCCTTATTTGGGTAGAGACGTTCTGAGAGTCGGGTGGAGGAGGGGGGAGGGAGGGAGGGCGTTGGGTTGACACAAGGGAGGCAGGAGGAGAAACAGTGAGCACTCGCGGCCCTTTCTTAATAAGGACATGTCTGGAATTCAGGCCCCTCTCTCTCTCTCTCTCTCTCTCTCTCTCTCTCGCTGAAGAGCCTCTCTTGAACGCTCTCTCGTGAACACAGCGAGGTCGTCAGATCTGAACGCAGCTTGTTGCTCTTCACGGCTCGCAGTTTGCCGTGTTTTCTCTGCTATAATTGGAGATAAACAATAGATCTGCCGCCCCTCCCTCCCTCTCTCCCTCGCCCCTGTCTCCCCCTCTCTCTCTCTGTGTCTGTGATTATTACCCGGCCTGTACTGAGGCTGTGGCCCTGCTGCAGCACCTGTGCGTTCATTAATGAAATACTTTGAAAGACATTCTCACAGTGGACCACACAGACAGCAGCGCAGAAGAAGTGGATATTTCAGGGTTAGACCAGGGTTAATGTAACCCGTATATTTCTGAATCTGAAGCAACATTCAGCTGTTAGCAGAGAGACGATAAAAACACCCTCAGAAGTTTTATCATGACAGTCTGCCAGAGAGATGTCAGCTGTAAACAAAGAGTGATCTGTGCCTCTGCTGCTGCATGTCATTATTATTTAATTTATGCTGAGTTATTTTCTTAATTAACCAAACAGCAGGGCAGGACAATACTGAAAAACTATGAAGAGAGGGTATCTGTGGTGCAACACAAACTTGCACCAGATACTTCTTAGAAATTTACTTGGATTATTTATGATTTAGATGTTCGAGTCTTTTTTTTTCCTGCTTATATCCCACTGAAAAAACTCTCTGAGAGAACTTTAACACCTGCATGGACAAGTAGAAACACTAAAGATAGTAGTACAGGTGGAGGATCATGTAACTACATACTCTAGGGCTGGGCGATATGGCCTCAAATCAAAATTACAAATTATTAATCAATAAATGGACGATAACTACTCCACAAGCTGTTCACCCCCTCCCACATTAACTTCGTCTACTTCAGCCGCTCCAACTTTCTCTCCGTCCTCCATCTCCTCACCTGTCTTTCCCTCTTTGTTACGGACTGGATGGGGTGGAGTCACGTCTCTGACGTAGGACAGCGTCTTAAAGGGACATGAGACCATAGCCTACCTACACACATCCAAAACCAACTTTGATTTATTTATTTTTCTGACACTGAATATACCGACATGAGAGAAATGACGTTGGTTATTGTCATAAATTTCGGTAGCAGTAAATTTTCGGTTTATCGCCCAGCCCTAGCCCGAGGTTCAATTCTACCCTTTGGTTCCTCTACTGTATTTAATTTCTCACTCTCTCCTCCTGCTTTCTGATTTATCTACTGTCCTCTATCCACTCGTAAAAACCTGAAGAGCCCAAGAAAGAAAAAAAAAGTTTAATTTGCACCTCACCTCGCATCACTATAATGTAGATGCTCAGAGTAAAGACTCTACGGACCTGTTAGTGTAGCAACCTAAACGTGCAAAAACACACACATAGACACGCAGAGCATCTCGCCTCGTGAAGCACTTTCCCATTATCTGATGGTTGCAGCTGTTGTGCATGTTTACATTCTAGATTTTTTTTTCATTATTTCTGTGTATTTTTTCATTTGAAATTCTCAGTCTCTTCCTTGAATAACTTTGTGTCAATCTTTTTATGACAGACATAAAATAGTCAAACATTTGATTGTACTGGAAATGATAGAAATATTCAGTACTGACCCTGCTGCCTGTTCACGACACTTAAAAATACATGTATGTAATAGGAGTATAAACATATGCATGTGTATTAAGCTGTCATGGTATGCACATATTTAAATGCATCACTGTTTCGGTTTATCAGCAGAGATGTTCGTATCTGCAGCAGAGACGTCACTGAGTCTCCATTCATCTTTTATCCAGTTTATGACCTGTAACGTTTGGTCGAATAAAACCAGGCTGACTAAACGACTGAAGAAAAGTTATTCTCACAGTTTCATAACTTTTTATGAGAGTTGAACTTTTGAAAGACTGATCCATTCATAGTTGCTGTTTTCTCGTGGCTTCAGGCAGATAGACGACGCACTCTGAGCAGTGTGGGAAAAACAGACAGACTAAATGACAGGTCAGTGTAATTATTAGTGTCTGTGTGTTCATCGCCTGTGCTGAGTTAATGCTGATTGTAAACTTTATTAGGATTGCGGTTAGTGAGGATGTTTAACCGCTGGTTAGGGCTGCACGATTTTGGCCGAAAATAAGATCCAGATTTTTTTTCTCTTAAAATTGATTTTCTATTTTCTTTCAGTGACAAAAGCTCGGTCTTGTCCTATTTAACCACAAAATTTTCGCCTTCTTTTGCAAACGCCATGATTGTTTACACTGGTGTGTGTGGGAACTGGGGAGGAAGGGGGAGCCTACGGTGGCCTGGTGGCGCAAGACATGATGGAGAGGAAAATCAATTTGATGATAATAATTTTTTAACATTGTCATAATCAAATAATCCGAAAATTTGAAATCGGTTAATCGTGCAGCCCTACCATCAGTCATGACTGACCTCGCAGAGTGACCCCGTCCTCCTGTAATAAACTCATGCAGCCTTTTCTCCAAAAACAGAAAAGTGAATTTCTTTCTTTCAGTTCCTGCAGCTTCATTTCTATTCTTGGGGTTGTTTACTCTCTCTCTCTTTCTTTCGTTGTTGTTTTTGTATCAGTTTCATGAATTTATTCAAACTCTGGCGGGACTGAATATGATTAAACCGGCCCTGACTGTAGTCGGATGACGTCTGTGGTCGCTGGGAGCGATCCAGCCGTGTGATCTGTGCAGACTGAGGCGGATCACTTGAGCCGCTGATGAGATCTCAGTTTCAGTGTTGAGTTTTAACACCATGACCCTGCAGCAGAGCCTCCACCATAACCAAAGTCCTCTCTGCTAAAAGTAGCTGCTCGCGACTCCTGGATATTTCTCGTTTGGGTTCAGTGACGTCCATAAATGTCCCGTCGCGTGTTACATATGTGTCGAAGATATCACTGCAGGATCTGCGTGACGGTCTGCTCCACTTTGATGTTTTATACTTCCACTTAAATGTTGATAGGAAAGGAAAGGAAGCGCCACTAATCCTCGCTCTCTGCTGCTTCCCCAGTTTGTGGTTGTTGTTGGATGATTCGGTGGAACTGCAGCCTGAATGGAGTGTGAATCTCTCCCATCGCTGACAGATTAATGGGGAACAGAAGACAAAAGCCGATCTTCTTCTGATTCGCCATCTCTTATTTGATGTTAAACGCCACACTGCAGACTTTGCTCCTCTTCTCAGAACTTTCTCTGTGTAATTATACCGTAGAGGAGGATCAGTTAACAGGCTGAAAGAACAGACCCACACTGATTTGCATGGACATTTTCAACCGTTTTAGATTTTCCAAATAAATTCACAAGTACAAATCACATTTAGAGGCTGAAATGTTTCATTTTTATGCGGCGGGTAAGAATATCTGAGTCTGTAGCTGTTCGAAACCTCATAAAAAGACTTTGAATATATGGTTTATAACGGAGAAACAGATCCTGTATCACACGACTGTCACATAAACTCTAAATGCGAGTACAATTTCATCATTTTGGCCTCCTCTGCGTGTATCCATGATGCTTTTCTTTCTGCCAGCATCTGCAGAAATGCTGCAGCAGAAACACAAGCATCCTGGGAGGATCATGGTTACCTCATACTAGACTGCCACTGGAGAAACAACACAATGCTGAAAAAAAAAGGCAGCTTGAAAAATACTTAAGATCTTTGCCTGCAGTCAGCCATAAGCCGACCACATCGGGACACAGTTCCCAGACCGCAAGAATTCTCCGAGGCCAGCGCTGATTAGTGAGGTCTTTAAGCTTCGTTTTATGGAATATCTCGAATTCATTTGGCCATTTCACAGACATAAAATATAGGAAATTACCGTAATGATTAGGGTTAACATTGTTTGTTCATCCAAATTTAACGACTGCAATAAAGAAAATGTCATAGAAAGCCAAAGTTGTGACCTGAGGAGGAATAACATTCCTCTTCTTAAGCGTCTCTCATTAAGCTTTACATAAACTCACATAACTCCGGGCCTCATTTGTTGCCTCCCATGTATTCAACTTATCCGGGTCTGAAGGAAATACAGAAGACAAATTTAGAAGGGATTAACGTCAACGGGCGTAAAAGCTGTTATAATCTAATTGATCAAATTACCGCTCTTTTATTTCTCCTGGTTTTATAGATCTGGTTACATCCAGTGAAAAATCTGTCCTCATGCGGTTTGTAAGAATAAAATCAAGATCCGCTTTGGGGACCTCTTTGTTTTAATGATTATTATAATAATCCTCTGTGTCACCATGCATGTAAAGCAGCAGCGAGGTGTTGTAAAAACCTGTTCATCTGGAGTTTGTCACGTTTGAACATACCTGTGTGATCGCCTCCAAACAGGAGTATGACAGAAATGATATACGGCTGAGATCGAAGTTGGCTCGCCTTTTTATGGTGTAATTAACACCCACTTGTGTTAGATACTTAACTCGAAGTCACTTCATCTTCGCTGTAACATGTACATGCACTGACATATTACTGTGGTGCAGCGTAGGCACGCACAGAAGAAAGGTCAGAGGATTGACTTTGTAACCTCTCTGCAAACCAAAAACATGCTTTTAACTCACCAGTAAACTGCAGGAGCTCACGTCCATCATCCTCATATCAGCAAAATAAACACCTGGATATGAGAACAGAAACATGTATTTTGATTGTCTATTTTGACTGCAGTTCCATGTGTTGAAGCAGGAGGGTGGGATTCATGAGCGATACTGCAGTCGGTCTGTAGGGGGAGCTCTAAATTCTTTGGCTTCACAGTCAGTAAACACTTGTGGCGTTTGATTTATACACCATTTTTGGTCTGAACCACCTTGGCATTGGTCATAGAATTAGGAAACACTAGAGACATTATGATTTCACACATTTGATCAAACTGAGGGAAGGAGAAGTGAACTTCCAAATACTAAGACTGGTTGATAATCTGGAGGAAATACTCGATACGACTCTCAGAGGCGGGTTTTAACCTCCTTGACAAACAGCTCCCGCCTCTCAGTTATGTCAGTCAGGCCTCTGATTTGCAGATCTTGTAACCTTAATAACTTTGAAACAACGTGTTACAAAATTATACAAAATCAGAAGCTTCCATGCTTCTGCAGGCAGCCTCAAGTGGACAGTCGGGGAACTGCAGGTTTTAGCACTTCGGCATCAGCGACATTTCTCAAGGTTGCCACCCGATTCATACAGATGTGTAATATATTTATTATTTTATGACTGACATGAGGTCGGTCAGATTAGGGATAGAAACTCCTATTGTGAAGAATATTAACTCACTGTAATGAAAAACTACAAAAATGAAAACACCTCAGTATTATACGATGGATCTGTTGAGTCACACATTTTACCAAAGCCAAAAAGTTGCAGTCTGTGGATTCAGATATGTCACTTGTCCTGATTTCCATACTGGTCTGATCAGCTGTGTGACCGTGCTGCATGTGTTGTGGTTGAAGCAGAAACATGTTCTGATGCAACTTGTTACTATGAGATAAAAGTTTCTTATTTGTGCAATCAAGGATATTTTAAAGCACCATTATCACATCAAAACTAAACACTGAATCAATAAAGACTAGTCAGAAAAATAATGTGACATTTTCTAAATATGGATTTTTTTTTCTGTATTTGTGCAGGAAAAAGTTTTCCAGTAAATGTTTGTGGAAAAGGGGAAAACAGTTGTTGTTACAGGCAGTTCTCAGAAACTGGTTGTTACAGGTTTAGTGAGGCAGGGAGGTCTTTAGCTCGTCACTTTGAGAGATTAGTTCCCGTCAGTTTCCTTATCGTTATATTTTTGTTTACAGTGTCAATCAGATGGTGAGAAAGAGGGTTCAAACTGAAGTCTTTATTTTTTAAAATCTGATTGGAAAAAGCTCCAAAAGCTTCATTTGCATACAATAACCACATGTATCTGAAAACTCCCCCAGGCCCTCCCACCTGCATCTCCTCTTGTATTTTGGCACATTTGTACTTCTATAGAGCTCAGTGTACCCGGGAGCATCGCTACAAGGTGATATCGAGCTAACTTGTACAGACACAAGATGTTTTTAAATATGAAAGTAGCTTCTGTACATCAGCGCTGTTAACCGAAATCTGAAACTTTCCAAACAGCTGTGTGACTCGTTTTTATGTGTTTCTGCCTTGACATTGTTATAATAGTAATAATAATAATAATAACTTTATTTACATAGCACTTTTAAATACAAGAGTTTACAAAGGGCTTAAACGTGCAGGAAAAAAACAAAGAAAGATAAAAACAGCAGGACAACAACAAGAGAAGACTTAGAGGGGAAAGAGCCGAGACACCCAGACTACATGTTCTAATGAGACATTATTGGCAATCAAATCAATAAAAAAAAAATGATAAAATAAATAAAATTAAAATTAAAAAATTAAATTAAAAATTAGAATTAAAAAATGAAATATAATAGAATGAAATAAAAATAAAATTAAATAAATAAAATTAAAAAATGAAATGAAATAAAATTAAATAATAAAATGAATAAAAATTTAAATAAAATTAAAAAAGAAATAAAATATGTTAATAAAATGAATAAAAAAAATTAAATAAAAATCAGTGGAAGACATAAAAGCTTTGATGAGTGTCACATGAGCTGAGATGTCTTAAAATAAAGACATCATAAGAACCTGTGATACCCGGCAAACAGGAACCCAACCACAAAAACCTGAGACCAAGGGGGCTATCAAAAAAAAAATAATAATAATTATCAAGAGGTTTTAAAACATGAATAAGAAGAGTAAAAGGTATTAAAGAATACAAAAATCATTTAATGTCTATTGTGTGTTAGACTGAATTATAAAAAATCTCTGCTCCTGCTCGTATTTATCATCCGTGTCTCCGGCTCCCTCAGAGGCAAATCTTTTTAAGACAACAATAAGGTCTATGGGAGCTGAGGCTGTTTTTTAACTTTGTATACAGACATTAAAGCTGTTCGGGTTTGATGAATCACATAATTGATGATTTCAACAGCTGAAACCCTGAAACCCGTGTCTTTCTTTAACCCGCAGATCTCCCACAGTCCTTTGATATCGGGGCTCGGGGTCGGGCCCAGGGGGAGCCGCCACCATTGCGTCCAACGAGTGGAGCGCCAACGGAAGCCCAGAGGATGGGCTGGACGGGGACAACGAGGACAAGACCCTGGACGGGGACGCCGAGGGGGTGTGGAGCCCGGATATCGAGCAGAGCTTCCAGGAGGCCCTCGCCATCTACCCTCCCTGTGGCAGGAGGAAAATCATCCTGTCAGACGAGGGGAAGATGTATGGTGAGTCGGCTGGAGAGGAGCCAGAAAAACAAAAGAACGACAATTACATGGAAATCAGTCCAGTAATGAATGCGCAAGAATGAAAACCCAGCTGTACCGCAGAGGTTTGTGGTGAAAGAAGAGAACAAACATCCACCAAAGTGTCTGAAAAGAGAAACACCATGAAGGCGCTGCTCTCTGTTGTGTTTGTGTCAAAGTTTTGACACGGAGGTGAATGTTTTCTCTTCACACTGAGCTCTTCGACATGTCTCTACCTGTCTTCCTCTGACCCAGGGGCAGGTTCTTCCAGTCTCACCAGCGCTCTCAGAGCTGTTATTGCGTCCTCAGAGCATCTCCTCTTGATTTACACCTGTCTTTTCTTTACAGCCGCTGCTTTATGGCCTCTTCCTCACTCCACTCTCTGCCTTTGTGTTTTTTTTTTATCTGTCATGCGCTTGTTTCTCCACACACCGGTTCTGCTGGAGAGTTTTGCCCGCAGGTAACCGGTTTGGGCCGGTTTCTGTAAAAGTCTTGCGTTTGATGCTGAAGGTTTGGTTGAATTAGCGATAATTAGCACAGCAGGATTTCAGCGAGACTCAGGAACAAAAACATCACGCTGGCACGAGAAAGATTTTATACATCCATATGGTTCTGGAGGAGTAATGCTGTTTCCTGCAGCGCCTTCATTAAAGTCCAGGTGTTGAGCCCTCGACGCCCTGAAAAACTCCAGATGGATATGTTGGCAAGTTGTTTGGCAGAATCGGTCACATCCAGGTGGAGGAAATTTCACACATTTGTTTGAAATTACTTTGAACCCACTTTCCTATTCTTGTTGTTGAGACCGTGCACGCTCTCATCAGTACATGTAGCATGCAAAGTCGGAGTTTGAGCTTCGCAGCAGTAAATGTTGATTGACAGGAACTGGAGCTGCTTTCTTCACTGTTGTCCTCACCAAACCTCCTCTGGGTTTTTATGAAATTATGTTATTTTCACCATTGTAACTGGGCTCCCTCGGGCCGTGCTCTGTGAGACTTTCCTTCCCTTTAATTATTGTCCATCAAGTCTGAAAAACTTGAAATTGATTCCAGCTTCAGAGCGACCTCAGAGAGCATCAATCACTGCCACTACAGTCTCAGACAGACTGTGTGTTTTTCAGGCATTAGTGTTTGTTTTCAAAAGTCCTGTTTTTTGGGTGGCTTTTTTTATGGCTTGACGTCAGATCGGATTCTTTTGGCGTGATTCAGCCGAGATGGAATCTCATCCTCTCATTCGTCAGGCAGATTTGGATATTCAAGGAGAAGCACATACCTGAGATATCTCAGCTGCTGTTGCAGCTCCTGTTTTAGTCTGATCCTGACTTAAGGAGTGTAAACATTGTGAAAAGGGCAAGTAGTAGTTCTGTTTCCTGCATTAGTCATACATCATTAAAGGGACGAGCTGATTTCATCTTTCTGTTGCTGTTTTTTCCTCATTTAGTCAGTTGGTCTTTGATTTGGGGGATTTTTGGACTGTTTGTGAGACTAAACAGGACGGTTTAAAGCATAACTTTGGCCTGTAGGATCTCTGGGAGAGGTAGACTGTAGGGCTGCACGATTTACCGATTTTAAATCATAATCGGATTATTTGATTTTGACGATGTTAACAGATTTTCTTTATCATGTCTCGTGCCTCCAGGCCACCGTAGGCTCCCCCTTCCTCCCCAGTTCCCACTCACACCAGTGTAAACAAACATGGCGTTTGCAAAAGAAGGCGATAATTTCGTGGTTAAATAGGACAAGAGCGAGTCAGTCGTGTTGAATTGGTACGACTTCACAGTTTCAGATGAAGAGTAAACCACTCCCCGCTGCAAAGTCTGTCTAAAGGCGGTATCAACCCGTCACCACGGAAACGAATTCAGGAGGAAACGCAAAAGTTTTTTGTTGTATCAGCGTTTCATCCAGCTGGAGACGGCGTTTCAGGTTCAGAGAGTGTATAAATCCGTGAACGACGACCATTTCATCTCTGTGTGGATGTTTATCTGCATCTCTGCAACTCTTTGATGGCGTCTGAGCGTGTCCGACCAAAACAACATTTATACACATGCTCTGTACTCTTCTTCGGTTATTTGTGCATTTCCTGTGGAGCGTTACAGCGCCACTTACTGGCTCGGCATATGCACTACATCGTTTTCAGAGGTTTAGTTTTGAGAGACAATAAAAAAACTTTTTATTATTAAAGTGAAGTTTGGTGAAGTTGACACTGAAAAAAAAATAAAAAATCGAGTTTTCAGAGAAGAAAATCTGGGTGTTATTTTTAGCGAAAATCGTGCAGCCCAAGTAAACTGATTTTTTTGGTCGTTTTTGCAGTGATCGGTAAAAAGCTAATGTGTCCTATTAAAAGCATTTATTGACACAGACACTGGGGGCAGTCTTGTCAGTGTTGATGCTGCTGAGTAATGTTGGGAAGGTGGTGCAGTACGGTGCGATACAATACGATGTAATACTCTTTATTTGGTGTGTGGTTGTGGCTGAATTGCACCTGCTCAGATAAGAGAGGTTTTCAATCTTCAAAATGACCACTAGATATTGTTCCTTTAAAATGATAATTAACTGATTAAGCGTTAATTCCTCGAAGCCTTATGGCAGAAAAGTCGGACACAGACTTCGACCTGTCGTTCCGTTTTCTGCTCACAGTCGGCCTTTTTGTTCCAGCTCCATAAATTACTGCGGTTATTTGCCTTAAAGTAAATTTGTCCCTTAATTTCCAGAATTAGACGCCTAATTTATGACATGCTCTAATTTGTGTACAGACCGTTGGCTCCCGGCTCTGCAGGCATCTCTAAATTTACCTAAATAACCCCTCAGTCCTCTTTAGCGGGGCAGTGTTGTGTCCTCAGTTCTGTACATTTATCATGAGAACGTCAACAAAGAGGCCAGCCGTGCACAGACCTGCCCCCTTAGCAGCAAACTGTCAGGACCCCTTTTAGAGGCCTGTTTTTTTCTAGGGCACTAAACACCCTCTCCATTTACAATAAGTCATCTGAGGCTCTGCTGGCACAGCCAAGGCATGCCCCAGAAGAAGCCCTCTCACAAGGTGATTACCTCAGACATCTAAAAGCTGCCCTGACGTGAGCCCAGGGGAATGTTAACGATTGCGCGCTCTATGTAATACTGTCTACCTTGCAGTCTCAGACTCCAAGTGGCCTCCAAAAGCGAAGCAAGTCATCCCTCCCATTGGGAATTCCACTTTTGCTGCCAGGATTTTTTTTTCCGTATGGTGGGAAATCTTTGCAAATTTCCATTGCCTTAGCAAGATGACGGATTTCACATGAGTTTTCTTTGCCCTGCAAACCTGTCTAGACTCCACGGTAGCACTGCCAAACATTAATGTAGCTCAGGGGTGACAAAGAGTTCAGAGGAACATCATAGTCAATTTTCAGTAAGGCACATGTGTTAATTATTACTGGAAATTATTCATCATTTTAACCGCCTTAAATAACGCTTTTCTGTAGGTGTGGATACAGTTAGAATATTTCAGAAACTGTGAAACCTTCAGTTATAAAACATTTTCATTGAGATTTCTGATTTTAGCTGTTCTCAACAAACATTAACAGGACATGTCAACGTATGTTGGTCCAATAAATCATCAACTTCTTACTGTCTTCACACACCAAGCGCGAGTAAAATCATTCGCGCGAATGAATTACATGTTAAGTCAATGCAAAGACGCGATTAGGGGCAAATAACGCAAATTGGGTGTGAGTTGAAAACGTCTCAACTTGAGCCGATATTCGCACCGATAACCAATCAGCACAAAGGTTGCTGGATGACATAGGAAAAAAACGGACGGTTGTTCAGTGGTATCTAAAATGGAGGACAAACTGATCGTGTCGATTATATGAAACCTTTTCTTTCAATTACCGAAACCGTAATAAAAGGAGCTCACCTGGAGGCAGGTGAGTTAGGAGGTCAGATTACCTGGTTAATCGTCTATCTTGATCCCGTCGGTTGAATTGGCAGGGATAACCGTTGACATTACCATTGAAGCGAGTAAATACTATTCATTCAGGCGTCTAGATTCGCGCGAATTAAGCGAGTAGATGATTTTACTTGCGCTTGGTGTGAGCGCCCAATAAGAAATGTAGAGCCAGTCCTGATGCTGCCTGTGGTCAAACTGGTATATGACCACCTAACCAGAGCAATAACAAGCACTTTTAGGTTCAGCACCAAACTGAAGGCCGGTGGTGCTAGCTCTGCTATCGGTAGCCACATTCATCAAACCTCAGATTAGCCGTTATACAAATCAAATGTTCTCAATTCTGATTACTCTCTAAATGCCTCATTTTACTTTTAAACTAACCAATTACTCCTATGTGGGGCGGAGTCGTGGTAAAATTTGGAGGGTTTTTTGGGTTGAGTGTTTTTCAGGCGCTTCTAACTCAGTCAGTCTACGCTACTCAAATTTGAGACTTCTGTACAAAACCCAGAACATTTTCAGGATTTTATAAACTCCCCTGACAGGCCGGACAGCCCCCCAAAAAAGAGGACATGTCCGTATGGTCACCCTGCTGAAGTTAGTAGCTTAGAAACATCTCTAATAGAACGTTACACCAACACCGACCTCTGTCTTTTTTTTCCTCAACCCGCTGAAAACGTCTCCGCTGAGTTTTACAATTATCAACAGTTAATGAGGTTTAGAGCTGCCAGAGGAGGAACAAACCAGCTCTTCACCCCTCTTCAAAGTATTTGCAGTGATTTATGTCCTCATGCAGAGTTATATTTAGCAGACAAACACTAGACTGATATCAATCTTCTCTTTTGCTCGAAGCAAAACAACAAATTTGCCTATTTCAGAGAGTGATACACACCCACCGTTTGAGTGAGCAGGTGATCATCTCGGGGGGTTTAAGCAGCTCTATAAAGTGAAAAATAAAAACTATCCAAGTCCAGTACTGCATGTGAGGGACACAGCAGCTGTCCTTTACAGAATTAAATTGTTCATAGTTGGCACATTTCACAGCTAAAGTTCAGAGGAAGTATTTTCTGAAGATGCGTATGTGCCAAAAAAATGTTGCCTGTCTTGTTTTGCTTTGGGGCTGTACTGACATGTTGTTCCCCTGCGTTTTCTGGCCTAGACAGGTATGTCAGAGCCCGAGCACACACCTCTCTCTCTCTCTCTCTCTCTTAGCCCTGCAGCTGTCATGACTGCAAAGCACTCTGGGTAGACAAAAAAGAAAGATTTCAGCGCTCGAGGGGAGGCTTATGTCTGCCGTGACCTTTGAAGGCCACATTAGAAATTAACGTCGGGTTCAGTGCATGTGCAAAGTAGTGAGGATAGACTTGTGTCGAGTTAGAAGAGATGTGAGTGTGTGCATGTGTGCATGTGTGTGTGTGTGTGTGTGTGTGTGTTGGAGGGGGGTGAGGTTGAGCGCTCTGTAATGATGACTGAGCAGGCCTTCCCTGTCAGCCCCCTCACTGAGATGTTAGGAATGTTTTCAGTCATGGCTGAGCAGTATGTTAGCAATTTAGGATTACCTCAATGTTATGAGAAGGGAGGAGGGGAGAGAATATGGGTGGAGAAAGGGTTCAGGAGAGCAAAAAAAGGAGGAGGAGGAGGGCGGGTGGAGATATACAGGGAGTGAAAAGAGATTACCTTTTTGCTCGCTATCTTAGCATGGAAGTGGAAAATTCCAGCGGTCATGTAGTAAAAGAAAAAGATGGGCGTGTTCAGTCGGAGAGGTTAAGAATGGCAGCCTGCAGCGATCTGAGTGGGTGTTGAGCAATCAGCGAGGGAATCATGAGCAGCGAACAGAGAGAGGGTAGAGAGAGACGGGAAGACAGCGGCCAGGGTTGAGAAATTACAAGCAGAGGACAGATGAGGCTGTGCATGCGTGCGATCGTACAGCTGTGTTTTTGCGTGTGTTTGCGCGCACCTGTCGTGTTCCCCGCCGTGCGGACCAGCAGTTGCGATCTGACCTTTACTGTGCCAAGTCTGAGCGGAGCTAGGCTGCTGCGGGGGGCAGCTGGCAATGACATTACAGAGATCATGGCCTCCGCTCGAGTGAGAGGAAGAAATGCGTCCCAGAATGAAAGACCGATTTAACTCTGATCTTCCCGGTGGAGTTCATGAAAATGTTATATATCATGATTTATCTGTTCAAAATGCCGACAAGGTAGTTATTCAGGTTTGGGCTGTTATTAGGGGAAAAAAGCTGCAGCCTCCAGTGTTGAAAAAATGAAACCAATGCAAAAGTGCAAAAACATAACTGCAGTTCATCAAATGTCCACTAGAGGCTGGATCTAAAAGTGCAGGAACTCTCATTTGTACTCATGTAAAAAAGCTGATTTTTTACAACAAAGTTTAACGTGTTTACGAAGTGGAACAAAAAAAAACCTGTTAGATAGTTTGATTATTTATTCGTACACACTGATTTTTATGTGACTTATCTCTTTAAAGATATTTAAAAGTTTTAGAAGATAAGGAATCTTAAGGTTAGGGCTGGGCGATATGGCCTATATTAAGATATATTGATCAGTTCACCTCGATAACGATAAATGGACGATAACTACTCCACAAGCTGCTCACCCCCTCCCACATGAACTTCGTCTACTTCAGCCACTACAACTTTTGAACCGTCCTCCATCTCTTCACGTCACGTCTCTGATGTAGGACAGCGTCTTAAAGGGACATGAGACCACAGCCTACTGACACACATCCAAAAACAACTTTGATTTATTGATTTATTTTGACACCAAATGTACCGACATGAGCAAAATGAAGTTGGTTATTGCCATAAATTTTCGGTTTATCGCCCAGCCCTACTGAAGGTCCACCTCAGCTCTGTCCTGTGCTTGTTTCCAACACGAGGACAGACCTCTGCTTTCAAACCCTCTTCAAAGGACACTGCTGTGATTTTTCTGTGATCAGAACCGACTGTTTTAGCGCTGTGAAGAAAAACTGTTTTTCGTTAGTTTGTGAGGATATTGTTGTTGTTCTGCGGTAAAACAATCACAAAAGTAAAAAAATACAAAGTAATTCTAATTTCATGAAGAATCAAAAGCCAATTCCAAGAAATGTGGGGCAGCTGTGAGCTAATCTGTCATAATCTAACATAAGCTTGTTTGTTTGTAGGTTTTAGGATTATCGTCGTGTTAGGATTTCACTGTAACAAAAAAAGTAAAAGTTAGTCGATTAATTCTTTATATTCTGAGAAACAGATGTTAAGGAAATGAAGATAATATTCTTTGTTTGTCAGAAAGTGTTTTTGTTTCTTTCTAAAAACTGCAGTTCCTTGAGTGTCCACTTGTGGCAGCATTTTCATGATCTGATTTAAAAACGAACAGGTGACGTCACTGAAACTTCATAAAACATGACTCAGGTCAGGATTTAACTCAGTGATGAAATCCAGCTCCAGGTTTTGTTTTCAAGGCCCTCATGGTTCCGTCTCCTGGTTTTAGAGATCAGGGTTTTACACACGAGTCTCCTGAGCGATGTTATCAACCCTCAAAAAGAGTCGTGATCTTTGCTTTCTCAGATTTGACCTCCGGGTGAGACGTGGTGAGGGGATTTGGGGCTGATGACCTCAGAGCGTCTAAAATCCTTCGCCGTCAGTCTCTTAGAGGACTTTTGTTTCATATTGACGGATGTAACAGACGATAAATCACAGCTCTGTTCGGTTTCCTGCTGCGGGATCATGATCTGGTTTGTCCCCTCCAGTGAAACAGAAAAAACAGTGCCAGAGTATTTACTGATTTACCGTCCTCTTCCAGATCGTTTATTACAGAGCTTTATTTGAAATTGGAGATATTTGCTGACCTGCTTTTAAGTGGTGTGTGTCTGTTTTCGACTGTATATCACATAAAACAAAAGCAGTCATTTAAAATATCACAGAACCTCCAGATGTCGCGGAAAAACCCAGATATCATCTCAACAGCTCGCCACCGCAGGACTGCGCCGTTCAACAGATGAACAAAACACATTTTTGATTTGCCACGCGACGCCAACAGTTGCTGCGCTCGACGCTGCTGTAGAGTAAACGCTTGTCTGCTCTGAAATCATTTCCATAACAGTGAAAATCAAAGATCTGAGCCTCAGTTTGAGAGTCTGCTGTAAAGTTCGTGTTTGACCTGAGAGCCCAGAGAGGGTCATCACCTTCTCGGTCAAACCGTCCCCCAGTTGGTTCTGGTTCAGCGGGCTGTACTGTACTAAAGAGAAGTCTGAAACTGAGGGCAGAACCTGGTCTCGGGTCTGATGAAGTGTTTTCCCCTCTCTGCTCCTGAGCTGAGGAGATTGAGAGTGACAGTTGCGTGGGGGTCGAGCTGGCATTGTTCTCTCTGCCATCCTCCGCTGGGACGATCGGCAGCAGGTGCTGCTGTCCGTTGGGTGTGGGGTCACACAGTGGTGTTGTTTTGGGAAAAGGGGGCTGCCTTGCTGCCAGGTGGCAGTTGTTGGCAGAGACAGTTATGGCTTTGTGTTTCCTCCAAGAGTTACAGCATCAGCTGCCCCCTTTTGCCCCTCTAAGCGTCAACCCCCCCCCCATACCCCGACCTAATGGCCCTCACCCCATGCTCTAACCCCTGCTTCCCCCCTGAGCATGTGTGTGTTCACCAGAGCTCTGGCTGTGTTCGCAGGCCCAGGCCAATCAGACTGGCTAGCACAGATGTGACAGGCCTAGAGGAATGTGAGGAATGCGGAGGCGCTGGAGCGGGCGTGTCCATCCTTGGCCCAGGGCAGAAGGGGACGGGCCAGCTCGGTATCGGCAGACAGTTCAGCTCTGCTGTGCTGGCTGACCGCCGGGCCGACTGGTTGGAGGGAGACGGTGAGCGCTGCTGCGAGCCCGCTGGAGATGGGCTGCAGTACTTTTATGGTAATTGCAGTAACCGGGGCTTTCTGCAGGCCAAGCGCTGAAGAGTGTGTGAGAAACAGGGCTTGTTTCTCCTGTCATTATGTGTCTGGACACTCCAAAGGCTGTTAAAGCTCTTAGACACACTGTCTATTGTCTGTGTGTCTGTGTGTGTTTGGGTAAAAGCAGGCCAATCTTGACCAGTTTTTGTTGATGTAAATTACTGTCAGCAAATTTTTTACAGTTTAAGTCATTATTCATAATCACAGGGTGGTCCGGCCTCTTCTCCTGGCCCACTTTGTAGCCACAGAAACCCAGTAAACATGACTTGGCAAAGAAAAGAAGTGAATAAGACTGGACCAGTTCTTCCTCCAGACAACATAATCATGCTTTTTTATTTTTTCCTCTTAATTCTCAAAGACCAACAAAGGTGCACTTTGCTGACAAAGCACAGCTTGTTAAGTCTCCGAGATGTAAAGAGGACTACGACGGCCCAGAATAGACGTCAGCTCTCTGCACAACCTGTTTGTGCAGAATGTCGAGAGTGGATGTTATGTCATGAAAAACATGGTTCTGTTTTCTTAGCCGTCTGTAATTAGGTTTCAGGGCCATGTGAGCAGACAGTAAGAAGGTGTGAAGCAGACTAATGAGGACTAAAAAGAGGAGAAAATATTCAACCCTTTAATGAACGAAGATCTGAAATCAGGAGGAGTCATTTTTAAGAACAGTGTCTTTGAGGAAATAGAGGTGTTATTATGACCTTTGACCTGTGACAGAAGTGTGTTGACCCTGGTCTGTGGAGCTCTGGGAAAGGTCACACTGTTGCTCTTTAACAAAGGTATGATGTGTATTGAAGGTATGACGACAGTGCCACCTGCTGTTCAAGAGAGGGTATCATCCTCACTAGAATCTTCTGACCTCTTTTGGAGTATTTTCAGTTTTATTCATGACCTTTCTTTCTTTCTTTCTTCTTTCTGTGTGTTTTCTTGCAGGTCGTAATGAATTGATAGCGAGGTACATCAAGCTGAGGACGGGAAAAACCCGCACAAGAAAACAGGTACAAGCTTCGAAGTTCAAGACTGGATCTGAAATAATTTTGCACGATTTATTTACTGACAGTAGACGACATTAAAAATAAAAATTGTGCCAATTAAACGCCATCACCCCTGCAGGTCAGCATGAGAATTACGAGTCATCTAAACAGATAATTTAAAACATTTTGACCCAAAGATGTTGTGTCTAAGTTATAGTGCAGCCGCCACCGTAAATTGGGAACAAAATGAAAACTCCCATTATACTAAAACACTCTGCACAGATCTGGTTCGGCAGTGTTTTAATCGAGCAAATAGAGAAAATAACGTACGAAAAAAAGAGAAGTTTGCACACTAAATGCCCTTGAACGTCTTTTAATCTGAGCAGGACAGTGTTCAGACCAGCAGGAGATCTGGGCGTCAGACAAAATCCTTCCTCCAGTCCTCTGTCCTGAAAAAAAATCCATGTAATATTCTGACTTTTCCGCTTTTGTAAGATTTTTAATGGTCGAGCACCTGAAAAAGAGTTCATAGGTTTGGTGTGCTCGTTGTTTTTCTGTTTAAATTGAGTTTTAATGAAGAAATTGGAGACAAAGTTATATTTAGGCTGTGTCTGATTAACCTGCGACAGGCATGTGGATGTTAAAGAGAGCTGAAGGCTGGTGGTGCTAGCTCTGCTACTGTTAGACATCTTCTGGAAACCAACTTGATGATTTTTATTCTCAAAGTCAGTGAATTTGTGTCCAGCAGTGATAAATAAACTGACCAGCAGATTGGAGAAACATCATGAAAAACAGTTGAAGTCTAGAGAACATTTTTATTTGAAATGATGTAAAAGATTACGGTACTTATTGTTTGGGTCTTTAAATAGTTTTTCCTCACGTTGGTTGTCAGGTCAGAAACTACAGTGTGTCGACAGCCCTTGAAGGAGCAAATTCATATAAACAAACAGCTGCAAACTTTTACATTTTATTTCAGCAAACATTCAAAAAGCTCCTCTAACTGGATCAGTAGTTATATATTTGATTTTTACACTTTTTTAATTTTTAGACAGATACCATCACACTGTGGTCACACAAACATAACATGTTTTTGGTGTTTAACATTGCTGGTTTTATTTTTATTCATGGGATGTAGAAAAAATTTATGGGAAATATCTATTAATTAGGGCTGGAACTCGATTAAAAAGATTAATTTAATTAATCAGAGGCTTTCTAATTTATTAATCCCATATGAATATTCGACCAGTGAATGGATCAGTGCTTTTTTTATGCGTTAAAGTGCAGATATTTTAGTAATGAACGACACAGAATCAATTTCAGAGGTTCAGGTCGCCTATAAAGAACCTTCTGGAATCACTGCTGCTCTGACTCACACTGGGGTGCTCCGGTATGAGCGATATACCTGAAACTCGTGCAGTGAGAAACGTTGCGCAGTGCAAAAATACAGTAGGTGCGATTAATCTGTGTTAATATTTTTAATAAGATAATATTACTGAAATCGATTAATCGCAATGAACACGTCAAAGTCCCAGCTCTTCCTTTAATCTGTTAATGTTGTTTGTTTGTTGATTTTTTAAACTTGTTGGTTTATCTCTGAGTGAACGTCTTCATGTTCCTGCACTCTTATGCGTGTTTGTGAGCCTGTATCTGAGTGCATGCTGTTGTTTTTATGCTCAACAACTGTTTCACACTCCTTTAGGTGTCTAGTCACATACAGGTGTTAGCCCGGAAGAAAGTGCGTGAATACCAGGCGGGTATAAAGGTAGGTGCCACCAGCCTGCTTGCGGGCGACACTGACTGGGCGTCTCTTTCCTCTTTGGTTACGGCTTCTCTCTTTCTTTCCTTGTCTTTTCTCTCCCTGTCTCCTTTTCCTCTTCCCTCCTCTTGGCTATTCTTCTGTGCAGGTTTCTAGCCACTTGCAGGTTCTCGCCCGGAGAAAATCTCGCGAGATCCAGTCAAAGCTAAAGGTATGCGCTTCACGGCGGGCTCGGCGGGGCTGGTCAAGGCTTGGCTTTGCACTAACCAGCTAATCTGTGCTCAGAATTATCCATTTATTCTCTGATCGTAGAAGAGTTCATGCTTATGCGGATGTCAGCTTGGCAATTGAGTTACATTGATCCATGAGAAATCAGATAATACCATCAAGAGTTCTCTGAGAAGTTCATCCTGCTGTTGCAGCGTGCATGCAGTGCTCGAGTAAAACAGATTTCTGCAGGTCAGGGCTGCTTTAACTGTGAGGCTAACAACATTACTCCAAAGAGAGAGCGTACAGCAGCTGAATCTAAAGCTTCATCTTTCTAGGTTTGCCTCAGGACTCTGTCAAATGAATGTGAAATGAGCTGCATGTCTCTCCAGCTCTGTTTCTGCCCTCTGTTCCAGTCCAGCTTCTGCAGCTCTCTGAACCTCCTCAGACTCTTCCTGTCCTTAAACTCTCTCTCTGAAACTCTGAGACCTTCAGCTCCTCTAATGTGTCTGTCTGTGATCATGTGATTATCAAAAACACTTCACTTTGACGCCTTTGGACCGATATTTTTGTTCTTTGAACATCTCTCTACTCTCTTTCATTATTGTTTAAACACACTGAGTGAAGACATCCTGTCGTGTTCACGTCGTCTTAAATTAACTCTAAATTTATCAAATATATTCACTCTCAGATCGATCTGTGGGCTTCAGCAACCACAACTAACTCGAATCATTTTACACTAAACTGATGAACTTGATTTAAAGATGCAGTGTCTCGTATTAAACAGCATCAAACAGAGCAGACCTGGTCGGACTGGACTGTAATTTCATGTTTAAATCAGCTGGGATGGATAAGAAGCTCCTCTGACACACGATAAATCTCATCCTTCACTTATTTGGTTTTCATCATCAAAATTATGTTTCAATACAAATCCAACAACCACTCTCTTCTTCTTTGGCCTCCATCAGGTGACTTTGGAGCACCAGTGATATCAGATGCTCCTCACTGGATACAGAAACATTTTAATAGTTTATCCATTTGGTGCTACAGTCGGGCTGCATGATAAATTGGTTTTTAAACCGTAATCAGATTATAAAAAAATTAAAATCCTCAAATCAGTTTTCCTCTCTATCACGTCTCGCGCCTCCAGGCCACCGTAGGCTCCCCCAGTTCCCACACACTCCAGTGTAAACAAACATGGCGTTTGCTAAAGAAGGCGATAATTTCGTGGTTAAATAGGACAAGAGCGAGTCAGTCGTGTTGAATTGGTACGACTTAACAGTTTCAGATGAAGAGTAAACCACTCCCAGCTGCAAAGTCTGTCTGAAGGCGGTATCAACCCGTCACCACGGAAACAAAGTCAGGAGTAAACGCTAAAGTTTTTCGTGGTATCGGCGTTTCAGGTGACTGTAAACGGTACTTTTTGAAAACGGGTCAGAGAGTGAATAAATCTGTAAACGACGACCATTTCGTCTCCGTGTGGATGTCTATCTGCATCTCTGGAAACGATCATGTGACACACAGCGTAACTCTTTTATGGCGCCTGAGCGTGTCCGACCAAAACAACCTTTAAACACACGCTCTGTGTAAAAATCTGGATTTTATTTTTGGCCAACATGGTGCAGCCCTACGCTACAGTAACAACATCCCCTCAGAAGGAGACCTTCTCCTTTGCAGATCTGAAAGTTCACTAAATCATGTTTACACTTAAATCTGAATATACTGAATTTTAATCAAACTTATCCCATGTCAGTTATGTCTGTTCTGATAAATTCTGCCAAAAAATACAAACTGCACCTTTAAAACCGATCAAAGAAATCTTGTTTTTCTTTTTAAGTGTAAAAAAATGAGAAAAATGTAAACAACTCACAAAGCAAGACGGCCATCTTTGCTTGTCCTTCCACGTTCACATAGTGGCGTCAAAAATGTCTGTTTTTGAACTTAGCATCATTTGTATTTAAGTATTTTATTTGTACCGTATATTATGACTTATTCTCATATCAGCATATCAAACGTGATATTAATTTGTGCCCAAAAGACAGTGAGCTGGAAAATGATATGAAATAGGAGTCGACTGATATTATCTGCTTCAGAGCCGATACTGATATTTAGTGGATTATGAGACGAGTATCTGATGTGTAGAACCAATATGCACTGACAGTAAAGTAAAAATAGTCCTGAATATTAAAAACTCCAACACAAACTCTGTCCATCTTCTAGCCAATCAGATCTCGCCGTGTGTTTATTTACCCTGATATTCAGCTCAGGCCGATATTCAGTCTGATTTTCTGGGCTTTATATTTGAGGTGGTGACTTCTTTTCTCCTCTTTAGATAATTGATATTTCTTTCTTCAATTCTTCCTGTAGTCACTTTTCTTTTTATGCAACTATCTGTATTTTGTCTCACAACATCACACAACACGACTCATTGAAGCGAGCGTTTTCTGTCAGCTGAACAAACATGAAGTTATGGTGTGATTGCTGAAATAACACCAGCTGCTTATTTGAAGTGATTTTTTAAAAGCAGAGTGAAAGTAAGGACAAAAAAGAGCAAGAAACTCCACTTTTAAAAGAAACACATTATTTTGGGACACTTTGATAGAAGTAAATATTACATTTGTACCTGGAGGATCAGCTGTTCGTACCGTAGTCCACTCACACCGTGGAAGCAGCAGCCTGAATAAAATGAAGTGCATTCAAACTTGATGTTACTCAACACTTCATTTCTCTAAACCGTCACTCAGAACTAATGCTGTCTCTCTTTCTCGATTCAGGCCATGAATTTGGTAAGTGCATCTGACTTGTGCAATATGCTTCCCCCCCCCCCCCCCTTTGTTTGGCAGTACCAGCGCACTGTCCCCTTTGCTACGGCCCTCTGCTGGCATGGCGACCCGCCTCATTGCTATCCCTTAGAGAAGCAATGCTTAGAAACAGCCGAGCTTTGATGCTCACAGTTCTGCTGCTGCTGCTGCTGCTGCTGCTGCTGCTGCGCCTCCTGCCTGATGTCGAGTCATAATCCCCTCAGCCTCTGCTCAAAGCCAAAGTCTTGCTTGCTTTGTCCAAGGTGTCGCTCTGTGATTCGGGGTCTCACTTTTCCTTTTATTGCAAAGTCTTAGCTTGAGCAGCTTCATTGCTTTTGTTTTTACTTGCACACGTTAAAATAAAAGTATTTTAAATAAAGTTTAGAGTTAAGGTGAACTGGACTGAAGCTTGGATTTGAATCGGCTTGTGCCAGAATTGATCAAACGTATTCATGTTTAATGCAACAAAAATATATTGAGTATGTAAACTCAGTGCACTCTCTGTCTTCTCTGTTTCCTGTGGTGATCCTGATAACAAACTGATCTTTTTGTGACCTGAGCTTCAGTGTCTTTCCTTCTCTTTGCTTTTATCAAGCTGCTTTTCACTTGGTCTGAATTGTGATGATGTTTTTAAAGTCATTTGAACTGTTAACTCATTGGAAACTCTAAAAAGATGTTTTATAGATCATTACAAAACTTTAATTCAGGAGTGGTTAATACTTTCCGTGCTGCTACATGTGAAAAAAATAGTTGTAGTGTGGACGTCTTCAACTTCCACTCAGCTCTAGTAAAGCTGTAGATTCACTGTTTGGGTTCTGCTGCCACCTTGTGGTTGACGCAGGTCATCTCTCTGTTTGCTTCTGCAGGATCAGGCGTCTAAAGACAAAGCCTTGCAGAACATGGCAGCGCTGTCGTCTGCACAGATCGTCTCCCCGAGTATGATCAAAAATCATCTGCCACCGCTGCCTCCTGCCCCCTACCAACCACCCAGAGTGAGTCCACTTCCTGTCAGATGTCTCAATGAGTCAAGATTTGGTCATCTGTCGAGACTTCAACGATGTTTTCTTACTTTACAGTTCTGGCCGGCTATCCCAGGACAGCCTGGACCCTCTCAGGAGTATGTAAACGTCTTTTCACAACCTGCTTATTGTTTGTAGGGTCATCAGTGTTCCTCTGCAACCCTGATCCACAAAAAAGTTTGGACAGTGTGTAAAATGTTGATGCAGTCAGATTTGGACGATTTGCAAGTTATTTAGATTCTATATTTCAATTGAAAATATGACAAAAAAAAACAAACCTTATGTTAAAACCATATTTCACTTCGCCTCAGTCCATCTTAGAAGGACCCAGGCCCACATTAGGACAAACTAATACAAGACATAACTACTTGTATAGTTTTTTATTTTTTTTTATTTCAGTTTTAACATCTTTGAGGATTCCAAGGACAACTTGTGCGAGCAATTAAAGGTCCCGGCTCTTGTCCGTATAGACAGGCTTCATTCAGTGATTGAAGCAATGATGATTAGATCACTCTAGCTTACACAGTTTGTATATAACTTTATCTCGCTGAGCATTTTTTCCATCTGCCATGTCCTCCCAAAATCCGAGGAACTTCCAAACGGAGCTTCTAAAGTTCGTTGGAGTCCAGACCACTCTCTCCGAGTTTGGCTACGAACATCACGCCATCTCTCTCTGCACGTGCCACGGACAGTTTTTGTCGAGTCCTTTGACCTGTCCCTGACCTATCATTACAGTGCGCTCACTCTCAAAGCAGTGATGTTTTTTGTTTTTCTTTGTTTTTCTCCCACTCAGTTTTTCACGCTGTTTATTTAATATTTTAATATTAATTTTCACTTTTGATTCCCGTTTTTCAAAAATATTCAAATACATAATCGAATTTAGAATATTCGTTGACAGCCCTGATTTTGAGCCGCCATTTTTGTTCTGAAATCGTTAAACTTTTTACTCACACAGTCTCTTACAGAGTGGAGAACACTTTCTCATCTTTATTTCTGAGAGACTCTCTGTGGGGTTTCTTTTTTACTCCAAGGTTACAAATCAGCCGAACTAGTGGAGATGCTACTTAAAGTCGTATTCAAGCATTACACAACCTTCTCAGTGTTTTGTTGTGTATTAATTTTTATAAAACAAAACTGTTGGAATTTTTTTTTCACTTGTAATTAGATGTTGGGTTGAAATGATCTTCAAACTGTCCAAATCTGTTTTTAATCGACATTTCACAGCATCTTATTTTAGAGGAATCGTTGTTGTAGTCCCCGGAGAGAGAGAGAGAGAGAGATTGTTAATAAAGAAGTGAGACTAAACTCATATGTGACTGATTGAAGTAACGGGGGTTAGGTCTGATGTCAGGTGGGTACTGCAGGGCATGCTTAACGGATCACATTTTTGCACACTAGGATGGCTCTAGATCTCAACCCGGGAAGGAGTCCTGGGTTTGGCCGCACCAGCCATGCGTAAGTTCCCCGTAGCCGAAGTCCATCTGTGAGCACAGAGCAGCACTAACTCTTCTTCCTCACTGTATTTTTGTCCTGTTTGTTCCCGCACTGATGTAAACCACCACCAGGCAAATTAACTGCTTCAGATTTGAACAAAAAAAAAAAAAACAGGGAAGAAAAAAAAATCCCTAAAATTAAAATTTGGATTAAAAAAAAAAACTTCTAATCTGTTTACTTTGAATCAGAGAAATTGATGCAATTTTGCGTCTTAAAGAAGCAATGAAGCAGGTGGACTTACGCCTAGCTGGTGCAAAAACACATGCTGATGTTTGACACTAATGGATTTTCACAATAAAAGTCTTTGATTAGAAATGAAGATGTATAAAAAAAAACTAATGTGTAACACAAACATCTGATTCTGGTCCTGTGTTGTCGACATCATGGCCTCACTCAGTCCTTCATTGTCTTTCAGTATCAAACCTTTTGCACAGCCTCCGTACTCAAGCCTATCAGGTCCTGTGCCACAACCCATATCAAGTGAGTACAGATGTGAGAGAGAGCATGAGAGGAGGACCCTGGAAAATTAAAGCCACATCGTACGCATGTTTATATTGTTGTGTTTGTGTGTGTCTGTATGAAGCAGGTTATGAGCCTTTAGCACCTCCTCCTCCACCGACTGCGACCGCGGTGCCCGTGTGGCAGGACCGGACGATCGCCTCCTCGAAGCTGCGGATGTTGGAGTACTCGGCCTTCATGGAGGTGCAGAGAGACCCAGACAACGTAAGTGAAGATATGAGTGTGTTCACCACAGAGTCCAGGAGGCGCACCATCAGAATTTTTAGTTCCAGTACTCTTTACTCATATTTACTTTAGCTGCAGATGTTTTTGACGTTCCTTCTTTGTCTCTTTTGTCTCTGCAGTACAGCAAACACCTGTTTGTCCACATTGGACAGACGAACCCCTCCTACAGCGACCCCCTCCTCGAGGCCGTCGACATCCGGCAGATCTACGACAAGTTCCCTGAGAAGAAGGGCGGGCTTAAAGAGCTCTACGAGAAAGGCCCTCAGAACGCTTTCTTCTTAGTCAAATTCTGGGTGGGTTTCAGTTCTCATTATGTGCTGCTGTCTTTAAATGACCGAGTTTATGCTGAAAGTGTTCAACCTTATTTATGTGCAACCTGCTAAGATCATCGTATGGAGTATTATTTGTTATTTCTGCATTATTAGTGTACAAGTATGTGAAAAAACGAGGCAGAAAAAGTAAAGTTTTCTGTTTACTTGAAAACTTGTGCAGAGAGTCTTCCACTTTAGATCTGCAGGATGACTAAATTCAGGTTTTCTCACGACACAGCAGAAGTGGTTTTCTTATCAGGGTTGAAGATGTTATCTGGAGATCACATGAGGGCCTTTCAGAGTCGGTTCCTGCATCCTGTAAACGCCACCATCTCTGTCAGTCTGCTGCACACATTTACCGCCTTAAACTTCCAGTCTCAAGTTGCACAAAAACACAAAACCACTTCAGATGCGGCCTCTTAACTCACGTGTTTGGCCCTCTAACGTAATGATCGTCACAATCTGAGTTTTTTTTTTTTTGCTCTCTGCAGGCGGACTTGAACAGCAGCGGCATGCAGGACGGCCCCGGTTCCTTCTACGGCGTCAGCAGCCAGTACAGCAGCCTGGAGAACATGACCATCACTGTTTCAACCAAAGTCTGCTCGTTTGGAAAGCAGGTGGTCGAGAAAGTCGAGGTAAGTTCATGCACTGTTAAACCGTTTTCTCTTGAACACTCGATATACAGTTTCTCACCACTGAGGCGTGTCATCCTACGTGTTATAGACGGAGTACGCACGCCTGGAGGGAGGGAAGTGTGTTTACAGGATCCACCGGTCTCCGATGTGCGAATACATGATCAACTTTATCCACAAACTCAAACACTTGCCTGAAAAATATATGATGAACAGTGTTCTTGAAAACTTCACGATCCTGCAGGTAACAAACACTGAATTAAAATGACTTTAGCTTTAAAGGGAAAAAAACTTTCTCGTTGACACTCTTCTCTTTCTCCTCAGGTGGTGACGAACCGGGACACCCAGGAGACGTTGCTCTGTATAGCGTTTGTTTTTGAGGTTTCCACAAGTGAACATGGAGCTCAGTACCACGTCTACAGACTAGTTAAAGACTAACAAAACTTCAGGAAGGTTTTTTTGTTTTATGGAAAAGCCACACAGAAGCGTGACACAATCTCTCTCTTCGACCAGCTCAAACATCCAGGAAAAACTCCAAACAGTCAAACTATCCTAGACCGGACTTTTACGGACACATTTTACGCTTTAAAAACAAAGTCTCGTTCGCAGAGGAAGAAAGGAGCGAATCTCATCTTGCCAACACAAAAATGAAATTTTTGAAGAATGACAAATTTTTCGAACAACAAGCTATTTTCCATGTGTTTAAACATGCTTTCAATGAAGTGGGTCAGTTTAGCCGAGGTATTTAAGGGAGATGGAAACGTTGGATTGAGGGAACAAGAAGGTGTGAAGGTTGAAAACACTCTTAAAGTATCTGGAGGAACTTTGAGCAGCGAGGGCGGTGTAAATAAGATTGAATGTGTAGAGAGAGCTGGACCATGGAAGAGAACAAAAAAAAAGAGCCAAGTAGTGTTTGTTTCTTAGAAAAGAAAGTGCCTTTTCTCCAAAGATGATATCATTGCCTGCCACTTTGGATTGCCTTTTATTACTACCTCTTGTTTTTAACAAACATGAAATCGTCAGACAGGTGTCTTTTGTAATTAGATTGGAAATTAGCCTCTCGGTTCTGCATCAGGAGAGGCGGTTTTTGTATTCTGTCACACAGGAATGGGATGAAATCAGAAAATTTCATGTAGCCTGTTATTATTTTCTTTTTTAACATAGAATTTGTCCCACATTTTACAGTCCAAGTGTATAGGGAGAAGGTTTTATGGTGTTACAGTACGAATTTGTTTCTGCATTTTTTTTTTTCCACATTCTGTTACACCGTTTAAAAATCAGGTCTTACAAGCATCTATCTATCGATCGATCGACCGATCACTGACTCTGACACTAAGGATGCCTTGTACAATCACCAGCCTGACAGAAAGCCAGAGCTTTGCCATCCTCTCTCTGAAGACGTGTGCTCAGTTGCACTTACAAGATAGAGAAGTGTTGGGGTGTGAAGCAACAGCAGTGCTTATTTTCTGCCTTGACTTATGTAGCCTAATTGAAAACCCTTTTGTACTGTGAGTCCGTGGATGTTAAAGGAATACGTGTTACATAGGAGTGTATGTTTCTTTTTGTCGGGGGGGTGTGGCCTTTATGTCCATATTTGTGATCAATATCTCAGCACAGAGACCATAGTTTGGAACAGGGGGAGAAGTTAATCACTGTTTCTTTTGTTTAAAAAAGAGATTGTATGCTGTGAAGTCGCCTGATTTGCTTCACTCTTCTCCGTGTAACGTGTGGAGAAGCTGCATATGTTTATAAAAGTTCAGTTTTGATATTTAAGATGATTTTTTACTGACATTACACACGGCATCATTTTGAAATCAAACTTTTAAAAAAAAAGCGTCTTGAATGAGAGCTGTTGTCTCTGTGCTGTGGAGTATGACCATTGATTGTTATTTATGGGGTTGGTAAAGAAATAAGGGGAGGGCAGGAAGGGGGTCTGGAGATGTATTGATCTTTTTTTTTCCATTTGAATGGAGATTTTTTTTTTAAGTATTGCAGGACTCATGTTAAGGACAGAGCTGTCATGCCATGGATCTTGTGAAACGAGTGTCTACTTTGTGTGGTTCACTGGACGATTGTGCGACAAAAATTCAATTTAAAGTTTTTTTTTTTATACTATGGAATAACTGCACCTGGCTTTGAATGTCATATTTCACAAGCTAGACACAATAACACTCCTCCTCCTCCTCTAACAGGTTTCATCTTTTATACAGATCTTTTTTCGCCATTATCAAGATTAATGTTTTTGTTTTTGATTCTGTCGTCTTTTTTGACTTTCGGTGTTTGCCATATGCTTCACTGAAAATAATGTGTGATTGTGCTGATATTGATAATTAATAATGAGATATCTAATGTATCATATTCTGAATGGTGTGGGCAGTTTTTTTGTTGTTGTTTTTTTTTGGTTTAAGGTGGTTTACTGTTGTCTTTGTTACCATTGTGCATTGCAATTTTATACTTCCAAGTAGAGGTTGGACTATGTACTCAAACAAATGTATCTAACAATAAAAGACGCATGGTGCCTTTGGGGCCATTTTCCCCCAGAAAAAACTTATTAAACATGTTTGTAAATTTGTCTGCTTCATGACGGTTCTTTTCACACACATACATATACATATGGAATTTTATATGTTTATAAAATGGTTCAAAAATAAAGACCTTTATAAATTAACTGTTACAGAAAATAATCAACAGGCCAAATGAACCTCTCTATTATAGTGTGGAATTTGCCACTTTTCCACCCACTATGCCTTCTCATGGTTGTATGTATTATACTTTGACAGAAATACACATTAACTACACCCTCTGAATAGTAAACCACTGAAACTAAATGAAATATTCCAATATTTTATCACTTTTTTTAGCTGAAGATCACAGATGACCAAATTTTAACAAAACTGCTGGAAGTATTCTGGTTTATATAATTGGTTGAGTATGTAATAACTCTTCAAAACTGATTAAAAATATATCACTTTTTATAATATTGTACGGTTTTCGGATACACCTGTTTTCAACAGGAACTTATAACAGTAAAAATAGATTTATGGTGCTAAAAATTTAAAGAATTCTTACCTATTATGAGGCTGTAGGTAAAATCTTGACATGAATATTCATCATTGTGGATAATATTAAAGCTTGAAGTTGGTTTAAGTACATTATTTTGTGAAGGACTGCAGCATAAAAGATAAAAATTGGTAATTGATCATTTGATCTTTAATTAATCTGACACACTTAGTTTTTTTTTAATCCAACAGAAAACATGACAAAAATAATTTCAAAAAAATTTACATATGAGAACTAAGAATTTATAAAGGTTTTTGCATCACAGATGATTACAGCAAATAAAATAGTAACTTAAGTCAACTTAATACTCCTGTCAGGAGTTTTTAAAGGTTAATTTAGCTGTGGTATCTTTTATTTTTTTTTTTTATATATAATTATTATTTTAATTTATTAAGGTGGTGATTAGTATTTTTTTCTCATTGTTTTTTTTTATTTTAGTATTATTATCACTATTATTATTATTATTATGCCGTAAAACTGATTTCGGTACAGTGCAAATGATTTCTGCTCATATTTTTAGTATCTCGATTAAATAAACCGTACAAATAGAAGAACTACACTACCCACAAGTCTTCACGGCATGGACTCAAGCCGGAAACTGTTGTCAAGCTAATGAAATGTATGTTTGTTAACATTTTGACGGCGTAAAAAGTACTGATAAAGTACTTTTTTATGATTTTATAGTTAAAGTATTCGCTTGTTAGCTTGTCACGTATTCATAAGTGCGTTGGCGCCGTGTTCCCAATTAAAACGTTATGGGTGAAAAACGTTATCAGCGGCTAAAGTTCGTGTTTTATTTTGAGGTTAAAAATAAAACCGGAGGATTGTTCTGAATATTTTCACTCCAGCCGACTTTACACCGGCTCTATTAGCACGTAGCAATGAAGGAGGAAAAGCCTGTTTGGTTAGTGTGAAGCTGTTTGAGATGCTGAGCCTCGTATGTAAAGTTTAGTCAATAATTCACAGATTTCAGGTGTACTCAGGTTAGCTGACGGAGGATTTCTCATGAAAAGACGGTAACGGCTCTGTAACCGGACATTCCTGTAAACTAAAGCTGAGGTCTGCGGCTCTACAGAGGTGAGTTTAACTGACTGATGAATAAATTATCGAGGTTTAATGTTAAAACTGGAGAGAGAGAGCATCACCGTCTCTGAGACTGACTGACCGGCTAATGTTAACGTTACTGTCACTGTTTCACGTTGACGGCCCGTTTTTACCTCAAAGCTAACGTAAACATAAGGGCAGATTCACGTTTTTTCTCCACACACGGCTGATTATTAATGTAAATATCCGAGCTCTTGGTTAACTCAAACTTAGTCCACCTCGTCCTCTGGATTTGTGACCACCATCAGACATTTTGGGTCTCATGTGACTTTATCTGGGCTGATCTGACTGCAGAAGATCCAGGACACATATTATCTAATACACCACCTTAGAGATGATGATCTCCAGTGTCAACAGTATTCATCTGTCTGTGCTCTCCTGTCTGTAGGAAACAGCTGTCCCTAATGTTGTGGGTGTACTCTCTGAAAACTACTGTTCTACTTCATGTTTAGGTGATGTAATTTAATGTACACCAACCAGTCATAACAGTAAAAACACTCTAAATATCACCTGTAACCTTTTGTTGAAATGGTCAAACAGGTGAAAAAGTTCTTTAAAACAACAGTTTAAGTTTTGGTTTTGTACTGCTGTGTGTTTTATTGATGATTATAAAGAGAAGACCATGTTATTTTTTTTTTTATAGATGCTGATTTATGATTTGGGTGTAAAGAGTTGGAGTCACAGTGTTTTGGTCAGAGTTTGACTTTTAAAGAGGACTGAAATAAGCTGAGTCTTCACAATAGTTTGAGGTCCAGAACTGGAACTGATATTCCAGCTGCTTTGTTTGCATTTTTGGAGCTTACCCTGCAGTTTTAAATGTTTATTTGTTTCCTGCTTTTTTCCATGTCGTCTTGTTGGTGAAGCTTGGATGTTCAAAGATTGATCCCTCTGACTGAAAACTAAACCGTGTTGATCTACAAACCCCAGCTGTGAGATAATCAGATATTAAAACTCAAGCTAACATTTGTTTTTGTCTTCTCACATAAGGAGCTGTCTGAGTCTGAGTCTGAGTCTGAGTCATCTCACCTGATCTGACTCTCCATCATCATCATCATCATCACATACACTGATCCACTGACCTGCTAGCATGGCTAACACAGACTCGGTCAGCGTGCGCGTCTTCTCTCTGAACTGCTGGTCAGTGATTTTTACTCCATTTCTTCTTCTTCTTCTTATATAAATGTCTCAAATCACTCAAATCCTCATCGCCCATCATTCCTCTGTTTCCTCTTTCAGGGGGATCCGCTACGTCAGCAAACACTGTCCTCAGCGCTACGCCATGATTGGAGACTTGCTGTGTAAGGGAGAGCATGACGTCGTCCTGCTGCAAGAGGTCGGTGCAAACCAAAGAAACCACATTACCGCGTCCCTGTTCTGCTTTTATTGAAGCTTGTATGAGTGTTAGTTATTGTTTAAAAAGCTCAGTACTCTTTATTTTCATTGAACTGTTTTTCTTCAGGTGTGGAGCGAGAAAGATTACCTGTCCTTGAAGAAGAAGCTCTCCTGTAGTCATCCTCACTCCCATTACTTTAAAAGGTAACTTTTCTGCTCTCCTCTGTCTTTGAACGTCGTTTAATCTGTGATTAATTTTCGTGTCTGTTATCACTTTAAGGCACATGAAGCGCCTTAGTGTCAGAAAATGTATTTCACAGCATTGATCAGTCTGAAAACGTACCTACGAGGATTAACTCCTGAAGCTTAATTCTCTCTTGACCTCCATACCGAAGCACAAGACTGAGATTTAACAGAAACCCAGACTTTCTAATCCCCTCTGCAGCTCGCTAAAGTGTCAACTCCAGTAGATCAGCTCTTACATCTACCAGATCACACCTGTAATACCGCTGATCCACATCGAGACGAAGGATTTTAATGATTCGATCAATCTGAACTCAGCTGAAGCTGTAGGAAGTGTCGAGGGTTTAACGTCTTCCTCTCTCTTTTTGCAGCGGAGTGATCGGCAGCGGTCTGGCCATTTTCTCCAAATACAGAATCCACGACACGTTTGTTTATCGATACTCGCTGAACGGTTATCCTTACATGGTAAGTCTGCAGAGGCTCGAGACAGCTGAGAATGAACCACTTTATTCAAACAGTTTAAAAACGTTTAACTCATTATCCACCAGAAAGTGTTTCCCCACAGATTTCTCATAATGAAGTGGTCTGAAGAACTCATGATCATAAAAACACATGAAAAGGTCCATGTCTGATATTGTGTCTAAGTTGAGTTTCAGACCCAGATAAAAAGCGGACCAGTCTCCAGTTTCTTCTGTCAGCGATGATAAAAGATTGATTTGAAACTCCTCCTTTAAAGTCCATGTTGTTTTCTTCCTTTTGTCTTTTTCTCCTGATGGTTATTTTCCTGTTTCCTCTTCACACTCAGGCTCACCATGGAGACTGGTTTGGTGGTAAAGCAGTCGGTCTGGCCGTCTTGAGCATCGGTAACCTGACTGCAAACGTTTATGTTACTCATGTAAGCTCTTTCCTTCGATCAGCCCTGCCTCTGTATTTACACACACACACCTCCTGATCCGTCTGCTGACTGTTGCTGGTGTGTATTGATGGTTTTCAGCTGCATGCTGAGTACTGCAGGGACAAAGACTCCTACCTACCTCACAGAGTGGTTCAAGCCTGGGAGCTGCAGCAGTTCATCCGGTACACAACCTGACAGATGAGCCAATATTTGTTTCCTTTGGTTTGTATTTGTATTTCTGAGCTTGACTTCACCTGCTCTTGTTTGAAGTTGCAGAAATATTAAAAGTAACTCCTCCTGACTGTGTTCTCCTCAGTGTGAAGCTCAGGGAAGTTATTCATGTTATTCATTCATTCATCCTTCCAGCCACACCTCTGCTGGAGTGGACGTGGTGATCGTGGGCGGCGACCTCAACATGCATCCTCAGGACCTCGGAAACAGACTGCTGAGGACTTACACTGGACTCCACGACTCGTATTTAGAGACCACGAAATTTGATGTAAGAGTGTTGACTTCATCTGATTACATCTAAGGCTGTGTGATTGTGGCCTTTTAATTTAAGAGAAGTGAAATACACCAACTTCACCGACCAAGATTATGGTGGATAAGAGGCCGGTTGAGCACATTTTAAATGTGTTTTAATTTTGTTTTTTGTGAATGTTAAAATAATTTGTGTTTCAGGGATGTGAGGACGGTTTGACTCTCATCGCCGACAACCCTTTCATCACTGAAAAGGAGCTCGGTCCTTTTGAGAAGGGGATCCGAATCGACTACATCCTGTTCAAAGTACGAGAGAGTTTCATGTTTTATCCTCTGGCTCGGTGTCGAATCATCAATACTTCGTTTGAGTCTTTAACTTTGACTTTTGTTGCTCAGGGTTCTCCAAAATTGGGCATCTCCTGTGATTCCATGAGCACCACCAAAGGCTCCGTCCCCAACCATCCGTTCCCGTACTCCGACCACGAGGCTCTGACCGCTGAACTCAGGCTTAAGCCACGCCCTCTAACTGATGCAGGAGGTGACAACCAATCAAAGACTCAGGACTCAAATGCAGGTATTATTATAAGAACTTTACTCCTACAGATGTTGATGTAATGTCAGAACGCAGCCTTAACTCAGGGACTGTGTGCTTCTAAGACTGATTGCACAACAGCAAAGGTCAAAGGTTATCCCACTTTGAAGACTCCTCCGAATACAATCAGTAAATGTCTCCTACTCTCCCAGGCCCCTGGGTGCATCCCTTTGGACCCAGGATCTTGTGAGTCAGTTCAGTCTAGATAGTGGACTCTGAAATGGAAGAGTACCGCGCTGTAAAACACAGATTTACAAACTTTAGGAGGTGACCTGAATGTGTTTTTTCTCCACCTGCACCATCAGTTTAAAAACAAACAGCAGTGACACTCGGTGGTTGTTTTTTTTGATTCTGCTCATATTTCACAGTTTCACTGTTACCGGCTCACGTCGTTGTGCTTTTGAGAGTTTTTGTGGCGAGTCCCCGATCTCTTCATTTAACATCGAGCTGATGTCTTAGAGCAGCAGTCACTCTGTCTGCAGAGACTTGGCTGTAAAACTTAAGGGTCAGGGTCAGGGTTTCAGCAAAAATAGCAGCCTTGCGTATCTGATCCGACCGCCGGAGCCGATCCGCAGCGGAGCCGGATAGCACTGATTCTGTGGAATGACACACATTGATTATAATGCTTGTGTATTTGATCCGCCTACCGTTCCGGAGTGGAGCGGAGCTGCTCCGGATCCTGTGGGTTTTGCCCATTAGTCCGGTCACGGTATGGAGCCGGTCTGGAAACTGGAATCGTAGTTTGAAGGGAGTCAGTTCACCTCCCAGGAACTGAAAATCAGAATCAGAATCAGAATCAAACTCAGAAGGGATTTTATTGCCATTGTCAATGAACAGGATTCACAGACTAGGAATTTTTTACGGCGTGATGGTGCAACATTTAACGGAGAGAAATATGTAAAATACTAGAATAAAAATTAATAAGAGCATGCAGGACTTATATAAAGTATAAAAGTATAACAGGCTAAGTACAGTGTCCCAATAAATGTGTCCCAATCTGGCATTAGTTCATGTGCAGAAAACTGAATTCGAGTTTGTTTGTTTGTAGGATCCAGTTTGTTCACTTTGGTTTTTGTGTTTGTAGCGTTTTAATAAAAAAAAAAGAATATTATTTCTGGGATTATTTAGAAATGATCGAGGTCATAGTCTTCAGTTTCATTTCAGCGGATCTCTCTTCTTGTGAAAATGCTTCAATAATCTGATCGATGTTTTCACTTTAACCCACAGGTTCATTTTAAAAATATAATCACTGATAAAAATGTTTCAGTTATCCTATCAGGGTGTACGGGCTCACTAATGTGAACACTGATATTTCCTTCTGGCCTGTCTGTCTGGAGTCACGTTCACATTCATCATGTCCACAATAATCTGTAATTTCATTCGTGTTTGAGAGACGAGTCCAACATGAATCACAGAAATGATTAAATGTAATTTTCTGAAGCTAATCCCATCAGGTTGTGTCTGCAGAGTTCAGCTCAGAGGCTGAAGACTCGTTTAGATTCCTGACGTCCTCTTTGTCTCTCCTCCGTGTCCTCAGAGAAGCTGGCTGAGTTGGTGGACATCGTGACGGAGGCTCGGACCGAAGTCAAGGTGGGTCTGCACTGCGCTGAAAGGATGCGCTACACGGCGGCGCGCACAGGAGTGATGGGCTTGGCTCTGCTGATTCTGGAGCTGGCCATCGCCGCTGTGCCCTGGTTAGCTCTGGGGGTGGAGCAACCTTTCCCTCGCACCTCCTTCTACCTGCTGGCCGCGCTCTGCTTCGCCATCCTGCTCAGCACCTTTCTGCTGTACGTCTTCTACACCATGGAGCTGAAGTCCCTGCAGGGAGCCGAAGACCAGATGAGGCTGGCTGTAGGAAGTCTTCAGGAGAAGCTCAGGGGGTTTCCTCTGGCTCAGCCACACGATCCTCAGAGGAAACCCCCAGAGGGCCAGGAGCCCAACGCCTACGCCCCCGAGGAATAAAACAGGAGCCGAGTGGGTCAAAGTGGGCTGAGTGGGAGAATCCCCTGAAGTGAAGCTCTAAGATGAATGTTTCCAAGGAGCCGTCTGCCCTCTGAATGTCTTTTATCCGCTTTAGATTTAGATTTGTGCTGCAGAATGACCGAGTGATGAAGGACTTTTCTGAGAGTAGCGCAGGACACACGCTTTAACACATTTTTATACTTTTGATATCCTCGCCTTTCGCCTGTGCTCACCTCTAGAGTTCCCTTAATGCACCTCAGCAAACACGCTGCCTGTTACATGGTTTACTCCTGTCCTCCTCCTTCTCCAAGACCAGAAATGTGATGATCTGTGTTTGTTTTTTAAAGTCTGAAGTCCCAAGTCTTTCATTCCTCCTACTGGAAGTTTGGGTGGGACCAGCTGTTTCTGTTTTTAACTCCAGTATTCGTGATTTAGATAGAAGCCAAAACAACTAAATAGTTTCCAAGACAGCTCCTTTATTTACTTACAGAGAGTAAGTATTCACTGCATGAAGTTTTACATTTTAGTCAAGAACATTTGTATGATTTCTGCAGGACAGATCACTGAGAGCTTCCAGCAGCACTGTAATACAGCCGTTCAGATTTTACAGTATAACACTGTAAAAGAAAATAAGGACAGACTCACTCCTCATATTTCTGTTCTCATGTCACTTTAAAGTCTCTCAAAGACAATCGACACTCCTCTCCCTGAACAGATCGCTGTAGGAATGCACTTAAGTCTTAAAAACTTTAAAGCTTACCTTCTTGCTTGTTTTTAGAAGACGTGATGTACTGTGTGGAAAAGTTGTTACTGCTTATTATGTCTTTAGTGTGCAGTGAACTCACCTGACTAACCAGACAAACCACTTCCCTTTACCTTTACTTCAAAATAACTTAATGTGATTGATGATTTGATATTTGATTCCTCACTTTAATTCATAATGTTCACTCTGGTTGTCAACTGTGATGGGCATTATTATGAAAGCAATAATAATAAAGATTTTATTCTCATCCCTCTGGACTGCTGTGGTGACCGAACTGCAGCTGATACACTCTAAAATCTTCACCTGATTCACAGCAGGTCTGCTCCTTCACCACTAGAGGGCGATATTGGTGCAAAAGCCAGTCCACGGAGCAGCTCTCTTTCTAAATGAGACACCAAACTGGCACCTGGACAGCAACAACAACACTGAAGGTAACATGAGAGAAGCTGCCAAATTAACCAGATCCCACAAACCAGCTGGCACATCTGCACCCTCAGGGTAAGAGCTCTCAGGGTGTGGTACATTTCAGTTTTTTTCCTCCTGCACAAGTTTTATTATCACATTTAAAGGAGTCATAAAGGTACCTGTCACTATTGGATGAAACAGAAACAACTTCACTTAATGAACAAATCCTCACCCTGTTCTGTTTGTTATGTTGTATGTTTTGTGTGCAGTTGGCACATATGTTTGTTCAGTATTACAAAAAGAAAACTTTAATCAAAAGTAAATGAAAACAGAAACAAAAAGGAAGCTGTTAGACCTCAGTGCTCTCAGACCACATTAATCCTCATTGTTTAAGCATTGACATCGAAACAGAACCAGATGAATAATGTCACAAGCTTTCTTGCAGCAAACTGAAGTATTTATTCAAATGTTTGACAAAATCAGACTCTGAAATTTAAAGGATTTTTAAAGTATCCTGAGAGGACAGGCGAGGATCTGAAGAGAGGATCCAGTGTTCAGACATGTTAACCTCATCAGGTTAATGTTAATCTCTTTGATAGACATGTCGTACAAACACACAATTATTATTTGTTTTATTCTATTATATTTAAATTGTCACAAATTATCCTCTTTTTTAAATTAAAATCTATTTTGATGATGAAATCATATCTAACTTTATGGTAAAATAGTTTATTTGATTTCAGTGTTTCTGGTGGAGGGTCAGCTCACTCTTCCTCTCCTTTTTTATTTTTTTATTCTTTTACATCTTTATGTCATTTATCCTGTTTTCAGGTGTTCATTTTATTGTATACCGATTTTACAACATGTATGATAAGTTAAAGCTGAAGTTCTTCATGTGATATGGCTGAAATGAATAAATGTACGAGCACATATTTCTACGGTGGCCCAGAGGGTCAAATGCACAAACATTACATGTAAACCAAAAACAGTTCATAGAATGTAAAAATATTTTATAAAGCACACAAAAAAGTGATAAATGTGAACATTTTTAATTAGAATTTTTAATCAAATGACAGAAATATCGACATTTCAGAAAAAATGACAAAAATATTACACTGAAAAAACAAACATAAAAAAAAATATCAACAGTTAATAAAGCCCAAAACATTTTTTTTAAAACAAACCAAAAATAAATCAGTTTATGGGACAAAAGTAAGTCACAAAAAAATGTACATAAAAAAACATAAAAAGTGTCTCATTAAAGTTAGGAGTATATTATGAAAAACAAAAACAATTCGTAAAACTCTGATAATAAATGAAATGTGAAAAATGTTTATTGAAAAAGAAAGGGTTAACAAAAATTTTAAGAAAATTAATTAAATGTAAAAAAAATTCTACCAACATACCGTGTTTGCAAATGTTTTTGTATTTACTGACATATTTTTAAAAAAATATTAAGTATTCAACGTGTTTAGTGAAATGTTTTTGTTTGTGACCTTTAGGGCCACCGTATATTTGCTTCTGTAGTGTTTTTTTATTTCTGCCTTTAGTAGAAGTTCTATCATTGTTTCCTTCAGTTAAAGTATAAACACAATGCAAAAATACTGTGCTTTACAGGTGAGTGTTACAACCATCCCTGATCTCCCCTATTCCTCAAAAATCTACACATACAGAAAAGTTTGAAGTGGAAGAAAATTTACATTTACAGGACATTTACCTCAACCAGGGAGCCACAACTCAACATCTTTACATCAGTGATAAAAATGTTATGTCATATTTCCCGTCATGCAGAGTCATAAATCGGTCACATGGCCTATTTACTGCTGAACAAGTATTTTTTTATAATGCTGATAATGTTGTAGATTTTACCACATCTGCGTTCATGTTTAAGTTGGATTTTTCAAGTTTGTTTAAAAGTAAATTAAAGATGACACTTTAATTTTAAGCTGTCTCCCTCTAAAGTCTTTTATATAACCAGAGAAGACATTAATCTGTAAATTAGTGACACACCGAGTGAAACACTGAGGTGGAGTAAAAGTGTCCTTAATTGCACTTTGGTAAAGAGTTACTTTACAGTATTTCCTGGATGTGTTTGCCCCACGGGATCATGTTAACCAGCCTCACAGGTCCATCATTAACCGTGGATCTGTCACGACAAGTCAGAGAAAGTAGTGAGAGTGTGAGTGGGTGAGTGAGTGCCACCCTCAGTTTGGTCTCGCAGGCGTTTGTGTGTTTGTGCCTGCCTGTCTGGGCGCGGTCTAATTCAGCAGCAGGGCAGGGCAAGGTGCGCTTTTATTGCTGCAGACAAACTCACCGACACTGCGGGCGGACTGGCTTCCTGTTCCAGCCTCCTGTGGACGTTTTTACTCGGAGATCCAAACGGACAGTTGGTTAAAAAATGGCGAGTCTGGACCCACGGATAGTTCCTGCAGACTTCACGACTCTGGACTCGCGGATGCTTCTTAAAGACTTCACGTCTCTGGCTCTGCCGTCTGAAGATGAGATGAGATCAGGACAACGGAGAGTCATGGATCAAGTGAACTCCATGAGGAGGACCAAGTCGAGACACTCCAGCAACAGGAGCGGGTCCACCTCTATGTCCCCGACAAGTAAGAGCTGACAAGAGTCCACTGTCTCCTTGACCAGGGTCAAATTTAGAGGTTAAATCTGTTTATTTGGAGGGTTGGAGGATCATTGAGGGACTTAGGAGGAACTCTTCAGGGTTACTCCAGTCGACCTTTTGTTCTATAAAACAAACAAGACTGGACCTCAATGTTGGGGATCAAATTAACTTTTTAGCAGAGCCATGCTGTCTCATAGTTTCCTAAAATGTCATCTGGACATAATGATGGGAGTTAATCCTTGGAAATTGAGACAGATTTTTCAGTTGTGGTCCAGGCAGCTGAACTGTTTGAAGAATCATCTGGGACCATTTTAAAGTCCTGAACATGATGAAGTGTGGTCATACAAAGGTCAGTTTTTAAGATGGTGTTAGTCTGTTTTAGTCTGTTGTAATTATCTTATTTCTAAGGCAGTGTTTGTGTTATTTCTTTGATAAAGAAATGAGTAAATCCAGGTGTGAAAACCTTTTCCTTTGGAGAAGGCCTCATATGACCTCTCACACTTCGGTGTTCAGAAGTCAAATTTACAGGATCTGTGTTTAACAACTGGATGAGATATACTGAAATACAAACAAATCAAAAGACAGGTGGACTTTGTTGAAGGTCTTGACTGTAGTAAAAGCAAATCTAATAAGCTGAACTCTAAAACTAAAGGTCTTTAAGGACCTTGACTAAACATCATTACCTTTTAAATTCGACTTCAGACGACAGAGTCCCATCTTAAACCGATAAATGGAAGTTTGACAAAGTGGACATCAGTCTGTGTCTGCTGATTGGAAAATTACTAATTTATGCAAATCACTGCAGCAGGCAGCCTCATCTGTCAGGTAAGGTTAATGTCCGCCTAAGTGAGGAGACGTGTTTCCCTTCTTAAAAGACACCACATCAAATCTGTCACAGTTACAGACCAGTGTTTAATATCTGTGATGTTAGAACGATGCAGTTTAATATCACTTCTGACGTAAATGTCAGTCGTGCTCTGAAATCTATTTATGGATGAATTACTTCTTAAATGTTATAAAACTGTTTTAAAAATCAAATTCAAAAACAGCAACAACGGAGTCATATCAGCATCCTTCATCGGCCGCTGGCTGACCTCCTCAATATCGACCATATAAAAAACAATATCAGTCAACCACTAGTTTGAGTCTGAGCCCCTGCAGTCTACAGGAGGAAACCCCAGACTGTCCCCAAAGGCAGTGAGTGTGTGACTGTGATTCATACTGATGAGCTGCAGGTGGTTAAAACACTAAGAGGTGGTTGACCGATTACAGTTTTCCGACGGCCGATACCGACACCGATAATGAGAGAGCAGGTCGGCCAATAGCAGCCGATATCACGTGTTGTTTTTACTTTCCTTTTTTTTATGCATTTGACACAAATGAGAAGCAAAGTTAAGAAAAAGGCATTGTGGACATTTGCCCAGAAAAAAAAACTAAAAAGGATAAAGATTTTAAAAGTCATGTAGAAATCTGTGATTTCATGCACTTAAAAATCAAATATTCATTCTTATCTCAGCCAGTTAGATGTTTTAAATAGATGTTTAATAGGGATAGATATAAGGGTCAGTGCTGATATGATACTGATGACTTTAAAATGACATTAATCAGAGTCTGTCTCTAAAACTAAGACGACTAAAGCGCCTAACAGTCCGTTTCCTATTTTTAATCTTTGAGAAACAGAAACTCCAAAGCATGTTGGTTCTGAACAGCTGACCTGCAAGAAATTTTGTGTTTAAAAATCAATAACAAAAACAAATTTCACTTTTTTTTTTTTTTACATTAAACTGGATTTAAATCATCCTGAGAATAAATATCACCGTAAAATCTGAAAATTTGAATAAACAGCTTTAAGAGGGTTCAAGTGTTTTTTTACTTGATTTGTTATTTAAAAAAATTAGTGATAAATAAATATATGTATAGTACTTTCTTGTTTATGGTGAACAGGTTACAGTTTTGATCAAAGTAATAAATAAATCAGTGATAAATAAATATATGTATAGTACATGTATTTGGTCAGTTCATGTTCGCTGGACTTCATCAGTTTTTGGAATAATTCAGATTCCTTTTTAGTGAATGTAAAAACGTGAAAACATTAAACAGCTTCATCATAACCTAAAGATTAGACTCTTTGCAAAAGAGCTGACCAGGCAAGACCTCCTTCTTTATCATTAATCAGAGGTGATCAATCAAAGGTATTGAACAGCTGATCCACCTCCACGTCTCTCCACAGGTCCTACGTACGACTCCGTGTTCGGAGACGGCTCCAGGTTCGGTGCAGCTAATGGAGGTGCCTTCTTTGGAAATAGATTTTCCAGGGCGGTAAGTTGTAAAGCTTATCTGTTATTTATTTCACCGCCAACTGATGAACCCGTCACGTCTTTTATTGCCGTCATCACGGTGACATGAAGGATCACTGCTGTTGTAGAAACCACCGCCGCAGATATGAGACTGAAGCTCACGTCAAAAGACTTTTTACTGATTCAAGAAAGAGTTTCTTTTCCGACAGATGACACAGATGTTGTGTTGTTTGAGTGATTTTTATCCCTCTTATTTTTTTGTTTTTAAATTAGATTTTTTTTGGCTGATAAAATAATATGTTTTAGTGAAGGAAAGGTTACTTAATGTCTATTTTAAAGCTGTCTCCTCAAATCACCTTAAAACCACTCCCTTCTCTATTTTAAAATATACTTTTAACTTTCTCCTTCAGCTTCTTTATGTGAGGATTAGGTCCGTCATATTTTTAAGATATTTACCTCATGATTATCATCAACATAAAATGTCTTATTAATAATGAAAATAGAGTGATTTTAATGGAAAATTAAAAAACAAATGGAGGAGGGCAAGGCAAGGGAGGAGTAAGACATTCAGACATTTCTTCTTAAACCTTACTAATAAACGCAATTAGGAATTACATCATCCTTTTTATAATTAAGTTCAGTTTTATTATTCATCCACATCACCTGCCTATTTGAACAATTGTTAATCGTGCTTTTATTTTGGTAATTTTTCTGCCTTGTGTTAAGGTTGTGTTACGTCCTGTGTCATTGCTTTTATTTTGAAGGACAGAAACTCAGGTAGATCAAAAAAGTCAGAAAGTGTAATTTTTAGTTTAATTAGTAAATCCAAGAGCAACAAAGTCTCAAAATTGTTGTTAGATTCATAATAAATGTTTTTATTTGTTTATTTTAACACTTTGTTTCGGACACAAAGGCAGTCCACAGAACAATAAAAAATATTAAATTAAATAAAAACACACATATATCCACAGAAAAGCACTTTTTCAAAGAGCTTTAATATTTATAAAAATACAGTTTATTATGACAATTACGGAAAGTATGTAATTAATTATCTAAGGATCAGCCAAACTAATCTAATCCACCTTTATTTGGATTAGATTAAAAAACAACACGGTTACCAAAGTGCTGCACAATAGATAAAATATAAAAAAAGACCCAATGAAGTTAAAATACAGTAAATTAAGAGCAGATAAAAGAAAGAAAAAAGACATAAAATCAGATAAAATGTTAGGAAATATAAAAAACACAATAAAAGACAGAGACCACACAACCCGCATGTTTCTAAATCAGATTTATCATGACCCCGACTATTCTCTTTAATGATACCTGTACTTTAAAGGAACTTTGCTGTTTCAGATATGAGTATTTCTCCTCCTCCTCCTCCTCTTGTACTAAAGACACACTGAGTCCTGACTCCCAGTTCACAGAGGTGACCGAGGTTTCCCCCCACAGCTGTTGCTGAAGTATCACTAAAACTAAGACCAGTAAACAACATTTCTGTCGTCCCTGTTTGACTTTTCTTCACCAACATCTGTTTCCAAACTTCCCAGGTCTCTCTGGCCTGTCAAACAAAAATGCCTGTACCATCTTTCCCAGAGAAGCTGCCAAAAGTTCATCAAACCAGCATGCGTTGCTGAGCACAATCTTTCTCAATTTGATTCCCCTGATTCGTGCCAGTCACTCCGTCTCCTCACTTGACATGAGCTTTCATTAAGACAGATGTATGTTTTGGCTCCACAGCTCAGCCTGGAGAGGAGCACCAGCCAGCAGGTTGTCCACAACAACAACAGAGGATCCACCATGAAGAAGATCACAGCTTCAAACTATCGGTATGACAAGAGTTTAGGTGCAGCCGGACAAGCCAACACCAGCCGCAGTGAACCCGATCTGGCCTGGCAGCGCTATAAAACCGTGTCTCCAAAACGCTCAGTGCCTCCGCAGAGAGTCCTCTCCAACATGAGCACATACCGGGTCGAAAGGTCCAAGAGTCAGCACATGAACAGCACCCAATCCCACCCGCAGCTCCAGACTCCCGTTCAAATTCAGAGTCAGCTGAGGGTTCAGACTCAGCCTCAGAATCAGAGTCAGGTTCAGACCCAGATTCACTCTCAGAGTCAGCCTAAGTCCCCGACCCAGCCCCAGCCCCAGCCCCAGTCGGGCTTCATCACCAACGGCACAGTTCTGGCCAAATCCAGCATCAAGGTCGTGACCTCCAAGTCTGGAACGGCAGACATCACCATGAAGGAGGCTGTGGAGTATCTGTCCAGGGATAACGAGTCGTATCAGCACTGCGGGGCGTCCTACATTCAGCACAATACTTTCATTGACGACAAAGCCAAAGAGGAGGTACTTCTATCTCTCTTATCTTATCACTTTGGTTTGGCTGTCAATCATTTCCATCTGGGTGTAAAAATGGAGGGAAAATTACTAAACAGAATTCCTGCCAGAAATTAATTCAGTGGTTTTCTTCTCACACTGCGTTGGCCCAGATTCTGCTGACATGTATGAGCGTGTGCTGAATTTGGATTTGAAGGAAAGTCAGAATCTCAGAGTGAATTTTTCTTCAGATTAGGTGTGACTGTCACGGTTGGACTGACCAGTTTTGAAGCCTGAGGCAGAAATATGTCTTTAAGTTCCTGTTTGTCGCCTCGTGTGTGACTGTTTCTACCTTTCCTTTCAGAAACTCACCACCCTAACATTTCGTTTCTTAATACTCTGGTGTTCTGTTGGTGGTTTTACACAGTTAGATTTATTGTTGAACGTGCACCACAAAATGTACGGTAAAGTTGGGTTTATGGTTCCGGATTATGGTGGCTCTGAAGGTCAAATGCACAAAAAAGATCACATTGCAAAAATAATAAATAGCAATTCATGGGGATCAAGTGGCCCAGCAGTTTTAAGTGCGGACCCCACAGTTCGACTCCGAGCCATGACAGCGAGCTTCATATGTTCCACTCTGCTCTACTTCCTATTTCCTGTCTCTCTTCAGACGTCTAATAAAACAAAGGCAAAATGTCAACAAAAAAAACTTTTAATTCCTAAATAAACTAAATAAAACTAGTTTATTATAAAATTAAGTTTGCAGTAAAGTTTCATATATTGAATAAATAGTTAATCATGTGCAAAACTATTAAAAAAGCAAAAATATAGCGTTGAAAATCTGCAAAATGTAAAGAAAAACAAAAAAATCAATAACACACAAAAAAGATGAACAAATCCCTAAAATACAAAAATATTTTATTAAGAATTAGTTTTTTCTTTATGTGAATTTTTGACTATATGGGAAATGTTTTTGTAATTTGTTGGAATATTTTTAGTGTTTTATTGAATATATATATATATTTTTTTTTAAAGGTTATGCTTTTTGAGATTTGTTTTTTGTACGTCATGAAATTATTTATTCTTTATTTTTGTTTTATTCTGAAAGGGGCCAAATACGATACTAGACATAAATATTTACCTAATAGACAAAAGTCTTTTATTTCCATGGTTGTTTTTCTCCATATAAAACCAGTACAAGTTCTGTTTTTGAACTTCAGGGCCACCGTACTTGAGACCACAGTTAGTACTAATCCTCTCTTAAAGTTAAAGTCTAAATTGATTATCTGGTTATTTTAAGCCATCTGATTGGTTTATATTGCAGATGCATCTTTGTGAACCACAGTGGAGTCTCTCTCAGCTGATATTGTGTCTTTTATAAACAAACATCTCAGGGTAAAAGACCTCAAAGTTTCATATTTTACAGTGAAATTAACAGTTTTTTTCTCTTTAGTCTTCTACTCTGTAAATTATCCGTTAAAGCCATTACATGTCCAGTCCAGCTGAATTCATCGGCTTTTCTCGTTCTGTGTTTAAACTTCTGAGACAAAACTGTATTTGTACACGGACCCTCCTGGGTGCGATAGTCTAGAAGGAAGGAAACCGACTCACAATACCCCGGGATCGGTTCCTTTCAACCTAACAGCTGATAACATTAGTGAGGGTTAGTGAGTCTGATTCTCACAGACAGAAAACTTTGTCAAACATGAACGATTCTTTCTCTTCAGTGGCTGTTAACATAAGGACCTGCTGAGACATGAGCAGTATTCAGAGTTTATCCAGACGTATGGAGCAGGTGAACCTTATCTAGGATAAACTCCCGTGGACCAGCCCTCCTCGGCGCTCTCTCACAGCAGAGAGCACGTCGTAGTAAAATAGCGAGCTCGGTTCAAATGAGGTCACGCTCCACAAAACCGCGGAGCCCCGCCTGAGCTGCTCCTCGCTCCTCTGTGGGATTTCACAAACATGCAGTCATGTTGGTGAGGTTTTATTCCCCCTGCAGTTAAAAGGCTTCACATTTCTCTGCTGACTTTTTGACTTCAGATCGTTTAGTCAGACATGATGACAGCTAACTCTCCTCAAACTGCGTCTTTTTGGATTTATAAAACAGTTAAAACAGCCAAACGACCTGCTGTCCAACTTTGATTATTAAAGCTGCTCGTTTCATACAGGTTAAGTGTGAAAGAAGAGACGGTTACAGATTTAACCAGGTCCCGCTGAAGAGTCACTCATGTCTGTGTTGGTATTTCGAACTCTACCATCCACTTCAACATGCATTAATTTTATTTTGTGCATTTTCAGAGGACAGTGACAGAGAGATTAATAATAGATTAACAAACCAGGGTGTCGTTTGAGATCACAACAACTCTCATCAGGCTGGTTTTTTAACATGAGAAGGCAAACAGGATTAACTGAGTGTGTGTTCATGTGAACGAGGCAGAGTTGGCAGCTATGATCGATCAATAACAGGAAGAAATCTGCTTTTAGAGGATCGTCATATTTCACTAACTTTGATTTTACAAAATATGAAGATCCAGACTGAAAGCGTCACAGCTGTGTTCACAAAATGAAAAAAGTTTCCCCATGTCTTTGCTGATTTTTTGATAAATTTCTCACCGTACTTGGTTTTACTCTGATAGATAGATAGATAGATAGATAGATAGATAGATAGATAGATAGATAGATAGATAGATAGATAGATAGATACTGAATAAGACAAGAGAATGAAAAACAAGATTTAAATATATGTACATGCCTTAAATAGAACAACTGAATACAAGATAGATATACTACATAAATATATCGCTTATATAAATTTCAATTGTGGAAAATGTGAAAAAGAGGCTTTTTTAGTTTCATACAGTCAACCTACGCTAACATCTGAGAAGTGTTTTTTCCTGAGTCTCTGTTCAGAAATGATCGATCCTGTCCTTCTCTCACTTTGGTTGATCGTTTGTTTTCATTTTAGTGGAGGAGAGAAACACACCGACCATTCATTCATATTTTATAGGTCTAAAATTGTATAGCTGATGGTGAAATGAAAAGTCAGTAGGTTGAATTTTTCCAAAGATGACCTTTCACCCTGAGCGTCACCTGCTCTGGAGCAGATTAAAGTAAACTCATTAAAAACCAATCCTGCTTCAGTTTCCTACTTTTCTCACTTTTCACTGCAGCTTTAAAACTGTCATGTGTTTTCTGAAGGCCCTCTCTAACCGAAGTATCATAAATTTAGTCTTTATTCCATTTTTCTCCTGTCAAATGAATTTCTGTCAATATTGTAATGATTGTTTCCTTCTGCTGTCTGAACTCACACACCCTCTCTCTCCTCTCGTCTCTCTCTCCCTCTCTCTCCTCTGGTCTCTCAGGTCCAGAGGCTCGGCGGGATCCCTCCTTTAGTGAACCTCTTGCGCAGTCCCAGTGTGCAGGTGCACCAGACGGCCTCGGCCGCCCTCCGTAACCTGACCTTTAAGAGCAACTCCAACAAGGAGGCGATACAGCGCTGTGGGGGGATCACACAGGCCGTGAGTCTGCTCAGAGAGACCGACTCAGTGGAGATCCAGAAACAGCTGACAGGTAGAGGTCCACTCTGAAACGTACAACCATCAACGTGTAGTTTGTTTACGGACATTTTTCTGTGCTGTATAGACAAAGAGGAAACCTGAAAGCAGATGAAAGTTTTCCTGTTTTCAGTCTGTTGAGAGTTAAACCTACAAATCTTTAAACACGTCAACTTGCTGCTGTGTTAGCGGTGAAGATCATGCTGATTTAGACACAAACGCTCTGTGGTCAAACTGTCAGAACATCTGGAAAATCTCGTTCTCAATCTGTCCTCAGTATCAACAACAACCCAGTTTTCTTTGTTTTCATGTCAAAGGACTCAAATGTAATCAGCGGCAGTGATTTCTGAAGTATTTGATGAGTAGATAACCATCACTCTTTCTTTTCTTCTCCTCAGGTCTCCTGTGGAATTTGTCCTCTGTGGACAGCCTGAAGCCGGACCTGCTGGAGTCTGCTCTGCCGGTCTTAATGGAGCGTGTGATCCTGCCTTACACAACAGGTCCAGAGCGGACCAACACCGACCCCGAGGCCTTCTTTCACGCCACCGCATGTCTAAGGTAAACAAGAAATCAAACTTTAGCAATCAATATTTACATGTTTCTTGGTTTTAGCTGCTAAATCATTGTCCGTTTTGAATATAAGACTGTGACCCGCGTTCTTGACTGATAGTTTGATTCATGCACCAGGATTCTGTCTAAAACTGTCTGTGTTTTTGATGAATGTTCCCTGCAGGGGTTATGTTTGTTTCTATATAATTATCTGCATGAAAGCAGGTTTGTGGTGAGTCAGGCTCGATGTAAACAGTGTAGGTAATTACAGACTTGACAATATTATTAAAGGGCCCAAATTAAGTAAAGTAAGCAGGAAGAGTGTAATACTGCAGCAGAGACAACACTGTGAATAAACACAGGAGCACTCTGAGTTTTAGCCCCACAATCCAACAACAGTTTAAAGGGATATATAACACACCGGAACACTGAGTCACACACCCCCTCCAGAGATGAATGTTGCCGACCGCTTGCTTCTCTAGTTATATCAACTTTAGTAACGACCACATTATCATTATTATTATTATTATTATCTATTATGTAAGGGTGGCTTCATGATACAGATTCCTCAAACTGACCGTCAGGCTTTATCGGCTCTTCTTTGTGAAGTCGGTCTATTAAATGAGCATCAATCAGTTTATTGTCAAAGATAATAAGAGATTAATATTAAAGCCGGTCTGCATGTACAAACACATGAGAGTAATATTAAACATTGGACCCACTTCCTTGGAAAGCTGTCACTGTTTAACTTCCCTGATGCTGTCTCTGAGTCACTGACGCAGGCGTATGAGATTATGAGTGTTTGTTTTTCGCCTAATATCGTTTCCATATCAGACAATGTTCTCACCACTCCCTCTTTTCCCTCTTTCTCTTTAACAAACGGCTTTTACAAACATTCAATCAGAGCAGAGAAAACAAACGTTACCGCTCCTTGTAGTATTGATGGTAATATTTACTAAAATGTTCTTTGAATACGATCTTTTGTCCGAGTCAGTCACTTTATTTGTAGAGCGCTTTCAAAGTAAAAAAATGCTTTAAACCAACAAACACAACCTACAGAAGTCAAAATAACAACAAAAAACACACTGAAGTACATGTTTAAGTAGAAAATAGAAACTGTTTTGACTAACTCAATGATGTTCGCGGCTGAATACTGTTTGATGTATCCAATCATGTTTACTCTCTTTGTTTCCATAGAAACATCAGCAGCTCGCAGCAAAACAACAGACAGGCCATGAGGAAATGTCGAGGTCTGGTCGACTCTTTGACCGGTTATGTTAAAGACTGTGTGGAGGCAGGAAGAACAGACGACAAGGTGAGCGGAGAGAAAATCTACATCCTCTTTCTTTCTCTTTCTCTCTTTTCCACTTTGTATTTTTCCTTCTTTTACATCTTTGGCCGGAGGATCCTCAGACCGGCTTAAAAAAACACGCCTTTTTTTAAAGTTTCCACATCAAATTTGAACAATATGAATGAATAATACAAAAAGATTATTTTTGCCACAGGGGGCGCCAAAACTGACTAAAATCTAAAGTTCCCCATGGGAGCTTTAAGTTTGTTTTTAACCCTCATGAATATTATTTCTTACTCCTTTATATATTTATATATATACTGAATGTCTTCATTAGTTAGAGAAGTGTTTGATTTTCAGACGAGCGTGTAAATTTCAGGAGTGGTCTAAAGTTACAGGAACACCTGCAAACACCTTTATATGACGCAACACAACAGGCTGTGGTTAAAAGCTTCAGAACAAAATGAAGATTTTTCCATTTTTGAGTGAAACAGGATACAAAACACACACATAGATACACACACACACACACTCACACACACACTGGTGTCACCCTGAGGTTAAGAAGTGACCCTCTGTCATGCTGTGTTGAAACAGTCCGTCGAAAACAGCGTCTGCATCCTGCACAACCTGACGTTCAAGCTGGAGGACGAGGCTCCGGGTCTGTTCAGCAAGATCACGGCTTTGAGCAAGAATTTCAAAAAGGCCCAGGCTGCAGGGGACACCGGCCCCATCGGCTGCTTCAGCCCCCAGAGCAAATCCCCAGAACAAGAGGTGAGAGACAGAGACAGAGAGCTGCGACAGAGAGCCGTGACAGAGAGCTGTGACAGAGAGCTGTGACAGCGCATATTGGCTGGACCTACAAGTACCTGTCAGTCTGTGTAAACAGCATCTGTCAGTGTGCAGATTGATGTTAATCCTATTTCTCAGAGTGACTCGTCCAGTAATTGTAATAATATGGCAGTTATGATTACATTAAAGCTTTTTAATGGTTTTGCATTACCTTTAAGACGTGTATATTAGTATCTTATATCATCTACGCTTTAATTGGATCGAGTTTACTTTCATGTTTGCAGAGAAGTGCGCCTCTCGAAATGAAAATGAGTATTTTTCCTGAGAAGGTACATGCCAAAGATGATCTCTCCCCTTTTTTTGTCCAGCGCCACTTTGACTTCCCAGTCGTGGAGGATCCTCATCCTAATGGAGCAGGTTGGCTCATTCACTCCCAAACCCTGCAGAGTTACCTGTCGTTGCTCGCCACCAGCCAGCGAGAGGAAACACGGGAAGCATGCTGCGGAGCGATGCAGAACCTCACAGCCGGAGATGGAATTGTAAGACAAAAACAAATCAGACATTTTTTAGACATTTAAAGAAATTCTTAGACATTTTTTTGGACTTTTTTTAAAGAAATTTTAAGACCTTTTTTTGACAATTTTGGACTTTTTAAAAACTTTTTTTTTCCACATTTCAAGACCTTTTTTGGCCTTTTTTCGACATTTTTTTGGCATTTTTTTGGCATTTTTTGGACATTTTTTGAAGACATTTTAAGACATTTTTAGACAATTTCTTTTACCTTTTTTAAACATTTTTTAAGGCAATTTTTAGACATTTTAAGATGTCTTTTAGACATTTTAAGAAATTTTTTGGACTTTTTTTTAAAGACATTTTTTAGACATTTTTCTGACTTTTTCTTTCCTTTTTTTTCCTTTTTTAGGAGGTAAACTTCTGCTCATAGTTTGTGCTTGAGTATCTGTGCACATGCATGCCCTTAACTCCGTGTGTGTTATTGGTCTTGCAGGTCTCTGCTGTGATGAGCCAGACTATTGTGCAGAAACTGAAAGGCCTGAAAGTTATAACTCCTCTTTTGAAGTCTAAAAAAGTCAACCTGCAGAGAAACGCTGTGGCTTTGGTAGGAAACCTGACCAAGAACCCAAACCTGCATAATAGTCTTGGTAAGAACAAGTGTGATGGAGTTTTGTCTCTCCAAACCCTCTCTGCTGCCTGTTTTGAACATAAAGTTTGAAAGCTGAGAAAATACTGAGAAAACGCTGTCACAAATTTCTCCCCTTCAGGGTAAATCTGTCATTTTTATCGCTGATGTGCAGTTTAACAGATGCTTTCAGGCGCCTAACAGCCAGTGGGTTTCGTTTGTCTTGTTTCTGAAGCTCGTAAAGCGCTCCCCGAGCTGGCAAGCATCGTCAGCGCAGGCACCAAGGAAGGGAACGAGTCTGATGACACTCTCGCCATGGCCTGCCAAACGGCCAACGTCCTGTTTAACAAGGATCCGGAGAGTACCATGCACCTGTTGAACCCCGTGCTGATAACCTCCCTGAATGAGCTCAGCCAAAACGGGTGAGGCTGCTCACCAGTTAAGAGAGAATGTACCTGCATACGTGCTCGATAAGATAATGAAAGATGCGGGTTTTCTTTTGTCTGCAGCCCTGTTAAAGAGCTTTAACTCTTGTTTCTCCTCCCTGTAGATATTTCTCAAAGTCGAAGAAAGCTGCAGCTCTGCTCCTCTACAACCTGTGGTCAGAAAAAGATCTGCAAAGCTTCCTCAAAAAGGTGAGATGAATAATAACCTTCAGTGCCAAGATCTGTCTGGGTTTGGGTGTGTCCTTTTCTGTTTGTTACCCTCAACTTAAGAACCCACACCTCTCTCAGGTATTTGTGAGAAACAGACGGGGAAAGGAAGAAGGATTAGGGAGAGTTTAGAGTGAGAACACTGAGGTAACTCAGCGGAGGAATCTAGCAGCTCAGGTTCGAGGAGGAAGCGCACATGGGACCGTGTTAGCAGATACATGTTACTACTTCTGCAGATGCACACATGTTTTACACTAAGTGTGTTTAATAGTGTTCACAGACACCCTGACGTCATCCACCGTGGCTGCCGTACAGTTGTTGTTTTGTTTTGGTTTTTTTCTGGGCTATAAATCAACCCATCCGGGGGAAAAGGGTGGAGCAGTCGAGGACAGAGGGTTGGGAAAGATAAAATATCAAAGTTGTGCAGCCGTTGCCTGTGGCTGATTCATTAACTGGTGAATTATCCTCTCGACTATTGTGTTTCCCACAGAATGAGGCTGCGTTTGTAGTGGTAACCGAGCGGCGTTATTCGGGCCGAACAAGCTCACCGTGAACCAAATAATTACTCAGAAGAATGTATTTAATTATCATGAAGGACAGATGTCCTCCTACAACAACAACCCTGACCGTCAATAATGAAGAACCAGGAATTAATTAGAGAACAAGTGAGTGTGGTGAGCACTGACCCCGAAAACCTGCTGATCGACTCTAAAATGTGTGAGTCTGTGTTGGTGAACATCCTTAAACCTGTGCTGAACGGTTTAACCAGTAACAGCCAAACTGGTCTTTCTTTTGAAGATATTAAAGTCGCTAGTTTGACTGATTTTAGGATTTTTTTAATTGTTTGTGAGGAGATCAAGGACCTGCTGAAAGATCGTATGTGCTGAACTTGTTGCTGCAGATCAGCTTTAAAGACCCACTCCGATGAAAATCATGTTTTTCTTGTTGTCTACATGTTCATATGACATTTTCCTGACGCTACAGGACATATCATGAAAAAAACTAAGTGTGAAATTGTATTTCTGTGTTCAAGCTCGTCCCCCAGAGCCCCACTATGCAGGCCAAAGTAGAGAAGACGATCAGGAAACAAGTGTTTATGTTAACGGATTTCAATGCTCGTCAGAAAGCTAATTATGATATTAACTTTCATCATGTCCCTAAAAACATTAGTGTCCTAGAGCTGAATAGCCCCTATGTTACCTGCCACTTCAACTACATCAGCAAAGTTAGGCTACAAGCTAGCATGAAGAGGAGTGTACAGAGGCCTCCATGAGAACAGCACCCTCTAGTGACGGGCTGCAGTATAGGTCATAAACCCCGCCTCCTTATGGAGCTGTGGACAAACTTAATAAATGAATGACACAGAATATAAATGTTTCTCCCCCCTGGTTGTGATGTTGACATGTAGTTACTGTCAGACTGGTTTGTGCTCAAGTCCTCTTTTTTCTGTACAGCTCCATTTTTAAAAGTTATGAGGGGGTTCATGTTTTCTATGATTGACACCTGATACAGCCTATAGGCGTACGAAGAATGCGTTGCTCACCCGGGGGATACGCTGTTTGAGCCGAGCGTCATCACAGCGACACTCCCGCCAAACGCGTACAATGCTACCTCGAGTGGTGGTTCCAGGAAGTGGAGAAGATCCCAGAAATACTGAGAGCAATTCGGCTACAAATTCTTATAATGACGGAAGGCGGAGCCAAGTTGTCCATAGTGTATACAGTCTATGGTGCAGAGCAGCGCTGACTCCGCCCACGACTCAGAGGTGAATCGCTAATGAGCGACTGGAGCTCTGCAGAAGAAAAGTCCTTAAAAATGACACAGGTAACGTGATTTTATAATCACAGTTTAAAAACCACTGAGAGCACTTAAAGTAGTAAATAAAATCACGATCGGTGTGAGACTCTGATGACATTAATGCTGCACTTTAATATCAACAATCTAAGAACACGGCCGACTCACGGCTTCACCTTCATTTTGCTTCTTTGTCTCTTTGTTTCTTTGTTTGTTTGCTCTGTACTGTTTCTGTAATTAAATACTGATTTATATTTAACTCCCTATCCTGCAGCAAGGGATGACGAAGGCCTCGTTCGTGAATGACGTTACCATGGCAGCACACAGGTCGATTCAGATCGTGGATTGACGCAGCAGGTGGACGGATCTCTGAAAGTCACTCTCTGCCAAAACTTACCTGCAAGTCCCCTCCCATCATCGGGACATAAAGGCGCTGAGGCTGTGCAGCATCCTCTCTCATTTCACTGAGACTCACAGATTTTTATGTAACCGTAGAAACATTCCATCGATCCAAAGAAACCAACAGACACCTTGTAAATGCTGTAGGAAAATAGGTGAAGGTAAAGAAGTAACATGCAAGCAACCGAATACAAGCTTTTGATTCGCTTTCTGACTCTCCGCTGCTGTTCTGTCTCTAAATGAAAACCGTACGTCTGTGCCTCCGATGTTTGGACCGGGAACATGAGCTTTTAGATAAGGGGGAATATTTTTGTTTGCACTAAAATCACCATATTTTCTATCTTAAAACAAAAAAAAACTGTAAAACAAGAGGAAAGATACAGAGCCCGGGAGGTGAGATTAACTTTTTTCTTTTTAATTTGCACGTGTGATTTAGTCTACATTCGAGTTACCTCAGAAGTCAGATGTCGGAGCTGAAAATGGCGTCACACCCGAGTTCCCGGTGTTTCAGTTACCAAATCAAAAAAAAAAGCAAAAAAAGATGGCTACATCTACGAAAGTTATTTTAGCCCTTAGCTAGTCCGAATATAACAAGGACAAGGCAAGCGTTTGACATCTGAGGTAACTTGAACGCAGCGTTAGTATCTTACGTGTGTGTTTTATTATATGGCAGGTGAGATTTAACTGTTTGTTAATAAACACGATCACTTCCTGCAAGTCCGAATATCGTCGATGGCAAAGTCGCCGTGCTCTTTGAGAATCATACTTCAATAAAATAAAATGTCGATAATATGCTCTCCGTCCATGACACCGTCCTTCTCTCACAAATGAGGCACATGGAGGATTATTTACAAGAATGCATGTGCAAGATACAAATAAACACACGTTCGAGACATTAAATCGCACATGCAAATAAAAAAAAATAAAAGTATTTGTCACCTCCCGCACTCCGTAGAAAAAATGTTTTTTAAAAAGAAAATTTTATCAGAATTTTTCTAGTTTTCAGAGTTGATAATTTTGAGTCATTGTCTCCAGAGGTGACGTGTGTTTACATTTTGTAAAGGTGACTTTTTTTTTTTTTTTTTCAGATGGATGTGTTTGATTTGAAATGATCTGCTTTGTCAATAAAGTTGTAGGAGATGGACGGCGAAGGTGTCTGTGGGTTTCTGAATCAGCACTCGTTCTCCGAGTTTAAGCTCATCATCATTAGTCATTGTCGTCGGTGCGACAGAAGGAGTTTCGACAAACCTCCTCTCCTCCTGTCACACCCCTCTCATGCTTCTGGCAGATGAGCAGCACCTCTTTCAGATTCAGTCCGACTCCACCCTGATGATTTATCTTCTAACACCTTTGAACAAACTGTTGGACGCTGTCTCTGCAGCTGTCACTGTGCTGCTATATTCTGCATTATGTAACTGAGGTGAACTTTGGACCTTCATCAGGATCCAACAGTCACGGGTAAAAATTAGATTTATGAGGCTTCGGGAACGATTAATCCCTTTTAACTCCTTTTTTAATAATTTCACACCTTAGACTTTATATGATGTTAATATTCAAAGCCAACGCACTGACCTTAACCTGCCAATCACAGTAACTGGTTTGTAAGCAAACAATGTCAGAGCAGTTTTGACAAACACAATTTGACCTCATTAAAGAAGGTGTGGCTTTATATAATCATCATGAATTCAGTGCATGTTGTTCCCACAAGTGAAAGTGTCACAGTCTTAAAAAAACACCAAACTCCTGCTGTGACGGAGAAAGACTTTAATTCATGACACCATAAAATCCACACAAAGTTCAACAGTTAATGAGTCTGAACTCAACTTTCCAGATCTCTACATGTGACAGATTTACCGGTACGACATGCATTAAAGTGTCGCAATAATAAAGCTGTCACATTTTTAGATACCTCTGAATGCTTAGGTCATAATTTTGGATCCCACACCTCCAATCAGATCCTTGTTAAACAACCACAAGCTGCAGAGTCGTCGTCTGATCAGCCTCCTTCACTCAGTTTAAGTTTAGAGAATCCTACGATCATGTTGAAATGAGCCTGTTTGAGCCTGTTTGAGAGTTAAGAAAACATTTAAAACACGGTGCACCTTCCTCTCGGTAATTTATTGGCAAGGTGATGCCAGGTTCGTGCTGGTGGATGTCAGGTGTTACTTCCTCAGGCCACGCTTGCTTCTTCTCCCCTTACTAGACCTACAAGTTTGAGATATCAAAGATGCATCATGTAAGGAAACAGCGTGCAATCAACCCCATCCATAAAGCATTTCTGGACTTCCACATTTAATTTCTTATAACTTTTTAATCCAAATTTAGCCCCAACAGCTGTATTCTAAATCAAGGTTTATTTATTTATATTTTTTTAAATTCTATTTTATTTAAGGTAAAATTAAGACAATGAATGACAGTTTGACCTTATTAATTCAGGAGTTTTTTTTCACGTTAAAGCTCCAGTGGGGATTTTTTTTTTTACCTTTGTGAAATACAGTGATTTTTTTTTGTCTTTTTATGTTTAACCAAAATGAAAAAAATCATCTTGGACAAGACCGCCAATTTTAACATTGTGATTTTCAGTTCATTACAACTGTGCCGCCTAATTTTAACAATTTCAACAATATTTTTTTCCTTTTTGTGAACCTTTTATGTCATAAAATATTCACAAAATTGATTTATTTGACTTTCCAAAGCCAGCAGGTAAAGACTTTGTGTCAGCAGACACGACTTTAGCATGCAGAAGGCAAGATAAGCAAAGACTGTTTTGGCCACAGGGGGCGCCAAAATTTATACTGACTGAAAGTTCCTCACAGGAGCTTTAAGGTAGAAATATCTGGTGATACATTCCAACTAATTTCAATGTAATTTAATTCAAAATAAAGTTATAATTTATTTAGGATATGTCTTGTTTTTGAGGGAGTCCCAACACTGATACAAAAATAACACAAAACACACAATAATCCACTATAAACACAAAACATACTGCTCTACCAATTCCACAGCCCCAACATCCCCCGCCCCCTCACCAATTTACGATAAATAAATATATAAATGAAATGAAAAAATAATTTTAAAAAATTAATAAATAAATAAATACAATTAAAAATAAAGAATAAAACAAAAATCATAAAACAAAATAGATAATAAAAATACTAATAAAGTAAAAAATTAAATTTAAAAATAAATAAATAAATAAAAATGAAAATAAAAAATAAACCCCACTGTGTACTTATTAGTGTTTTTGGTGGTTATGGAACAAGATTGAAAGTCCAGGGGTGCTTTTATGATCCACAGGTACTCAGTAGACCAAAGATGGACATTTTCTATGTTGTCATTTTAAACACCTGTAACCACTACCGCTGGGCAGATAGGCATTTGACTGTGACAGGTTAACAATATCAGATCTTTTGTCAGAAAATGTTATTTACAAACTTGACCGGTAAAAAAAAGGTGTTACTTTTTCATGCAGGTTAGTGAAAGTGGAGCTGATATTGTGAGAGCCAACGATGCAAAATGAAAAACTCTCTTTTTCACAGCAGTTTGTCATCAAACCTTTGAGATGGATTGAAAACAGTCTGTGCTCATATTTCAGAGCTCTCTCTTCGACACAGAAATCTGCTGCTGACCTCGGACACTGTCGCTACTGAAGGCTTGTCATAACTGTCTGTCTTTGGTCGGGGGGATTTGCCCACAAATAGTTTCCTGCTATCTTTATCTGCTGTTGCTACCAGGCTGCATGACCCCTGCAGCTTCCATATGAACATGTAATGACACAAACTGAAGGCCAGAGCTATTCTGCAATTATTTCTGTGGGTCTTTAGAGTTTATGAAGATGGATAACAGCTGAATGAGGTCAGTGGTGTTATAGTGTTCTTGGTTTACAAAATCAAAGCCGTCTCCTGCAGAAATACAAATACTATAGGCACGGTAAAGCTCGGTATAAAGCCTTGTGTAATCAAGAAGAAGCTCTGACGTGACTCAGATGGCAGCAGGGGTCGGTCACTGTTTTATTGTAAGCTACATGAACCCGGTTGATATCACATCACAGCTGTTCTGAGATCTCTCAGCTGTTGTGAGTCCCTATATGTTGTCCAGATGCCCCGGCCTGCCCTTTGAGAAAAACAGGCCCCCCATCTGTGTGTGTGTGTGCCCTACTCTCTTTGTTTTCCCAGACCTGTTTAACTGGATGTACTGATGGAGAAAACTTAAGTCCTGCTGTCAGACAGCTGTTTACTGAAACAAACGGAGATCAGTGATGTGAGGGGAGCTGAGGGGACGCCAAAACAGGACCAGGAGGTGGTGGAAAGACGAGGTCACCGGGGGACTTATTCTATCAGAGCAGACATGAGACCAGGAGTTATCGATAAAAACGAACTGTTGGCACGGCTCTCTGAGATCTAGTTTGTTATGATTGATGTCGAAAAGCCTCTGTAGAGTCCCAAGACGATCTTAAAAAGAGGTTATACAGATCCACAAAGACAAGGCTTATTAATTCATGCATCCCAGTATTTCAATTATGTACAATGTTTGTGATAAAAAAAAACATTTATGACAATTTGCTACTTCCAACAATTCACCAGGGTGGACTTACACTTTCTGATGATCACTGACTCGGTTTCTCAGCACGGTGATCTGCAAAAAAAAAGAAAAAAAACTTAATCTAAAAAAACAACAAACTCGTTTATAATTGTTGTCACTGCAGTGTGGCTTGTTGAATTTCTCTCATTTTAGTGTCGCCCCAGCTAGCCTCACCAAACCAAAATAAATTCATTCCTGAAGAAAATCGACCAAATTTTCATAGATGTGGCTACTGATGGGAAAAATCAATCAGGAGTAACTTAGCTCAGTGTGACGGAGGGAAAAAGGAAGGCTAAGACTAAACTAGCTCATCTCACTAAAACACAACAAACCCAACATCTTGACCTTTGACTTTGGAAGTATTACGAGCATTTGTGGTGGTAGTTACCAAATTAAATGTGTAATACTGGGTTAACTACTTCATCAGTTTACATACAACCACAACTCTAGGGTGACCATATTCTGAATCCCCAAAAAGAGGACACGACCACGTGGGGAGGAGTCATACTTAGTTAATTTTGAGGGTTTTTCAGGTCGGGTCGAGTGTTTTTTACACACTTTTATCAACTCCCTCAGACAGCCCCCAAAAATGAGGACATGTCCGGGTAAAAGAGGACATATGGTCACCCGACACAACTCTAAAATAGTACAAAGATGATGACAGTCTGATGTTGTGAGGAACCTAAATTTAAGAGAAAATTGTGTTGAGATAACACATCGAACTTTGAGACTAAAACATTTTATTATTTCCTGAAAAATATAAACTCTTGAACTTTGAGGCCAGCGGCATGTTCTGAACTCGACCGGACAACGAAACAAAGAAAAAGTTACAAAACCCTCAACAACAACAACAACACAATTACAACACCTCCCAACTAATGAGGTTAAATTACAGCAGGTTATAGAATTGGATAGAAAGGAAACTTCAGGAAGGCTGAGTCCATCAGAACCTGAAGTTCACCACTTTGTGAGAGACTGCGTTAGCAAATAACAGGATTTCATAAAAATATTTCTCAGTGTAAAAGTAAAAATAATTTGAGGTTTTCCATCATCTACTGTGTGTCATTTCAGGAGAAGCTATGAAAAAAAATCTGGAAAAATCAAAACAAACTGGACGACAGTCTTTGGGCCCTCAGGTGGCTCTTCTTTAACAGATTCTGTAGAGGAGGTCAACTCCTGAGCTCAAAATCACTTCCAAAAGTGACTGTCTGTGAAAGCAGATCGACTGAGGTGAAGTTGTAAAATTCTCAGACAAAACCAAATTTTACTTATTTTTTATTATTTTTATTATGGACTCCAACTTTCCTCATTTGTTCACAAGAAACAGTCCAAAAGTCAGTATCCCTGATGGCACATAAGCACCTGTACATTTTAATTAAAGCTGTTGCTGGTATCAAATCTGAATTGAGCCTTTTTTTTTTAACAATACAATGACATTCTCAGGTTCAATATCTAATATGTTGTCCTGACAGTGTTTACTATCTAATAAAGGGTTTAGAAATGTAGTTGTTTCTCTTTTTTTGCCTTTTCAGTGTTTCAATAATCGTTGCTCTGTAAAAGCTACAGGGAAACTCCTGCTAGAGCTCAGGTTAGAGTTGACGTGTCTTTATAATTCATGTATTGATGACATAAAGACATTTGGACTATCCTTAGCTCTAGAGAGAGAGAGCCTAAAGATAGACTTTCTTCCTCTTACGTTTCTCTGAGTCCTGAAAATCTTCTGACATTCACCTTGAATCACCCTGTCCTCAGAAGAACCCGCTACCCTCCTCCTCCTCCTCCTCCTCCTTCTTCTTCTTGTTGTGGTGTGGCAGTGTTGTGTCCTATAACCACTGTCATGAACGCTGCTGCTGTTACATTATCTACTTCATCAGTGTCAATGCACATGTTGACTTTGGCAGGGGAGCTGTGAAATCTGTAGTTAGACATTATCAGTCGATCAGCAGCATCAGTAAATGTTTCATTCCTCTTTCCGTCACAGCCTGTTGAGTTTGGCTCACATCCCAGTGTGTGTGTGTGTGTGTGTGTGTGTGTGTGTGTGTGTGTGTGTGTGTGTGTGTGAGAACGGTGACATTCTGACGATGTGATCATGTACGACATTCCTATGTTATGTCTTACCTCATACTTTTGTTTCGCCTGCTGATCCTGAAGGTCAAACCTCTCGGCCTCCAGCTGGTGCAGTTTCTCCCACAGTTCTTTGGCCTTTTCCCTGGAGCAGGATAGAAATATCTCCTCCTCATCACATTCATCTTCTTAGCACTCCCATCTCTTTAAGTATTGTAAGCTGATCTCACAAACCTGAGGGCGTCCTCTCTCATGTGTTCGACGTTCAGCTCTGTACGTCTCTCGTTCAGGATCTTCTTCTTCTTTTCTCGTTCTGTTTGTCTCTTTGGCCCGGTTTGTGTCTGCAGGTCAGAAACAGAGAGAAAGAGAGAGAGACACATGCAGGGGTGAGCGACTAAATACGACATGTCTCTGTAAGCTGAAGGCATTTTTATATGACACCACCTTGTATCCAGTAAAGCTCAGGTTCGACAGGATCATCTTCTTCCTGGCATCATCCTCGGCTTTCTTCTTCATCTCTTCGTCCTCTTTTCTGGCTTTCTCTTCCTGACAAAGAAAAGAATAGTTCCTTGTTTCATTATAAAGAATATGAATTAAATTTAACCCTAACCCTGAATAAAAAGGTCTTTCATTTGTTTTTGTTTTTCTAACGTGGACGTACAGCTACTCTAGTCTGCCGTTCTTTTTCTCTCTCTGCCCTGATCTTCAGCTGCTCTGCTCGCTCTGACCGGCGTTTCTCCTGAAAAATCAAGAAAAATATGACATAATAGTAAAAAAACACAACAGTGATGAGAGAATTAAACATGATTAGATGTTAAACATGTGATTTCTTGAGTGTACAATGCGATCAGTGAGGCTAATAAGCTCCTCTTCCTCCTTCTTCCGCTTCTCAAAGTGGGCTTCGATCAGAGTCTGGAGCTCGGTCAGGTCTTTCTCCATCCGTTTTCTGTGAATGTCCTGAAAATCAAAGATGAGATGAGATTCAATCCAGTTTTCAGTCACAGAGACGGTTTATTGGAGTAACTTTGACTCACATCAAAGTCCACTTTCTCTCCCTCTGGGATTTTAGGAGGTGCCATGCCGGGCACGAAACCGTGTCTGAGGAGGAACAGAAAGAAGGAGATGTTTTTATTTGAGTTCATCTTCACAGGAGGATTGTGATTTTACTTCTGAGCTCTTATCTTACTTTGTTTTGGGTTTGGTATCATCTGTGAAGGAAAATATGTGACACATAATTCTTAGCACACAAAGTTACCTATTAAATATTTTGCATATTTCTCATGCTCAATCTTTATTTTCTTCACTTTAGTGTCCATACCTCCATCATTGTCCTCTCCGCCGTCTGCACAGAGATAAGAGAGTCAGTGCAAAATCAATACTGACCGCAAAGAAGTTAGTTTTGACTCAAGTTTACAGGTGATTCCTACTGTGAAAGGCTAAGGTCAGACAACTTATCAAGAGCGTGTTTCAGGCCTAATTCAGCAGATGTCATTATGACTTGACCAATGAAAGTATAAACTATTCAGGTGTAAAAAAAAAGTGAATTAAAATGAATCATCATCTCTGTCCTGATGAGACTGAAAACAGACTGAGAAAAAATCCTGTTTCTGATTTACTTTCTATGGAAAAGGATTAGGGTCACTGGAAAGAAAAAAGGGCGATATTTTGTTTTATTATTCTGAGGAAAAAAAGTCAGAAATCTGAGATTATAGTCAGAATTTTGAGATAAGATTGAATTCAGAATTCTGAAATGAGAATAAAATTAAAAAATTGAGGAAAAAAGTCAGAATTTAGATTTTAATCTCAGAATTTTGACTTTTTTCTCAGAATTCCAACTTTAATCTCAGAATAATAATAATAATAGAAAAATTATATTGGACCTTTTTTTATTGCAGTGGCCCTGATCCTCTTCTATACTTTTCCTTTATGTCAAAGATACCTAATTAAAAAGAGTATTTTGTAGAGCTGTCTAACTCCACTCTTTCATAAGTTCTGGTCTGACAGGCCACGGCCTCAATAAATCAAGTGTAATGCTGATTGACACTCGTGAAAGGGAAGCTGTCAATGATAATTGGGGCGGGTATGACCCCAAACACACTACAGGTGACTGAGTCAACATAGATAATCATCTTCTGTCAGAGCTGATGGACAGAGTCAGTAAAAATATGCAGGCGTGTTTCCTTAAGAGCAGACTTCAGGTTAAACGTACAGAAACCTCCACCTGAAGCTCAGAGACACAGAGACACAGAGAGCGAGACGAGCTCATAAATCAGGGATAGTAAACCTGTCGTCTCTAAAGTATTTTTACTACTAACAAAAATGTCATGATGATACGCTACCTAAGATACAATGACAGGCAGCAGAAATATTGAATTAGATGATTGATTCTAGAGCTTTCTACTTCAATACTGACCAAAATCCAACTCTCTGTTAAACTCTAATAGGATGGTAAATTTTCTATTTTTTTTTTTTTTACATGGTTTGGATGTGATGTTGGTTTGAGGTATTTGTTAATGGTGAGTGTATTCACCACAAGAGACAGCAGTCAGCTTGGCTTTCAGATGCTGCAGATCAGATCGAAACCATCCTGTTAATGAGCTAATTTACACAAGTCTGATCCAAACATTACTGTCTGCAAAGTGCACGCTCTATTAAGACGTTTAAAACTCAACTTTTGCCAGCAGGAAGTTCATTAGCTTTTGGACACAAACAGCTGATAAGAGAAACAGGTGTAAAGAAATGAACAGACCTTCTGACAGCAAAGAAAAAGTGCTGAAAACTTTGTGGAGCATAAACATAAACCTCTGTGGAAACTGAAAGACTTGTGTCCAGACCAGTTCTCCAACAGGTTTCTCAACAATGAAGCCAAGCTGACCATCATCACCTATGGCTAATACTGTTGACAAATACCTCACATAACACCAAGATGCCTTTCACAAATATGTGTCTCCATTGAATCAGATTTATATACATGTATTTATTCCTATAGGTGTTTAAAACTTCTGTTTTAGGCTTGAAAATACGACCTTAAATGTTAACAGGTTAATATGTTTTCAAAATGATGAGCTGGAATAAAATCATATGAATCTATTGCTTGCATGCAAATATTAGCAGAAGCGGTACTACCTTCTACCTCCTCCTCCTCCTCCTCCTCTTCTTCTACAACCTCCTCCTCCTTCTCCTCCTCTGCTACCTCCTCTACTTCCTCCTCCTCCTCCTCCTCCTGCTCTTCTGTGCAAAGCAAGCATGTAGAGTTAGCAGGCAAACAAAATAAAACAACTAAAAGAGCTTTTAGATCAACATTATCTCAGTTGTCTAAATGTATTTTTGACAGTGCTTTGTACACAATGTTTCATAGATATCGAGAAGAGCCATCCCAATAAACCGGAGCTGACGGTATCGGTCTTTGTAGAAAATTAAACATTCATATCATGAGAAATATAAACGGTTATATCGTCGGCACAATTCACAAAACTAACGAGATTATTTTGAAAAGTGACTAAAGTTATAAGTTGAACATATAGTATTTTCTATAGTTTCTAATCATTTATTGAACATCCGAAATTTGTGATATGCAGTAATTAAGTTGTACTTCAAAATAAAAGCATGGCTTTAAAGTGCAGGAAATAATATAACCTACCTAACACAAGACAGGAAAAATATATCAAAATAAAAGCATAACAAACAGTCAATCAATAGGTAATATCATCTTCAATCATGTTTCAATCACAGGGTTTGTGTTGTGGATAAAACACAAATTTCAGGAAATATCACAATGATATTGTTACTGTGATATTCAATGTCGATGTTAATCATGAAATTAAAACCTGCTATTGTTACAACCCTGATTCCTACTCATATATTTATAACCTGCAATTTAATTTTGACCATTAGTCTGGTAAATTTTTACTTATTAAATCCCCGTTTACATCTAAATTTTGCAGGCAGTTGAAATGGTTCTTTTTGACATAATAATTTTGCTGAGTTTTTTTTTAAGGAGTTTGAATTTCTTTGGGAGGATTTTCAAAAATGTAAGTATAATTTTAAATAAACTTATTATTCATTAAATGGATAAATCTGGATATCACTGAAGTAGTAACATGACTTTCAGCATGAGCTCCTCTCTCTGCAGCTAAACTCTGTTTTTGTCCCGAACTCTGCAGTCCTCACAGGAGTCGTTCGGGAAAAGGTGACACCGAGCTTCTCGTCAGAGTCCTGGAGGTCTCGGAGGGAAACTTAACCTCTCCTCGCTGCAGAACAGGTAAGCCAAGCTGCATTCAGCGGACCTCTAACAGGCCTAAAAATGAAAGTACGCATTGTACTCGGGGTGCATTCCTCCCCAAGGTCCTCTATTGAGAACCTACGCTGACCTACATTAGTCTGTAACAGCGACACAGAGGGGGACAGGTGCTGCTCAGTGTCAGGGACAGCGGGACTGTACGGTGGCCCACATGGACCACCTCACAAAGGGAACAGAAATAGAGATAGACAACCCTTTATCCCTCTGATGGTGACCCAGTGTGCCATTTGAACTGAAAGGACAGATCCTCTGGGACGTCCACAGAAGCTGGACTGTCTCCAGCCTCCAACGGACAGGACTGACTGGGAGGTCAAAGGTCAATCCCGCACAAACGCTCATAGCCAGCAGCTGCCTTTTCGGTGGCACCAGCACGCCAAAAATACAGTAAGCTGCGGTGAAGCCAGCAGCTTAGCAGATGCAGTGTGTTAAGTGACTAAGAAATGTGAGGCTCAGGAGCGTAAAGCAGGAACAAAGTGACAAAAAAGATAAGCAGCTAATGGAGGCAGAGACGATTCCAAAGATATTGTTCGTATTATTGTACATACCAACAATATCTTCCTCTTCTTCATAGTGAACAAAAAGAGGCAAAGAGAAGAGGTCAGTGCAAGCAGCAAGAATATCCAACAGAAGATGAAACTTTATGCATTTCTAAACTGTAAACATGCTGAATTTTCACCGTTTTCATGCATATTTGAAGCAGGTAAATGTCTGAATCTGCGTCTTTGCAGCTAAAATTCATCTTGCAAACATGTGTGAGATAATAAAATGACTTACGTTGTTCCCTAAAAGAAGAAAAAGCACACAGGAAATGTTTTTAAGAATCTGAGCATGCATCATTGGTTATAATCCTGCATAATTTAGCATTTTACTCACTCATATGTCGCTTCTTCAGTATCTGACATGTTTAGTTTGCTGCACCTGCACAAGAAATTCCAGTGCAAAACAGGATATTCAGTAAAAATGAACCAAAAACACCCCGACGTCAAGAAACACGTCTAACAAATTTGTATTCCCAGTTTCAAATCATTGACGAGGTGCAGACAGACTCACCCGGAGAGAGTGTGATGTGCTCTTCACAGGATGGTCAATGGAGGATGGTATCCCGTGCTGCGCTCTTTGGGCCTTAAGCTTTTAAACCCAGGCGCGGATCACATGGCGGCACGCTGCCCGCTTCTACAATGGGTGGGCACATACCTGCAAACAGATGGCAGATGGCATGAACTCTTATGGGAAAAACATGCATTCTCTGTGGACTTTCATTGTCTATTTTTACACGGCCGAACCGAACCGTAACATCACGGGATTACTGTACAGTATTTCAGCTGTGGCACGAGGAAGGCCGGATTTAATCCTTACACCCCTGGGTGCACAAAAATACACAAAAGGGTGGTTAAAGCTCCTCTGATTTACAGGCATGATGAACACAACATTAACTTTTTTATTACTCCAAATCAATACCTCTTTAATCACACATTTTTACTTCTAAGGGTTATATAACTGCAGCATGTTTCTCCCCAAACTGGAAGTGTTATGTAATCAAGTATCTGGATATTATTCCCACAGCGGGTTGCCAGGAGAATGAGAAAAATAAAAGTGACTCCATCTCCTTCACCTCGCCTTCAATCTTCAATTTCTGCCCTCTCAGCCCTGCGTGCATCAACGTGTTATCAACAACACCCTTTATGACTTTGCCAAGTCTTTTGATACTCCCTCCGTCTGCTGTTAATATTGAACCTGACCTCACAGTCTGGATTATAAGGCAACAGATTGTTTTTCCTAAACTGAGGCCAATATCTGACTCCGTGAGCGTGAACAGAGTTCTCCTGCGAGTCTTCCACCTCTTCTCTGACATCGGATATAGATTGTTTGATTCCCCTTTTGAAGTCTTGTGGCTCTTATTCAAGTCTAAAGTTGGTGAAGACATGCTGTTCAAGTGTCTCAGGTTGGGGCAAGTCACATGGAAAATATGGAGTCCATCAGGGTTCAGAGAGTCAATTCACAGAGTCAGTGTATTAAAAATCAACATTTATGAATCAGATTTATGAAGAAATCTATTTGTTCTTTTAAAATCTGTCAAAAAGTTTCGATACAGTCTGTTTGATAAATGATATTTACTTTTAACTCATTGATTATATCCGGGGTGGTTAAAGCTCCTGTGTGGAACTCTCTGTCTGTGTTGACTTTGGCGCCCCCTGTGGAGAAAGTGAAACCCTTTTATTGTCCCTGACTTGGTCTTATTCTTGTGAAAGAAGTGATTTATGACAAAAATAAAATCTGCATTTGTTGTCTTTAAAATATATATTATTTATTGTAAATATTTACTGTGAGGAAGGTAACAAAGACTGTTTCTTCAGTTTCTTCATCAGCCTTTTTGTTGACAGTTTAATTTACTTTTGATTGTCATAGAGACCATCACTGTTCATTTCAGACTGTTTCATACTCAATCATAAACTGCTCACAGGAGCTTGAAATGCGACACGTCAAGCCGGTTTTGCTACTTCGTTAAAGCTCCTAAGAGGATTTTTTTCTGACCAGGAAACAGATTAAAATCGACAGAGATATCAGAGACTATCAGTGACAACAATAACAGGAAAAAGCAAAACTCCAAAGCTGCGACATCCCCATTTACCATTTTCACAGGAATTATTCATGGCGATTGAAAATGATGTTGAAAAAAGTCGAGATGAGATTTTTTTAATGAAAAACACAATTTAAACACATACAGGGCAAAACTAGTTGAATTGTAAGAGGTACCACTTTGACCTTAAAGGAACACCTAAAGGTATTTTAAAAAGCCTAAAAGAGAGTATTCTGAGCTGTTATTGGATTGTGTAGGCTGGTGTTTTGGGCGGTTTCCAACCAACTGATGTCTTTCAATCCGACCCAGTGAAATTAATCCATCTTAAAGCTCCGATGAGGAGTTTTTGATGTTTATTAAACAGACTGAAATTCATGTTTATGCCTTTTTATGATATCCGAAAGTAAATAAGACCATCAGCAACAAGATTGATGATTTTTATCTCTTAATTTCTAATGCCTGAAGGTAGTGTGAGTGGGTAGGTGTCAGCAAAACAGCCAGAAAAATAGCCCTGTTTTAATCTATCTATCTATCTATCTATCTATCTATCTATCTATCTATCTATCTATCTATCTATCTATCTATCGATATATATATATATATATATATGTATATATATATATATATATATATATATATATGTGTGTGTGTGTGTGTGTGTGTTTGTTTACAAGTTACCATTGCAAAGGGTGAGATAAGCAAAATTTTCTTTGTCCACAGGGGGTGCCAAAATTGACACAAACCCTAAGTTCCTCACAGGAGCTTTAAATTTTCGTTTTAAAGATGTAATGTAACTGAAATCTGATACTCATTCACCTGCAACAGTTCACCTCCAGTTAAGTATTTTCATCACATCTTCATGATTTTATTTGGGACTAAACAACAGAAAACCTAAAATATTTCACGTACTATAAGACTGGAAACAGCCTGAAGTGAACTGTCTTTTCAGTGGTTAATCAAGTTCAGACAAACCTTTTTCCGGACATGTTTTAAAGATCGAAGATAAACAGACAGCTTTTATCCCCAAGACAGTGAAACCATGAATTTAAATGTTCAAACAATCTCAGCTTTGCCTCAGGAGGGATTTTCCTGTCATGTCAAATATTTGAACTGTGCTTTGTCCCGAGGTTATTTACGTTTAAGCTAAAGCTGAAATGAGTTTCCACTCAGATAACCTAACAGAACACAGTCTGTGAGCTCACACTCAAAGTGTTTGAGTATGTGATGCGGCAAAGGACAAGAAAACTGACACTAACAGGCCGACACAGTATTTTCTTTATTGTTCCCAACAATTAGGTGTAATTTGTTTAAAAGGGTAAACGATAACTACCTGATCACCTGGGATGCACTTTCTATGTGTTCATATTATGCAAAACAGATTGTTTAAGTAAAAAAGTAACCTGAAAATACTCCATAAAAGTTTGTAATTGGCTGGAAAAGCTTGAAACACACCTGACATTTGTGCTGTAGATGAACACCTCAGTGTAAACGGGCTGTGTCTGAGTGTTTAGGAAGTGTCACTTATCACCTCAGTAAGGGTTAAGCAAAATCGTCAAGGCAATACTTCAAAGTCACACAATCACAGTCCTGAATAAACTTTCTCTTCATCGCTGTATTTCTGGAAACCCCGCCCATCTGGCCCTGAATCAACTTAAAACAACAACAGAAAGCATTAGGCCTCTTTATACTGTTAAAACTTGAGGAGAGCAAGTCCTGACAGAGACCTCAAGTCTGAACACTCCTCTATAGCTTTAATGAGAGCCTTTTAACTGTGGGTTTAGTTGATCTATGTTTTCTGTTTCATTACAGGGCCAAAACCTGCAGAGTGGTTTTTCTAGTGCCCTGACATTAAGCTGATACTGCCATCTTGTGGTGAAAATGAAAGGTGCAGAAGAAGAATCCAAAACAGCTGTTCAGTATCAACCTATGTGAACACAAATGTATGTAGGATTTCAGTGTACAAGGTTGATAACTAAGTAATAAAGTTTTTAATTATAAAAGTAAGTACAGAGTTTTTAGAAACATTTTTATCACTCAAAATTTCTATATTCAACTACCAAATAGAGATTTACATTAAAATCTTGTAGAATAATTGTTGACCTTTTAAATTATTAAGAAAGCACCCTTTAAACACAGTTTAAAACGGACTTAATCTTTTTTTTTTTTTTACTTTCAGGACTGGTGTTGACCTTATTGAATTTGTGCATTTTTAGTTGTAGTGTGTGTAGACAGTTGGATGTTTAAAAACAATCAGATCCTGGATTGAAAAGCCCCCTTTGCTCACCCCCTGACAGTGATGGTGGCCTTTGAGGAAAATAAACTTATTTTGATGCTTGATGAGTCTGATTCTGCATTTCTCAAATTTCTTACTCTCAAAAGTTTCTGTCAGTACATTTCCTTTTGCCCACAGCAGCTTCTCTCATAAAATCTCGTCTTTTACCTCTTTGACGTCTAACCAGGGCAAGACAAGGCACCATTCATACACAAGGCAAACCGAAGTGCTTCAGAGATGCAAGGAAATACATACAAATTTAAAAAAAGAGAGATTGAAAAAATTTAAAACCAAAAAGACATATAATGATTTAAAATAAAAAAAGACAAAGCAGTTATAACTAGTGCATTTGCGTTAACTTCTTCACACAGAAAGAGAAGACCTACTGTCCCTGTAATGGGCCTGGGATTATAACTAAATTATGCTAGGCTATATTTACGAACAGCCTTTTAATATTAATACTAATATTAATAGTCAAATTTGGTGTTTATGGTGAGGATTTTGGTGTTTATACATTAGTCAAGCTACAGTAATTCGTTCTAGTGTAACAGAGGTATCAACACACCTCTGATTCAACAACTACACGAGCCAGGGGTCAGTGTCACGTGATCTATTCCGGTTGAGTGTAACTAAATCAAACGTACCCTACGCAAAGAAGCGGGAGATTTAAATATTACGAGCCCCGCCCACTCAGCGTAACTACGCAGGTCGTTAATCGCATCATGCTAATATTTAACCCACCGGAGAAAAGTCAAAGGACACTGTTTTGTGAAAATTCTTGGACTTTTTTTGTTGGTTGAAAAGATGTCTACAGGAAAAAGGACAGCTAACAGGAGTTCTTGTCCTGCGGAAACAGACTTTACCAAACGGTGTTACTTCGACAGACCACCGGACTCAGGGTTTGTACCGTGCGGCTAATACTAGCTCCTGCTATGTTTGTTTATATCATTTACCCTTTGAGCAATATTATTGAGTCACAATTTTGACTCGGTATAATTTTAGCCTTGGTTGCTTCCTCTTTGTCATTTTCTGAGCTAAAAAACGGGGCTTTACGATAAATGCTTTTTCCGTTATTTGTATCAGCGATCAACCTTTGGGTTATTTCACCTGGATGACATTTTTGATGGATCGCCTCGTATCTGGGGATCTCTGTGACAAACTAACAATAATATAGTAGTTGGTAAAATCCAAACAGGATTAAGTTAAAGGGATATTCCCGTGTAAAATTAATTTAGGGTCAAACACACCGTAACACCGAGTTAGACACCCCCTCCAGAGATGAACGTTGCCGACCGCTTGCTTCTCTAGGTGAGTTGTGTTTAGTCTCTTTGCTAAAGAAATTAGTCAAAGCTGTTTGGTGGCTAGTACTGTGGCTGTGACCCTATGTGTCCTGTTCTGAGCATTATTTGTGGCTATAGAGTGGCGTTTTGGTTGAGGTTTGTTTATGGCTCCTCAGACCGCTGTGTATTGCTATCCTGCGGTCGTTACTGAAGTTGGTATAACTAGAGAAAAATATCAACTGATATGTTTAACCAAGTGCAATCATCCTACTCCTTTGATATGTTCCCGCTTGTTTTCTACTTTACAGCCATAACCCAAAGAAGCACCAGGTATGGCAAGTAAAAAAACAAAAAACAAATAAACAACTGTACATATGTAAATCAATGTATTCAGCATTTGCATTAGAACATTACCCCAGTCTGATTTTTGTGTAAAACTTCACAACTTCAGATTAAAAAAAGGCAGAGAGACAGTGCAGACATATATATGCAAATTTTATTATTGTGATTTAAGAATATGTGATTGTTACAACAAGAACTGCTCTCAGCATTAATACTAAAATGTTTATGCAGTTTTGTGAAGTAATGGTGGGCTAGTGTGTTCCAGTTTTTTGCGTAACAGTGTGTACTATGATTCACATGTGATTATACTTGATGTAAGCCATGTGTTTCTTCAGTCATATCTGTTCACTGGTTTTGGCCTTTTGCTGCATCGAACATCTTCTTACGGCCCTCCATTCCTGACATGGCCTCCACGTTCTTCCTCCAGTCGCTCACCTCCACGGTCTTCTCCTGCACCCAAAAATGATTTCAAGTCATTTCTGGTGTGTCGCATTAAACTAAAGATTATTTTCCCTTTTTACTTCTTTAAATTTATGCATTTCTATGCAGAGGTCTTAGAATGTGACAAAGGAGTTTCTCTCTTTAGCTTCAGGCTTTCTCTTACAACAGAAACACTCTTGAGAACCTTTTTTTTTAAAACAAAAACTCTACAATATCTTGGGTGAATGTAGTATTCTTGTCTTGGCAATTTCAGAAAGCTGATTAATCAGTTACACACCTCCCCAGTTACTTGTAATTGGTCATTAGTGGTGCACACGCAACATTTCTACCATGGTTACATCGATGTTGTTTATTTCCTTTTTCCAATCTCACCTTCTCTGTGTCCTCCTTCTTTACAGATTTAAGATTGGCCCTCAGATCCAGAGAGACTTTGTGTTTGGAGCCCAGCAGAGAGCGCAGGATTGCATCAGCTGAGACCCTCACCCTCCTCAGGTTAGGTCTCTTAAACTTCCCTCGCAGGTCCAACACCTTGATGTTTAAGTCTTTAATCTGTGCAGAAAATAGGGAGGAAGTTTGTTAACGTGTTAATCAAAGAGCAGACTCACTCTCAGTGTTGTGTTACCCATAAAAAAACCTCAGGACAGCACTCCGGTAACTGAAATTATATTCTTGATTGTTGCACAAAGATTTCAGACTATTCTTGCAGTGGCTGTAGGTAAACAAACTCAAATTATCAGGAGCAGGTGACCCTTATTGGGTATTAGTTATCAGGCTGAGCTCGAAAACAGAATAAGATGGTTATTTCAACAGAGACCGTCTAGTAGACAAGATTGTCACTATTAGGGATCAGCTGATGAAACAGAATTTCAATTTCCAACAAACCAACAGTTTCAAAAACCCTGAAACTGTCAAAACTGAGGCCAGTCTATATCGAGGATTTTGCGACGTCAGATTTGTTTGCTTAGTGTAGCTAACATTAGCAGATTAAACACCAGCAGCCTTTACCCCTGTACATCAGTATTTGTGTACCTGTGCATTATACATTCTCTATGGTCAAGTGAACGAGACACAGCCTACAATCAGATTCAGTTCTGTTCGCCACATTAGCCGTGTTTACGTGTGCAAAATTTCCTGATCTGATCAAAAAATTTTTGGATCAGATAATCTGAATCTGTTGTTTAGATGGGTGCAAAATCAAATAATCTGATCATGACGTGTGTATACATCCACCGAGCTTTATTCAGATTAGAAGCATTAGAAGCATTTGGACATGCGCAGAGTTGTCTGATTTCGCTAAAACAACCACAGAAGAAGAAGAGTCGTATGTCCACCTGTGCTGTCATAAACTAACAAACGCAGTTGTAGTTCACTCCATCCAATTCAGGAGTTTCCCCTCTGTTAAATGTTGTCACTAGATGGCGCCCTTGCTTAGTTATTTTACTGTCCTGTCAAAGGTTGTTCTGTGCGGCAGATGTGACATCATTACGCTGTTTGAACGCCTTGTGATGTTATTGGAGGAGCAGACACGGCGCCCGAGTGTTAATAATGAAACCTCCTGTACTGACCTCAATAAACAGTAAATGAAGAGTGAAGACTGAGTCAGGTTAGAGAGTCACAATCAAGAAAAGTGTTTACATGGACGCTTTTAGGAATAACGATCAGCATAAACTTCAGAATCTTCCGATCGACATGTTTACATGATGCATTTTTATTCTGATCGGGTATTTATTCTGATTATTTGTGCCCATGTTAACGCAGCTAGTGTGTTACATGTTGACATCTACTTTCTGTGCGTCTTTACATACAGCTGGAAGAGCAATCTAGCATCATAGCTGCATGTCGTCATCAACCAGAGTCAAAACAAATGATATGTTTCCTGTATTTCCTTTAGTTTATGATGTCGATGTTGTTTTCTGTTTTCAGTTACCTCTCTGGTGTTGTGCATGACTTTAGCCTCGATATCATACCGCTCCTCGTCCACCACGTCGATTTTGGCGTGCAGCTCTTCACATAGTGTCTATAAAGACACCGAAGCGTGCTCGTCATTTATTTCATAATTTCATAATAATTTAATTTCCATGGCTGAACAGATGTGAGTTTGTTTTGGATAAATACAAATGTGTACCTGTAGCTCCTCTAAGGACATGCCACTGGTCTGTATAGGTGGAGATTTCTCCTCCAGGTACTTTGCCTTCTGCTCCTCCTTCTCCTCCATCTCCTGCTCCAGCTCCTCTTTGGCTTTAGCAACCATCAGGCTCTGAAATACCACACACAATACAGGTGTAACTGTCTGATTCCCTCTTTCCTCGTCGTATTTCCTGAGGGCTCACCTTCAGCATAAGCTTTCGAGACGCTGATATTTTGGATTTCCTCTGCAAAAGAGATCAAATATATCAATATGCAGGCTGAGGTTTTGTAGAAATCAATCTTAATAGGTGCAAAATTAATTTCCTCTCCTCTGAAATCTTACCTCTGGCCTGTGTGATGAAATTAAAGGGGGGACAAAAGGAGACAGAGTTAGAGAATTCAATTACAGCTTGTACTGAAATGTATGTGGATATGAGCTGCTGCTGTATTATATTTCACTCTGTTCCTCTATAGATAATTCCCATATGCTGTATGAAACCAACACTCTGATTCGGGAATGGAAACAATAACAGAAACACAATACACTCACGCTTTCTCAGGCATCTTGGTGATTCGGACTCCCCCCTGGAAGACAAAAATAAAACCCTCAGTGTCTGAAGTGCTCAGCCGTGGGGACCACTCAGGACTAGAGCCCCAAAGGGTCTTAACTCCACTTTCCTTTTTATATCCACTCTGGAGACATTCCCCCTCAGACTCTCCAGTATAGAGTTACCACAGTGGAAACCTGCTGTATATATAGACATATAATGATGATAAAGGTGCCTTAATAATTCTTTCTCCTGTACTTTGGAAACTCTGTAAGACCTGGCGCTCCACACGGCTGCGGCCGCTCAGTGTTTAGTTTAGTTTATCTCACTCTGTCTTGTCGTACACGTGGTGAGGCCTGCTGGACAGACTCATGCCGTCACCTCTCAGTGCTGATAACACACTCATCTGCCAGAGAGCCAAGTGACGGCAGACAGAGGGAAGCATGCGAGCCCCCATCACCACAGATAACTTTTCCTGCCTTCACCCCCACTTTTCCAGCGGATAAAAGATACAAATATAGACAGGCTCCCCTTTTCCCAGAACACTACTGAAAACTGAGTTTAGCCTTCATCTGGGTTAAACATAAGGCCTTTAAAATTTGCAAATAAATAAAGCTGAGATTTAAAAAAAAGGTAAATAAGATTTGCACAAATCTGACAAAGTAACTTGATTTTATTTTATGTGGTACCAATGTCAACCTGAAAATGGAAACTGTATAATAATCTTTGATTGAAGGATTATTTTATACTTCCCATTCATTGACTTATAAGGAGCAGAACCATGTAAATCTACATGTTAATTTCTGCAGGTATTTCCTATAGGGCTGGGCGATATGGCCTTAAATCAATATCACGATACATTGATCAGTTCACCTGGATAACGATGAATGGACGATAACTACTCCACAAGCTGCTCACCCCCTCCCACATTAACTTCGTCTACTTCAGCAGCTACAACTTTTGAACCGTCCTGCATCTCCTCACCTGTCTTTCCCTCTTTGTTACAGACTGGATGGGGTGGAGTCACATCACAAGACCATAGCCTACCTACACACATCCAAAACCAACTTTGATTGATTTATTTTTTTGACACTGAATATACCGATATGGCAAAATGACGTTGGTTATTGTTGGTATCTGTACATTTTTGGTTTATCGCCCAGCCCTAATTTCCTATTTTTTTGTGTAAATTGGAATGAAAAGTTGATAAACTGTTGTCAATTTATATTCAAATAATCAATTAATTTGTTCAAGATCCTGTAAGAAGTTTTTAGATTGTTATAAAATGGATTGAATATAACAGCACACCAGTTTTATGACCCTACTAATAAAAAAGAGACCATTAGTAACAGAATCGTTGATTTATAAATGATTATTTTAAATATCTGTAATCCCAGCGAGGAGGGAAGGACCCCCCTCTCTATCTTTTTAAAACATGTTTCCACATAATTACAGAAAGTGATAAATATTATTGTCTGGAAAAGAGAGGACAAAATCAGTAAAGAAAGTGGAGGTATCACTTCATCTACAGGGGGCGCCAAAATGGACACTGACATAAAGTTCTCTTAAAAGCAGGTAACAGGTTATTTTTTATTTTTTTTCAGTTAAGGTGGCAGACGCTGCTATGTAAAGCCCTTGAGTATTGATTAATCCCATTCATATTTTGCTGGGCACAGATTTTGGGTCCAGGTTTCAGTGGGACCTGGGACTGAACCCTTCTGATTTAGTGATGACCCGTTCTAATACTGAGCCATCGCCGCTCAAAACGTCCTCTCACCTCAGCATGTGGGACTATTTTAACTGTTAATTAATAAATCAGAAAGACAATAATTGGAAAGAAATCACTGTTTGCCTTTCTGAATCTAATGTTGGTTATTAATTATTTTAATTCTAAATGTGTCGGACAGGGACAAAATAATGAGGATTATAAATGGACTTGGACTATATTGTTCTGTAGCGCTGTACTCAACCCTCCATGATAGATGAAATGTAACCATGCTGGGGTAGAAGTCAATATTTGTTTATATTAGATAATTTTCCTCATTTATTCTGATAATTGAGAACTTTTCTCATGTGTTTATTTTAGTTGCTTGTATTGGTAAAACGCTGAAGTTGCCTTAAATTGCACAGTCCTTGTTCTCGTTTCTGCCTGGTCTAAAAAAATTTAAAAATTCAGGTTTTTGATCAAAATCCAAACAAATAACTCTTCAATATTAGTATCATTACAGTTAAACAGCTTTAGTTTAGTAGAGATGAAGTGCAGCTTACCTCTCTGTGTTGTTACTCTGAACGCAGACTGACACAAAATGATGGAGAGAGAAACACAACTCAATATTATCTCTGTCTCCCCTTTGTCCCTTTGTCCCTCCTCTCTCTCTCTATCACAGGGAGACTTAAATAGAAACACACACAAACATCCACACAAGCACACACACAAATATAAAAGGGGGGGGGGGGGTCCTCTGGATAATCGTGATTGTCATGCCGTGTTGACAGATCACAACTCTCTGCTTCTTTGTTATGATGTGTGTGAACTTTTCTTTGTGCCAGGACGGGATAAACAGCATCCTCATCAGCTTTCACTTCAGCGGGTCTCAATCAGCTGTTAATCTGTTTGTGTTTTCTTTCACACACTCCACTATTTCAAACCTGGAGTGGGATCTTCTCCTCTTTTGAACACAGGCTTGTTCATCCTCACAGATAATCACAGCACATACGGACTTAAAGGTGGTCTAACTTGAAGCAGTCATATCTTGTTGGTTTTCAGAGGTATTGTCTGCTTGCCAACAGTGACTAAGAGATGCACCCCGTCCCCCCGGAGACTGCGGGGCCCCCTCAGCCTGATTAGAGTAATAGCTGCAGACAAAGCTAAGCCGTGGTTTTAAGACAGGAATGTAGTTTCCACGACACATTTGGCTAAATCCTCCCAACTAAACATAGACAAATTACTGACAAACTGAAGCACCATGTGATGCTGCCACTCTCTGAAACTTTCACGTGTTTTCAGGATTTTTTTAGGTTCAGATTTGACTGATATCGACCATCTGTATATCAGTGTTTGGTTTAACTGATCATTGTTGATTTATATTTTTAGATGAGAAGTTGTTAGAGTTCTAGAAACCAGTAGGACTGTCATTAGGAGTAAATGTACGCAGATAAACAGTATTTTACTGTAAAAGTGGCACTATAATATGATTTTCACCAAACTTCCATTTAATAATCAGTAAGTGGCGCTGTAACGCTGCACAGGAAATGCACAAAAGCCAGAAGAAGAGTACATGTGTATAAAGGTTGTTTTGGTTGGACACGGTCAGGCGCCCATAAAAGAGTTACGCTGTATGTCACATGATCGTTTCCAGAGATGCAGATAGACATCCACACAGAGATGAAATGGCCGTCGTTTACAGATCCTGAATTCGTTTCCGTGGTGATTGGTTGATACCGCCTTCAGACAGACTTTGCAGCGGGGAGTGGTGGGGGTTTGCTCTTCATCTGAAACTGTGAAGTCGTACCAATTCCACACGACTGACTCGCTCTTTTCCCTATTTAACCACGAAATTGTCGCCTTCTTTAGCAAACGCCATGTTTGTTTACACTGGTGTGTGTGGGAACTGGGGGAGCCTACGGTGGCCTGGAGGTGCGAGACATTATAGAGAGGGAAATCGATTTGAGTATTTTAATTATTTTACATCGTCATAATCAAATAATCCGATTACGTTTTAAAATCAATTTATTGTGCAGCCCTAATGAAGCTGAGTCACAGAGACACAGCAGCAGTTTTTAACATCTTGATGGTTTGCTGCTGTGATTGAAAGACCTCTTAATCAGAGCAAATGAGGGCAGCTGGAGTTTGGGTGAATTGATCATTGGTAGATCATACTGTACTTCACTGCTGTCAGGTTCACTCTGGACTGAGTTTAACTAACACACTGGTCGCTGGCAGGATTGCAAACTTAACATCATGGTATGACTGGTTTCAGGGAAGAGCTCCACAGCTGCTGCAAAGAAAGAAACTGTGTGCATGGTAACTCAGCTGAAATAATGGAAACTGTTTCACATGAAGAGGGTTTGAACCTTTTGTCCTGCTGGGGTGACCTACTTTCAGGAATTTATGGTTCCTCTTATCATTATTTGATTAGATGAAAATGAATCCTCAGTTATTCACATGGTTGATTAAGAAAGATCTTTGCCAATCATTCACAGTCCCCAGTTTCCAAAATCTGACTCCATGCTGCAGGAAATCACAGAAATCCATCTCTGATGAAGTCGGACGGATATTTGATGACCTTTGTTAAATATTCAAACTTGATTAATTGAGAAAATACATCTCCAGACGTCCTGCAAGACTGCTCTACCATCTTGTGTGTGTGTGTGTGTAAGTGTGTGTGTCTGGCTGTCTGCCTCATTGTCTCCTGCAGTATTGCGGCGTGCCTCTGTGGGATAACTGATGAGCTGTTAACCACCAGGGAGCGCTCTGTGTGTGACCTGCTGGGTCACCAACTCTGCAGTTTTTTACACTTTTGAGTCTCTGTGGATCTTTTTAACGTATAGAGGATAAATTATTACAGCCTGTTTCTATTCCTGGAAAACACCCGATCAGTCATGTGTATAAAAAAGTTGAGTTTTCTCAGCGTGTGACGGTTAAGATTTGCTCTTGGACTGTTCTTCCTCTCTTGCTGAGTCAGGCCTTTTGCGTCTGTGATGTTGATTTGATTTAGTGCGCTGAGATCCAGACTGTTGGCTCACAGCAGCTGATTATAATCCCACAGTATATATGGCTGCAGGATTAACAAAGTCCTGTGTGTGTGTGTGTGTGTGTTGGCTGGACTGTCTCTAGGAAACACTGACTCATAGGTGGAGATGCCAGAGGATTATATAGCAGTTTCTGGTGCTGAAGTTTCCACATTCAAACCCCTATTGTGATTCAAGTATATTCTTTAAGATGTTTCCTTCAGTTGGACTGTAAAGTTGATACTCAGCCTTATTTACACATTTACATTCTTAATATTCAGACTGTTATCTTTTCCCATTTCCTGTTCAAATGTGGTTTAAGTAACTGGAGGTGTTCAGTCAGCCTTTACTCCTTAGTTTACTCCTTAGTTTACTTTAGCTCTTAATCTACACTACCAGTCAAAAGTTTGGACACACCGACTCATTCAAGGCTTTCTGTACTTTTTTTTAGTTTATTTCATATTTTGTAGATAAATGTTGAAGATAGGGCTGGGCGATCAATATCAATATCACAATATATTGAACAGTTCACCTCAATAACAATAAATGGACCATAACTACTCCATAAGCTGCTCACCCCCTCCCACATTAACTTATCTTAAAGGGACATAAGACCATAGCCTACCTACACACACCCAAAACCAACTTTTATTTATTTTTAATTTTTTTGACACCAAATAAACTGATCTGTGGAAATAACGTTGGTTATTGTTGTAAATTTTGGTATCAGTAAATTTTCGGTTTATCGCCCAGCCCTAGTTGAAGATGTCAAAACTTTAGAAAAGTTAGGAAGACTCTAAAATAAGAAAACCTCCTCTGGCTTTTTTGTTTACTAAATAACTCTGCAGTTGTTCCTTCATAATTCTGGTAACTAACTGGTAATAAGAGAACTTGGCAGTAGGGCTGCAGGATATTTCATTAAACATCTGGAAATTCAATGTGTGCGATCACATGGAAAACAACTAAACAGGGCTGTTTTCTCAGTCACTTAAAAAAGATTTAGCAGACACCCAATTAATTTCCATAACAAGTCATAAAAAATGAGTTTAAAGGCCCCATGTGAAGAGTTTTGCATTGGTTGTAAAAAATTAAACGAGACTGCCAAATTTAAAGTCTTAATGCCTGAAATGATTGTGAAGGGGTTAATCATTGTCAATAACATATATTTTTAGTTAGTATATCATTTGGCCGCTCTAAGAAAGCAGGATGGGATATTTTTATGTGTCGGACATTAAACAGCTAAATCAACAAAGTGAAAAGATGTTTATTTTTGCCTTCAGGGAGAAAGAAAACCAACAAACTTCAAGCTTCAAACATTTTGAATTGATGAAAAAGACTATAGTATTAGCAGTCAATTAAACGATATAAATGTGATTCTCATTCTTAACAATCAAACACTGGAAACCAAGCATTTTCACTTCATGACTTCCTGTTGGATCAGATCTCTCTGCTGCCCCCTGCTGGCTAAAAGGAAGAGGAACCTGTCCAGCAGTGCTGTTGTCATGGAGGGAAAATGTGAAGTAAAACCCACTTTAAGATGTAAAAGGTCAGAGATTAAACACATTTTTGTCACAATAGTTTTCTGTTAACGTCAACATGTGAAGGCTTTAGCCCAGATCTCAGAGTAAGACTTTTAGATCTCGTGGATTTCACCCCTCGTTTTGCCGTTAATGTGACTCACACATGTCAGAGTCGGTGCCAGAACAAACAGCTGCACCCTCAACCACCACTTCAGCCGCCTGGCTCTCCGGTCGAGGTGCCAGCTCCTCGGCGCAGGCAGCGACGGAGCCGAGCACTGCGACTCCGTTGTTCGCCACAACAGCTGGCATTTTACTCGGTTTGACGATGATTAGAGGGAATAACAAACACACCCACACGAACACATAAACACTGATTTCATCAGACCAGAGCCACAGAAAGAACAAAGGGAACTGTGTAAAGCAGTTAAAGCACATGAGAAAGACACTCCACTGCTTTCTTTGTTCTTCTGCCTGATTTTTATTTTGTGTTTCAGCAATTTAGCGAATCTAAAAAGAGTTTATACAGCACATGACATCCAAAGGCAGAGAGGGAAATCTGAAGGGTGATGTGAGGCTGTTTTCCCTTAAAGCTGTCCGTCACAAAAAATGCAGATTTTATTTTGTTCTCGCTCAGACAGAAACAGACTTAGATCAAAATCAGACTCAACATTTGTCAAACTCAGAGCGTGCAGTTGTCTCTTCTTTCAGTGACCCTGCAGTTGTTCACTCTCACTGCTCACATGTAAACAAAAACCTCAAACCAAGTGTGTTATCAATGTTCAGCATCTTGTTCTTTGACCGCCTATTAATTAGGACATCATAATTCACATTCAGAAGCAACAGTCAGAGCAAAATCTACTCAGCCAGCTCATACAGAAAAATGTGCGTGTCTTTCATTCCTCTTTGCCGTCAGCTGGAGTAAAGGTCAGCGTGAAATTGGCGAGATATCGAGCGAAAGATCCCGGAGGCGATGTTATCAGAGCGCAGATGTCAGTCTTAGGTGAGGCGAGCCTTCAGGGTTTTACTTGGAGTGAGCCAGAGCTCCTGCGCCCTGACCAAAGCCGAAACCCTTGGGACCAAAGTTCTTTGCATAGCAGCCTGTGAATGACATTAGAGAGACGAATCAAACACAGGCTGCAGATAGCAGACAAAAATCTTGGATCTTAATTTCCCTTAACATCTACTTCAGTTAAATGTTGGCCTATTTAAACCGAGCAGAGATTTGGTTCTCAGTCAGGAAAGAATAAAACATTTTAAATGGCAGAGGGTCAGAGGGGCCGCTGACCTATCGATCCAGTCTTCAGGAATTTAGGACAACTGCTTCTGCTCTGCTGCTGTTGTGGTTAAACCGGTGACATATTAAGTTCTCTATAATTACATATTGAACCACAAAAATGTAAGTGATACAGCACAGAAATATATTTTATACTAACTCATGTAAACAATAATCAGATTTTGTGTTGCTTTGTTTGAATAATTCTTAAAGGGATATTCTGGCGTAAATTTAAGTCTTGTTCAAACACACCGTAACAGCGAGTTAGACCCCCCCTCCAGAGATGAATGTTGATGACCGCTTGCTTCTCTAGTTATACCAACTTTAGTAACGGCCGCAGGATAGTAATACAGAGAGCCACGCGCTCAACCAAAACGCCACTCTATAGCCACAAATAATGTTCAGTGTGTTATGTGTTATGGTGTGGTTGACCATAACTTTAATTTACGCCAGAATATCCCTTTAAGATCATGAACATATTTATCGTCTTTTGTCATGCATGCAACAATTCAGACCCCAAAGATATTCAGTGTGCCTCATGTCACAAAAAAGAAAACAGTTCCTCACATTATGGAAGTTAAATCAAACTCTGTCGATGTTCACAAACCTTTACAGAAAATTTCTCCGTCTCTATCAGCGAGGGTCGTGGACTCGAGTCCTTTGCCGCACTTTGCACAGCGGAAGCAGCCTTTATGCCAGGACTGTCAGGAGAGCAGAGAGATGGTTCAAGCTCAAATGAATAAATACAGAAAACTCACTGAGGTTTGAGATTTTTTTAACTCGATTTTAGCCTAACACGTCGATTTCTCTCACATTGCCTCCCCCGATGACTTTCTCTGCGGCGTACACCGTTTTCCCACATCGAGGACACACTTCTGAGCCCCCTGGTTTCTGAGCAAACTTGGAGGCGTTTGGGTTACTTGTAGGACGATGAGGAGCTTGTCTGTCAAGAGAAATCAGTGTCTCGTATAAGGCGGGTGCTAAAGACATAAGCAAAGGCAGATACCCTCATGTGGTTTATTTTTGTTTTATCCCCAAGGGAATCTAGTTTTGTCCTGCGTATTTTGACTTTAGAGACAACTTTAACACGTTAGTATGTAACTGTTAACTGTCCTCCATAGTTCAGATGAATTAGGACTAGGGAGGTGTTATACTCACTCTTCAGGTTTGATTCCCAGTCCCTCTCCTGTGTCCATACTCAGAGTGCCGGCTCCACCCCCAAAGCCGTAGCCTTTTGGTCCATATTTCTTGCCGTAGCATGATTTACAGTAGATCTCATCCACATGAACGGCGACTGTTGTACTGTCCAAGTTCTTCTTACACACCACTGACAACAAAGAATAACAAGTTATATTCAGTATCAAAAACGACAAAAACGAAATACAACTGTAGATACAAATAAACTTTTAAACAGAAAGTGATGTCTGCGCTTCAACTGACAATTATAAACCAGTACGTCTTAAACTATGGAATATGGTGTCTTCTTCAAATTCGCTCCTCCTCAGTTTAGTCTTTAAGTGCTTTAGTTTCTCAACCACAGCAACATAGAGTCACAGCATATAAACAAAACCAACATTGACAAAGGTTCAAAGTCATCCTGACTTAGAGCTGGGCGATGAATCAAAAATTTACAGATACCAAAATTTACACTAACCGACGTCATTTTTACAACACTAACCAAAGTGTGTAGATGCTACACTGTTCTACAAATATGGATAAAAAACAAACAACCTTAGATTTAAAGTTTACTTTAACCTTGTGGTCACTGAGCCTTCTCAAAAAGTATGACTAAGTTTTGGTTCCTTTAGTGGTACCGGAAAGGGAGATTTGGACTGAAAATTTTCAGGTTCATCAAAACCCGACAAAGCTGGTGAAAAAGGAGACTGAAGCTGCTGTTAGCTAAGTCAGGCTTTACTCCAGTGTTAGGAAGTATATCACATTCATAAAGCTGAAAGGTTAGATTGGGCTTTTTAAAACTTGATAATGTTTTTCTTTAAGGACAGAGAAAAAGGCATAGAGCATCTCTAAGAACTTTTTTCTTACTTTTAAGCTCTTTAGCACAAACAGCAAAGCATGTAGGGAAAAAAAAACTCAGCTTTTGACGTCTGTCAGATGTCTTGCTGTGACAGTGCCACAAACTATGAGTGACATTTCAAAGAAGAATATGCCAAATCCACTCCAAGCTAAGCTGCCTCATGTAAGTACTAGTCTGTGCTGAGTGTGTGTGTGTGTACCTTCCTCTGCCTTATAAGGAAGACCAGGCCTTTATCACATGTTTCCACTGTATCCAAATAAGGGCTGAGATGTCTGGGCTAAACCTGCAGATGCTCCCTTTCATCCTCTGATGCCAAATACTCTACATTCCTCCCCGTATTCACACTTCTCCCTGATCTTAGAGTGGTTTACGCATCGGGAGGAATAAAGCAGATTACCAGAAAACTTAAATACTCACTGCACAGAAAGCAGGATTTATGCCAGCTCTTCCCCTCACACTGCACTTCCTCAGCGAAGTAAACCGTTTTCTGGCAGCAGCCGCATTTGTTTCCTCCTCCGAAAGGCATCCTGTGAACATACAGGAGAGACTTTCTGTGTATATTTATCATTCACTGTATACACAACAACTCTCCTCTGTGGTATGACACCATCCAGGCTAGAGGCAACAATACCTATATAAGGAGAGGGAACAGTTAGCAGCTCTGACTCTGTCTCCTTATTTCACTAAAATGCAAAGTACCTGCTGGCACCGAACCGCCTCATTCAGATAAAATGACGTCAGTTTAAGAGTGAAATGTCTTTATATGGAGACAATGACCTCATGTGATGTTAAAGGGGTGTCAGCCAAGGGTCATTGTCCACACAGAAAGTCTGCAATCTGTCTGATCACTTTAAATAAACAGGAAATTCTCTGCATTTCATCCATGTAGTCTCACAATTTCACCGTCATGATAAACTCGGATTCAACTTATTCCCAGTACGGTCCGTCTTTTGGAGCTGAGACAAAACAAGCATAGTCTAAATATTTAAATAAACAAACAGAGAAAATTGTGTTTCATCGGTTCATAGTGCCAGAAGAAACTTTTCAGGAGGGTTTCTAAAACTTCCCAGAAAACTTTCATCCAAGAAAAAGAGTGTTTATAACAGTAAATCTGTAAATATTTCTGTAAAATAGTTATTTAAAGAAAAGTAACTTTGTCCCCTCTTAACAAAAATGGTATCATCCATTAAACATGATACCAGGTCAACCAAGTTTATGTTTTATTTAACTTGATCTTCACTTGAGTTGTTCCAGTTCAATAAAATATAAAAACACAGCTTACTAACAACTTCTTAGTCGAGTGTTCAGAAAATGACTTTAATATTTATAAGAACTGAAATAACCCTACCTGTTCTAAAGGCTGGTCCTCTCTGTGGTTGTTCTGAGGTGCTCAGGGATGAGGGAGTTGAGACACTGTGGACTGAGGAGGTGAGGCAGAGGGAGGCTGAGAGGACATGAGGCTGGACTGAGGAAGGAGGAGTCAGGAGAGAGAGAGGAGGATGGACAGAGAGTGAAAGTAGACAAGAAATGTACTACGTATCATGAGATATCAGACTCTTACTGCAGAACTTGGGTAGAAAATAAAGTTATTGCTAAATTGATGCATGGGTTAGGAACTTGACTTGTTTCTTTATACGGTTTCTGTTTGTTTTTAAGGTTGATCACCTTAAAAAAAAGGGAAGACTACTTTGAATTTTCAAAAACAAAGAAGGAATTAGGCGCCAATCAATCAATAAATGTAAACAATTTCATAAATAACTCTCTGATTAGTAAATTTGTATTTTGAGTATTTTGGCCTTAAATCTGATATTTTAGGTCAACTTAAAGCTCTGATAACCAGGACTGATTTAAATGACTTTGGTGTTAAATGTAATCGTCACTCAAAGTATTTAAGTATTGATTTATTTTTAGATTACGAATAGAATGATCAATATAGATAAAATCAAGTGTAAAAAACGTGGACTTTGGTTAGGGCTGGGCGACAAACCGAAAATGTATCGATACAGAAATTTACAATGATAACCAACGTTATTTTGCCCATATCGGTATATTATGTGTCAAATAACTAAATAAATCAAAGTTGGTTTTGGATGTGTGTAGGTAGACTATGGTCTCATGTCCCTTTAAGACGCTGTCCTACTTTAGAGACGTGACTCCACCCCATACAGTCCGTAACAAAGAGGGAAAGACAGGTGAGGAGATGGAGGACGGTTCAAAAGTTGGAGCGGCTGAAATAGACGAAGTTAATGTGGGAGGGGGTGAGCAGCTTTTGGAGTAGTTATCGTCCATTTATCGTTATTGAGGTTAACTGATCAATATATCGTGATATTGATTTGAGGCCATATCGCCCAGCCCTAGCTTGGGTGTCCCTCTGGTGTCACTTATCGGCCCGTGGCTATTTTCCACCACATGCTTGTATGGGTCATCAATATCTTTATTAAATAGTATAATGATTTTGTTGACAACACCAAGTTGCCCAGTTTTGCTACAGTCACAACAGTTTAATTTCAGTCTGCTTTAACAAAAACCTTTCTGAATTAGTAAAATTTAATTTAAACAAAAATGGTTAAACAGAAATTTCTTGTTTGCAACACAACTCTTCAGATGAAATATTAATAGACCAGTCTAGGAAAACATTGAGCCAACTGCACATAACAGAGGTGGTGTTCTTCCTAAATTAATTCTTTTGGCTCTTGTGAGGATTTTTTTTAATTGAGTCTGATTTTATTTCATCCCTTTGGACTTCTGCAAGGATTATGAAGGTTTAACTTGGGTGCAGTATCTGTAGGGGTTGTTTGTATTATAAACCGACAACGAATGCTCCCCTGATTTTGTGGAGCGCAGTAGTATCTGTTAGCTTGTGATGCTAATGATTCCACTCTACATGAGGTGAAATTAAGCATCAGTTCCAACTAAGTTAATCGCTACTGCATCTTAAAAAGTAAAAACTGTGGCATTGCTCTCCATATTTGCCAAAACAGGCCGTGATGCCAGTTTTTTATGCTCAAATCCCTTGCCGTCTTAGACTTACAGACTTCAGCAGGCACCCTGGTGAGTCTAAGCCAGACCGGTACTGCAGCCATCTTCCCTTCACGCTTGTTTCATGGAATTGCTTTATTAATTTTTCCATCTGTCTGGGCTTTATGAAGTGGAGCACATGATGGGTTGGATTGAGGTCGGATGACTGATTTGGCAAGTTGGAAGCATTCCACAGTTTGGCCCTGAAAAACCTCCTTGGTTGTTTTTGTGCACCAGTTTGATATGATTATCCTGCAGGAGTGTCATAAATAAGGAGAAGGAGAGGAGAGAAGTCTGTAGATGCTTCACTGTTCTCCAAATATGGATGAAATCCTCAAACAACCTTAGAGCTTAAGTTTATTTTAACCTTGTGGTCGCTGAGTCTTTAATGGTGCCAAAGTTTGAAATACAGTCCACTGTCCTTAACTTGTAAATTATGCTCATACTGAATGCTCAGTTGGCTCAGGTTGAGGTGTGAATGAGATACGGATAAATGAAGAGGGATGTCATGTCAAACTAGTGGATCAACCTTTTATTTCCCAACTGCCTCTGTGTTTGTCAGAGTTTTTGGATTTTAACTATCTCTTACATTCTTAAATGACAGCCCAAGCTAGAGCTGGGCGATATGGGAAAAAGTTTATCACAATATAGTTTTTTCATACCAGTCGATGTCACAATATAAAAAATGAAATTTCAGAGTGTTTAATGGTCGCATGTCTTTTCAAATACAATAATCTACTGCATCTGTGAGGTCTTTGTGTCTCTTCGACGTTTTGTCGTAAGGCGTTGCTCTAGAGACTGAATGGTCGTCTGTTTCGGCTCCTCGCTCCTCTTGGGGTTTGTAACCTTTTGCGTTGCGCGTGGCGCTGCTTAAGGTGGTGTAAAAGATTTGAGGTATTCCCCGACTTTGTGAGAACATGTACTCGACATAATTTACAGTCGCCATTACTCTGCTTCATGTCCGACCTCAAAAAACCGAAATATCTCCACACCACCGACGTTTTTGTAACGCCAGTGTTGTGGACGATGTTGTCATCTGTTGAGCCTTCATGGTCATTCCTGGCTTCACCTGTTAACGTGCTATGGTTGGGTGTAGCTGCTGTCTGCTACGACGCAGTTGTTTGCTACTTGGTTCTAATTCAGAACATGATTGGTTCAGAGAGAAGCGGACCAGAAGCAACTCCCCTTTTCATTGGGTATTCGTATAGTCTTCCAAAACATGGCAGAACGCTGACTATGGAAAAGCATATTGACCATGTTTGATATCGATATCAAGGGAAATTAATTTTTGATATCTTTATCGTTTTATCGCCCAGCCCTACCCCAGCACAGGGTGTCTGCAGGGTAGTTCAGATTTTCTCATGAAATACTCTGTGATTTTGGTGGTTGAATGTTTGCACATCCTGCTAATGCTTTGGTGATATTTAGTCCAGTTTTCCTCCTAATCTGTCTGATCGAAGAGGAACCTGAAAAGGTGTTTCTGCAGAGAATGTGACGTCCTTTAGTTCTTCAGGGGTTATCCATCGCTCATCTTGCTTTCTTGAATTCAAACCTCAAAGGTGTGTTTTATGTTTGAACATCAAAAATCTCACCAAAAAGAAACATCATTTATTCATTTCAGAATACATTAAATAAACAGTAATCATTACAAACAGGTCTTTTTATGACCCCCTGAGACTTTCTTCAAAGGCAGCTCAATCCCCTTTAGACCCCAAATCAAAATGTGAGCAAAAATAAAAACGGTTGCAGCAGCCTGGTACATAAAAAAGCTTTCTAAGAACATGCTGTTCCCTTTAGGGTCAACATTTTTATGTAACTCACCCATTTAAGTAATATTAAGGCACACAAATATGCATAATTTAGGGGGTTGTGGCTCTGATCGACTCGTCAGGGCTCCCCCACAAACAAGCGGCTGCTGGAGGAGAGTGTTCGAGTCGTGTTTGGTCTCTTTGCTAAAGAAATTAGTCTCTCTGATAAATAAAGACGAAAACTGTTTTTCCACTTTAACGGTTTTTCATGTTCATGGACTTGGCTCTAGTACACTCATGGCATTACGCACAAAGACGACTGAACACTGAGCGTTGTATAGATGGCATTTACTTGTGACCTGTGCTCTCTGACATTCAACAATTGTGCAGGCTGGGGTTCACTGTGTCACGTGCTTTATCGGAGCACATCACACATGTGACCTTTACATGATGGATGGTCAGCTCGACTCAAAATTCATCCTGCTGGTCGGCAAAATAAAATCTCCTGCTTCTTGGAGCACATTTTGATTCGTCACTCTGTAAAAAAAAAACATGTCTGATAGCACTTCCTGTGTGGATCAGATATCCTCCTATAAGAGGAAGATCAGGAGAGGTGAAACTGATACGGAGACAGGAGTCGATACAATCTGGGAAGTAGGAACCGGCAGAGAGATGCTGCATGGTCTGCCTCACCCTCTCTCTCTCTCTCTCTCTCTCTCCCTCTCCCTCTCTCCCTCTCTCTCTCTTTCTCTGAGCCCTCCAGGCTCCTCACCATCATCGGAAGAGACAATGATGAACTCAAGAAGCCTATTTATAGCCAGCGATTGGCCAACACTAGCCCACTGTTTCTGCTCTGTGGACATCCGCCTTGGCGAGTTGTGTAGTATGTGCACATGTGATTACGCTCATGACTGAGAGGGAAAAGAGAGGAGCGGAGGAGAGGAGTGACCGAGTCTGAATGGATCCAATCCAGAGGAAGAGGAGAGGATAAGAGGCAGAGCGAGATAAGACGAGGCAAGGACGAGGCTGGGCTCAGGTCCATCCATCAGAGTACGGAGGAGGAGAAGGAGGAGAAGGAGGAGGAGGAGGAGTGCTTTCTGCACACTGGAGTCTTATGAAGGAATTCAGAACCGTCTCTTCTTATTCTGGCGTTTGACCTGTCATGTTGCCAGGACTCCTCCCCAGGTGATGGTCTCCTTTTTTGGCAGCATTTCTCACAGAAGCTCTGCCAAGTTGTCAGGTGAGGAAGAGGAAGAGTCTTAGGAGGTGAGATGACTCCCTCGGAGCTTGTGTGTTTGCACGGCAACAAACAGTGAAAGTATTTGTGCACAGGGGGAGTTTAGTTTTAAAATAAATGTGGCTGATGTTCATGTTGATGCTTTATTACTCAATAACCTGATGTAGCCTTTATCTTACATTCACAAATGCAGGTTTAGTGTGTATTTTAATATTGCTGCAGAGCCGAAATACCAAGTTTGTTAATGGATTCACAGAACATTCATTCAACTTAAAATAATAACTGGCAATTTAAAAGCACAAATGTTCAGTTTTAGCTTTTTAGAGGTAAATAATGGATGGTTACTTGAAACATCTAAAATATTAAACCACATTTTCTGGATTTAGAGTCAAACGAGACTGTCCCCGTCCTTCTGACATGACCTCTCTTATCCAACCTCTTATGTATCTGCAGTTTGTATCTTAAGGAGCTACATGTAACTTATCTAACCGTATGCGCTACATTAATGATTGATTATTTTTATTTTCCATGGCACTTTTTTCCCATGTTTCGTTCTGTCAATTTATGCATGCTCCCATGGTAGTATCTTGCAAGTTCTACACAAACTAAACTCTTTCATTACCCTGTGAGAATCTATATTACCCTGATTTTTTATATTGTTTTATTTAGGTTCACAAACTCCTTTTAAAATTTACATTTAGGAATTATTTATTTAGGAATAGCTTTTAATTTAGATTGACTTGATCAGTTTCTCAGTTATCACGGTCATTATGCACCACTGATTATAACTGATACCTTTATATGAAACCCCTTACCAGCTCAGTGTTTTGTCTAATGTCCCGCCACCAATGTAATATCACAAGCTTATTGAATGTTATAGATATGTTTGACTCTCCAGCTTAGATTTAATCCTAGCAGCTTCGTCTGGAATAACGTCTCGAAATTCCTCCACATACAAACTTTTCTTCCTTCTTCACTGCTTTTTACCTCTACCACATTTGGACAGATGCAGTGTCACTTACATGTCCCGAGCATGGCACATGTTCTACATGATGCACCAGAAAGACTTGGTGTAACAGAGCCTGAAGGGTTAAATAAATGTGGCATTTTTAAGCAGGGTTGATAAGGGCTGGGCGAAAACTACTCCACAAGCTGCTCACCCCCTCCCAAATTATCGTCGTCGACTTCAGCCAGGACAGCGTCTTAAAGGGACATGAGACCATAGCCTACCTACACACCTCCAAAACCAACTTTGATTTATTTATATTTTTGACACAGAATATACCAATCTGTGCAAAATGACGCTGGATATTATCGTAAACTTCGGTATCGGTAAATTTTCGGTTTATCGCCCAGCTCTTGGTTTGATATAGTAAGTGGTAAACCCCTGAATCCCTTTGTGCAGCTTGAATAATGTGGCCGATGATGACCTGAACCACACTCCTTCGACTAAGTATCTGTTTCTGATTCAGCGTTCAGGGATCCAAAAAATCAAGGCACTAATCTGTTTGAATTCAACCTTAAACCAAAACTTTACTCTGACCTCTCCAACCCAGGATGAGAAAATAAAAGTGAGCTGTTCAACCACAAGTCGACCAAAATATGTTCAACATTTCACAGAAGGTAATTTAAATGGATTAGTGTAATGAGAATATAATGCAAATTGATCGATTTGAGTGAGGAAATGAGATAATTGTGTTAAATGCAGATGGAGTCTGGCAGGATGTCTGAGCAGGACAACCCCTCTCTGTCTGATCCAACACGCAGCAGTTTGATGTTTGACTGAGGGTAACAGGCCGTCTGCTGACTCCTGCTCTGCCTGCACGCATGTATGCACACGGGGTAATGAGGGGAGGCGCAGAGGAGATGCAGTTTCATAAATTAGTCAGTAGGGGTCACATACAGGCAGGCAGAGATTATGTTTAAATGATGCTGCTGCTGCTGCTGCTGCTGAGACACACCCAGATTCCTCTCTCTCTCTCTCTCTCTCTCTCTCTCGCTCTCTCGCTCTCTCTCTCTCTCTCTCTCTCTCTCTCGCTCTCTCTCGCTCTCTCGCTCTCTCTCTCTCTCTCTCTCTCTCTCTCTCTCTCTCTCTCTCTCTCTCTCTGTGTATTTTCATGGTGTGTTTTACTTGCTGTAAGCTGCTATGATGCAAAAGGTGGTAAGGTTTGTTAAGTGAGTGAGAGAGAGCATGCATTGGAGTGTGAAGTGCTCAGTTAATAAGCTACGAGGGGAGAGTGAGGCATGAAGGACTCTGATATCAATTCATGTCACTTGAATTCCTGAATCTTTATCTCTGTACCTTTAATTGAGCTGCGATTATGTTCATCCCCGAGCAAATGATCTCCCAAAACAGATAGTGTTTTATCCCTCAAGGTCATTCAGGATATGAGTGGAGCGTGTGTTTGCAGATAAATTGCTTATTTTTGAGGATTTCTGCGTCCACATCTTGGACTGTAATCCTCACTGATCTCCTGTCTTCGACTCCACGCTGACGATTCACCGCTCTAATTTCCAAACTGCCTGTAGTCTGTAATCTCTCCTCATGAACTTCAGTCATCCTGCAGAGCGATTTAACTTCAAAGAGGGCCAATTTGTTCGAATGTGCAGCAGAGAGTATAACATAAGCCACCATGACACGACCCTGTTGCCTCGCATCTTCACACCAGAGTGCGTGTGGTGTCACTGCTCGTGGCAAACGCTGAATTTGGTCGCAATCCACCACATGTCTCCGGCCTTGTGAGTCATTTTGCAATATTTGCTCCTACAGCACACATAGGGGGGACATTTTGTAATCCCCTCCTCAAAGATTATATGAGTAAAAGAGTGTAAGAGCCCATGCTGCCACCGTGTCATGGCTCCTGTCGTTCTTTTTCTCCTGGGCTGACACCTCTGAGCTGGCTTCCTCTGGCCCAAATTTCCCCCTCTGAGGGTCGTGCTGCGCCGAGCTCGAGCCCTGCAGGCGGCCAACTACAAACATGCAGTGACAATTCAAATCAGTCCAGTTCACTGGCTCTGGCTGTGACTCAGGACACTGAGCGCCAGGCGGAAGAGATGCAAACCGCCAAGCTGCACGGTGACAGATAGGAAAGGGGGAGAGACGCGAGAGAGGATGCAGAGGATCAGGCAGTTTTATGAGTGTTTCACCTGGTTTATGGCCCAGTTTTAGCTCAGCACTTTGTGCAGAGAGACTTAGACTGGAGCAACGCCAGGTCCATTTGCAAGCCTAAGTAGTCTGATGCACGGGCACCAACCGCAGCAGAGGATCCGTCAGGAGTATTGTTATGCAAGCAGGAAGAGAGCAGTCCTACTTTGATCCAGACATCGGACGGAGGCAGGAGTGCTGTGGTCCTCCCTGCTGTTTGCTGTCCCATCTGAGGATTCTTACAGCGGACACTGCACTGAGCTGGCACAGGGAGAGGAGCAGCGACTCTTCAGAATAAAAGCATGACAGGGATGGACTGACAGACAGCTGAAAAACCATCACTCAGGTTGGCACTTTGATCGCCAAGTCATCATCGTAGCTTCTGTTTCACTCACTAAGTTTGTCGACCCCATCGTAGGTAAGTTGTCTTTGTTGAATATTAAGGATAAGATATTAAAAATTAACTCCAGTGTGACAGGCTGTTTGCTCAGTTTGATTTATCAGTTAATAAGGATGCTCAATCACTTCATTTTCCATGATCCACCATGACCTTGTTGCAGCTCCGTAAAACAAAAAGCACTATGACACTATGGTGTTTGTAGAGCATGTGAGCACTTGGCAGACGCGGTCCTTTAACAATAAACAACAGTGTCCCATGGTTTCTGTCACATGTGCGGCTGCAGGCGCAGAGGGAGGCCTGAAGAGAGAGCAGGACACGGTCATGCTGCAGAACTAAATCCTGCAAAGACTTTGCGGTGGTCTCTTGCTGGACTTTTATTGTCCTGCCCGGCACGGGGAGTTATGTTCTCAGTAATTGTCTGGGATGTACTGCTGACTCATAGCAGTGTGTGTGTGTATTTGTGTCTCCCAGAGTGTGTGTGTGTGTACAGGCTCTCTCATTGCACCACACTACTCATCTTCTTAGTGTACTCTGAGACCGTGATCATTCATGAAATCCTGTCTGATGTCCTTATTAAAGAGTGAATCAGCAAGAGCCGTTCATTCAGAGGGAATGTCTTTGAAACGCGAGACTCAGCTCTCTTCTTTTACATATTTTCTTAATTAACTGCTTTCATTACAGACGAGTATCACAGGAACTCAGTCATTTATCAGTGCTGCTTCAATACATTGTAAATTTCATACCCTAATGTTGTTTCTCTATACGTTAGTAATATTTAAAGCTACCTGCAGTGATTGATCTTCTATTAAGAAATGATCACATGACTGGATATTATGCTTGTGCACAGAGATGATTGAATTATCTGAATGAGTCTCCTCTCAGTTCTACTCATTAGATTAGCATTTTTCAGCAAACAGCCCCCCTCCCTCTCTAGCTGCTCTGCATCTTTTTTTTTAGTTCAGTTTGCAGCTTTCTTCATAGTCCTGTCAGATGTATAAAACGGTTTCTTTAGGTTAAATAGATCCCAAAAGTTGTAGTCATTAAACTCAGATTATGCTGCTGTAATTAAAAGAGAAATGATCTCGGCCAAAAAACATCTTTAAGGGTGGTAGTGTTAGACAGTTAGAGTATTTATGGAAAATTTACAAAACAACTCTATCATGCAAACTGTAAACTTCATTGGCGCTCTCACTTGACTAACTTACTGTCATCATTCATTTTGAATGATGGTCAAAGTTACGTTTTATCATCGTCACGAGGCCGGCGACAGATTCCTGTGGGTGTGTGAAAACTTCTTCTTTAAGCAATCTAGAGCTACACACTGTCCTCAAACATCTTTTCATGAAAACTCCCAGACCGGCACTTATCCTCACTCTCGTCTTACGCTCCCTCAGATACGATGTGCCGCTGTAGCTACACAGTGCAGTCAAGACAAGTTAGCTAGCTTGTCTTTCTCTTTTGCTTCATCTTGCGTCTGTTTTATGGCAGGTAAAGAATCAATATCATTATACTAGGGTGACTATACATCCTCTTTTACCCGGATGTGTCCTCTTTTTTGGGGGCTGTCTGGTCTTGTCCGGGTGGAGTTTATAAAATCCTTCAAATGTCAGGGGTTTTGTGTATAAGTTTTGAGTTTGTGTCGCGTGGAATTACTGAGTTAGTAGCGCGTAAAAAATACAACCTGACCCGAAAAACTCTAAAAGTTAACAACCTGCAACTTTGTGACTCCGCCTCTGCGTAGTCGTGTCCTCTTTTTGGGGATTCAGAATATGGTCACCTTAATTATACAATTTTATTGCAACAGCCCTATGTTTACACATTAGATTATTGTATGATAACAGTTTATTTATTTAACCTTCAGTCAAGTTTCCAGAGTTTAAGTACAGACAAATCTGAGTTTGTTACCTGTTACCTTAGTCCTCTCTAAGTGATCTATCTGAAGAGTCACAGGACCCCCAGAGTCCGTATTGTTTTTTTCCTCTGGGATCTAAAAGTATTTGATCTCATGCTAATCAGCAACACAGGTTTTCAGTGTGATATTTCACATGAAAGATGTTTTTTTTTTTGTAAAGTTTTTTAAACCCCCCTGCTGCTGTGCTACGACACACTCTGGTTGGTGTAACAACACATTGAAGCTCCACTATCACAGAAACATTATCTTGAGTGTTTCCTGGTTATCAGTGCAGCATAACGCACAGAGTCCAGACCATACAGTAATTTAATTTTACATAGGGAGTCCATGCATGGATCTGGAAACACCACTAATGGGGGGTGATGTCATCTCCAATAAAAAAGATCTATTATGTGTGCAGCGCCTGCACTTTTGAACTTAACTCTCTTCACTGTCACTCTTATTTAAAGTGCAACAACAGAAATAGTGTCCTGTGGTAAGAAATCATCGATCATGGTGGATAAAAACGCTGCAGCATGTCCAGGACTCAGAGCAGACTCTGCACATGTGAAACAGCTGCTTTTCAGCTTCCTTCTTCTCATCCCTCCTTTCAGTGACAAAGCAACTGCTGCAGGCGCTGTGGTCATGTTGATGTACTGCAGGGTAAATCCAGCTGATTCTAAATTACATATATCATCAAAATAATCATGATGATTATGAAATTATAGCAAACGCATGTGCAGGGATTTTTATGAGAGGATGTTTTCAAATACCACTGAGCAAACTCTTCACAGGGCGATTTTTGTTCCCTTGTAAATGCCACGTCTTGCTCTCTCTCTCTCTCTCTCTTTCTTTCTGTGCGTGTGTGTGCGTGCGTGTGCGTGTGTGTGTGTGTGTGTGTGCTCGTGGTTTATCTGGTTTGGAAAGTCTAGTCCGCAGACACGCTCCAGTCGCAGACATGTTCCACCTTGGCTAACCCAAAATGACGTGTGCTGGTTCTGGAAAAACAACATAATTCATATTTTATGTTTTCTGTATTAAAGTGTTACACAATATTGAGCCGCGATCAGAACAAGAGATTTAATATCAGAGAGAACATGTCACACAAGGTGAGGATGACTCTTGACAGTAGATACTGAGTGCAGAGGTTCAGATTGAGCTGCAGGGTCAGTCGTTGAAACTCTGCCTAAAAATGTCAGGGGTGATCTTTTACCCAAATGTTTGTTTCCAGTCTGAAGTTTTGTGTTTGATACAAACAAAAATCAGATTTTAACTGAATATAAGTGCCGTTGTAAGCTGTCCAACATGCAGAAATAGCATGTACCGCAAATTTGGATGTTTAAAAAATAGACAAATAGACCAAAAAGTTGCATTGACAGCAAAAACACTCCAAATAAACAAGGCAAAGTCAGTATAAACAAATCCAGTTAACAGGCTGTACATTCAGATACTACAGTGTTTGTCCATTAGGGCTGGGTGATATGACCTCAAATCAATATCACGATATATCAGTTTAACTTGATGACAATAAATGGACGATAACTACTCCACAAGCTGCTCAGCCCCTCCCACATTAACTTCGTCTACTTCAGCCGCTACAACTTTCTCTCCGTCCTCCATCTCCTCACCTGTGTTTCCCTCTTTGTTACGGACTGGATGGGGTGGAGTCACGTCTCTGACGTAGGACAGCGTCTTAAAGGGACATGAGACCATAGCCTACCTACACACATCCAAAACCAACTTTGATTTATTTATATTTTTTGACACCAAATATACCGATATAGGCAAAATGATGTTGGTTATTGTCGGACATTTCGGTATTGGTAAATTTTTGGTTTATCGCCCAGCCCTTTTGTCAATATTAGCTCCTTCTTCCTAATCAGAACCATCCAAGTCGTAGAAGGGTTAACCTTCACTATAGTTTTCACTTGTCTTTTGAAAGAGGACAGTATACATGTGAAATTATTTTAAATGGCTTTGTCCAACATTTCAGAATCATGTTTGATTTCGTATTTCCAACACTTCAAAATATTCACATTTACACTCTATTCAGAGTGTGCCAACAACCAACTGTCGTCACACAAACATAATTCATTCATACTTTTTTCCTGGATGTCAAATAAACCAGCATCTTCTTATCAAGCTATCATTTGTCAATACTGATCCTACAAATAATCCTACAAATTTATGCCCAAATCATCGTCGTCATGGTGGTCTGTTTAAACTGTGTTGTTTAATGTAGTTGGTTGAAGTTATCAACTCCTGACAATTCATTAAAATAATAGATTCTGATTGGTGCCGGCTGTACCTGACATGCAGTCAGAGTCCATGTATGAATAATCTGACCTGAGCTGCAGAAGCCTGATGAAGTGCTGCTGCTCTTCAGTCTTTAGTCTTGAGGTTACAATTTATATCACAGCTGGGTGACATGTTCACATCCTCCACGGTGAACTGACATTTCAGAGCAGCTTTCCTCCCTCGAGTGAACTGAAGATGAGTTAAACCCGACTTTAACTAGAGAACCAGAAAGGCTCTGGGTGAAAACAGAGCGTGAGGAACTTGAAGCTGGTGTCTGTATTCGAGGCATCTGAGTGACGTGTCTGACGTTTAGAAGAACAACAGGCTCAAACACCTGACTGTGTGAACTTGAGAAGCTGTTATGGAGACACTGCTGCTTGTGTTTTAATCATCAGCAAACAGGAAATGGGACTCTAAGGATGAGATGTAGAGAGTGACAGATTTTAAATGTATTCATTTATGAGGGACCTTTGGGTGCTGATGAGTCATCATGTCTAATCCTAGGTGAAGTCCAATTCAGACTAGCAGGGGTCACACCACTCTGAATTCACAAGTCAATTAACAAGTTAACTGAGTAGGGGTGGGCGATATGGGCAAAAAAAATTATTGTGATAAGGTAGGGCTGGGCAATAAACTTAAAATTGACCAAAACTGAAATTTACATCAATAACTAACGTCATTTTGCCCATATCGGTATATTTGGTGTCAAAAAATTATATCAAATAAAAGTTGGTTTTGGATGTGTGTAGGTAGGCTTGGTAGCGGCTGGAGTGGCGGCAGAAGTAAAAGAAGTTAATGTGGGAGGGGGTGAGCAGCTTGTGGAGTAGTTATCGTCCATTTATCAATATATTGTGATATTGATTTGAGTCCATATCGCCCAACCCTACGATAAGATTTGCCATTCTGGCGATACTGATTAAGTCCTGATAAAAAATTCTAATTCCTGTCTATATTTTTGACTCATTTTCTCTTGAGAAAACCAGTTGGAGTTTTCAAATAAGATAATGAACCATAACGATAAATTTTGAATGATAATTTATCGCCCACCCCTATAATTGACCATAAATAGATTTTAAAAAGTCTTTATCTTTCTCATGAATAATGTATTTAATGTAAACATGCGATACTTTCCCACTCAGCATGTGCACATTTTACCTCTTGGATGGAACCCCAAATATCATAACAATGCTTTCACACTATTCTCATGAAGTCAGATGAAGCTAACTTTCTGCTTCCCTCAGATCAATTGGTGCCAAATTATCAGTGAAAAAAAAAGAAAACATCTTTTTGGACACGTTACAGGGATTGTGTAAAACATAAAGAACAATAGACACAGAACTGTGTGTTAAAGCTTATATTAACTCCTCCACATTCATTTATTTATCACACCTTATTTTAGTGCCACATCTTTGAACAATCTTATCACGCTTCAGATTTTTTCTTTTAGTCAAAACCCTCATTTACGACGTCCAGTACAGCCTCCTCCTCTGTGATCGCCTTAAATAAATATAATATAAGAATTCAGAGTTCACTGCCATGATCAGATAAATCTGTGTGATCAGAAATATGGTCGGTGATTCACAGATTGCAGTCACGTTTGGTTTTGACAGGATTAACAAGTATCACAGATGAACAGAGCTCCCTCAGGTAACACTAATGTCATGCTAATGAGCTTTAAAAGTACTTTGGTTCTAACATATTGTAGATCCTGCTGACAGATGGAGAGGGTCAGTATTTCACTTAGTGTTCCTGGTTCTGTGGTGTTAAAGAGCGAGCGCAGTGGTGCCACTGAGAGCCATATGCACAGGGTTTCCACTCCAAGCATTTAAAAGCCGTTTCCACTAATCGACTCCTGCTCTGGTGGCTGAAGCTGTTATTAGTATAAACTGTTATTTCATTTGAATGGAAACCTTCACACATGTCTGTTCAGCACATTGTTATGCAATAGCACCCTGGCTGAAAATATATACAGTATTTTCCACTTTTCTACCCAGAGTGCCCTGTAGCTGAGAAGAGAAAAGTCCTGTATTATTTAGTCTGCAGCTGCTGATGCGAGCTGACAGTGACGACAGCTTTCAGGGTGGAGAGGAGCGGATTCTCAACAGGTCAAATAAACCGACTTTGACTGAAGCAGCTGAGGAAACGACTTCTCTCAGTCCTTATCTGACATTTGGAGGAAACTGTACGTCTGCAGTCACACGGAAACCTGCTGAATTACCAAAACACTGCAGTGACATAAACATGAGACATAAACATTTTTCTTTAAAATATACCTGAAAAAGTGAGAGTCTCAAATTTGGACCAGTATTAAAGATAATTCATCTAAAACAGTGCTTATAAACACCACAAATACTTGATTTATGAGGTGTCTTTTAAATGTGTTAAGCTCAAAACATACTGGCAGTTCTACAAAAATACTGATCTCATTAAAAGGTTGGATATTTTGGGGATATGTTTACATAACAGCAAATCCTAAAACCTGATCTTGAATTTAGGAGTTTTAATGACAGGTGCAAACAAAGGGAAGTTCCAGATTCTGTGCAAGAAATAACACACAAATTTAAGTTCATATGTTATTAATTTTTTTGTTTATTTTGTCTGTAATCAGTGAACTGGCAGTTTGGAAAAAGATTGTGTAGAGGTGGGCGATGAAATCAAATTTCAGTAAAGATCATTGCTCCCAGGTTTCATGAAAATAGGACATTTAAAGTTGAACAGTTACTGTTCTGCCTGCTGTGTTGCACCAGTATCTTTATAGTAAACAGAGCGCACCTTTCCTTTCTTTCTTCACAGCATAGTATTTCTCTGCCCTTCCCTACAAGCTGCTCCCGCTTTCGCTTCATCATTATTAGCTCAGATTTAACAAAGTTCAGATGTTTCTGATGTCTCCAAAGTTAATGGTGAACGCCTATATTGTCAGCATGTTGATGCACAGTCCCTCTCAAAACTATTTCACATGACTTTTTGTAAATCAGTGCCATCCAATTAGACGATTAGCTAATAAAGAGGTTTTAGGTTCTTGTAAATGAATGAGATGCAGATTTCTGATGGTGAGAAATCATGTCCTCTAATCGTGATCTCAGAGTCAAAAGATTGTGTTTACTATTTTTCATTTTTCTGTTTAACTCCCTATTGACTCAGTGTTTGTTTTCAGTTTACACAGTCCTGTCCGTTCATATGTTTTCAATAAGATCTAATGCAGAAAAGCCAAGAGCGCCATCATGATTTCCTTTCCAAGCCTTTTTCCTGTGAGCCTTGGGGGTGAAAGTGAAAAATCGTGTTTTCTTTGCTTATGCATGAACTGATTAATTTGCTTTATTCTGGGCTTTGCTGCACAGTTTGAAGGGTTATTAGGGTTATTTCAGATGCACCTATCTCCCCCCCATCTGTTCTAATGACCCGGTTCACAGACCGGTGGTCCAGCACAGAAAACTGCCCACACTTTGAGTCATCACTGGTATCTGCAGTATGCTGTGCAGAGCGTCTCTCTGTTTCTGCGTGAGCTCCACTTCACCTCAGAGAACTGTGTCGGTTGCGTAACAGCAGCAGAACTGCAGAGGCAGGTTGTTTCAGTGCACACATGGGAATCTGAAATACAACATCCTGCACCGCTCAGGATTCGTTCCCTGATCCTTAGGAGGCCGTTTCGACTTTTAATTTCAGGTTAAATAGAAATAATTTATGTCAGAGCAGCAATGCAACCTGGGATATTACATGTGGAGCGGCCTCATTGACCTCGCTCAGTGTTAAAGCTGCCGACACTGCCAGTTTAAAAGGCATCTGATGAAATGATGCTGAAAATTAGGATGTTTAAACTTTAAATTAATCAAAATCTGTAGCTGGATATGTTTGATTTATAGTAAAGCATAATAACAGGTCTCTGCATGATTAAATCTGTCCACAACACAACCATCAAATAATGAGATACTGAACAGAGAAGTTGGGGGATAAAAAACTTAAGCTAAAAGTTAAAAGTTTGTGAACATTGTTGTTAATTTAACATTTAACAAAGATGGCAGTTAAAGACCTGAAAAGTGCAAATGCTGATGCATTAACCAGAGACCACTGAACATCTGAGTATGGAGTCAAAAGGAGGCCAGGAAGCACTGCAAACACAAGTGAGGAACTGGAAAGAAAAAATAATAATTGTAAATGTAAGTGAAGTATTGTAAACAAGAAAATAAATTATAGATAAGTCACTGAATTTTTAAAAATACAGTATTTTTGGCTTTTACAATATTTTTCTACATTGACAAAACTTCTGCATTTACAAAACATTCTGGTCTCTCTTTGACATGAGAGCAGGGTTAGATGAGTAGTTTGTCCAGAGAGGAAAACTTAAACAAAACCACAGAAGAAGAAGAAAAAGTCAAGAAGTCAAGCTGCACTGACAGAGAGCCTTAGTCAGGCTCGCAGGTGTCAAGAGTAGGTACAGCAGACAGACAGTCGGACTTGAGGAGCTCAAGTCGGGCAGCAGCCTTAACGTATAGAGCAAGCCCAGGACATGGCCGGGTTATATCAACATTCAGTTTTAAGGATAAGTCTCATATAACCCGGTCCACAATTGTTTTGAAATGCAGAAAAAGTTTTGTAAATGTAGAAAAATAAGTTTTGTAAATGCAAAAAATAGCTTATTTTTAGAAACTCAGTGATCAATTATATGTATTTTTTGCATTTGCAGTGCTTCCTGGCCTCCTTTTGACTCCATATCTGAGTGTTTAAAATGATCTTAAAACGACTGCACACCATCCTGACACTGATTGGATTTACTTTACATGTATTCCTACATACATCTTAATGTTTAACAGAGTTATTATTGACATGATATAGAATTAAAACTCTGTATTTTACAGAAAAAAGCACTTAGAGGCTGTTTCCTAACCCTTAGTCGTGGTTTCAAACCGCTCTGGTGTACCAATGCTGCATTTATTTGAATAATAAATCAAAAAGCCAAGAACATAAAACACACCACATTTCCCTCATTAGATCCCTAACTCTAGAGAGGAACCGCTCTTCACTGTTAATGTGGATTTAAAAACAGTTTTGAAATGCAAAATAGAACATGATTTAAAACAATCGTTTAACAGCCCTCATTAAAAAGGATTTTGGCTCCAATCATCACAAAGTTTCCAAAGTTGCTCGTTCACAGATGTTGCCTCACAGGGTGAAGTCTTTCCTGTCAGATGAGCGCGGTGGTAGGATGATGAGTCAAAAATGAACAAAAGTACGCTCTGAAAGCCTCAGTGTGATGTTTACAACAGACAAAGAGAGTTTGTGCATTTATATCAATATTACGTGTAAAAATGGACAAATGTGCAGACGTCCAGATGATTCTTTTTTAAACCTTCTGCGCTTTTCTTCGTCATCCTGTCTCCAGATTCGGACCACTCACACGATGTTAGCATCATCACCCCCAACCTCTCACTGACAGTGAAGTTCCTCCTGTTTTCTCCCATCGGCTCAGCCTGAAAATAGTCTGTCAGGACAAGTTTCAGAAATAGATGCTGTAAATAAAGGTTTGACTGTTTGTTTTCACACATGCAGCTGACCCCAAAAAAGTTAGAGTATTTTTAAGAGTCAGTTCATGTGAAACTACAGCTGCAGAGAAATGTCCATGACTTAAAGGTGGGGTCAGCAGGAATCCGTTAAAGAAGCATCTTTATTTTGTGATATATTTACAAAAAAGGTTTTAATATCAGTCAATCGTTATTAGTTATTGATGACATTTGACATTAACATTTTTGAGCGGTCCGCTCTTTCTGACTGTAAACAAAGCCGTTCTCCACCTCCTGTAACCTGATTGGTTGTGAGGCAGACGCTGCTCCCCCGTGTCGTTCAGGAGCCCAAACAAAGTTAGCGTGCTACAATATCGGACAGTAGAAACCAACCAGAAAGTTCGGAAAATTGTCTGAATCCTCCTTTAGCCACGACTGCCGACACAAGCAAGAAAACAAAGTAAATACCGGAGACTCTGGAGGAGCAGGAGCGTCTGTTTGTGGGCGGGGCTTGCTGGAGTAGAGAGGGAGGCGAGAGGAGGAGCTGAGGGGAAAACTGATTGGAGGGGTAGAGTTTACATTCAAGATTTCTCCTAAAAACTGGAACTTCCTCAGATCCTGACTACACCACATTTAAACATGTCAAAACGGAGGGAGAGAGTTTTCCATCATCGGTGTTATTTCTGACCAACCAGAGCCAGCGGCCCATGGCTGCCTGACGCTGAGTCATTACTGGGTGTGGATGATGTCACAACCTTACTGACCATGTTTAATCACTTCAAGTGATTTATGAGGGATAAACCTCCGTAATGGGCCAACAGATTAACTCAGCTGCTTAAATCCCCGCTATAATCTCCCGTGCCACAAAAACCACAGGGGGAGCTGTAATCTAAAAACAATATGTTAGTGTTTAATGTTCCTCTGGTAATCTCTTACTGACTGATGATTACCAAACATGACAAACTGAGTGAAGAGGGAAATATGAAGGTGATGACAAGACGGATTAACATTATTCACTCAGTGTACATCGTGCTTTTTGGAAGTGAAGAAGGAGAGCGAGGCAGCTGTGAAGTAATGAGATTAGGATGTGTGATGGATGAGGAAGGAGAGTTGGACTGTTATCGATGTTCAGAGATAATTTAATCAGGGAAACTACAGCAGGAAATGCATTCTTCAGATCTGCAGGAGTGAGGTCATGTTAATTTGTGGTACAGCTTTAAAAAAATCCTCTCTCCAGTTTGTGTTTGTCCGGGAGCAGCACAGTGACACACTGATCTACTTCAGTCTGACTGGAATCAAGTTTGACGTTTGGCTCGCTGCCACATTTGCAGGTCAACAAAAACACGACTATGAAATCAGCTGTGCGCACACATCTGAGATTACATTAGTAAAGATTATATAACCTCACCTCCCGAGAAATCATTTTAGAATTAATAACAAAACCTTAAAACTCTGATCTATTTGTTTAATTTCTTATAAAAATGCACTAAATGAGAAATCGAGCTCTAACACACCCTCGCCCAGACTCTGTTCAGCTCTGACCTGCACCAAGTCTCCGCAGTAGTTGTGATTATAACTCTCTTTTCTGTTTGCCTTTTTCACTTGGCAAACCTTTTTTTTTCTTTTTTTAAAACTCAATCTCTCTTTCCAGACCTCAGGCACCCACAAAAAATAACTACAACTGACAGGCTCTCGTGTGCAGAGGCAGCGAACCCTGTTTTCACTTTGTCTACAGATAGTTTTCCCATGCTCTGTGCAAAATTACATTACCCTTTTAATGTCTTTTAAAACGTTGTTGCAGTAATTCATTCAGAATACTTAACTACTTTTTTTTTAGCCTGAAACTCATAACTAGACCGTGTGAGTGCACAGCCATCATAAAAGCCAAGCTAACATCTTTGTTTATGATTTTCTGATCAGCACCAAACTAATCAAAATATACATCTAGGGCTGTAGGAGAGGTAAATGTTTTATAGATCAGTGGTTATAAACATAGCTAATGAAAAAGGTCGTGTTTGACCAGGTTATAGTGCCAGATAAAAAATTGGGTGACAGATTTTTTGGCACATAAACACTTTTTACAGTTTTCTGATTTTGTCTTTGTGTAAATATTTGTCAAATATTTGCATGATTTCAGACTCAACGTGCCAGTCGTATGTTGTATTCAAGCTGCAGAAAACCATAAAACCACGTGACCTAACTGTGAAACCAGCAGAGGCATGTAGACATGAACATGAAAGTGAGTGGTGCTAGCTCTGCTAACTGTAGCCACTCTCAGCTGACCGATCTGACTTTGAGTCCTTGTTTTTATCGATGTGTGGTAAATGTGTTTTTGTTTTCTGGATGTTTTCTTACAAGAAGACCGATTTCTGTTTGGATGACAGGGAAACGGTCAGCTTCAGGACATCCTCCTGGGACCATGACCGTCTCAGTTTCATGGGAGAAAATAAGATGGTTTTTTTGACAGCTGAGTGGTGGACGTTAACGCATTCAGGTTCATTTATACAATTTTCACCCACTGCCACTACTGACCGCAATAGAAATTTCTCTCTTTCAGGACCCACTGAATATTTTGTGCTTGGACTAGAATTATTTGCAAAATCTCAAAAGAAAGGGGTGACTCTCTTCTTTTTCCAGAAAACAAAGTTAGTCTGGAACCCACTCCTGTGTTTAGTAATTGCCTGCTCAATGCAGTGTGTTCATATCATCATCATCTGGAAAAAGAAACCTGGAAAAAACGCATGTTTTCGGGGGAAGACTTTAAAGCCGAACTCTGATCGTCAATTTCATTTCACTTCAAACTACTTCATCTGTGGCATCAAGGTCCTCCCTTCTCTGAAACTACTCCTTATCACTCACGAGATCCGTTTGTGATAGGTCATGTTGTGATGGCTGGGAGTCGAGAACCTGACACCATGATCTAAACCACACGGACTGCTCATGTCCTCCTCGCCAAGACTGTCGCTGAATTCCGGCTCAGTCTCACTCACCAGTACCGGCACCAGCGGAACAACGACACACCGGTAAATTGTTTCTTTGACTGTCTGCTGACGATGTGAAGGTCCGGTACCGGGATCTCCACTGGATCCAGAGGCAGTAGCAACACGCCCACAGGAGCTGATGCACAGAGACCATTAGCTCTTGACTAATGACTTCGGCATTTTCCTACTCTTCTCAGAAAAAAACACTCCACAACTCGGCTAACAGGCACACTTGATGTCACACTTTTCACCGGCGAGTACTTGTGTTTGTTACTGTAACATGGTTTTGACCTATTTGTCGGCGTTTCTGCGTTCAGAACGACCACAAATTTTGACGCATATTGGGGAGGAGCGCCCTCTTATTCACTCAATAAGTGAAGTCATATACCCCCCAAAAAAATATAATTTTTGTGTTTCTGTCTGATGTTTTGAACAAATTCACCACAAAAGTAACCCAAGGCTTTTCTGGCTTCTGTTAGATTTGCAGCTCTGACCTCGTCGTGACTGGATAGACTTAGAAAAAAGTTTTCCATTCAAACGTCTGAGTTGTTGTTGTTGTTTTTGTGAGAATTCAGCTGTTCAGAGAGTCTCAAATATCTGATAAACATCAGCGCTGGAGGGAAAACTTCAACACAAAGAGCAGCTTATGAACCGTCACAAACAAAAGAGGTTTACAGTCTGATCTGGTTTCACATACAGTGTGTAAACAGATCCATTTACTCTCATGTTTATGATGGGACCGTATCTTTATGTGCACATTTATGACCCCTGCTGTGTCTCCTCCAAAGTTTCAGAGCGAGGACACCAGAGAAAACAGCCGTAATCAGGAAACTGGGACTTGGTGCTATTTTTAAAAATGAGATCAGGCCTCTTGAAAACCTAGATAGTAAGACAATCTGGAGAAAATTGAGTTATGGAGATAATGATGCACTCGTTCAGCTCTATTATCTGTCAGTGCAGCTCGGCTGGGATGGGGAGGAAGTGGAGCGCTGAAATATCTTCAGTGATGGGAAGAAGTGACTTTTTTTGGGAGGTGGCACCTCATCAGAAAACATTTGGCATGAAGAATAATTACAGAAGACATCAGACGCTTCGATGATAATGATGATGTTGGAGCTTTGGTCAACTCCAGCTTAAGCCGGTCCTCTTTCTTTTTTCCAGAATGGATTTATAACATTGAGAAAATAAGCTCCTCGATCTCACATGACTACTTTGCTCTGCTTTTCAGAGAGTAAACTGAACCTCGGCTGCCATGTTGTCGGTCTGGTTGAGTATCTTTAGCTTCACCCTCAGGCTGATGATAGGTTTGGAGGACTGTAGCAGCTTCAGCTCCTCGTCCCGGCGGCGGGATGCTTTGATGGCGGCTCAGTGAAACTCTTGACATGTTACAAAGAGGCTCAGAGTCAGACTGTCACAGAAATACGAGCCCCAGGGGGGAAACAAAGCATGATGTCACCAGACAAACGAAATGTGAGTCACTAATACATCTGCTCATAATAGGGGAAACACTCTACCGTATATATATGTGTGTGTGTGTGTGTGTGTGTGTGTGTGTGTGTGTGTGTGTGTGTGTGTGTGTGTGTGTGGGAGTGTGTGTTTGTGTGATATGAGCCTTAGAGGATCAGAGGACATGTAGTCTCTCCTTCTCTGTCTCACTGGTCTGTTATGGTCCGGCATCGATTTACCCCTCTCTCCCTGTAAAGCAGCACAGGGGTCTAAATTGTGTTACTGTATCATAAAGTAAAGTGAAGCTCTACGCTGAGAGAGCGAGTTATTCTGCAGCACACCTCGACACACTGTAGACGTCTGACTGTGGCTGAACTGGAGGTTTACTGATACTGGACATGTACTCAGTCAGGTAAGACAAAGCATGATGTCTGATTCAAGATTGTTGCTGAAATTCAGAGTAGAGATTTGTCAGCAGTGTACCACAATTTCAGTTAATCAACTTTAAGGGGGAAATTGCACTTCAGTAGCATTTTGAGAAAGTCTGTAAATAGCTTAAGGTCATTGATTTAGATCACAATGTCATTTCACAAATACGAATCACACACCAGTAGGGGTGGGAGAAAAAATCGATTTACATAAGTATCGTGATTTTTTTGTTTTACAATTTTATAAACCGATTTTTATGTTCAAAAATCATATTTTTTTAAAGTCTTAAAAACTGACTTACCTGTGATGTATATTTTTTGGGGAAATATGGTTCCTGTCATAGTCAGTAGACAATCATAATCATCCAACTGTTTCACTGGTGCAGACAGTAATGCAGACTAAAAATCAAGAAAATTGACAATATCGTAGAATCGCAATTTAAATCAAATCGGCATCCTAAAAATCGTAGAAAAATCGAATCTGTAGAAAAGCATGTTGTTCCAGCCCTACACACCAGTGGAGGACACACACTGGGAGCAAAGAGGGTTAAGTGTCTTGCTAAAGGACACAACGGATAGACTAGGGATAGTCCTGTACCTCCTAAGCTACTACCGCTAATTGTATTTCTAATAAATGTTAAGTAGTTAATTACGTCTAAAAGAAGAAGGAAAAACATGCAGAGCACTCTTGTTGAAAGGAGTAAATTATCTGATAGATAGTGGCGAGAGGGCTGGGCGTTATGCTGCTCACTTCCTGGATGATTGCTGTGGCTCCACAAACTCTCCTCTGGGACTGTAACGTTTTACCATCAGTCTGTGCCAACAGGTGCTTCATTTACCTCCAAGGTCAGAGGTCTTAGCTGCTGATGAGAGTTCATGCTGTCCTTAACATTGTTAGCTAACTTAGACAATAACAGCGAACTGTGTAATAGCTTGTGCATGAAAAGAAATTCCGATGTCCACAAGTGTATTTAATTGAATAACTCAAATCAAGACGAAGTTTCCTTTTTACGGCTCAGGGACCATCTCGGGTTTGGAGCTCTTGTTGTAGCTCAGAGTTTCCAAGGAGGACTTCTGGCTGAAGGAGGCTTTCCTATCCTAGGGCACCGAAAGAAGTGCAGCATATTGTTAGAAATAATGGCAAAGGTTTGTGGTTTCTCCTGTCTTAGTTGGCGCTGGACTTTGGAACACTTTGAAATAGATGCTGCTTGTGTTGGACTGTAAAAAACCTAAATACCTCCAAGCTGTTGGAGTCGAGGTTTCTTTCATGTGGACAAGGATTTCGTTGAGTTTTAAGATGGTAAAGAAGGACTGTGTTTTCATCAGTGTTGCTATCCCTTATATCAACTGTGTTCCCCGTCTACAACAAATGTCTGTACACTCATTCACCTCTAGATCAATATGAACGGCTGTTTTTTCATCTCCATCTTCTCTCAAATCAGGTGGCAGCTCACACTTAAAACACGTTAGCGTCCCTCTTTTTCAAAGTTTGGTGGTTTATTACAGATTTAAAGCTATCCAACATAAATCACAGGTTTGTTACATTTCTGTCCAGATAAATCGTATAATAATATTATCATTTTATCTCCCAGCCATTAGTGATGATGCTAACATCGTAGACTAATCACAGTAAAATCCTGGTACAAAACGAGACAAACTTCAAATTATGTTTTAATTCTTTCAGCATTAGTGTCTGTTTCGGCTCGATGACTTGGCATGATGTAGGGCTGCACGATTAATCGATTTTAAATAGTAATCGGATTATCTCATTATTACGATGTTAAAAAAATTCAAATCCTCAAATTCACAGTCTGTCTGAAGGCGGTAATAACCTGTTCACACGGAAACTAATTCAGGAGTAAACGCTTAAGTTTTTTGTCGTATCAGCGTTTCATCATGTGACACACAGCGTAACTCTTTTATGGCACCTGAGCGTGTCCGACCAAAACAGCATTTATACACATGCTCTCTACTCTTCTTCTGTCTTTTGTGTATTTCCTGTGCAGCGTTACAGCGCCACTTACTGGCTTGGCATATGTACTACATCGTACTTCAGCGGTTTAGTTTTGAGAGATGATAGAAAAACTTTTTATTAATGTGTAGTTATTAACATTATTGCTCAGTCTTATGTTGTCACTGTTCTCAACAAGGTTAGATTTTATGTCAGTTTTTATTCCTTTATTAAGACTTTATCTTTACTACAAAAACACAGATGCTACATCCAACAGGAGTTAAAACGTTAGAAAATTAAAAACAGAGGATAATTTACCATCTGAGAAAGGTGTAGGCTATAAGGCACAAGCGTTACATAAATACCCCTTTATGTGCCATTTATATACATGCCTGTTTTATTTGCATTTCTGTGGGTGTGTTGTGTATTTCTGAGGCAGGATTTTAAAGCACATCAGATTTTGAGGCTTCACTTCATGAATAAGAAATGAGGAGGAGACGTATTTCAGTCAGAGGACACATGAGGACAGGCAGTTACTGCTGATGTGAGTTTAACCAACAGGATTCATCATTTAAAGAGGCTGAAAAGTTGACAGTCAGGACTTTGTTTTTGTCATGCAGCCCCTGGAAGTCTCTGCAGTGTGACGTGTTTTTGTTTTGGGAAAGAGGAAAATGTTATAAGAAAGGAACAATGGGAGAAACCACGGGAATGCAACAGCCTGGGAACCTTGAACTTCTTTAAACACGCAAACACCAAAAGCTTTCTGACGAACAAAGAACATGGATGAAGCTGAAATATTGTTAGGAAATGAAGGCTGAATGCTTCACTTACATCCAGGTGAAAATCGGTGTGTGTTGACTCGTCCCTGAGTTAAAATAAAATGATAAAGTCAGGCAGCGTGAACTGACATGTTAAGTCATGCGATCACTGATGGATGCTTTTTATCAGTCTCCAGCATTAGATGAGGAGGTGGAGGTTATGGGAAAAAGGGGGACCATTGAAGCCCCCGCATCTCCTCTATGGTTAGAGGTGGTGTTAGTGGGGCCGGGTGGGGACAGCCGGTCTTGGCAGGGCCTGAAAGGAGCCGTCTTCCTGCTGCACGTGCCAAATGGTGTCAGTCTGTCGCAGCACGCCTCCCTCTGCAGGACCAGAATACATTAGGGCAAAGCTGCTGAGACATATGGTGTCTTTTTGGACTGATCCAGAGCTTTGATTGATTCTGGGAAATGCCTTCTGATTAGTCTTTACATCAATACGACATGATGTGAATGTCTTCTTGGGACACATTTGGTTTCCTTTAATCTGAATTTAACCTTTTAGATCCTCACTTCAGTTGAAAGTAAACAGAGTTTGATTCAACATCTTGATCTCGGCGTTTCTCCCAGTTGAGGACTCTGAACTGGTGACTAATCTGGATCTCAGACCTTTAGGTTCCTTTGATGGTGAAGCTGATACGTAACACCATAATGGTCCTTCCCCTCAAACCGTCGTCTCCTCTCAGTCAAACCTCTGCGGTCAGAAACCTTCTCTCTGTGAGGCAGACGCAGGAATGCACAGCTGGTTTAATGGCTGCAGTTTCTACAGTATGAATGTGAAATCAGAGTTTTCCATCCATCCTGTAGAATACAGAAAAAATATACTTCCACAGCCTCTAAAAGATTTATATGAAAACCTGCACATTACACCCTTGATTCATCATCGTACTTTGAGTGTATTTCATCAGGAATTGGATTTAAATTTCCACTCCTGTCCAAGTAGTAACTCTAAACACTGATAGGTGTATTATTCTTCACTTTTTTGGACTTGAAGTAACATTTAAGGACATAGATTTGGCGAGTTTAACTCTGCGCCAAGTATGAGACCCAAAGGAGACAAAAAGGTCACAAAAAGTCGAGTAGATTACTTTATTTAGTTTAAGAGTTGTTAGTGTGTGGATCAGGGCTTTGATAGTATTGGGGCCAAGAGTTAAGTATGGTTAGTGGTATGATGTCAACAGGGTGGAAAATAGGGCTGGGCGATATGGCCTCAAATCAATATCAGGATATATTGATCAGTTCACCTCGATAACGATAAATGGACGATAACTACTCCACAAGCTGCTCAGCCCCTCCCACATTAACTTTGTCTACTTCAGCCGCTCCAACTCTTGAACCGTCCTCCATCTCCTCACCTGTCTTTCCCTCTTTGTTACGGACTGGATAATAAAGCTTATAGTTAGATCTGGTTCAGGCCTGGATCAGCTCTTAGTTAGACTGTGTCATACCCAAACTGCTCATGACACAAACATGAAGTCATCCCGTTTGTGCTGACTCTGGGATCTCCTCGCTCGCCTCGGTCACATGGGAACAGTTTAAACCCTGTTCAGTTTTCTCGAGTTGACTCTGTGAACTTTCAGTGTTTTTGAACTCACTGTTTCCTCTTGTCCTCACACTTGGATCATGTTCCTTTAAGTAAAACAAACTCTGTCGTCGTTCAAAGTAAATTCATTCATCAGTCTTTCTCATTAAAAAACTATAAATCTTGTTTTTCATTGGAGGTAATGATCTCACACATGATGTCACTTGATCCCTGACTGACCACCTTCAAAGTCATGATTCATTCAGCAATATTAGTGCATTACAATTCTTGTGTTTCTTCTTCTGATTAGATGAAACCTCAGTTATCGTTTGAATGTGATTTTCACATCAGAACGATATATATGCAGGAATAGACACAAAAAGTGACACCAAAAGTGAATTTCCTGTTGTTCTGCTGAGTGTTTTCCAGGCATCTTTGTGTGCATGTTTACGTTCTACAGTCATGTGACTCAGACACTCTCACTGCCTCCACAGCCGTCACCTCTCAAGTGATTTTAGATAGATAATTTTTTTTAAATCAATCCTGAACAAGTAGGACAGTTGACAGCAGTGGTCCCAAACCTTTTTTGTACCAGGGACCAGTTCCATGCAGGAAACTTTTTCCTGCATCAGCCTGTGTTGCTGATGCAGGAAAATGACGCGCCAAAGAATCAAGCGCAAAAGTGAGGCGATGGCGGAGGTGGTGGTCTTTCAAAATAAGATACTCAGAAGACAGATGAAAAGAAAAAAATCTATTTCAATCACGGTTATTAATTTTTTGTGGCCTGGTACGAAATGATCCACGGACCGTTACACATATCCAAATAATATTAGTGTCTTTTCACGATCGGTTCATGATCAAAACTTTACTAAAATGAAGAATAGCTTTAAATGCCTTAAAAAGTAAACCTTTTCTGCACTACTACTGTCCTCTGTGTCAGGTTCAAACATGTTTTCATACCAGTTTTATAAATGTGTCTTTGAGTTGTGAACTTAAACTATTTAATGACAAATTTAAGTGAGTTTGAAACCCTCTTAAACCTGCTGTCTTCTCTTATGTTTTACTTCTCTGTTTCGCATGAGAAATTGCTTTTTTTTCATCATAACTTAAATTGTGGTGAAGTTTTATTTGAGACACACTCTGAGATGTTTTTGAAACTACTTGTATTTTACAGAATCTTCCTTAACCAGATCTAAACCAGGCTTACACTCACAGTTTGTACCTGTAGGATGTTGTTCTAAATCGATGCTCCTCTTGTCTTCTCCAGAGCTGATCCCGGTGACTCTCTTCAAACATGAGCGGAGGAGTGAATATCAAAGTCATACCTCAGACTCAGAGCGACGCCCGTGTCAGCTCCACTCTGCCTTTACCTCGGCGCATGATGCCTCATTCAAAGATGGATCCCAAACAACAACAACAACAGTACGGCGGCCTCTCCACTCCCACTGCGCAGTATCAGCACCCCGCCAACAGACGGCCTTCCTACCCTTTATCTTCAGTCTCCTCAGGTCCTGCAGAGCTGCTCAGAGGAGCGGCTTTAAAGAACCACCTGCTGCAGCACAAAGCTGGCATGCACGCTCACAGAAGCCCGGCAGCTACAGAGCGAACTGACGGGACGTGCTCGGCCTACAGCAGCCCGCAGATACCAAAGAGACAAGCGCCGCGCTCGAAAGATACCCTCGATCTCCGCACCAGCACGCTCACCCAGAAAGCTTTGAGAGACCTCCAGCTCAGACGAAACGTCAACCAGAACTGGACGTTTGGGAAATACCGCCAGAGGAGTGTGGACAACGCAACTGAAGACGAGGCTTTGTACCAGCTAGGGTCGGGAAGAAGACGTCTGCTTCACAGTAAAAGTGCAAACGGAAACGATGAGCCGGGAGTTTCTTCAGCCAGAGTGAGCAACGTTATCAGTCAGGGTCAGCAAGGATGCAAAAGAGGGATGTCCAGTAACGACCAGAAGTCTTCTTTCCACACATTCAACATGTCACGTCGATCCAGTGAGCCGGGACAAGTCAACATGGCGGCTGTGGCTCCCTTCAGATTCAGGTGAGGGCAGTGTTTCACCTTTTTAAGATAAGGAGATAACTGACTGACTGCAGAGACTCATGATACAACATGAGATTTTTCCTCTACTGTCTTTGTTTTGAAACAACAAATCCTTTTTAATCCGAAGAAGTTAGTCCATTAAAATCAGTTTTTGTTTTTCCTTGAAGGTTTCAGGTCCACGAGGATGCAGACCCCACCCTCGATGATCTCAGTGACTGCTCCTCAGACTCCATGGAGGTCTGCTGTGATGAACTTGGTGAGTGGGGATACTCGCAGACACACTCGGTGTTCAAAACAAATCCTAAATCAAAGTTTAGAAAAGATTGATTGGACAGGAAAGAAACATCATCTTCCAGAGAGAGTTTGTAGAAATTATCTTCCTCTGTAACGTCAGATCTTTGATTTTGAAATACTGACGAGGATTTTAGAAATTAATCGACCAGAAAAATCTCCCTGTGCCAGATCCTCACAGGTCAGAGGATCAAAGAGAGAAGAAACCTCATCTCTCACCCTCCCCTCTCTCTCCCTCTTTTTCCTGTCACCTCTCTGCTCACTGCTTTCCAACAATTTCATCATTTCCCCTCATAAAGAATCTTTTCTAATGAAGTCGTTTCCACAGCTCAGGATTTTAAGGTCCGTGACAAAACGTTGCTCATACTTTTTCAGGACTTACGAGCCAAAGAAGTTTGGATAATAACCAAGTCGAGTCGACCTTATTTATGTAGCACATTTAAAAACAACCAGAGTGATTTTCAGTCTGCAAAGACGCACACGAAGATTTCACCGTACGATAAAATAGTAAAATCTACAAGGATATCCCTGAAAGTAAAGCCAAAAAGAAAGACGAGTTTTTAACAGTGATTCAAAGTGATACTGAGTCATCATTTAGGCTCATTCAAAAGCAGCTGATTGGTTAACCTCAGTGTAGGGGCGTGCGATAATATAAATGTTATGCTGTTAGTTGTTAAAATCTGGATATTATATTTTATTTTTATTATTATTTTATTTTTTAGTCCCCCACCCCGCCCAGAAAAATCATGATAAAACTGTGATACTGATTTTACAAATTAAAAAAATCCTGTCATGAATCTTTTTTCCATATCACCCACCCCTACTTCCGTGCTCGAGTTGGAATATGAGCATGTTGAGGTTGAGCTGAGTAGGGTGGTGCAAGTCCATTAAAAGCCTCAAAAGCCGGTTCTAAGAGAAGAACACCAACGTGGTGTCCGGTAGATGACCGATCCAAGCTGGCGTCGATTTATCACAGTCAAGACAAGATATCATATCTACTTTTTACCCTTACTGATCTTACTGGTATCATGGCTGTGTTAAAAACTTGATTGATCAAAACCCTGTCATGACAGTTAATATATAAAACCAGAGACGTCCAGATCACACACATCACATCAGATTAATCCGTGGAAAAGAGTTCAGGCACATTTTCTTCTGCTTGATGAAACCGCTTCCACCTTTTCATAAAAACCGTCTTCAGGTCTGAACCATGACCACAGATCATATGGTAGAGATGTGTTTATCACTGCTGGTTACCAAAGTATAAACACTGATATGAATAAGGTTTATCAGGTTATCATGTTAAAGATATCCTCTGTAAGGTGTAAATGATCCCAGATCACCTTCAGTCTGAGCTCAGCTGATCTGTTGTTTTACTGCAGACAGGGACCGTTATCAAAGTGAGGGGAGGATCGTAAATCTTAGCGAGCTGACATTTGTAAAAAAGTCTAAAAAATCTGAAGACAAGGGGAAAGAAAAAAACAACATAAGGTGAAGATCAATCTCAGCAGGTTTGTGTTTCTCGTGTTTAAATCAGACCCCTCAGATTAGCAGATGACATGTGACTTTCCTACGTGCTCTCTCTGTGTTTTGACGATATAAAGGTTTTTCATTTCCTCGTAAATCAACCCAGAGAGCAGAGAGGAGGAGTGGGTGTTTACTTGTGGATGAAGGAGCATTTGAGCCTGGAGACAGATTATGCATCACTTGTGATATCAGACTTCACAAGAGGATTGCCACTAGGCATAAATACTATCCTCTCAACCGACTATCAGGTAGCTCAGGGCCTCTCTACCTGATCTCAAAGGTGATGAGGCCCTGATGAGCTGATAAATTAACCGAAACCCCTAAATGTGCCCATGTGAATCACTGCTTCGCTCTTTTTCAGTGAGAAGTAACTCTAAAGCTGGGTGAGAAAACACAGTCGTTGTCCAGGATCTTAAAATGAGAGACCCGAAGTCCAGACAGTCCGTGAAAACATAATCACTTTATCGACTCATGACTGATTCCACCTGTTGTCTCTCTGCAGAGCCAGAGCTTAAATCTTGGAGAAAACAAGTTTGTCTCCTAGTTCACTGAGTTCGTCACTTAGTTATGCAAAACTGTTTTTCCAATTGTGTTATATTGCGTTCAGTAACACCCAAGTGTTAATATTTCTGAATGTTGACACTGGGCTCCGTTCAGCAGCGTGGCAGTTGTTCTCACTCGAGCTGCTGCCAACTCACAACGAGGGCTTCATTTCTGCATGTACCACCTGTTATTTACATCAGGACTTCCTGCTCTGTACTTTCTTTATGTGCATGTGGGAAAACAAAGAGTCTTGGCAGGGACCGGTCCTCCCAAGTCACACTGCACTCTGAATGCACCACTGTTTGTTACGTGTTTTTGCACCCCTTGTGTACAGTTGTGATTATATTATATAAGTACCATGTGTGCATTGATAGTTCAATGTTGTGTTTGTTCAGATGTGTGAAAAAAATGTGCACATCTCACATGGTTAAACAAACACAGGGTTAATGTTTCATTATTTAAAGGCACTATCTTGAACTGTCTCGCTAAGTGAATGCAATTCATCATCAGCACACACACTCGCAAGGATCCAATCAATTATCTCCAATTAGAGGAGGATGACATAATTAAAGATCCTCTGTGAATGAGTGATATTGATTTAAGTCAGTCAGTCAGCAGACACTGAGGCCTCAGGGGCTTTAGCTGTGGTCACAAACAACAGGATAAAGACTTAAACAAGTTTGTTGTCTTCACTGCAAGAGAGGAGGGATTAGGGGTGGACGATACGGACAAAAAAATCATCACTTTTTTTTTTGTAAAATTATGATCATGATTTTATGATCATTGTCACAGAGGGGATCATGATGAACCTAAAATAAGACTTCACACACAAAAGTCAATATTTAGAAATATGAAAGGTAGTCCTATATAGTCTTATAAATAATAAAAATCACTGAAAACTAATTTACAAACCATAATAGAGCATTTTCTTCTCTTTTTCTCTCTTTTTTGGCTGTTTTTTTTTATTTTTGGTCACAACTAAACAGCTCAAAAATCTCCTTTTTCCACTCCACTGTTATATTTAATGTTACTTGTTTTTGTTGTTATTTTGTTAGATTGCACATCCCTAGGGTGGATTTATTTTTCCAGGAGCTTATGCTGTGCTCTATAACTAAGAGTGAATTTTCCAGACCTGAATACCCCCATCAAACATCAAATTATTCAGTTTCTGTCTTTGCTGCGAACCTGGCTGAAAATTTCCTTTAAAAAGTGCGGTTGAGTGTCAGCTGTGCTAATGAGCTAAGAGCTACAGAAGCCAACATTATGTGGACTAGGGGCGTGCGATCTGACAAACTTAGATTGTGAAAGACTAAAAAGTGACGATGATGTGCCGAAGCACAGAGATCCTATCACAGAGAGAGCATATTTTAATCTAACCACAAAATTTTAACATTATAAGTTGATAAAAGTAACTAAAGTAGCAGAAAAATCTGCTACGTTATGCTGTTTGTTGCTGAAATCTGGATATTCTATTTTATTTATTATTTCTATTTTGAAATCGTGGTAAAATCGTGATTGTTATTTTGCAAATAGAAAACATGAAATTTTTTCCATCGCCCACCCCTACCGTGGACAACACATTTCCATCCACTGTTTAAAAAGTGAAGCCAAAAAGAAATCCTCATGACAGCTGCTGACTGATCTACGGCTGTCCTGATCGGCCAATTTGGCTCAAAATCCCAGTTTGATTTTTCAGTATTGAAAAAAATAATCAAGAACACAAATATCTGACAGTAAATTTGCATTCAAATGTTATTTTCCCTCTTTTGCCCTTTTGTTTTTCCCCCTAAGGGCTGACCTTCAAACTAAGAAATGAAGTAATCAATTCAGTGTGCAGTGACTCGGGACAAACGTCAGAGCTCCAAACATCTGCAGTAAATCTAAGAACGACCACACTGGGCTTTAAATCACCTCTTATGTTTTTACAGGCTTTACTACACAGCTTCAGTAATCAGGTATCTGACAGGAGGTGTCGAGACAACAGGACTACAGGTCCAAATGATGGCAAAAATCTACATAACTATGGAGATCAGGGAATTTGACCTCTTTCTTTTTCACTCTTACCTGGTTATTTATCTTTCCTTTCACGGTCCTGAGTTTGGTGCTTTAGTGCACTTAATTTCGATGTGCTTAACTCCTGTTTTAATAATACCTTTGATTTTCATCTACATTGAGAGCAGTTTCATACAAGAGGTTTGACATGACCCCTTACTGACAGCCGACCTTTACCATGAGATTGTATTTTTATGCTTCTCCCTCCTCCAATCATCTTTTTCTCATCCCTGACCCCACTACTCTCCTGTACATTTTTCTCCTGATCCTACTGCCCTGATCCATATTAAAATGAAGCTCCTGAAAACCATCTTTTTCAATAATATTGCTCTTCAGGCCTCATTACTCTACAGAATAAAAATGGCAGATGTTATACTCATCACCTCTTTGGGGTTTTGGTTCAGTTTGTCTGGAAACGTTGGTCAGAGGTGTTGAGCAGGCGTCTGTATCCACTGTAAAACTTCCTCCAACATCATGGCGTTTCACTTCAGCTGTATTTCTCAATCATCTAACCCTGCAGAAATAAGAACACCTTATAATTGCATTCGGGTTTTCTAAAAGCCTGTAACTGACCTCTTAATTATTCTGATGGCTGTGAGGTCTGAGAGTCTCCTCAGAGACAGAGTGTCCCTCAGCCCTGGGAGGACAGATGCTGAACTGGTTTGATGGGAGGATCGGCTTTCACCTCCTGTCTTGGAGTTCCCTCATCCCTCTGGACGGGCACAAGGGATGCTTAACTTCTGGTTTTGACCAAAGAGCAAAGACTTTTTTTCTTTGGTAAGCTGTGATTTGGCTTCAACTACAAATCAGTGGTGAATAAAATGAATGATGAAGGGTTTGATTTGGTAGAAACATCTGCAGAAACTGAAGCTAAGTTTGGGTCTCTGGTGAGAGATCTGTCTTTGTAATGACCGCAGTTGCAGAGCTTTAAGATTTAAAGGTCCAGGACTTGCAGAAAACAAGCAAATTAATCACCTAGTTAAGTTTTCAGCGAGCACAAGATGGTTTAACCCTTTCTTTAGTTTCCATCAGCTTCAGTTTGAATACCAAGCAGAAGAAGACAAAATTATGTAAGAGGCTTTTACGGCTGTTGAGATCAGACTTCCTCTCATGGGCTCCAAGAACATTGATTCTCTAAGGTCTCTATCTGTTGACCTTTTGATTAGCAATCACTGCCTCATGAGATCAGCTGAGCTCACAAACACCATCTCTGCCCGGTCCCTTTAACAGCACACTTTAAACTGAGAGTTATGTGAATTTAACGTTGATGTTCTCTGGGTTTTCCCCCCTCTGAGTCCATGTGGACGTCTCCCCAGATGTTCCCGAGTCTGTTGCTTTTGAACAGCTGAGCAGCCCCCAAAATGATTACATGTGCTGTCCAGGGGAATATAAAACAAACAGCTGTGTAACTGTGCTGTCATACCATGCACACACACACACACACAGAGTTAGTCACATGGCTAGTTGGAGAGCCGGAATCGGAGCCAGATGTGAAAAACACCAACTGAAAGATGCAACTCCACCCTCCACTCCCCTGAGAAGTGTCTGCATCCAAAACTTTCTGCGTCTTTATTCACAGGATGGACTTTTTTCCACTTCATCCAACCTTGTTGAGACATTTCACTTTCAACAGCTCGTTCCAGTCTGCTCAGGGCTAAGCCAACACAGAGTCTCATCGGGGGCAATAAGCCTGAGATCCAAAGTTTTACTGCAGTCTAATGATTGGTGTCAAAATCTGTGTGATTCTCCAAACCAGCCAAATTTCCTCTGGTACGGCCAAAGTACTGTATAAAAAGAAGTCTCCTCTTAGAGGCCTCTGTGCATTCCTATGTTAAACCAGCAGGAGGACATCACAAAGGCTAGGCCAATTTTTTTCTTGATTTTTCGTTTTTTTATTTAGTGACAACTTCACCGAACTGCACTTTAATAAAAAGTTTTTCTATCATCTCTCAAAACGAAACCACTTTCTTTGGAAAGCGTCTTGGGATGACCACCGTTGTGAATTGGTGCTTCATAGATAAAATTTGATTGATTGTTTGAAAACGATGTAGAGCATATGCCAAGCCAGTAAGTGGCGCTGTGCACTGCAGAGGAAATGCACAAACACAGAAGAAGAGTACAGAGCATGTGTATAAAGGTTGTTTTGGAGCCATCAAAGAGTTATGCTGTGTGTCACATGATCGTTTCCAGAGATGCAGATAGACCCTCTGCAGACCTCTCTGACCCGTTTTTAAAAAGTACTGTTTACAGTCACCTGAAACGCCATTTCCGTGTGGATGAAACGCAGATACGATGAAAAACTCTGTGTGGACGGGTTGATACCGCCTTCAGACAGACTTTGCAGCAGGGAGTGGTTTACTCCTCATCTGAAACTGTGAAGTCGTACAAATTCAACACGACTGACTCGCTCTTGTCATGTTTAACCACGAAATTATCGCCTTCTTTTGCAAACGCCATGTTTGTTTAAACTGGTGTGTGTGTGGGAACTGGGGAGCGCTCCTTTAGGAAGGGGGAGGAACCTACAGTGGCCTGGAGGCGCGAGACATGATAGAGAGGAACATCAATTTGATGTTTTTAACTTTTTTTTACATTGACATAATAAAATAATCCGATTAGGATTAAAAATTGATTTATCATGCAGCCCTAGATTGGGGGTTGCGTGCATCCAAATTCATCCACCACAGCTCAGCAAGTGTTCACAGTTTCTGTAGGTGAACAAAATCAAGTTTTCAGAGTGTAGCTAACACTATCAGAGTTAGCACCACCAGCCTTCGATCCTCCTCAAAATATAAAGTCCACAAACCTTTACAGGTAACACTCTGCTCCAGTCGAGTGGTTATTTACCAAATTACCAGACACCACCTTCAAACAACAGAGCAGCATAACAGTTTTAGTACTACAGTGGTACTAGATCTCAGGTTTACATTCATACCAACATAGAGCTATATCATGTAGACTTTAATCCTGCTGATCAGTGATGATGACATAAAGTGTTATCGTTGAAAAGCGAAGACATTCCTTCACAGGATGTTAAAATGTGAACTTTTCCCCAGGAACGGAGATGCTGGATCTGTTTCTGTGTTATGCAAACTGTCAAAGCTGCACTCATGAAAACAACTAAAGCTTGAAGCAAATTTGGCTTGTCGGAATTTGTTATCTCATGATTATAAAGGAATTCCCACACCCCAAAACAACTGAGCCATTCAGTGAATCATGGGAGTGAGAGATCTCCATCACTGATCAGGAGTCAGCAGGGAAGATCTGGAACTCATGATGAAGACAAACAAGACATGACATTGTTTCCAGAAAACTAATTGCCTGATCAAACACTCTCAGTGGTCCCTGACCCACCACAGGTGCCCTGAAACTCTCAGAGAAGAGGCAGTGGAGTGTGCGTGTGGAACAGAGGAGCGACCTCGGGGTATTGTAGCTAACAGGTCAATCATGTCCAGAGGATTTGCTCCATGTAACACGCTTGGTTTCAGTCAAGCTGTGATGTGGAAAAGAGCAACTGGACTCTGAGTCCTTCAGAAAGACGACTTTATTATTGCATTTGAAAATAACCCGAAATCCAGATTATAAAAGTAAAAGATGTAATCCTGTTTGTGTTCCATTTTGTTCAGCAATGTGCTCTTTTGATGCAGATGTGTAGCTCTTTCTTTTACCATCTACCGTTTATCCCATGGTGGCGTTGGTATTTGTGAAGGATGGATTTGCTGAAACCTGTACTACTGCCCCCTATTGGCCGCGGTTGTCTTTAATTCAAGTCTATTCAACCAAACCAGCTCACTTTATTTACACAAATTTACTCCACCGTTCTGATTAAACTTACGGTGATGAACTAAAGATGAAGAAAATCAAATTTAACTCATTCAGTGCCAGGTTCATTTATGCAATTTTCACCCAGTGCCATCGTTGACCGCAATAGAAATTTCAGTCTCTTTCAGGACACACAGAATATCTTGTGCTTGGACTAGAATTAAAAGAAAGGGCTGATTCTCTTCTTTTACCAGAAAACAAAGTTTGTCTCGAACCCACTTCTGTGTTTAGTTATTGCTGCTCAATGCAGCGTGGTCGTATCATCTTTGCCGATCTGGAAAAAGAAACCAGGAAAAACACATTTTTACAAAGGAGAGACTTTCAAGCCAAACTCTGATCGTCAATTTCATTTCACTTCAAACTACTTTACCTCATCACTCTCGAGATCCGATTGTGATAGTTCACTCTGCCATGGATGAGAGTCGCATTGGCCCTCGAGAACTTGACGCCACGACGTAAACCACACAGACTTCTCACGTCCTCCTTGCCGGGACTGTCGCTGAATTCCGGCTCAGTCTCGCTCACCAGTACCGGCACCGGCGGCAAAACAACATGTCAGAAAAATAGTTTCTTTGATTGTCTGCTAACGATGCAAAGGTCCGGTACCGGGATCTCCACTGGATCCAGAGACGGTAGCACAGGAGCCCACAGGAGCTGATGCGCCGAGACCGTTAGCTCTTGACTAATGACTTCAGCATTTTCTTACTCTCCTTATAGAGAAAAAACACTCCACAACTCGGCTAATTGGCACACTTGATGGCACACTTCTCACTGGCGAGTACTTGTGTTTGTTATTGTAACATGGTTTTGACGTATTTGTTGGCTTTTCTGCATTCAGAACAATCCCAAACTTAGTCACATGTTTAGGAGGAGCGCCCTCTGGAGGAAAACAAAAAAGGTGAAAAATCTGTCGAAATGCGACATCGGCACTGAATGAGTTAAAAAACTCTTGAAAGGTCTTAAATACAACTTCTTCATACCTGTCGTCATCCTGTAAGCAGCACCACCTCACACCTACAGCTGTCACCATAGTAAGATTTTCCCCTTACGGTTATTGTGGCTGAAATATGATGATAATTTGTGTTTTGGAGCAGCAGCGTCTTCCTTTGAGAGACATCTGAGTTAGCCCTGTTATGTCCGTCTCATACACTGAACATTGTACGACTCTTGCTTCATGGTGGTTGATGGAAACAGTGATTGTTGCTCTGGCAGCTGTGCAGGCAGAGCTTTGAGATCTGGTGCAGATGACATGCAGACGGTGGGAGAAACTGGTTTCCATGGAGCGGCGCTGCGTGTGAGCGCCGTGGAGCTCCTCGATCCTCCTGAGAGACGTCAGAGTGGATATCTAAAAAATGATGACTGTGCTCGTGTTTGTTAGGAGCCCTGCTTGATAACAACTTGACTGGATTTTACATTTAACACGGTCACGGTCATGTTTGTGGGTTTATATGAGATTTAAAGAGATTTCCCAAGTGTGGTTTTGGGTGTGTTAGTTTCGTACCCTGGCACATGTCGTCGCTCTCTCAGTCCGAAGGCTGAAATGATGTCACTTATTTGGCTGATTTACTGTTTAGTATTTGAGACGGTTTTATTTTTTTTTTATTTTTCAAGCTCCGGACACAAAAAGTCAACCATTAGAGTATCACATTAACGCCGGTGTTAATGATATAAGTGACAGCTGAACTCTGTCTGCAGCAGGTAAACACACACAGCTGATTCAGAGCGTATGATTTATCCGGCTGTAAATCTGGAATTGATATCGTCAGGGAAGCTCAGACAGGATCAGGAGATAATCCGGCGCTCCAGTTGTTGCATTGTGTGACATTTGATGCTATGGTCAGCGATTACATGTCTAAATGTGAGTCTTTTCTCATTCATAACACTTCCACTCACATCACAAATCATGCATCATGTTGAAGGTATTGAACGGGCAACAGTGGAGATGAGGGAGGGGGAGGGGAAGAACAAAGGAACCCGAAGAGGAGGTGGGAAAAGGTGGTGTGTTAGAAGAAAAAAGAGCCCGGTATTAAAATCCACAAATGATCCGATCTCATCGCTCTCCTGCATTTAACATATTCTGCTGAGACACGGCGCAGCATCTTTAAATGAAGGCAAAACGAGGAAAGGAGGAGGAGGAGGAGGAGGAGGAGGGAAGACGAGGGAGAGAGCAGGGGGAGGGAAGGAGGAAAGGAGGGTGGGAGCGTTGTTGCGTCTGCCGCCGCTGTCATTCCGCTGCTGCGCGCTTCAGCGGCAGGAGGGTGTGCTGAAGGGAGGAGTGTGGAAAAAACGGAGGAAAGGAGGACGGGAGGAAAGGAGAGAAAGGGAGTGCCGGGGCAGCACTGCAACAGCTGCAGCTGCAGCAGCCTGTCAGGACCAGAGAGGAAGAAAGAGACGGCTGCAGGACTGCCTCAGAGGAAGGGTTTTTTTTTCTGTGTGAATTCGTTGGTTCTTGCAGGAGGAAAAAAAGGGTTGATAAGGCGTCCGGTTTTCTCCCCTGCTGATGCTTTTTCATACGGTCTCATGCAGGAGGAATGCTTGGAAATAGTGTGAGAGGCAGAGAAGGAGATCTGAAGATGGAGAGGACTGATAGCACAAAGGCATACGGCCAAACAGATGGCAAAGGAGTTGGTATGGCAGCCAAGAGGGCCAAGTCTGGAGTGCCCCAGAGCACACAGCGAGGTGAGCTGAAGGTTTACCGGGCCGGGAGCTCTGATGGCAGGATCCCAGTATCCTCCAGTCTTCGCAAACAGAGGTCCATGACAAACTTAGCCGTCCTCACTGATGCCGAGAAGAAGTTGCACCTCTATGAACCCAAGTGGTGCGACGACATGGCCAAGCCTGGAGCGGGGCAAGCGAAGACAGGCAAGCCAAAGACAGCGGGGGGCGGCAGCAGTGCCGGAGGGGGTGCCCCCCTCTCTCGAAACCTTTCCAAATCCGAACACTCGCTGTTCCAGGGCAAACCAAAACCCTTCAGCCCTTTGGCCGCCCCCTCTGCCCTGAACAAGCAGAGCCGCATACCTCGTGGTCCTTACGCCGAGGTGAAGCCCCTGAGCAAGGCACCTGAGGATGGGAAGTCAGATGATGAGATCCTATCAAGCAAGGCGAAGGCTAAGAAACCGGGCGCAGGGGCTGAGTCCGGATCCAAAGGCCAGGGAGAGGAAGGAGGGGACAAAACCTTCCTGAAAGTGGACCCAGAGCTGGTGGTGACGGTGCTTGGCGATCTGGAGCAGCTGCTCTTCAGTCAGATGTTGGGTGAGTACAGTAGAGCGGTCTTGGTGCTTCTTCTTCGGTACGTGTGGCGGCCATGTGCTACAAACCGAACGCCCCTCTGGTGCGATTTCTCAAAGTCGGCAGCACGCCCCCTTCCATTGAGCCGCCACATGGCACCTGCTTGATGCTGCAGGGTCGAATTTTTTCAGATTCCCTCTTGAGAAAAACATAAAGAGATGATTGTTTGGCTCATAAAGCATGCTGGTCTCCATTTTATTTCATTGATCGCTGCTTTTTCTGCTGAATCTGATTGATTGGTCGAGTCTGAATGACGTTCTATTGTTCTTGATCCTCCGGCATGACACTCAGGTGTTTGGTGCTTGTGTATGAAATATGCCTGCCTCCTATCATTGCATAGCTGGCTGATTGCATGAAAAAAGCCTGAGGGTTTGGGGGATGATTAGCAGCAGACTGATCCCCGTTTGTAAAGCTCTTGTTTGCTGCAACATGTGCCGATGCACTCGAGGGTCCGTGAAAAGAGGGGGGGGGGGGGAGAAGAAGGCATGCCATGTTGTGAATTCATTTTCAGCACACAGACACATCCTTCGCCTCCTCCTCGTAGCTCCATTCATCTGTAGAGCGTTGACAGATGGTTTACACCCTCGGTGTACGAGCATGGGGCTGAGAAAATGGCTTTCCCTCCAGAGGTGTAGGTCAGGTTTATCAATGGAAATGCTTTGATGAAAAAGACAGGTATTGATCAAATGATGGTGATTATGACTCCTTAGATTAATTAATGTTCATTTCTGGATATTAAAGGATGCTTCTGTGTTAAATTTGCATCTGATTATGATCTATAGGAGCTCAGGGTTTCACAGTATTAGCTTAAATGTGGTGGATTACACTTCAAATCCAGCTTTTCTTTTTTTTCTCCTACATTTTAAGACCTTTAATTTGTGGGAGATTTAAGAGGCTAGCTCAACATGACTGTTTAAAACCATTGAGGTGGTTCCATCTTGGATGCCCTAGTCTTGATGGACTTTCTCATTATAATAACTGCACCATACAAGTGTTTGTTTCACCTTGCTTACATTCAATCATCACACTGAGATGTCAATGAAAAGCCATTCACGCACGGTTATTTGACTTGTCGTCCCATTGTTCCAATCTCATCAGGAGAGCATGTTCTCTTCTGCATCTTAATGACAAATCTGTGATGATTAGATCTGATACCCATGCCTCATTATGGTATATAGACGTGTTCGTCATGCTGCTATGAATAACAACTGTATCATTGAGAGCATTTTGTCATCTTGTGGGGTTTTCTGCATGTTTCAGCGTGACATTTAAACCAAAATGTTCCTAAAGGTCTCTGGGGAATTCTCACCACACCCGCTCATGTCTGCCTTATTAACCTATTTGCATAATAATGCATCAAAATGCTTCAGGGCCGATACATCTCTTCCCCTTTTTGACCCCCGCCATGTTTCCAGATCAATGGAAGGTCATTATTTCTCAAAAAGGATTTATTGTCTTTATGAATTATTTAACATCATTTAAGAGGATAATCACATGCACACTCTCGTAAGAAAAAAGAGTGGTATAATGTAAACATATTCTGGAAACTAATGCGTCACTCGGACAGATGAACTATTTATCATCATCATCATCTCATGCTGGCCTTTGGCGCCAAGTGTTTTGTGGCCATGAGGGGAAAACCATGTGCTGCATTAATAACAGAATATAAGAATGAAAATCAGGGTTAATTGTAGTGGTGGGAGAAAAATCAATACAGCAAAGTATCGCAATATTTTGCCTGGTGATGTATCGTATCGTCTCATTTACCAAGTATCGTTTTTTTCGAAATAATTGCTAATATTAAGTCAAATCTGTGATAATGTAAAAATAAAATCAGCTGTTTGTCCAGTGAGGTTGGCAGAGGTGACACCATAGAGCAGGAGAGAGTTGGTTTAACAAATATATTTATAAGGTTAGTAAGATGTGCTACAGGAAAATAGAATACAGTGTAAATAAGACGAATATAAAGAAAAGCTAAATTCTTTAAAATTAGCTAAACAGTTGAAAAATTCATATAATCCCAAGATGATGTATGGCAATACTAACTGTATTGTAAAATTTAATAAACGTAATAATATCGTATCGTGGCCTAAGTATTGTGATAACATCGTATCATGGGGCCACTGGTGATTCGCACCCCTAGTTAATTGTTGAGCCAATAACAGATCGGTATCAAAGCTTTAACACGGTGCTGTTCCTGCTGATTTATTGAGGTAATAAAAGTGCATCAAACACAGTTAAAAGTGAGGATATACAGGATTGATCACTCTGTCATGTCCAAAAACAAGACACTCTTTCTTTTTTCCACTATGGCTAAATTTAAAGGTGTGTCTAAGGCAGAACAGACTTGATTAAAATATGATAATTACAAGCCAGTGTTTCAAATATCATCAATCGTTGTTTTTGATGATATTAAATGGGCTTTTGAATCTATGTACAGTTGTTCCTGCTCTAAGACAGAATGGACAAACTAGGAGTATATACATTTTTGTAGGAGAGAGCAGATTTTGATCATGAAAACTTCACAAACGGAGGCTCATCGCTCTCATCTTTCTCAAGCTTCTTGTCCTTTTAGGCCACCATAGCTTCACTAGATGGTAGGGGTGAGCAAGAGAGTAGTTCAATCTAGCAACATATTCACATTTCTACACACTGTTCTCTTGATTTGGTTGGATTTTGAATAAAGTACAATGAGCGGAAATGAACAGGTTTTCATATATATGTGTATAATACTTAAGCCTGCAGTGACAGATGTGCGACACAGACTTTCAGTTAATTACCATCATCATCCATCCTCATCTTTGATGATACAAAATCAATAAGAAATGTAAAATGCCCTTTAATGTGTTCCCTGGATCGGATAAATCAATGCATTGGTGCAAAGATATGAACCTTAGCCGCAGCAAATATCTAATATTAAACTGGTATCACTCTGGTGGATTAATGAAGCATTATCACTGACGTGCATGAGAAAAAAAATCATCAGTGAACATGAGAAAAAATCTACAGATGAGAATTTGTACCTTCAGAAACCCCGTCAGCTGACTCCGTCTGTCACAGGGGAGCTTGGATTATTTTTTCAGTTGTATAGACGAACATTTTAGTCACATCTTTTTTTAATAAATGAAAACAAAGTCTTTTCTCTTAAACGTTCAGTATCACTACACTGATGAAACGGTTTGTATTATTAACACCAGGGTTGATTGACTCAGTCAGACAGATGGAAGACACGTTAATTTAATTAAAGTAGTACAAGTGTTGACGTTGATTTCTGAATACTCCTCTCTGCATCGACCTTATTCAATTACTTCTCAGTCAGTTTCCTTCACGTGCACGTCTACTGTACATGCACAGTGGACACGCTTGTTACTGTAAATAGCTCTTTTTATTCATAGTCTGCAGAATATTCACGGCCTGTTTAATACTCAATGCTTTGCTCTGCTTCTGAAGCAGATCTCATTATAAGTGTGCTGAAAGCGTGCTTTTACATCAGACCACAGAGGGTCTCTTTGTTTTTTAGAGCAACATAAAGGACGGTGGTGAACTTAGTCAACAGGATCTTTGGTTAAAGTGGGCGTGGAAGGTTGCGTGTACAGAACAGGAAGTGCACATCACCACTGCTTCATCACAGATCTTCACAAATGAAAATATTTCATCCAGATCTGTTAAACATGTGATTTACAGGCTTTATTTCTTACATAATGGTTTAAACTTTTTATTCATTCAGGTCTGACTTTCCGCTGCCTGCCGAGTTAAAAGATGACTCCAGACCGATCCTGAATGGGTTGTTTCAAATTATTTTCAACATGACAAATGTGCTGTGACAGTCAGATTGGAGGTCATGAGGACAGATTCACCAAGAAAGCAGCAGATTAGAGCAGAGCAGACAGCGGTACTACTCCTGCAAAAGACTCCTCCAGACAACGAGGAGATGAGCCAGCCTCATCTTACTGTAATTGCATGTGATCTGTCATGCAAGACATCAAAACGTAGGATTGGCTTTCAGCTATGTGGAATTAAAGTGGAGCACTGGAGGGGTACGAGGTTGAAGCGGTGGTCACGGATGATGTTATTTCAAGGTATGCGGGCATGAAGGGGTCACGAGATGTACAGTCTTAAAGGCGCAGCACAGGTGAAGGTAAAATTTATATGAAAGAGCACGGTTTGATAGAGACTCAAAAAGAAGTCAAACACTGGAGGGCAAAACAAGTCATGGCTTTCCTCGACTCTTTAATACATGAAGGTTCCTCTTTGACACTTTAACTCATGAGAAAAAGGCAGAAAAGCTGATTTAATGTTGGATTTATCAGGAACACGGTGGAGAACACAGAGTTCAGTCCTCTGAAGGAGAGTTTTTAGAGAGGAAGTAAGACACAGAGCATGTGCAGGAGGAAAGTGTGGGATCCTGACACTCTGTAAACTCGCCAAACTGTGGAGGATCAGGTTAGGTTATCCTGGAGATGTTTGTGGTGATCTTCAACGTGATTAATGAAGTAGTTCACATGTTTTAAAACTAGAAGATATGAAAGTGTTCCAATAGTGGCCGTTCAGAGGGATCATGTCCAAACAAAAGCAAAGAAACAGTACAGCATGATCTTTTTTTACCTAACTTTCTCTGTTGAGGACACGGAAAGTTAAAATAATCCTGTTTTTTATTTGGCTGCAGACATCTTGATGTTATTTCAGCCCTCATTTGCGTATTGTCGTGCCTATTTTCCTCCCTCTGAGAGGCATTGTTGTTTTCAGGACATACACATGTACACAAACAGTGCCCAGCATAAATGAGTACACCCCTGCAGAGTTGTCAGAAGACCTTTAGTTTCCTTTCAAAATCAACATTTTCTGTGTCAGACTATACAACGAAATACTCCCCCAAATGTAAGCCATTGATTGCAAACAAGACTTTTTGAGTTGCAAACAAAAGTTTTTTTTTTTTTTTCAATTTAAAAATCAGGATGCAAAAATGAGAACACCCCAATCAAAGTTCTGGGAGCGAAGCTAAATTTTAGTCACCATATCACCCTTATTTTCATCTCATGGTGAATAAAATGTTAAACTCAACTTTGTCCAAACTTAATTTTGTACTTTTGCTCATCTAGATATTGAGTATTACATGACTTTTAACAGGGGCTGTACTGACTTATGCTGGGGACTGTAACTTAAAATCTCAATTCCAAAATAGTTGGACACAGTGTAAAGTTTAGATAAAATCTAGTTTTGATGGTTGCAAAGAAAGTGAAAATGCCAACAACATGTTTCAAAACAACCAGGTCAGAGATGACACACACTGAAGAACAACCCCCTTCAGTTAATCCATTTTCTCTGAATACAGTTTTTTGCTTTTTGCCCAAATGCAGATTAAAAACTGCGACATGTTTGGACATGATGCAGACTTGTCTTGTCTTGTCTTGGTTGCCCTAACCCCGGTGACTTCAAGAAGAACTGAGCTCTGTAATCTGAATCAAAACTCACAGACGCTGAACCGTCAGCTCTAAAGAAGTGAGGGAGCGTTAAACAGAGTTTTTTTAGTTATATTATTTGATCTGTTGTCTTTGTAAAATTTCCAGTCAAAGAGGGAATTTGTAACATCTTTCACAACATTCCAACTTCTTTATTATTATTCGAGATGCTTTTAAATCCGAATTGAAGAGTCGAGATTTGATGTGAAGGTCAGCCAAAGCTGCGACGTGTTGAGATGTTTTAGAAAACAGTTAAAGCAGCGGATTTATCGCTCAGAAAACCCATCATAGACTTTTTTTATTTTTAAAACCAGTTATATCAGCTACAAAGTGAGTTACCTGTGTGTGAAAAGACAAAAAAAATCCCCTGTCATCAGTGAGAGTGCTTTTCTTCTGAGTGAAGTACTCAGGTTGTTCTTCCATCTCGTTTCCCACTCACTGAACCACCACCTGCTTCTGTTTGAAACGCTGCAGGTCTATTCCAGGCGGGATTAAGCTCTCCTGATCTGTGTGGTAACCTCCGTTTTCAGCTTCCTGCTACTTCAGGTTCCTGTGAAATTTAATCCAATGTAACAAGATTGAAAATAAATGTCAGTCCTCTATCTAGTGATCTTTGAGTGATAGGGCTGGACGACAAAACGACAACGATATATATCAAAAATTTATTTCCCTTGATATCGATATAAAACATGGTCAATATGCTTTTCGACAGTCGGCGTTCTGACGTGTTTTGGTAGATTATATGAATGACCAATAAAAAGGGGAGTTGCTCCAGGTCTGCGCTGCGCTGAACCAATCAAGTGGCAAACAACTGTGTAGTATCAGACAGCAGCTACACCCAACCATAGCACTTAAACAGGTGAAGCCGACAGCACTGTTGGTGAAAAACAAAGAAAATGAGTGCTACCCCCGACAGAAATGACCATGAAGGCTCAACAGATGACCACATCAATGTCAACGACAACACTGGCGTTAGGAAAATGTCGGTGGTGTGGAGGTATTTTGGTGTTTTGAGGTCGGACATGAAGCAGAGTAATGTGAACAATTATGTCGAGTACATGTTCTCACAAAGTCGGGGAATACCTCAAAACTTTTTCACCACCTGAAGCAGCGCCACGCCGCAGAGCACACGCAACGCAAAAGGTTACAAACCCCGACAGGAGCGAGGAGCCGAAACAGATGACCATTTAGTCCGCTTTCTCTAGAGCAACGCCTTACGACAAAACGTCAAAGAGACACAAAGACCTCACAGATGCAGGAGATTATTGTTTTGGAAAAGACGTGCTACCAATAAACACTGTTACATTTCATTTTTTATATCGTGATATCGATATCGACTGATGTGAAAAAATATATTGTTATAAAATTTTTCCCATATCGCCCAGCCCTAGTTAGTGAGATTAATCAGTCAGCGGTTTTATAATTTGGGTAAAGATGTGTGTCCGTACTTGGACAGTATGTGGGGCGCTCCCGGTGTTGCATCATTCATGGGGCTTTCCTGATTCACATCTGCTTCAGTATTCTGTCTGAGTTTTCCTCCTCAGTATTCCAGAGATCACTGCAATGCAGGATGCCAGAGGACTGTCAGTCAGCAGCGCGCAGGAACAGAGAGCAGGATACATACAGAACATACTAAAAACAGATGGGATTGACATGTGTGCTGTGTGCATCCAAGGTCCCAGGATTTCATCCAAGTGAAATTATCAGAAATGTCCTCCAACCCACAGTTGTTTGTATTTCTTTTGTCCAAACGCACTAAAAGAAACAAGTGGTGGAAATGATTGTTTTATCCTTGAGATGATGTTTATATTTAAAGGATGTTTCCCTTCTTCAAATGTCAGATAACTTCAACTCAAAGCTTCTCAGGAAGCTTCATAATTGTTGTAGTTTCTGTCCAAACTTCAGGACAAGCTGAAGTTAATTTAGATACAAAGCAAATAGAAAACTGTTCAGGAAATGTTCAATTAAACCAAAAAATTGAATTGAAATTTGGATGAAACTGAAGCCAAGGAGATACTTTTCCCCCTGAACTGTATACATGAAGTAATTCGATTTAAGTGAGTACGATTGTAAAGAAATTTAATATAACTCTGTAACTCTGCTCATGTCATTCTTAGAAATATTTCATAAAAGTGAAGCATGAACATATCCATCAGTTTTTGGTAACAGTTCATTTAAAGGTCCTGATTTTTGTCAGAGGGGGGAGTCGGGCCCAAAATCGACTCTTATCATCTTGACGTGTGTGCCGCGCTTTAGGGATAATACACTCATCAGCTCTGCTGCTGTCCCATGGATTGCAGGACAAGATCTTGCCCCAGTTTTTAACCATAGACTGTATATAGAATGAAGGCCATCTGCCTCCTCGCTGGTTGAAGCCACCGCGAGAACAGAACCCTCTGGTGACGGGCTGCAGTATAGGTCATAAACCCCGCCTCCTTATGGAGCTGTGGACAAACAGAATTACAGAGAGTAATTCAGCTTTAAATGTGTATAACGACTGAAGGCGGAGCCAAATCGTCCATATGGTTTAAACCAATCAAAATCAAGTTTTTAACACAGCCAGGTCTGTATTAAACTAGCTCAGTATCTCACATTAACCTCTCTCTCAGACTTTGTATGTTGAAACTAAAATTAAATGTAGTGTTGATTCATGGTAGGAATACATTTTGATCGTTTTATAATCACATTTATTTTGGCAAAATGTTTTCAAAAGCTGTGAGATAGAATCAAAAACAAGTGTTTAAAAATGCTCAAAAAATAGCTTTAAAAATGAGGAGGAAACAGTTAATCTACAAAATCTTCAAATTGAGGTTTTGGGGTTATTTGTTTATCATTTGTTTTCTCGTTTTTCTTCATGTGTGTTCGGTTAAATCTCTCTGTGTGTTTAGTTTGTGGTTTGTACGCAGCTTTAGGATGTTTATCAGAGGGAGAAATTGTTCATGCTGATCCAAAAACGCTTTAACCATGTATTTACATTAGGGTGTGATATTAATATATACAAATACACACGTTCTATCCACTCTGCTTTATTAGTTCAACCTCCCTGTATGAGAGCAGCACATTACCTGACATGTGTTCCCCTGACATCCTCTCCTCTCCTCTGAATGTTAATTTCTTCCTCCCCCAGAGGGTCTCTACTTTCACACCGCTCATCACCTTTTATTTCTAAGCAGGGTGGTTTCTCTCATTTGTCACAGCTAACAAAACAACACTCTTTATTGTTCTGTAATATTGATTTGACATGGTCATGACTCACCGACGCCACACTTTAACGACGCGTAAAAAAGCTGACCTGCAGTGAAAAAGCCTCTGACTGCGGTTCAGCTCAGCGTTAGCTTTACAACTTTAATTGAATGTCTCTTAGATAGAGCTTAATGAAACACAAAAACAGAGGCTTTAGGAGGAGAGGGTGGTGTGGTGTCAGAGTCAGGATCCGTCCCCCTGGTGGACAGTCTGAGTTACTCGCAGCCTCTCAGTATTTCATGTTCAGGATGTACCATGTCAGTGCGTTCGAGGGGGCACAGCTGAGGTTACCATGGTGAAGGAGCCCATGGAGTAAAATTTGTCTGCCTAATGATGTGAACATACGTTGGCTCTGTGCCTGCAAGGACGACACCTGTCACAACAGTTTAGGCACCGAGAAACGCAGGCAGGACCACACGCATGTGGAGGCGAAAATGTGTCCGTGTGCACGCATGAATTCACTTCAAAACACAAAGACGCACCAGGACAAGACAGCAGCTTGTGTTTGCATTTCATTTTGACACTCTTGAATGTTTTATAACCTGATTTTTTTCTGCCTGACTGCTCCACAGACCCCGAGTCCCAGAGGAAACGGACCGTGCAGAATGTCCTTGACCTCCGCCAGAATTTGGAGGATACGATGTCGAGCCTGCGGGGCTCCCAGCTCAGCCATAGGTGAGTGCATTATACCTGCAGTCTGTGTTTTATTCTCTCTCATTGCAGTGCTGGATAAGATCACATTTAAATGGTGTAATGGTTACTGTTTGTTCATAAAACCTTGGCAGAACACAGACTTTAACTTGAAACATATCCTCCTAGCTTGTCAGATGGACGGATGCATTTCACAGTTATGTGTCAACAGTTGTGCTGTTGATGCTTGGAGAGTTGCCACCTGTTTAACATCTGGCTCTTATCCTTCTTAAAAAGCCCTTCTCTGCTGCTTCACGGTCATGACATCACTCTGTGAATTGCTCTCGTTGGCTAAAGGCCAAGGCATAAACACACAGCAACAACCACAACTTAATAAGAGACTCGTGGAGAGAGCGGGTTATTTATTTTATTTGGACATAAAAGATCGGAGGCAACATCCTGTGTGCAATGCTGACATCATTTCAGGGCAGTATTAACGAGCATTTATCGACACAAACTATTTAGTCTGTTATTTTTAGGGTTACTCATGGCGCACACTGAGCTCTTGTTTTATTATTCTGAGGGTCTTAATGGCTTTTTAAGCTCGCCGTTATGATTTTTACTCCCCCACATTAATATTGAAGATGAATCATAGTTGCTCTCATTAACCCCACAGAGCAGTTATGTTGCCTACCTAGCATGAAGTGACTCACAGGCTTGGTTATTGGCATGTTCATGCGACAAACACTGGGCTCCAAAGCTAATTTAATAGCAATTTTGGCTTCGATCATTAAGGAACCACAGCTGTGACTTCAAATAAACCAAATGTAAATGAGAAGAGTGAATCTCATTTTTTAGGTGGACGTACTTTTACAGCAACACTCTGTTTGTTAAAGTAAAGAATAAGTTTTTACTGAAACTTGAAGGAAAAGGGTTTGAAATAGGACTGGGCGATCTGGCAAGATACAATGATCACAATATATTTTGTCATATCGTCCGATCTCGGTTATTATCACTTTTTTAGTTTTTTTTTACTGCCAGTTTTAAAGCATCTGTTCTATAAACTAAAGAAATTAGAGATAAGTTCAACATTTTATTAACATACAAAGTAAATGACAAAGAAAATTAAATAAGATAAACTTATAAAAATATAAAAAACATTTTAACTCAACAGGTATGCAAGACACAAAATAAACAAATGGCCCCCTCAGGGTTAGGGCTGGGTGATAAGGCCTCAAATCAATATCACAATTATATTGATCAGTTCACCTTGATAACAATAAATGGACGATAACTACTCCACAAGCTGCTCACCCCCTCCCACATTAACTTTGTCTACTTCAGCCGCTCCAACTTTTGAACCGTCCTCCATCTCCTCACCTGTCTTTCCCTCTTTGTTACGGACTGGATGGGGTGGAGTCACGTCTCTGATGTAGGACAGCGTCTTAAAGGGACATGAGACCATAGCCTACCTACACACATCCAAAAACAACTTTGATTTATTTATATTTTTTGACACCAGATATACCGATATGGGCAAAATGACGTTGGTTATTGTCATAAATTTCTGTATCGGTGAATTTTCGGTTTATCGCCCAGCCCTACTCAGGGATAATAAAGACACCTTAAAATGTAAATATTAGATGATGTTAACGTAGATGATATAATTGATCGTTGCTTTGGTCTAGTGGCTACACCGCTAGTTGTAGCTAAACTGCTAATGCTACTAATGCCATCAGCAGTGACAGGCTGTACAGACTCCGCCCACATTTTCATTCTTTCCTCATAATCATTTATGAGTTCTTCAGACATTTGAAGAACTTCTTCAAATGATCAAACAGATCTGTTGTGTTGCCGGTTTTTGAGGCACAGACCGCCGACATACCTTATACATCAGCTTCATTACTCAACATCTTTTTGGAGATACCTGACCCACTGCCACACAACCGACGCTGAATAAGTTTTCTCCTCAACAACAACGTCTTTGGAGGATGACTCAAAGTCATGGCTGACATCTATTTAGCTTCCCTCAGCTCTGCGTTTAGCTCCATGTTTGGTCATTCTGTTTTCTTCTTTATCAACTTACAGAAGTGAGCAATAAATACACTCACAGATGATCACCGTGATCGAACTGAAATTTATCTCAATCATATAATCGCCCAGTCCTAGATTAAAAATAATCTGTCAATCCAGACTTTAGGAGGACATATCTGCAGATCTTTGATGAATTTCCTCAGTCGTTCAGTTTCCTCCTGAGCTCTTAAATCAGTCTGACAGAAGTAAAAAAATCTCAGTCTATAAGTTCCTGGACCGGCACCAGAACCCGCCTCCATACTGTTCAATTATCCATCAGCTGTGGATAAAAATACTCCTATGGTTGTGGCTGTTGCAATATTTATTCGAGAGAGTTGGTTCTTCTTGTTATATAATTGACAGACACACAGAAGACGCTCAAAGCCATTTGGAGGACGTTTCTAACCATGACCCACTTAGAGGAGTGAAAAGAAGAACTTTGATATTTTCTACAGTCTCAGAATAACAGAAATAAAAAAAGCTCTTCTCTATTATCGACACAGGAGTTCTTGAAAAGGAAGATCCTCGGTGAATGTGGATGTTTGAACAAAGAGACAGAAAGTGTTAACAGAGAAATCAGGCCGTTCTTATCTTTGTCCACATTTCTGGCTTTTGTCCCTGAAGACGCTACGACACAAAAACTCTGTATCTGGGTCGACAAGAACTCGATGACACTGGAGGTCTCTTTGAAGGACTCCTAAAAGAGACAGAAGGATGTCTGAATGTCTGCTCCAGTCTCATCCTCGTGCACTATGGTTGAACCCGTGCGTCTTTTTACACGAGCCGTTAGCTAAAGCCTCGAGACGATGATTGTCCCCCTCACTGACCCTCCCTCCATGTGTCTCCAGCTGTTTAGACAGCAGTAACGTGGGCTACGACAGCGATGAGACCAACGCTCGCAGCATCTCCAGCCTCTCCAACCGCTCCTCCCCTCTCTCCTGGCGCCACGGACAGTCCAGTCCTCGGCTCCAAGCAGGCGACGCCCCGTCCTCCACAGGCGGAGGATACCAGGGGAGTAAGAGCAGCTCCCAGTACACGGCCCACACCATGCCGGCCCGCTGCGCCAGCCGCCTCAGCAGCACGTCTCGCATCGAGCTCATCGAAGGGTTGGACGACCCTGAGCTCAAGTCTGGTTACCTGAGTGACAGCGACCTTCTAGGAAAGAGCATGCCCGATGACGACGACGACAACCTGGCTAACGGGTAAGAGAGCTCCTCTTGTTACCATGACAACCATGGTCATTATGTGCATATAAAGATGGACAGCTTGGCTCTCAGTCCTGTTATTGTGCAAAAGTGAAGCAAAAATTGACCTCAGAAATAGCGCCCCCTCCTGGTTACCAGCAGCAAATAACGAGCCGATCAGTTCAGTCTCCAGCAGAAAAGGTAGCTGTGTCGGTTTGAGAGGGAGGCTCATGTTACAGAAAGTTTAAAAACTGTCTGTTGGTTCTGTTTCATTTTCTCTCCTCATTTCATTTGGACACAGCTCTGCATTTGTGAGCACAGCTGTCAATCAGGGTGTCAAAACGTAAAGTGTGGTCTGATTTCGCGGCTGTTGACTCCAGCTCCTATAAACTCTGAATCCTTCCACTGAGAGTACAAAGATCGTTGCTCTTTAACATTCAGTACAAGTGCAGGAAACTTCGATGTCAGAAACTTTTCATGCCGACATCGTGGATTTCTGCTGTCTGAGCTTGAATCAGATGTTTTTGAGCTTTCATCAGCAGTTTGTGTCGATGCTCGACTTTCTCAGGCTCTTTAAGGGTTTCTCACGGCGCCTTTGACATCGTCAGAGACCGCTGACGGTGAGAAAAGGCTTTCAGGAGTTTGGTGGAGAGACTCGAAGAGCGCCTCAGGTGTCCACTTGGTCCCTTATCCCCAGCCTATGCAACCTGTAAAAGTATGTTTAGGTCCAGAACCAACAATAGGTCAGATCACAGACAGTTCCTTCTTTTTCTGCCTTTTATCGTTTCACTGCTTCTCCTGCAGCTTTGTCTCCTTCTTTAGGTTTGTCTGATGATCGAGTTGATGAGATTTGATTGATCCCAGTGCCATTATCAGTCTGGATAATTGATCCAATTCTTCTGTGCTGGGGAAAAGTTAGCCTACACAGGTTTTCTGGTTCAACAACACAAATTATAATAACCATATTTATCACCTTCACTGTTCTGGCTGGACCTTTAGAAGTTAGCTGTTTGTAGATGCAGAGTCTGATTGGTCAACACGCCAAAACAAAGATGGCAGCCTCTCTTTGATTCATGACTATTCTTCTCTGTAGGATTTAAAAAAAAAAAACCTGGATGTTGCAGAAACACAGCTGGACTCACGAAAAGAGTGGATTTTAAAAAGTGTCAGTACATTTAGAGCTGAACAGAACACCTACATCTGTTGTGTGTTGTAAATTAGTTTTAAGTGATTTTTAATATTTACAAGACTATAGGACTGCCTTTTATTTTTGTAAATATTGACTTTGTGTGACTTTTTTTTCCTCCCCCTGAAAAATCCTGATAAAATCGTGATCATGAATTAGCAAAAAAAATAAAAATATGTGATATTAAATTTTTTCCATATCCCTCGCCCCTAGTTGAAGACTCTAACTAGTGGACTCGGATATGGTTTAGTTCTTCACTTTTCCATCCGTTCCTTTTCTTCTGTTGTTCTTCTTCTGCTTCTTGATCTACTTTCTGTCTTTCTCTTGTGTTATTATCTTGCCCTCCTTTTTCTTCTGGTTGGTCTTCTAACTCTTGTTATTTGCTTATGCTTCATCTTTTTCTCTTCTTCATTTTCTTCTCGTTCTCACTCTTTTTCCTACATTTATGTTTCCTGAGCCTTTTTCTTCTCTCTCTATAACTAACCTCCTTTTCTACATCCTGACCTCTTCTTTCACCTCCCTCTCCTCATATCCTCTGCGTGTCTTTACCTAATTCCTTCTCCCACGTCGTCAGCTGACAGTAAGAGTCAGAGAGAGGGGGCAAAAGAATCCAGGACAGTTCTCTGGTGTGGTTTAGCAGCTTTATCGCCGCTGCACATGCAGTGGGAATTAAGCTCAGCCTCTGGAGCGTTCAGCGGTCCCTGCTCGCCAGGTCACGTTCTTACGACAGAGTAATGCAAGAAGAGGAGAAGAGATGGGCCTCATTTTGGATGAGCAGAAATTAGAGCAAGGCGGGAAGGTTGTAAATTGGAAGTAGGTTAATTCTTCTTCAACTACTGTACAACTCGGAGCGTGTGAGAGGAGTGTCACGGCATGTTTGCTTGAAACTGATGGGGGGGGGGAAAGCAGTGTACTGAATAAAAGTGGTCAACAAGCTCTTGTTTGGAGGTTGAATCGATGAGAAAGAAAAAAACCTGATAAGGTTCGGATTAAACAGGGATTATGTCATATTCCTCAGTAACTGAATCCATGTAAATCTGCCCCGTGTGTCGTCCTCCTCTTCCTCGCTGCTTCAGGTCAGATCCAAATTTAAATGTGAAAGGTGTGTGTGTGTGTGTGTGTGTGTGTGTGTGTGTGTGTGTGTGTGTGTGTGTGTGTGTGTGTGTGTGTGTGTGTGTGTGTGTGTTTGTGTGGGGGGGCTTGCCTCTGCTTTGCACCACAGCCACCGAAAATGCTAATGACTTTACATAACAGTGCTTTAAAAATGCTTCATCATGCTCAGTGTAAGGCCCCCAATGTCAACCATCATAACAGGTGACAGTTTCTCTGCAGTAGATTAACCCTGAAGGAACTACAGACAGAGACTTTAATCCTTCACAGGAAATATTCCGACACAGGAGCTGCGATCAAAGACGTTATATCTGACACTGAACCTAAAATAAAACAGATGTCAGTGCCCTAAGACAGGTCTCCAAAACATTCCTACAAGTTAGACAAGAGATATGACAAATGCATTTAACATCTAGAGTGCAAAAGTGGCGAGTAAATAAGGACATTACTTATGCAAGAGGGGTATATGGATACTGGTTTTTCAGAGCTGATACAGGTTTTTGGTCGTTTACAAGACTGATATTTGTGACTGATAACCAGTGAAACTAATGGGGCGCTCACACCAAGCGTGAGTAAAATCATCTACTCGCTAAATTCCTGTGAATGTAGACGCGTGAATAATTAGTATTTTCCTGCTTCATTCGCAATTTACCAGATAATCTGACCTCCTCGCTCACTTGCCTCATGGCGAGCTCCTTTTTATTCTGGTTTTGGTAATTGAAAGAAAAGATATCATATAATTTGGGGCACCAACACACTGACACGATCAGATTGTCCTTCATTTTAGATACCAGTGAACATCCATCCATTTTTTATACGTCATCCAACATGTAAAGAATCGCCACTAATACGACAACCTACGTGCTGATTAGTTATCACAAAGCAAACATCTGCTCAAGTTGAGACATTTTTAGCTCACGCCCAATTCGCACCATTCGCGCCGGCAGAGTAGTAGGAGCGTCTAAACGCGTCTTTGCGTTGATTTAAGATGTAATTCATTCGCGTGAATTAGTTTACTCGCAATTGGTGTGTGGAGACAGTTAAAACAAAAGGCCGACTTCATTTGAGCAAATTAATTTCATATGGTTTTATAAGGTTACCTATCTCACATGTATCATTGGGGTATCTACTGCTTTAACATTTAAACACATCCAAACAGTTGTACGCTCTTTGTCCAGTGGGTTGTAAAGGGTTTTTTTGGCTGCTAGAATGCACCAAGATATGTAAATACATTGGTGCTGTTGTGTGTGTGACCTTGAGTAGGCTGCAGGCTGTATTTGGTGGATATAACTCTGCTGAAACCAGCTCCTTTTGTTTGGTTTACTGGTCTGTGTTAGCTAAAAGCTATCCTCGATTCCTCTGCAGTAATACCAGAATGTTGCTGTCCTCCATATCAGGAACTAATCCGGCCTCATAATTACACCAACAGCCTTTGGTTTACATCGATAAAAAGCTATTCCAGTTTTCTGAAGCAGGCGCAGCAGCAGCAGCGGCACACGCTCCAGTTTTCTCCTTACAGTTTCCTTTTGCGATTTTCTGAGCTTCATTTGCATTTCTACTGTACATCCCCCTGTCACACTCTCACAGTTCAGCTCATGGAGAGCCATTAACCACCAGCTTTTGAAAATAGATCAGGCTCCTCCTGCGTTACCATGGAAACCCGCTGGTAATCGACTGTATGAGGAGGTGCAATTTCTGCTCTCTCTTTCACTGAAGACCCAGTTCTGCATTTCGTACATTCATTGATATGAAGTGAGCCTGAATTCTTTGACCTATATTTGAACGATAAACTGAAACTTCTTATCGATCAATAACACTTTTATACATCTTATCCATCCATTGATTGTAAATAACTGCTAACAGCAGTCCTGTATCTAAATGAGCGAACGAGGCTTCTTGTCTATCAATAGTAAAGCTTCTGTTTAATGTATAAGAAGGATTTATAACCCATCTTAAAACTGGCGATGTCTGAATGTTCGGACAGAATTCATGTTTTTCAGCAGCTGCAGCACATTCCACAAAGTCTAATGGATATTGATCTGCCCTCAACAGACAGGACAGCCTATCCATGGCTAAATGTGTACACCCTGACAGTAATCACTGCGACTGTGAGTCTGCCTCGTCGATAATCTGATACCACATACGGTGCATCCTAAACCTCCTCATGAGCTCCATGTTTCCATCACCTCAGGAAAGCTTCTCCTCTACAGTAAAACATCTTAATGAGAATCTGCTTTGTCCCAGTTTAGAGAAAGTATCAGGAAGCTGGTGTTATTAACTATTAATATGCCTTCTTGTTATTTGTCTCTGAGAAGAATGAGAATTAATGAGCGTTTTAATTCATTTGTGTCTAGAATTTTATACAGTTAAACACACATTTTTGATTGAGAGGCTAAAGTACAGAGTTGGTCTATCTGGGACATCTTTTTGTGGCTTTAGTCCTGTTTGACAGATAAAAATATAGTGTGTCTATTGGTGATCATGTTGCTTATCATTCTTTGGTGAAATTTGGAGTCCCTAACCCCCGATTTCCGCCGCATCCTGAACGGCTACGAAAAGGTTGTATCCGCCGATCGTAGCTGAATTTAACCATTCAGGTTAACGTGTCGATTTCCACCGACTTCTTTCCGTTCCTCTGCGGATCGCCGGACTCCTCAGCTGATCACAAGAGTTCTATTTTTTCTGAACACCAGAGCATGGCGGATAAATTCAGCACAGATTAACCCGTGCTGGAAAGGAAGTCGGGCACGGACACAAAATAAAACACCCGGCTTCTTTTCAAAATAAAACACCCCGTGTTTCAGGAGGATCGTATTTCACACCATGCAAACGGGCGGAGACGAACAAGTGAAAGGTTTTTAGACGTCATTTCACCCCGATGACACGACATGGACTCCTATGATTTCATGTTCCTGAGTCTCGGGGCTTGATCATTCGATCGGGTTTTGCTGAAAATGCTGCTGCTGCAGCTGAAAATAGTTTTCATTAGACATCAGAGCCCCCACTGCAGACTGTAAACAGTGAGTCAAAGTGACTCATGAGCTGCAGTTTTAGATGTGTCAGGTCTTCGTGTTTGTCAGTCGAAGAAACTCCTGCCATCTATTTAAGGTGAAGACTGTCTCTACATACAGCTGAAAAATGTTGATTTAAATGATTTCAGGTTTTAACTTTATCACGGTTGATTTAGAAATGTTGGTTTTCATTCTGTGGATGTGGGACTCATTCATGATTGCTGGATTTTTTTTTCTGGATTTTATTTTTGGCCAAAATCGCACAGCCCTAATAAACCTTTACTTCTTCTGCTGAAAATGTTGGCCGTTACCTAATCTAACAAGTGTTTTGCTTGTTTTCCTGAACCATTATACAAAGCTCCCCCTCTTTAGTGAGTGTGTGTTCGTGTTTTGTGTCTCTGAGTGTTAAGCTGGTTTCTCATTTAAACTCCATCACGTTTGACCACATCCAGAGTCATAACTGTTTCCTGTGGTTAAAATTTTCACACCATCCTGGCACACGCTCACCTCCATTCCCATGATTTCATGCTGTTGTCAGCCATATTTAAAGTGCTGGTTTTGGAGCGGAGCAGTAATCACTTTCTATCGCTGTTGTCCGGTGAGTTTTTCCATATCTGGTAACAGAATTATGACTTTGGAGCTGCGTTTGCCGTCGTTTCTGTGGTATCCAGCTAATTATGGTTGATGTTTTGCAGCCACTCAGCTGTATTATATGTAAGCACAGGTTGGCTCTTCATGTCTAATACAGATGTTCACCAGGAAATGACTTGTTTTTTCCATAATGCCATATAGTTGATGGTCCTAATGTTTGTAACAGAACATGTTATTTTCACAGGAGGTCAGCCTGCCTGAACATTATCATCCTCTCTGACATATTAATGTATTATCTGGACAGATCCTCGGTTTGAAAACCTTAAATTGGGAGATGTCAGCAAAACAAGGGAAATATAATTCAGCGTCGGTTTGGCTTCGAGCTTCTGTTTGCCCAAGAAAAGAAGCAGAGAGAGGCGGTTAGCTGCACTGAAGAGCAATTAATGGCTTTTGGTGTGCGAGAGGAAACGGAGGTCTTGTCTCGCTCTTAGGCTCATTAACCTCACATAAAACCTTAGACACCAGCGTAAACAGAGACACCTGTGACACCTAAGGAGCTCAGTCCATCCAAGTCCGAGAGTTTCCAGTAGGGCTGGGCAATAAACCAAGTTACTACATGAAAATACAATACTGCGTAAATAAGACAAACATAAAGACAAATCCTAAATTAGCTGAACAGTTGAAAAAAATTGTGTAAATCCCAATACTCACTGTACGGCAAAATTTTAAAAATCGCAATAATATTGTATCGTGGGGCCACTAGTGATTTCCACCCCTAGTTAATTGATGAGCCAATAACAGATTGGTATCAAGTAGGGCTGGGCGATAAACCGAAAATTTACCGATACCAAAATTTAGGACAATAACTGACATCATTTTTCCCATATCAGTATATTCAGTGTCAAAAAATAAATAAATCAAAGTTGTTTTTGGATATGTAGGTAGGCTATGGTCTCATGTCCCTTTAAGACGCTGTCCTACGTCAGAGACGTGACTCCACCCCATCCAGTCCGTAACAAAGAGGGAAAGACAGGTGAGGAGATGGAGGACGGTTCAAAAGTTGGAGCGGCTAAAGTAGACAAAGTTAATGTGGGAGGGGGTGAGCAGCTTGTGGAGAAGTTATCGTCCATTTTGAGGTGAACTGATCAATAAATCGTGATGTTGGTTTGAGGACATATCGCCCAGCCCTAGTCCAGTTAGTCCTGTTCTACCTTATTCCACCATCACAGAATTCGTCTTTTCTCATTATTGAGGCTGCCAACTCTGATCAGAGTTTACCTCGCTTTGTTAAAATTTTGCAGCATCTAGAAATATTTAATTTTCCTGTTTGTGTGTGAGGCGAATCAACGGGAGACTGAGGTCAGTTCTTGCCAAAGTTGATCTGGTTTGTTTGACTGTGCCTGGTCGTGGGCTTGAATCAGTCATCCCTGATGTTGATGCAGCTCAGTCGAGCTCCGTGGCTGTCTGATATTTAAGGTTCATTAAGTTTCGACAGTATCAGTTACAAGTTTAGTCATCCTGCTGACAAAACAACATTACTCTACAGCTTTAGCTTTCATTTGGAGTGATATTCTTTCCACTCATTAAACCAAAGTCCATGTTTCGCTCAGACTTCGTCCCACTAATTGGAGGACAGAATCTGGCTTTAATATTACCTACATTTATCTGCTGTGCTGACCAGTTAGTCATGACTCTGCTGTTTGGTGCTTTTTTACCGGACGGTCTGGTCTGACTTCATCTGAGGTCTATTATTCCCCCTCTAAAAACTGAGAAAGTGAAGTTGTGGCCTGTAGCTGTTCGCCCTGCACTGTGGAAAAACCATGTGTGAGGAATAAACAAACATTTAGGGGTTGGATTCACCGTTTATTATTATTGTGTGCTGGCAGCACCAACGACAACAATTTGAAGTACTTTTCACCGCATTTATCATCACATGTTTACAGAAGATGTCTCACTGCTCCTCTACTTCCTGAAGCAGAAACCATAAATGTTTTCTTTGTTTTACTCTTTGTGCTTCATATTTGCTTTTATTCAATGAGATTTTACAGAGAAAACCTTAAAAGAGTTCAAAGACGTGGTACCACTTCAACCGCAGTTCAAGATCTGGAAATTGTACCTTAAAAAGACAAATGTAGTCGCTCTCTCTCCCTAATGGACCTTCACCATTCATGATGATGAAAACGTTGGAGGAGAAATCCCGATCCTGCTCTTTTTAGATGTTTTGTCGGTGATCAAGAAATTACATTGGTGTTTCAAAAAGTTCGTCCATTTTCCTCTGAGCACTAAGCGATCAAATATAACTCGTGCACTTAGGGACGCAAAGGTCTGAAAACACTGGATTGTATTTAGTTTGAACAGGACATAATTGCATACTGGGCTTCAGGTTAAGCGGCTTTATCAGACAAAGACATAACTTTCCTTTTCCATGAGGTTAGATTTGTTATTTTTCTTTGTCAGTCTTCCCTCTGACCTCATACTTTGTTCATGTCGTCAGCGCTGATGCCATACTTCAGGGAAAATGAATGAAAGACAGGTTAGAGAAGAAAAAAGCTCCTTTATCTACAGGGTAACAGACGGTTTGGGGGCGATCAGGACCCCTCGAGACCTGGACCGAACCCGTTTTATGTTTCTATACAACAGCATACAGGAAACAATGCAGAGAGAGAGAGAGAGAGAGAGAGAGAGAGAGAGGGAGGGGGAGAGCGAGGAGGAGGCTGGTTCAGCAGCATCACACCTCAGATCATGCGGCAACATGGCTCGGGATGTGCTGCCATGGCAACCGTCTTGCACTGACCCACTGATGGGGCTGACTTGTGTGTCAGTGTGTGATTGCTGCCGCTCGTGTGTGTGTGTGTGTGTGTGTGTGTGTGTGTGTGGTGGAGAGAAAGAGAGAAGCACAGAGGATGAGGATATAGATTGATGGATAGAAAGTGCAGAGAGAGAAAAAGAGGGGCTGGTGTGAGACCAGCCTGCTAACCACTTAATCAGATTGTTTTTTAATTGTCATGGGGGGGGGGGGGTCTGCCTGTAAAGCTGTTGTTTGACTCTCTGTTTGTATCCTGCTATTATCAGGATTTAGTGCAGCACTAGTTGAGGAAAAATAGTTCCTTTTGCTTAAAGTTCCTAACCTGCTATTTATGATATTGATCAACCTGTTTATTATTTATCAATCTACTGTTTAAGCTCAATACTCTAACAGTGCGGGTGGTATTTTTAGATTCTCCTAATGACAGAGGCTTGTGTTTCATTGGCCAGTTTAAGAGGGAAGTCCATCTGCCTTTTGGGTCAAACTTTAATCGTTTAGTAGTTTCTAAGATCTCCAGGTTTGGATTTCATCGGTTAGCGTCTGTTGTCACTGAACCTAAGTGCTATGCTATGGTTGGGTGGAGCTGCTGTCTGATACTACACAGTTGTTTGCTGCCTGGTTTTAATTCAGTACATGATTGGTTCAGTGTGAAGCGGACCCGCAGCAACTCCCCTTTTCATTGGCTATTCCCATAGTCTATCAAACATGACAGAATGCTGACTATTGAAAAGTATATTGACCATGTTTCGCTGTGATATCAAGGGAAATTAATTTTTGATATACATCGTCATCCGTTTTATCGCCCAGTCCTACCTCAGGGTGTGCTGTACATTGTCTAAGCTTATTTTAAGGAGTCTGACTGACACTTAAAATAAATGTAAATAAATGACTAATCTCATTTTACTGTATAGGTCATCAATAAGTATCAATGTGAATAAGGCTGTTTCTAAATCAGTAAAAAAAAAAAAAAAAAAACTCCTTACTGCGCCTTTAATAACTAATGTATGTATGATTGTATGTTAGAGTTGGCGTCCTCTTTCCTGGATGTGTGCCTTTGCCATGTATTTTCTGCACCACTGTACATTATAGATAAGCTCTTGGTTCCGTTTTCTCCCCTGGCGATGTCTTTTTTCCAGGCGAACCACATTACAGCTTTGCCCGAGCTATTGTGTGGATCTTTTCAGAGTCTGGCATGTCCAGCATGAACGTGAGTGTTTATGCTTCTCTAAATATTGGACAGCTCACATCCTCACTGGTGGAAACTACGTGTATCTACAAACAGATTCTATAATGCACAAAGGGTTTTTACTTCAGCAGTCATCTGATCCTGGATCTGTGCCTCAGGCCGTCTGCATTCAATTTCCCTTTCCTGCCCTGGTTGGACCTTTTCTATATAACCTCCCAAACTATTGAAGCCTCACACATTTTCTGACCCACTTAAACCCATGTGCACAAAAAAAAAACGGATTGGGCATCGGCCTCTCTGCTCCGGTTCTCCGCAGGCGCTGCTGGGATTACAGTTTAGTGAGGCAAACAACTTGGGGTCAGCACTTTATGGCCGGTGGCTTTTTGAGGAGGGATGTTGTTTTCTTGGCTCTGATAACCGCACACAGACACGCCACACACTCTTCAATGAAGTCATGCACTAGTCCATTTTAAAAGGCTTTGTTCAAGCTGAGTTAAACTCTAATTTGCACGTGTTTCACATTGTTTAAAAAAGGAAACAAAAAAAAAACATCCGCTCTCTCAGACCCTCTTATCCTGACGTACAGCACAGCCAGACTCCCACAGTCAGCAGCTCAACACATCTGGGGTCAATATGGAGCTTTCCTTCCCCACCAAGGGTCACTAAAACTGAATCCTCATCCACCAAACTCTCTCCTCCGTCTCCTCACCAACCATGTGTATAATGGACCATTACAGCAGCACCCCAGGGAGCATGAATCACCCCTATATCATGTCTGCGTGTGGTCGCCTGGGTGCACAGTTTGGACTCCACCAGTGCATCATTCTCAGCCCCCAGGTGGAAAACGTGATACTGTTTCGGTGCAGCGCTGTCTAATTAAAAAAATGTGAATCATGTGGTAGCTGTTAACCGGCAATCCCCTGACTCGTGACGAGGTTTGTTTGTAGAAAATGTCAGCTTATCTGCTCTGAATATGGCTGGGTCAGATTAGCTCAGAATAAATGTAAATTGGCTCTGCTTCGACTTTGTAGAGATACTGAGTCTGCACAACTCGGACAAACAAAAGAAGAGTTTAATTTACTTATACTTTGGAGTCTGTGTTTATAATAAAAACACATTTTAGTTCCTGGAAAGTGCTCTGAAGTTTGGGTTGAAGTGATTGCAGATATGCTCTCTCTCCATTTCTGTTTTAAACACGTTTATTCCTGCTGCAAAGACAGACGTTTGAACACAGATGTGATCCGGGTCTCTTGGGATTTTAGAGCCAGCCTTAAAGGGATGAAGATCTGTTAGGTATTGATATTTGGCTGCATATTTTTATAATGTATCTACATGTTTAGTTAGGGCTGGGCAATATGGCCTCAAATCAAAATCATGATATATTGATCAGTTCACCTCAATAACGATAAATGGACGATAACTACTCCACAAGCTGCTCACCCCCTCCCACATTAACTTCGTCTACTTCAGCCGCTCCAACTTTTGAACCGTCCTCCATTTCCTCACCTGTCTTTCCCTTGAAAGGGACATGAGACCTTAGCCTACCTACACACATCCCGGAAAAACTTTTATTTATTTGACACCAAATATACAGATATGGGCAAAATGACATCAGTTATTGTCGTAAATTTCAATATCTGTAAATTTTCGGTTTATCACCCGGCCCTACCTTCAGTTGACTAAATGATTAAATGTGATCACACTCACTCAGAATCTCTAATTAGTTGATTGACTTTAAAATATCTATTACTGTAGGTTTAAAATCTTGGTTATATGTTGTCTGAGCTGTAATGCAGCCACTCACCACTAGTTGGCGCTGTAACTCCAATTAACAGCCACTGCTGCTTCTTGTGACAAGCACTAATGCTCTTAATATAAACAAGCACAGATGACTGATGGCGTCTTGTTTTTGCAGTATTTTTATCTAGAAAATGATGATTTATGATATTGATTTATTCACTTGTTTATTGATTTGCCCCTTTTTCTCTTCCTCTTTCATCATTTTTCTTTCTTTACTTTTGTTTGTCTTTCATTTACTTTTAACTCCTTATGTCCATCTGCTGGGGCTGGGTGCTGGAGGGATGGGGGTGGGGGGTCGGTATCTGTTCTGGGGTTTGCTGAATTTATCTGTAATCTATAATTAGAACACTATTGTCTTTCTAGTTTGTAAAAAAAAACAACTGTTAAAATAAGAAACAGATAACTTCAGAACTTCCCTGGTGTTTTTCTTGTTCAGTTTGTCTCATGTCTGCCACAGTTTACTTCAGGTTATTGATGATTTATTCTTTGGCTGCTGATGTTGAAAGAAAAGTCTAACACTACTGAGTCATTCTTTTAGTTTTTATTCACAACTTTTACTGAGACTAAGGGCATCAGGGCTTAGCTGTTGTCTGCTGACTATAGCAGAGGATTTTGTGGCCTGATATTCAGTGAAAATTGAAAAGAGTATTCTCGTATGTCAGTGATTCTTTTTCCCTCTCAGATAATTAAAAACACAATAGTTTGAGCTGCACTCAGATGTTTAGTGTCTTTTGCCAGAAAAATGTCGATCAAAGTGTGCTGACCCAAATCTGCCCTCTCTAAAATAGCACTGACAGCTATAATCGATCGCTTAATAACCTCCAGTTAGGAGTTTTTATTTTTACTAGGATTTTGTTCATGTTTGATAATTTCTCCTGACTTTGATTCTGTGATTTTGTCTTTACTATTTAAAGCCAAAGTTCTGCAGCCTTGACATGCCGTACTGATCCGTCTGAGATAAAAACAGACACAAAAAGTACGACTTGATACAACCCAAACAACAGGATAACCATCAGGCTGTAAATGTGGCACAGCATGTGGCTCTCAGGATAAAGTGTGCATCAGCTCTATTGAGGTTACATCTGTGGGGGAAGTTTCCTGTCTGAGGTTGATGGAGACTATTTATTCATTTTCCACTCCAGTAATCGGACGACGAGTCCATTTTCTGAGGATCTGCGGAGATGAAGCGAACAGCTATAGCCCCAGACGCAGTCACTGATGCATCTTAGGCCCATTTACCATGCTCTGAAATGCCACTGCAGCCCACTCCCACTCGCCCAGAGAAGGTCAGGCTCAATACAAATCAAAATTAGGCAACGGGGAGATCAGAGATGTGCAACAGAAAGAACGCTCAGCTGGCAGCGCTCTGTAGTCCCTCTGAATGAATGGAACATAAACAGACATAAATCACTGAACACAGAGTTTGCTTGTGTTTCTCCCTCTGCAGTAATTTCCCACATTGTTCTCTTGAATTGAATGTACAGCGTGGAGGAACAGCGGCTCTGTTTCTGCTTCAAAGGGTCCAAAATGGACTAAAGTACTATTGTTCTCTCCAAATGCCAAGTTAGTCCTCTTCTGCACAGTTACAGAGCCTGGACACTTAACTGAAGCAACACAAGGCACAGTTTAAAGTCATTGTGCCCCCTGCTGGACCTCTAATGTCATTACAGTGCATGACAACAGTGTGAAAAGGAAGGTAGCTTTGTGGGAGCCACTTTATGATAAAACATACATAAATCCTTCTGGTAATACGTCCAGTTACAGTTATTTAAATGTTGCACTGCTGTTTTCCTGGATGTGTGCAGGCCCAGCTTAGTTTAAGACCACTATACTTCATTTTAAGGAGGCTGTGTCCTTTTTTACCCAGAAATAGGGGGTCCTCTATAATTGTGAATTCAATTGTATATTGTATTTGATGAACAACAACTTCATAGACCTTGATTAGCCAAAAACATTTGACTTTTTAGATGTTCTGACAGTGATTTGTATGTGTGCTGCACAGATAAATAAGAGGCTTGTCATTTTGTTAGCAACAGGCCTGGAGTCCTTCTTATGTTAAAGGTTAGAACAGCAGTTTATATCCTGTTACACTGAAGTATGAATTAAAAGTTAAAGGTCTTTCTCAGATTGGTTTGTTTTGTTTTCTAATCTCTTGCACGACTAACAGAAGTGTTGTTTGAGGATAATGTTTCCTTCAGGCAGATGATTCAGAGTTTTTAATATACGCTGAACTACTTTAAAAACTCCTTTGTGCCCATCTTCATCAAAACTGAATCATGTTTATTTGGGCTGTAGGCCATGGTGCTTCTTCTCTCATCTTCTCTTCATGCAGCTTTTTGAGTGTAATATGGACACTGTGCAGTATGTTTAGTTTTTGTTTCTTTTAGTGTAAAGTTCTTGGTTTGCATCAGGCTTGTTGTTGGTTTTTAGGGTTTTTATTTTCTTATTTAAAGAGGTATTTCGGAGGCAGTTGATCAAACGCAGCACTTGATTCCAAGGTGACAAAGTGTTCAATCATATTATACTATATCATATCATATCATATCATATCATATCATATCATACTGTATCATAACGTATTGTTTCATACCATATGATATGGTATGATACGATATGATATGATACATTATAATAGGATATGATATTATTGTATCATATTAAAATGTACCATATCATATCGCATCACACTACGTCATCATATCATATTATAGTCATATTATATCATACCATATCACATCCTATAATAAGGTATCATATATCATATCATACCATATAATATCGTATTATGTATCGTATTAGATCATATCGTATCACATCATTTCATAACAGATCATACTGTATCATATCATATCTCATATTACCATATTTCGTATAATAATGTATCATATCAAATTATATAGTATTATACATCATATATAGTATTTTTTGGGTTTGCAGCCTTTTTTATGTGTTTGGTTGGACCCTTATTTCCTTATTCCCAAACTCAATAACACATTTCAGTCAGTGCTGTATTTTGGGTCTTGTCCATTTTTTCGATATAACGCCGCCTGCTGCTGTCAGGAAAAGGGATGACCATGCAGAAATGGATTTTGTGTTTAGTACTTGTCACGTACAGAATCCTGACCTCAATCTTATTCAGCACCTTCAGGATGAACTGGAACAACAGTGTTTGGACAGAGCCGGGCCTTATCACCCACTGTCAGAGCCAAACCTCTCTGACACTCTGCTGATTGAATTGGAGCAAAGCCCTGCAGCAAGGTTAAGAAATCTTTTGGAAGGGCTTCCCAGAGGAGGCTGTCACTGATTTACAACACTGGAAAATGGCTGTAAGATTTCAGTTTGTTGTCCAGATATGCTCTGCCGTGCATCATATAATTGACAGCTTTCAGCTTAATGGTTATTAAAGAGAATGTGTGGGACGATAAGAACTGATTAATGTCTCCGCTTTTAACTCTAAGTACTACTGTCAATTTTAACACATTTGAGAAATGCTTTTCAATTTTGATTCCATTCAACATCATATTAGAATTTTAGATGTGAAGCAGCTGAGTTTGCTGCACCAGAGGCACACAGCCATGCTAGATCAAAAGCCGTAACAGGAAAGGTCAGATCATTGGAAACTGTTTCTCATCCGATCGCCTCAGGGGAAGGCAAGCACAGGTCCTCATGTTGATACGACCCCAAACAGATGGGTTAGACCTTTAATTTAAACAGTTTGTAAATATGCCCAAATTGAGGTTTGTGTCAGCGGCCTTCCATCCAAGCAAATATGCAGAGGATGTGTAAGACACAAGCCGTTTGGTTATCAGAAGAGGACAGCTGTTTCTATACACAACTTCAGGCTTGTTTAGCAGATCTGTGGCCAGGCTGAGATAAACAGGAGACCTTAACCAACACACCACTCTGCGTATACGTGCATCCACTATCCTGTTTTGTCAAGAAAAACGCAGCTTTGAAATAATTATTAGGTTTTCAAATATTTCATGATTTTTCTGAGCATACAAGAACAACAGAGAGAGCGAGAGAGAGAGTGTTCGTTCCTCAGAGGATGATCAGAGAGACGATATGAAGGGACGGTGGCAGACACAACATCCTTTTATCAAACATCTCATTGTGTTTACAGATAGTTTTTGTGTCTTTGTACACGCACTGACAGCAAAAACTGTTGTTTAATTTCACTGAAAAATGTAAAACCACAGATTTTGAATTCTCATGTTACAAAATGAAGCCTGATCTGGAAAAACACTGAACCACATTTGATCAAAAGTAAAGGTCAGTTTGTTCCTGTTGTGAAACATGAACTTTCATGTGTGCTTTCACCATTTCCTGCAGTGTTGTTTGAAGGATCTTTCTGCAAGAAGAAACACTCCGATTCATCTCATATGGTCATGTACAATCAGCGCGGTTCTGTTTTGAGAGATTTACAGAACACTGATTTGGTCTAAGATGTGGACAGGGTGTGGGATGTCCTGGGCCCACAGAGCCTGTACCTCCTGTAGTAGTTTACAGAGACTGTTCCACTGCTAATGAGAGGGGGAGGGAGGTTTCCAAGGCTGCCCAGGCCTCACTGGAGGTCCTCGTGTCATCCCTTGGTTTGTGGTTGCCCTTTCAGTGATTCAGGCCTTTTACCTTGGACTGAGTTTTTCCAGCTAGGCCCCCAGAGGGTAACAAAAGCGGAAGGAGCGTGTTTTATTTTCAAGGACATTTAATCACTGTACTGATCTCTTTAATGTGAAATGGAGCCTGAAGGTTTATTTGTATGGGCTAATACAATCCTTTATCCTGTCATGAAGCAGTTTGAAACCCTGATAATGACTCACTTGAGAATTTAAAAAACTTTATTTTTACAGTGTTTGTTGGGTTTAAGGTGAGTTTCAGCACTCAAACAGACTAAATATAGACTACAGTAATATCTGTCTCTGCTCTTATGGCAAATCTGGAAAATGTCCCTGAAGCAGACACTGAGTAACACTGGAATCTCATTTATGAGCAGCTGGCATTTATTGTTTTTACATCTGGTACTTTTCACTGGTTTAGCTGCTACTTCTATCATTTCAAAGTCATACAGTCTATTTTTTATCAAGAGGTACTTTATTAAAGGTCTGCTGAAACTTCTGTATTTTACAATAAAGTCAACTAAATGGATCCACTACAGTTACAGCTTATAGTGGGCTACTGTGGTAAACGGTGAAAACACTATGGCAAAAAAACAAGGCATCTTAGTTTGCAGTTACCTTAAAAAATGCACCAATTTTAATGTAGGCTAATTTTTCAAAAGCAGAGTCGTAGACTAGTTGGTTAGCACACAAGAACAGCCGCTTGTTTTCCTCTTTCAGTGTGTGCGTTTAGGACATCAACAAACTAAATTAACTTCTATGTGTAGTCGTGACTTGTGCTGCGTTCCAGTTTCCTCGGACATCGGATGTGGGAGCTGGGAATGATGTTACACCCGAGTTGACGGCATTACAGTTAACAAACCAAGATGGACGCCTGCTATTACCCATTGTTTGCTGTTGTTTTCAATTGTCAGCTGTTGTTGGCCATTGTCAGTTCTTGCTAGCGGTTTTCAGCCGTTGTTTGCGGTTGTCAGCGGTTGTTAGTTGTTGTTAGCTATACAAGTCGTAAACAACCCATAACACAGTATTTTACTCGTACAAACACCATAGCACCGTGTTCACAAGTTAGACGTTGGGCCGTACAACATAAACCACTCATTTAATTTCACAATAACTAAACAGAAGTGCTAATAAATAAATAAACAGTTATGAGAGCTTTCACTGTTATGCTTTACTGATGCACTGTGCTGCCATCTTGAATTATGTCGTTGTCGTCATGTCGGGGTTGGTGAGGATCGTCCAACTTTCTGAGTCGTAAATCCGACTTCAGGGGGGCGTTCCAGATTAATTTCCGACTCGGAGCTCGGAAATCCCGACTTCTGAGGACAACTGGAACGCAGCATAATTGTTAACGCTATAGTCCTGTAAAAATCGAAGTACAAGATGGCGACTTTCATTCTCCTGTTAAATATGAGGCTCATTCAAAGTTAAAAAACAAACAAAAATTAATTGTCTGAAATATACTTATTGAAACACACTTGTAATGTTTTGTACCATATTTACAGGTGTCTAGTTTACTTGATGCTAAAGCCACACACTGAACCTTTAATTCACCAGTTATAGCTGTTTGGTCTTTAGCGCCAGTTTGGGGTCATTAAAATTTGCTTTTGACCATTTTATTCTCTAACTTACCTTAACAGAATACTACGGTGAAATATTTGTGTAATAAAATTCATTTTTAGGGGTTGGTCACGTGTCACTGCACCGTGGAGTAATGACCGTTCCCATGGTTACCACTCCTCCCGCCAGCCGTTGGCCATCATTTCACTGAAGACCATCGGGGTCTCTGTGGTCTCCTCCTCATCCTCCTTTTTTCTCTCTTTTCGTTCATTCCCGTTTTTTATGAGAGGGGGGGTGTTGCCTGCCTGCCTGCCTGCCTGTCCGGCTGCGGACTGTTTCTTTCTTTCTGCTGAATGAGAGAGAAAAACGGTGGTCTCTCTCTCTCTCTCTCTCTCTCTCTCAGCTCAGGGAGGACATGATTTAGGATCTTACACGATCGGATAATTCGAGGAAGTTGTAACCGACTCACCAATTAACGGTCACAAATGAGCGGTCGGGTTCTGATTGGGAAAGTTCCTCCTCTGCAGTCGGTGCCCCGGGCTAAAAGGACGCTCTTTACGGCCAGGTAATGAAATAATGTCGAATCAGGAGACTCTTTGTTGACGGTTTAAAGTCGGTTTCTTCTGTTCGAGTATTTGTTCTTTCCTGTGGTCGTGGAGCCGGGTCGACTGGCTTTACTATAGCGGGTTAAACGTGACTTGGCTTTTTGCTGACGGTACAGTAACAGACGGTACAGTAATATACAGAGTTACCTTATTAGTGTGTCGTTGTTTAACAGGGATAACACCGTGTTATCACGCCTTCAGATACAGTTAACTAAATATATATCTGAGGAGTTAAATACAGGAGAGTAAAGAAGGAGGAAGGAGACAGTCCTGCTTTTGTCTTGGACACGTTTGAGGTCCGTTTTCACTAAAGTCTATCTGAACATTTACAAATATGGTTTATGACTTTATCAGTCCTGACCACTTCTTATCTAAACTTAATTCAGGTAACCTTGGAGGCTGAGCTCATCTAATTTTATATTCGTACACTGTAAACCAATTAAAGTCTTTTTGATTGATGTTACAGGTCTTATTTGACTTCCTAAAGTGAACAAGTAGTTTTTAATTCTGTTGGAAATTCAGATGAAAAGTAAAAGTGTAAGAGACGCCAGTATTTCTGATATTTGTAGAAACATATGATCCTGGGTTGACACAGCACTTCTGCTACCACAGCTATCTTAACCACGCTCTCTGCAGACTCATTCACCCCATGACAGCTCGACTTTGCTGTTATGTGTACAGGGAAAAGTCATTGGCAAGAGTTAAGGTTGTCTTATGCCTTTTTTAGATTTTACAACAAAGTATGGAGCCACAATGTTGGATGTCAATTCAAAATTCAGGCAAAGTGTTAAATCATGATGTAAATGTGTGGTGGAGTAATCCTTCGATGAGACCGCAGGCTGCTTGAATTACGCTAAAGCCACACGAGATTTGAGAAAATTGAGACTGAGGTGAATTTCCTTAAAAGTTCATAAAAACACAAATGTCCAGTTCTGTTCTTTGTGGCTGGGGATTTTTCTTATCTGTTCCCAATCTGGGCTAGATTTGGGCTCTGAAACATGATCGTATTTCATGATTTGCTATTTTAGATAGAGAAACATGGTGTTGTATCATGGCAACAGTGGAGAAGGCTTCTGGAGGGGCTCATGGAGTCAGTAGCTGATATGAAGAGTTCATAAAAACTGAAATGATGATTTTCAAAGATGTGAGAAGTCGTGATTAATTGAGTTTCAAATCATTTAAAGTTACAATGAAGATCTTTAAAGTCTTAGATAAATCCACGGTCGAATTCCTTCCTTCCTAGATTGTCATGTCTATCTGCTCTTTCTCAGTCTGTCGGTGTCAAGTGCGCTACATCATGTTAAAATGTGTTGTTAATGCTTTTGTCAGATCTCGGTCCAAGCCTGGCTAATATTTCTCACGTCCCCACCCTTTTCCTCCAACCACCTCACCAATCCTACCTCGCAACCCTCTTAAATCAAAACATTTTCGCAGCAACCCAACTCCAAATAATCACACAAATCAGAGAGATGCTGGAGCAGAGCCACAGAAAACAAGAAGTTAATTACCACCCTATGTACAAAGTATGCACTCTGCTGGCGTACTCCCACCCTCTTCTTCTTGTCTGGATTTCACCTCTGAGAGCAGACAGTTTGGCCTGCAACTCCAGTGGCCCTCCTGCTTTTTCTTAAACTGACATCCTCGTGCGGTTATTCACGGCCCCCTTGACAGAGGTGGTATTGTTCGAACATACTGAGAACATGTGGGCTTAATGTAAATCAAAAATATTCTCCTTGTTGATGGTGCGTGAAAGCATCTTCGAATTCTCCAATCAAACATTAATCTGAGGTTTTTCCCTCCTCTTGTCAAACTTCACCGCTGAGGTCGAGCCGCTCTTACCACAAATCACTCAAGTGTTACTTTAAGGCGTCCAAAAGCTCCGAGTGTCAGGATAAGCTTCTTCTCCGTTTTACAACTATGACTACAATTCAACTGCAGCCATGTGATTAAATGCAATTCTGAATGTGTATGGGCCATTTTCGTCTCCCTGTATTTTTCTCTGCACTTCCATGTTCCATGCCTCTGCTAATTGCAGGCTGCTGAGCCGCAGAGAGCATTTTCAGCTCAGTGGGGAAAGTTAAAGAAAAGGGAAAAGAACGGACTCAGCTGAAGCAGTGACTCAGCTTTTACTAAATTTTATTAACCTACCTTTTCCGCCTGTTCCAGGTTTTTGGAGCCAGCATGAATTTGATCACCACCTGTGGTTACAAGTTGCAGTGAAGGGGAACGTTATTACCACATAGAAGTTGGACTTGAAATGGGATCTTGAGCATAGACTGTATTAAGGGTGGGCGATAAACTGGAAATTTAAAGAAACTGAATTCTATGACAATAACCAATGTCATTTTGCCCATAACGGTGTTTTCGGTGTCAAAAAAGAAGAAATAGAGGAAAGTTAGTTTTGGATGTGTGTAGGTAGGATATGGTCTCATGTCCCTTTAAAACGTTGTCCTACGACATAGAGGTAAAGTAGACGAAGTTAATGTGGGAGGGGGTTAGCAGCTTTTGGAGTGGTTATTATCCATTTATCGTTATATATATAATGTTATTGATCTCTGAGGCTATATCGCCCAGCCCTAGACTGTATATAGAATGGACACCGTCTGCCTCCTCGCAGGGTGAAGCTACCGTGAGAACAGTGCCCTCTGGTGACAGGCTGCAGTATAGGTCATAAACCCCGCCTCCTTATGGAGCTGTGGATGAACTTTATAAATGAATGACACAGAATATAAATGTTTCTCCCCCCTGGTTGTGATGTTGACATGTAGTTACTGTCAGACTGGTTTGTGTTCAAGTCCTTTTTTTTCTGTACAGCTCCATTTTTAAAAGTTATTAGGGGGTTCATGTTTTCTGTGATTGACACCTGATACAGCCTATGGGTGGACAGAGATCGTGTAGCTCACCGGGGGGTACGCTGTTTGAGCCGAGCGTCATCACAGCGACTCTACCGCCAAATGCGTTCAACACTACTGTGCAAGTGGTGGTTCCAGGAAGTGGAGAAAATTCGTACAAACAGATTTGTATAATGGTGGAAGGCAGAGCCAAGTTGTCCATATAGTATACGCCCTTGAGTCGTAATTTCAAATTATAAAACGTCATGATTGTCTTTCTAAAGTGTTTAAAAATGTTTTCTTCTTCCCTTTTAAACCCTAAATAAGTTTTCTTTAATGTTTTGATCACAAAAGAGGCCTCACCTTTTGTTGGATCCAAAATCGAATCCATCCAAAGACTTGATGCCCGATGAGCAGTTCGTCTGGACTCTCCTTTGCATGTGGAGCCAGACTGGCAGCATCTGTTTCATGCGATGCAGGGCTCCATAGAGGGGTGAAGAGAAAGGTCATGGAGGGTTTAGTATCCTGTCACTCTGATTTCCTCTCATCCTGCCTCTTTAGAGTGAACCATACCGCTTTCTAAACCCTGAGCTGTCAGCTGCCGTACAGCTTGATTTATCAGCACATCCTGTAAACTTTCCCTTGAAGCTACAGTTAAAATATTTCAGAGGACTGGACCCTGTTTAAAAACTGTGAGTGATTCATGAGATGATGGTGATATTAAATAGATAACTTTAAACTAAACTGGATGAAAAGTATAAATCTTCAACCCTCCAAAGTGACACAAGCTCTAAATTTGTCTTTGGATCGTAAGAAATCTTGGGAGGTCAGTTTTAAAAATGTTTAACCATCAGCCAGCAAACTCTCGCTCCATCTTCTTCTTTGTCTTCCCTCTGTTTCATCTGGTTTACAGTATCAGTCTGAGTGAGAACTGAGCTGTGCTCCATATGTCAACATGATAGAGGTGGATTTTATGATCTAAACTGCAGTCAGCCAGCAGGGGGAGCTCTAAATGGTCTGCCTTCTCAGTTACTATGTGCATGACCAATACTAGATTATGTATATTAGGACTGAACGATAAATCGATTTTAAGTCATAATCAGATTATTTGATTATCCCGATGTTAAAAAAAATTAAAATCCTCAAATCAATTTTCCTCTCGATTATGTCTCACGCCTTTAGGCCACCATAGGCTCCCCAGTTCCCACACACTCCAGTGTAAACAAACATGGCGTTTGCTAAAGAAGGCGATAATTTCGTGGTTAAATAGTAAAAGAGCGAGTCAGTCGTGTTGAGTTGGTACGACTTCACAGTTTCAGATGAAGAGTAAAACACTCCCCGCTGCAAAGTCTGTCTGAAGGCGGTATCAACCCGTCACCATGGAAACAAATTCAGAAGAAAATGCTAAAGAATTTGTTGTACCGGCGTTCTATCCACACGGAAATGGCGTTTCAGGTGACTGTAAACGGTACTTTTTGAAAACAGGTCAGAGAGTGAATAAATCTGTAAACGACGACCATTTCATCTCCGTGTGGATGTCTATCTGCATCTCTGGAAACGATCATGTGACACACAGAGTAACTCTTTTATGGCGCCAAAACAACCTTTATACACATGCTCTGTACTCTTCTTCTGTCTTTGGTGCATTTCCTGTGCAGCGTTACAGCGCCACTTGGAAGAACTTTTTATTGAAGTGAAGTTTGGTGAAGTTTTCACTAAATAAAAAATCGAAAATCGAGTTTTCAGAGAAAAAAATCTGGATTTTATTTTTGGCCGAAGTCGTGCAGTCCTAGTTTATATCAGCTGGTTGTCCACAAAACTGTGCGATGAAATGCAATGTCACCAAAAACTGAAAGCCACGAAATTGTCATTGATTATCATTTCAATGATTTTATTGCTCTATATTAAAAAAAATCAATTATTTCAGGAATCAAACTGAAGTCTAACTTGTCAGATATGTCAGATGTTGTGGGATGTCCAACAAACTATGAACTCGTCGTTTTGACTAACCCTAGAGATTGTTGAATTTGGGCTCTTCAGCTGCTGATTAAAGTAGAATAAGCAAAGTTTGGAACAATCAGAGTGTCCGTCCAAAAACAGGCGGTCATAATTATTGTTATTGCAGACATCACAAGTTGGAAAATATTGTGCGGTACGTAGAAGTCCGTGTTACTCAAAGTTTTGGAGTCTCTGTCTCGGCTAAGTGAGTGAGACGCCTGAACCTTATTGCATTAAAACTTAGAGATCGGCTCCTGAGGCTGTGGTCACCATATGGTCGGGGCCTCTGATGTGTTCGTTGAATGGAAGCAGCTGCAGCCATGTTGAAATTACCTGCTTGTTTGAGCATATGACCACCCGCAGAGACAGCTGACTGCAGACAGATGGACATCTAACCGTTTCTGCCAGTCTTTACCCTTTAATCCGTTTTATTCAGTGTCCACTCAAACACTGTGGTTGTCATGGTTACATGCACTTTTAAGCCAACGGGTCTTCCTGTCTTGTTTCAGCTGGGATGAGAGCAGCTCCATCAGCAGCGGGCTCAGCGACGGCGATGGCGACGGCTCAGAGAACCTCAGTTCAGAGGAGTTCAACGCCAGCTCCTCCCTCAACTCCCTCCCGAGTACTCCGCTGGGATCCAGACGCAACTCTTCTGCCATGGTGAGCGGGAATACTGAATTAAACGGCCTGTGACAAGGTTTGGCTTTCCTGTTTCCCCTAGTTTTTGTTTTTTATTTTGCGCTAAAGAGAGCGAGGCCTTAACTTGGAGCGATGTCAGATCTTCACCCTGTGATTTTCTTTGTGTTGTGTGTCAGATTTGAGTCCCTTGTTTTTTTTTCAGGCAACAAAAGAAACCGCAGACCTCGCTGAAGAAAAATAGATGTCACAGAGTGCTATAAATCAGTTTAACACAGAGGCTCTGTTCTTCATCTATTTAGAGAGTGATATACAAACTTCCGGACGTCTAAGCGTGCTAACCTATATCCTGTCTTCACTTAAATCTATGTGGTTATTGTTATCAGTCACATACAAGTTTGAGCTTTACTGTGTAGACTGTTGAATATCACATTAGAAGGCTGTTTTCAGTTATACAGACATTTCTGTGTAGTTTAAATGTGCGTGCAGGAGGATCATCTTCTAGGTTTGAGAGTTTTCATGAAAGGTGAAGGGGTCAAGGTAGGGCTGGGCGATAAACCGAAAATTTACCGATACTGAAATTTAGGACAATAACCGACAATATTTTGCTCATATCGGTATATTTGGTGTCAAGAAAATGAATAAAAAAGTTGGTTTTAGATGTGTGTAGGTAGGCTATGGTCTCATGTCCCTTTAAGACGCTGTCCTACATCAGAGACGTGACTCCACCCCATTCAGTCTGTAACAAAGAGGGAAAGACAGGTGAGGAGATGGAGGACGGAGAGAAAGTTGGAGCGGCTGAAGTAGACAAAGTTAATGTCAGGTCATCGAGGTGAACTGATCATTATATCGTGATATTGATTCTAGGCCATATCGCCCAGCCCTAGGTAGGGGTTAAAAGTTAGACCCTGTCTGACTTGTATTATTATGAGTAAGTCTTAATGGTCTCTACCTTTCACTAAAAGTCATTTCTCTTTTCTCGCTCACTTCCAGGCCGCTCAGTAGGAGGACATGAATATCAGTGCGACTCAATGAGCCATCTGTCATTTTTATATTATATGAACTTGATGCCAAAAAGCAGCATGTCCTTTTTTCCCTCTGTACCACCTCCTCCTCAAATCACCACATGAGAGTTTTTCTATTACAGTCAGGCTGTCTCTCTCTCTCTCTCTCTTTTTTTCGCTCCTTGCAGATCCATTCGTCACAAAAATAAATGCCCAGGCTTTTCTATTGTCCTCCAGTTTTAAGTGTTAAATCCATAAACATGTTTTCCTTTCCTTTCTGTGTTTTTCTTCAATCCGCTCAGGACATATCAGTCTATCTCTCCCTCTCTCCCTCAGGAATGCAGCTGAGATGAAACAAAGATTACAGAGAAGAGCTCCAGAGATAACGCAGACCATGACAGATTCTTACTCACACTGCGTCTTTTCCCTCCGTCCCCCCTGCAGCTCCGCACCGACGCAGAAAAGCGCTCCCTGGTGGAAAGCGGTCTTTCTTGGTACAGCGAGGACGGAAAGACCAGCCATAAGCTTGAGAGCAGCAGCTTCGACACGGGGAGTCTCAAGACGGAGGCCCCGAGCAAGTGGAGGAAGAAACCTCCGAGTCTGAGTGAAGATCTGGGAGTCAAAGGAGAGCTGAGGAAGCCTCAGAGTTTAGGTCAACCAGGGAGTTTCAGAAAGGGTCGTAACCCGCCTATAGGGGTGACCTCCCCCATCACACACACGTCACAGAGCGCGTTAAAAGTTGCAGGTAACATATTTCCCCCATGTAGAGGCATCTATCCTGTCTGTGTATCCGTCTCCCTTTCTTTCCCATGATTTTATCTCCCTGTAGGAATTTGATGTCATACAACTGTGGCTGATTTGTTTAAATCTATGCCATCCATTATTTCTTGTTGGGTCCAAATGTAAAACAGAGCCTGTTTGTAAAGCAGCCAAGGCGGATATCTGCTTGGTGTCAGGATGAATACAGAAGTATACCCCTCAGCACAAGCCAGGTCTGGATTAGGAGGAAAGCACAACATACCGGGAGGGGGGGAAAGCACCATGAAATCCATTTCACTGAAAAAAAACTTAAATCTCAGCTCGAAGGCCAAAGACGTTTTTCTGCTGTTAACTCAGAGTCTGTTTCTTTAAATGTCTGCAGAGACTGAATGTCTGCAATCAGCAGCAACTCAAACGACTTAATCCCCGACAAAACAGGCAATCATTAGCTGATTAAAAACGAGTCCCAGCACCAACGTTTCTTGGCCTTTTGTTTTCATTTCCTCAGCCGTAGGCATAAATGATTCAGACTAGATCTGATCGTACTTCATCTGGCTGCGGTTCCAGATTCAGTTTAATGCTCCTGCTATGATAATGACTTTTCCTTTTTAGCTCTCATCAGAAGTTTAGAAAAATTCAACCTTTTCCACATCTCTTTTGACAGTTAGACTCATATTTCTGTCTCTGTTTTTCTCTTTAATAATCCCAGCTGCAGATCTTTATGGATTAATCCACCTTTCATAAGTGCAGCTCCTTCAGACTTAAAGAAAAGTTCTTTCTGAGAATATTTTTACTATTTAATTCACTTTTTTTTCTTTGTGTAGCGCCCAAAAGTGAGAAGCCCGCGGACAAATCCAAGATCTCAGTCAAAGCTGCCGGTCTTCAGCGCTCCCGTTCAGACGCTGGTCGAGATCATCATGGAGAGCATCGAAAACCTCCATCAGGTCTGGTGAAACCGACTGCTGGAGCTTCATTTCTCTACAAGAAACCACCCACAGCCACTGGTACCGCCACCATGATGACAGCAGGGGGAGCCACCATCTCCAGTGGCTCCTCCACTTTGGGGAAAACCCCCAAGTCATCTGGCATCCCTGTGAAGCCTGTGGGGGGAGGACCACCCACGGGGCGGAAGAACAGTTTCGATGCCAGCAGTGAGCAGGGCTTCCTGGGGCCAAATGTCCGCAACAGCATCCAGTACCGCAGCCTGCCCCGACCGGCCAAGTCCAGCACACTCAGCGTGATCGGGCGCCCGGCTTCTCGGCCCCCCAGTGGAACCATTGACCCCAGTCTGTTGGCTCTGAAACCAGTTCCCATAGCCTCCACAGGCCCCAGGGTCAAAGATCAGAGCGGCAGTAAGATGGCGTCCCGAACAAGCACAGGACCGGTGAACCAGACGGACAGAGAGAAAGAGAAGGAGAGGGCCAAGGCCAAGGCTGTGGGCGCCGACATGGACTGTGGGTCACTGAAAAGGGACGAGACTCAGTCCTCAGGGGAGTCCGCTCTGAAGCTGCATGGCCTGAGACGGACCGGCAGCAGCAAATACCCGGAGCTGTCGTCTCCCACCACACCGAGGTGTCTGATTCAGATATAATCCACACTTCATTCACTCCAAAAGAAGAGAAAACTAGTGATTCATCAGAATTATCAATGATCATAACCTTAAACCACCCTCAGTGAACCATATACTGAACACATCGTTTTATACAAACACACAGTAACTTGATTGATGCACAGGTATTTAACTTTGGCTGTGCACCATCAGGACGTCTCCACCTCCTCTCCTCAGCAGCAGGAGTGGAGGTGAAGTTGTTGCTCCTTCAGGATTAAAACCAGACGTCTTAAAAATTTCAACAGCAGTATATCTTTTCACAAACAATTTCGTCGTTCCTCCTGTAAACCACAAAACATCTTTAATGAAATTCTCCACAAAAGAAACGCTCCGGAGCGCAGGGAACTTTATTGCCGTGGATTTATGCTGCAGTCAAAGTTTACAGGCCGAAGTCTGCAGAGACAGATGAGTCAAAGACGGAGCAAATACCACCACAGTTTTCTGCCTGGTGTAGATATTGTTAGAGGTGCATCATGGGAAAATGAAACCAGAGATAGCACATCACACACATGCATGTATTAAGTCCTCAGTAAAACAACCAAAGAGAGGGATGTTTTAGGGCTGAGCGATAAACCGAAAATTTACCGATACTGAAATTTACGACAATAACCGACGTAATTTTGCCCGTATCAGTATATTCAGTATAAAATAAATAAATCAAAGTTGGTTTTGGATGTTTGTAGGTAGGATGTGATCTCATGTCCCTTTAAGACGCTGTCCTGCGTGAGAGATGTGAAGTAGACGAAGTTAATGTGGGAGGGGGTGAGCAGCTTGTGGAGTAGTTATCGTCCATTTTTCGTTATTGAGGTGAACTGATCAATATATCATGATATTGATTTGAGGTTATATCGCCCTGCCCTCGATTGTCTCATCCTAGTTTCTGTATTTTATCTCATCTTTTACGTCTTCTCTCCAGGTTGCTGAACACTAAGTCTCTGGGTCGTCCTCCAAACTTGGCTCACTTGGACAAGGTCAACTCCAACAGTCTGGACTCCTGCGTGACCATCCACGACCTCCCCCCTAAAGTCCCCCCGTACTCCAAGCTGCAGGACTTGGCTGGTTCCCACACCCCGTCTCGTCTCACCCCCAGCCCAGCGCCCGTGCTCCACATTGACTCCCCGGGTTCCTACACCAGCGAAAGCCTGAGTCTGAGCGGGTCGCCGCTGCTCTACCCCAAACTGACAGGCATGCACCGCAGCATGGAGTCCCTGCCCCTGCAGATGAGCGTGCCCCCCTCCACCTCCAGGTTCATTAAAACGGAGTCACACAACAAAGAAGAGAGGAGTGCAGGAACCTGGGGGGCAGGAAGCAGGACATCCCTCAACCTACCTGACAGGTAAACCTCACCTCATCTGCACACAGTGAGTCATATTTAGTAGTAAGGCTCTTCCCTCCTACATGAAAATCTAAGTCAGGGGGACACCAGGGGACAACAGGGGACAACAGGGACAGGGAGGAGTCGGGGTGGAGGTGAGTTTGCAGAGGACGCAGAAAGAGTTGGTAGGCTGAATCAGTTTGCAAAGAAACGCCCACTTTGACTTCGGCTGAGCTGTCAGCTGATCTGAGCCGTCATCGAGATCAGCTGATGTTCTGTAGGCCGAGCCTGAACCAACACTCTGCACCAGGTCTCTAACTCCAAACTAAATCTGTGGATTCAGCAGGCGATGAAACGGTTATTTACAGCCTTTGTTCGCATCTTTTTGGCAGAGTTTGACAGTGGGCAGCATGTTGGACGATTAAGAAGAGAAGGAGGATATTTATAATCAGAGGATCGTACACCTGCCTGAATATACAAGAGAGAGAGAGAGAGAAATGTCCTTTTTAACAGCCCAATTATTTAGAGAAACGTTCTCTAACTTCGTACCTCTTACCGTGAACCATTACCTTTAGTTACTGCTTCTCTGCCAAGATTGGTTTACGAACCAGAAAGCCCAGTAGGCAGTCGGACCGCTCCGTCAGTGAGCCGAAAGGTTTTTATTTTGGCAGCAGACGTACCAGCGAACCCGAGTTTATGAGGAACAGGACCCCGAGGTGTCGTTTAGAAGACGGAGCTCTGAGTCCATCTGAAAATGGACTGTTTGTCAAGGTGGAGATGGTCCGAACTATTTCCTGCCAAAAGAATGTACTCTAAGGCCCACGCCACGGCCATGAAAGTACCCAGAGTGCCACACGGGCGGGATACGCAGAGAGGAAATGAAGGAGAACCCGTGAGATGTCTCGCCCTGATAGAGCGCAGATCTTATGACCAAAGTGAAATGTAGAAAACTGAATATTTTTGAAAGTGTTGAATGTTTTTCTCCTCTCCTCTGCAGCATGCAGCCGGACAGAAACACTCTACCAAAGAAAGGCTTAGAGTGAGTTTAAACTCTCATCTGTCTGGAGTTTCTCACGCTCAAATGTCTCTTTATCGTCCAAAGTTGAATAACCTCTCTTCTTCTTCTTCTTTCAGACGCTACGGCTCAAGCCTGTCCGATAGTGATGGAAGCAAACCAGGAAGGCGCCACTCCCACACCATAGTGAGCATGACGGAGAGTGATAGCCCCCCTCAGCTGCCCTCCCCCACCCGCCACCTCCTCCCCTCCTCTGGCAAAGCTCCTCTAACCAACGTGGGTGAGTGTGCTCGCTCCGTCCGTCCGGCTGCCAAGTACTTAAAGCGCTCACTCTGCTCTGCGAGCGCTGAAACTAATGAGACTTGAAACCTTTGATAAGCCGTTTGACTTATCGTCGATCATTATTAAGGACGGAGAGATGAAGTTCACACCCAGAGGAAAGTCCGGATCAGTTTTTACGCCGCAGAAATACTGTCACAGGTTCACAGTGATGAAGGAGTGATGAAGTTTCATCAAATTAAAATGGTTTCAGATTAGAGGGTGTAAATAAAACAGGATCAGCACTCATTTAGACTTCAGGTTAGAGTCTGAAATATGCTGCAGATGGAGGCAGCAGGGGGTCAAGAGGGGCTATATTTATCTCTTTGACTGTTGTGGAACCATAGTGTTACCTTTCACCAAGTCATCAGAAAACACTGCCAGGCCAAGGTGTGTGTACTCTGTGTGTACTCTGTGTGTGTGTGTGTGTGTGTTTTCAGAGGGGGGAGGTAGAGAAAGGGTTTCACTACTTCACTTCATTCCTCTCTTTAACTCTGTGCTAAACTCTTTCTTTTAAAACATCTCTCTCTCTTTTTACGACAGTCGCCCCAATTTCTAGCGGGACCCCGAGGATATCACGCTCCAACAGCATCGGCCCCCCCAGTGAGCCGGCCTGCGATCTCTACGGATCGTCCCCCCTGGGCAGCAGCATGTCCCTGGCTGACCGGCCAAAAAGCATGATGCGCTGTGGGTCTTTCCGAGAACAAGGGGACGATGGTGAGCCTGAGGGGGGCGGTCGCCCAAGATGGCCTCAAAGTAAACAAAGCTGTTCGTTCAGAGAGCGGAGAATCTGTGGAGCGTTATTGTGTTTTTACAGAAACAGAAAGTGACTCACGGTTCTTAAAGTCAGACAAGAATTTAGAGGTTTTATCTTCAGTCCAAGAATACACTCAGCTTCAATCTCAGACCTGCTTTTACTCTCCACACCAACCAACCCTGACTTCATGTTTAATGGATTTTAATGCCAAGGGAAACAAAATGTATTTTCCTTCAACAGCATTAAAAGAACAAACACACTGTAGAAACGAGAACAAATCCGTGACTATGGCAGCCACAGAAGTTAAATAAGGTTATTTAATCCCAAATGAGATGATTGAAGGTTTACCTGTCCGTCCAACATACGTCAGTACACCCCCCCTATTAAAAGTAATGTGATACCCAATATCTAGATGAGCAAAAGTGCAATTTCCAAAGTTTTGACAAAGCTGAGTTTAACATAACATTTTATTTACCATAAGATAGGGCGGGGCGATAAACCGAAAATTTACAGACACCGCAATTTTCAATAACCGACGTCACTTTGTCCATATCAGTATATTCAGTGTCAAAAAATAAATGAATAAAAGGTTTTCTTGGATGTGTGTAGGTAGGTTATAGTTATGGCTACCTACATACATAGCCTCACCTCATTGGTAGGTTCAAAGTTGTAGCGGCTGAAGTAGACGAAGTTAATGTGGGAGGGGGTGAGCAGCTTGTGGAGTAGTTATCGTCCATTTATCGTTATGGAGGTGAATTGATCAATATATTGTGATATTGATTTGAGGACATATGACCCAGCCCTAGATTTACATGATACATATTGATAAGATATTCCTTTATTCCTCCCATATGCACCGATCCTTAACTTCCTGAGCTGAAGGCAGCTCCTTTATTCTCTGTCTTACTTTATTGGACAAACTGATTAATCCATGTGTGTCTGACTAATCACTATCTAGTCACTATTGATTTTTCCTTCGGGGATCAATAAAGTTCTTATTCTTATCAGTTTCAGGAAATTTTCATTTTATCGCCCAGCCCTAATAGAGCCCATTTTAAAATTTAGAGCATGAGAGAAATTACAGACTGAAGAAACTCAGGAGTTAAAAGGATGTAAAAATTATTATATTTCAGGTAGATTGATCTTTCAGATACTGTATTGATTATTGTCCGACTTATCAATATCTGTAGAGCAGTATCTTAAAAAGTTTAAATCTTCACTAACAGCCTCTAAGTAAACCACGTCTCCTTTTCTGTCTCCTCTTTCAGTTCACGGCTCTGTTCTGTCTTTGGCATCTAACGCTTCATCCAACTATTCAGCGGTGAGTAAAGACACATAATGACTCCAAAGAATGAGCAGTATGATGGTCTTTTTGGTCGAGTCTGATCCTCTGTGACTTTAGTTTGTTGTATTCAGAAAGCAAAGCAAACATCGAAGTATGTTTTTAAGTACAGAAAACTGTGATTATTAAACCCAATCCTGATTCTTGGGACTTTCTGACTGAACTTTAGAGTTTTCCCTGGTTGATTAAAAATGTAGTGTACCTGGTGTGGATTGTTCTTTATAAATCTCACACTCCCTCGTTGTTTATTTGTCTGCATCATGCCTTCTCCAGAGTGAGGAGAGGATACAAGGAGAGGTAAGCCCGACATGACGCAGTGTCTTTTGTCTGCGTCCCCCATCAGTCATTTCCTGTTAAAATCCAGTCTGTCCATCAGATCGTGTCATGAGCGCTCGCTGAAATCTCCAGACACCATTCAGAGTGTTTCTGACTGTTTTCATCTATTTTTATCTCTAATATTGTTCGTCTTGTTATCACCACCTTCTAACATTTAATAAAGAAACTCCCAGACCTCCTGAATTCTCAGAGCATGAAGAATCTCAAATCCATTTCATGTTTCCACTCAGTTTGGAGTTTGTTCACCTGCCTTTGTTTATTTGTTTTTGTTGTGAAGCAATAATGTTCGTATCTTTTTGTTGTTGACTAAAATACATTTCATAATCGTCGTCATCCAAACCTTAAATTAAATCCTAACCTCTTGTTTGGGACTGTATGTCGACATGTTGCTCGTGCTGAACGTACTTTTCGATTTCTTCACAGCAAATCCGCAAGTTGAGGCGAGAGCTGGAGTCGTCCCAGGAGAAGGTCGCTGACTTGACCATGCAGCTGTCTGCTAACGTATGTATGAATTTATAAACTAATGTGTTCATGTGTTGGATTCAGTTCAGCTCTTTTAGTAAATATTATCAAGACACCTTTAAAAGTCACAGAGTTGAAACACGACAACCAAAGCTGGAAAACTTTTATGTTGTGGATAAAATCAGAGGTCTGCTCTTTTCCTCTTAAGAAAGTTGATTTTTAAGTGCAGTGGTTTAAATTTCAAGAAGTAAGGACAACCAATCATAGTCTTTGTCAGCTCTACCAACCTGTCCAACCCCGGAGCTTTGATCGTTTTCACATTTAAGCGGTCTTTTCTTTTCTTTACTCGACAGCTGAAGTGGAGCGTTTGACAGAAAATGAAATGAGTCTGACAGGCCAAAGCAGCAAAACTAACTGTCAGATTTACATTTTCCACACTGACACTCATTTTCTCACTGCTGCTCTAATCCTTCAGCTACGCAAAGTTGATAAAGAAGTCGGTCTGACCTCTCAGACCTGCGTTAGCTGAAAGATGCTCTCGTCCCTCTAACAGCTGTATGATGATGCTTTGAAACCACCGACCTGATCCTGATCTCATCTAACCTGCTCCTTTTACTAAACGATCCTCTCACCTGCTGCTGTTTTAGTGTCTGCAGACTCCACCTAACCCTCTGAATGTCTCGTTGTGTCTCTCTACTTTGACTGTATGAAGTTTGATCCCACGCCTAACGCCATTGTCCGTTTCTCTTACGTTCTTGGTTGTATTGACTCCCGGGCTCTCTGCCGCCCCCTGCCTGCTCCCCGCTGGCTCACACCTCTGGATGTTGGGTCTAGCAGCTAGGCCAGGTTTGTTGGACCGTTGTCTCCCCGCTGTGTCTCTGTCTCTTCTGTCTGGTTCTGAGTGGACGTGGAGTTTTTGTTGTTAACTAACATCTGTGTCGGGCTGCTGAATCAACAAACTGTGGAGCATGTCTGCAGGAATACTGTTATTTACTGTTTTTACTCTTCATTCATGTCTGTCTGTGACTCATGGTCTCTAAATCATCAGTTAGAGGGTAATAGGGTCAAATATGAGTATTTTCGGACTCTCCATGTTTGTCCAGATAAGTTCTTGTCGTAATTACATCGAAGATATTTCTGTGAAAAACAGTAAATGACCGCTGTGAAGCTCCATAAATTTATTAAATGAACATCATCCATCCTCTCGTTTTTCAAGTTTTTACTATCAAACGATTTATTAACCATTTAATTTACTAACCAACTAATTCTCTGCACCTTTGTCTCATCAGTTTCCATAGTTTTCTAAGATTTCACAGCCGCAGTCAAACTTTAAATAATATATAGTTACAGATACAACGTCTTAAAAACAAGTCGATATAACAGACTTTAAAGCAACACAGTTTTCTGCCTTTTTTCCACTTTTTATGCCATGAAAAATTTGTTCTTTGGAGGACGTTACCTCCACCAAATCTAATTTAGTCTGAGTGTTATTATATTACTGAATAAATGTTATTTATAACGTGGGAAGAGAAGAGAAGGATTACAGGTCCAGTTTGACTAAATTACAGGAAAAACTGGACTAGATTACCGACTCAGTCCTTTAATTTAAAGAGGAGAAAGTCTTGGCCGTGTCGAACCCAGCCCCCAGGTCAGTCATGAACTCGATCGGATAGTTCGCCGTCACAGAGAGAAGCTCTCGCTCTTCATCATCGGCTCAAATAGTGTCAGACATCACAGCCTAAAGGTCAAACATGCTCCATGATGTTGATCAAGTTTGTCCCTCAGTGGTGCGCAGCTGCCCTCCATCACCGCCATTACCCAACGTCCTCCTTTCATCTGTGACATCACCCACAGCTGTCCTCTACCCCCCCACCCTCCCCTCCTCTCCCAGCAGATGGAGAAAGTTCATTAGACTGATGAGTTGTGAGTGTGTGAGGCTGCTGACCGATACCATGCAGCCGCGGTGACTCATACCTGTCTGCTCTCTCTAAACCCCCCCAATCTCCTGTGTCTCTCTCTCTCTCTCTCTCTCTCTCTCTCTCTCTCTCTCTCTCTCTCTCTCTCTCTCTCTCTCTCTCTCTCTCTCCCTCCTAAAGGCGAACCTGGTCGCGGCGTTCGAACAGAGTCTGGCGCTGATGACTGCTCGCCTTCAGACCCTGTCGGTCTCCTCAGGCCAAAAGGTGAACCAAGTTTTAGCTGATTTCTATGAATGTTGTGACACATGACCGCGTCCATTCATGATGATAAAGAAAAACCAGGGGAAGAGTTAGGATACTGCATGAAATGTTAATAAAACAGAATTTGATGGTCTGTAAATCACTGAAACTCTGCTGTAGTTAAGTGAATGTATTTTGCAAACACAACAAGTCAAATGTTGAAACTAAAAAGTTTGACTGAAATTCAACGCCAGTAAACTTTTCCCAAAAGATCGGCTGAGGGTCAATAAAACAAGAAAAAAGTCTAAATGATAGATTTTAGGCCTTCAGGCAGTAATGCAGTAAAAACAGACGTGACTCAGATCACCTCCAGAGAGCAGTGTCTGTGAACCCAGTTCACCTCTGCACCAACAAAGTCAGGCTAAAACTGGGAAATCATGTAAATCTGAAATGATCCAGAGATAATTTTTCTCAGCCCGAGTCCTCTGAAGGGTTGGACATGAGGGAAATGAGAAAAAGGTCCTCTCATATGACCGATCAAAATATCACATTTTCCTTAGAAACCCTGGATAATCTGCCGTACTTTTCATAACCATGACTCTTATCTTCCTTTTGCAGGACTCTGAGCTCAACGAACTGAAAGACACCATCGAGATTCTGAAGGTCAAAAATACCGAAGCCCAAGAAATCATCCAAGGAGCTCTGAACAGTCCAGACCTGATCTCTAAAGGTACGAGCGTGTCTAAAACCTCCATCATGTTCAGGGTTATCATCCAAAAAATCCCTGAATTATAAAAACGTTGATGTTTTCTTTTCCTCCTGGCGTGTAGAGCCACTGATCAACCGTCAGAACTCCTCAGAAAGCATCTCCAGTCTGGCCAGCACCACCAGTCACTCCAGTATGAGCAGTCTGAAGGAGCAGGAGGCCAAGAAGAAGAAGAAGAAGAGCTGGGTGAGAAGAAACGTGACACCTAAGAGAGGCTGACGTACCGCTGTAACGGAAACCAAAAACAGACAGACGCCATGATTTCTGATTACGTTTTATTGTTTTTGTTGTAGAGAGCTCTGAAATCGAACACCTCATCTAAATAATTCAACCTCAAGAAAATTACTACAGAGGCTGACAGAAGAAATACAAGATTCAGAGATAAAAACTCAGATTTGTGCTTCATAATAGTTAAAATGATATCCTTCCATCTGCCCAGAGCGTGTTTGTCCTGCAGACCTCATCTCTGTGTTTGAGGTCGACCCTGATGAAACTTTAGACTCTCTTCAGTCCGTCTCTGTCCTACTTTGTTCTCCTGCATGTGTCGACATGTTGTTCTCCTCCAAGTCTGTTATTAAGTCTGACTCTGGTCTCTCCCTCCTCACGCTGCTGCCCTGCTTTTATTTTAGGTCTTTGAGGTGAGTGATGTTGCCACGGTAAATATCCCCCTCCTCTCTGCTGAACCCCTCCACCCTTCTCCAATCTGCATGCTCCGTATGAGTCATGGAAACGCTCTCTGTGTCAGATTTCTAAACTTGATTCTCACCGTGTTTTGACTGTATCGTAAAATTGAATCATGACGTCAGGTTTTCTGCTCTGGCCTGACCTGATGGTTCTGCTGTTGGTTCTGATCCATAAAGAAGTGCTGTAGAAAACTTCACACGAGTTAAAGATCGTATTTTCAGCTCCCTTTAATTTGGCGTTTTATACTCTGGTCATTTTAAGTCATGACATTTATTTACGTCTCGTGTTTCCTCTCTGTTCAGTTACGCAGCTCCTTCAACAAAGCTTTCAGTAAGAAGGGCGGCAAGTCACCCGGGCCGTACGCCGACATCGAGGAGATTTCCACCCCAGAGTCCTCTGCACCTTCTTCCCCTAAAATCCACCATGATGGAGCCGTCCCTGCAGCTTCGATAAAATCCTCCACCTCTGTCACGTCAGCGGGGTAAACTCGTCTGAAACTAACAGAACAAAAATCTATGAGTTACTGTAGTTCTTATTTTAAGAGTAAGTTTAAGTTTAAGTTAAACCACTAAACTGTTTATATGTTTCTACTGTCACACGTGAATATCTGCAGACTCTGTGAAGGAGGCGAGGTTCAGGAGGAGAAGGTCGTTTCAGAGCTGCGCACTGAACTCTGGGAGAAAGAACGAAAACTGACGGACATCCGCCTGGAGGCTCTGAGCTCCGCCCATCGCCTGGAACAGCTGCAGGAAGCCATGACCAACATGCAGGTGTGTGTAAGACTGTGGTCCTTTTTCTATATTTACATCGACCTCATAACGAAGTTCTGTTTGAACCTCTGTGACTTTGTCTGCAGAGGACGGTGGAGAACCTGAAGGCTGAGAACGACCACCTGAAGACAGGAACTCTGTCCCCCTGTCCTTCTCCCGGACCCTCCAGCTCCGTCTCTCAGTCCTCAGGTCTCACCGCCCTGTGTGGCTCGTCCCCCCGACAGTCTGTAGCCATGCACATGCCCAAGAGCTACAGCAGAGGGCTGAGTGAGGGGGGCAGCTCAGGTGAGGGTCAGTCACGGACACCAGTGGGAATGAGGGAGCCGTAAACAAGTCAGCAGATATTTAGACTGGATGTTATCTGCAGACACATGATCAAAATTATCATTATTATTATTATGATGATTATTATTATTATAATTATCATTATTATTATTATTATTATTATTATTATTATTATTATTATTATTATTATTATTGTTGTTGTTATATTATTATTATTATTATTATTATTATTATTATTATTATTATTATTATGATTATTATTATTATTATTATGATTATTATTATTATTATGATTATTATTATCATTATTATTATTATTATTATCATTATTATTATTATTATTATTGTTGTTGTTGTTATATTATTATTATTATTATTATGATTATTATTATTATTATTATGATTATTATTATTATTATTATTATTATTATTATCATTATTATTATTATCATTATTATTATTATTATTTTTATTATTATTATTATTTTTGTTGTTATATTATTATTATTATTATGATTATTATTATTATTATTATTATTATTATGATTATTATTATTATTATTATGATTATTATTATTATTATTATGATTATTATTATTATGATTATTATTATCATTATTATTATTATCATTATTATTATTATTATTATTATTATTACTATTATTATTGTTGTTGTTATATTATTATAATTATTATTATTATTATGATTATTATTATTATTATTATGATTATTATTATTATTATGATTATTATTATCATTATTATTATTATTATTATCATTATTATTATTATTATTTTTATTATTATTATTATTGTTGTTGTTATATTATTATTATTATTATTATTATTATTATTATTATGATTATTATTATGATTATTATTATTATTATTATGATTATTATTATTATTATTATTATGATTATTATGATTATTATTATTATTATGATTATTATTATTATGATTATTATTATTATTATTATTATTATTATCATTATTATTATTATTATTATTATTATTATTATTATTATTATTGTTGTTGTTATTATGATTATCAAAAAACCTGAGGAGCAGTTTAATGATTGTTTTTTTCTCCATAATGATATTAAACTTGTTAAATATGTGTGATGTAGACGTTTAAGTGTAAAGTAGATGGTTCTCCTGTCCTGTAGATTATAAAGTCAGTTTTTATTTCATCTGCAGACAGGAGAGGAGGAGTCTTGAGTTATTGATCTGCTCTTATATTTTGGGTCTAACTTTGTCATTTCTCACTCTTTCTTCGTCTTTACCCAGACATCCACTCTGCAGACTCCCTCAGCCTGTCCTCTCAGAGAGACGATCACCGTGTCAGGGTGGTGGTTTGTGTCGCAGATCTGCACGTCTTCAAAGATGTAGGTGTTCGTGTCCTTTATCGTCTCCTCCTCAGACTCGTATCTTTGGTTTTAAAAAATGTGTTTTTGTAAATCATGTCCTCCACTTTGTCTCTTAAACAGGAGGTGAAGCAGCAGGACTTCTTCGTGGGGACTGTCAGGGTGAACGGCAGGATGGACTGGCCCATGTTGGACTCAGCTGTCAGCCAGGCCTTTAAGGTGAGTCGTCTCCTCCTGACAAAGACTTTCAATGTCGGCGCTCTGAATAAAAGAACTGAATGTTCAGTCTGCGTCAAACTTTGTTCCATCATTATTCTGCTGTTTTTAGCACGCTGTCGCACAAACACACAGATGAAAACTCAGGCTGCTTACAGTCAAAGTAAAAATGGACTTTAATAAGTCGGCGTTGCTGCTGGGGATTTGTTGATTTAATTTGTTCTCTGTAGGTGTCGGTAAAACCAAAGAGCTCATTAACAGGAACTCAGAACCCCCGAGTGCGGATCATGTTTGCTGTCACCTCAGGGAAGTTCACGTCCAGCAGGGATTAAAGTTTCTGTCTTTGGACAGGTTACCGTCAGTTGGAAAAAGAGGAGGGGGGAGAAAAAGTTGCACATAAATTTGTTGTGATTCAGTTTTGACGATGCGATTAAATCGTGACGCTGTTGTAAACCAATAAAACCAGTCAGAGCTTCGGTATTAGCCAATCAGAAACAAAGGAGGGCGCCACTGTGGGCTCCAGCATCATGATCAGGAGCCCGCTGGAGGTTCTCTCAGCTGCTCCAGTGTAAAAAAACAGTATTGAACGGGTCCACTGGGATGAGCTCTGGTATGAACATGTAACTGGAAAAATAAATAAAAAAGCCCCCCTCCTCAGCTGGCTGGAGGGGAAGTGGGTTGTTGGTGCCTCTCTCTGTGACGGCGCGCAGATGAGTAAGAAACGTCCCCTCATGGCACGACTAGTGGTGGGGGTGGCCGTGGCTAGTAGGCGCACCTTGCTGCGGGCCACGGGCGGGCCTGTGCCGGCGGTGGCGTCCATCACCATTTGCGCCTGCTGTCTGTCCCGAGGTGCGGCTCAGGTCACAAGACGCTGCGGCTGCTTCGCTCAAACCGTGGCGAGAATCTGTCAACTCAAAATCACCTCGATCCTTTACAAAGCTACTGGTCTTGAATATTTCAATAGTCTAGGTTTTAGTTTTTTACAACTTCAATGTTATATTAGAGAAACTGAAGGGTTAATAGGTTTACAGTGTTTAACCTTTTTAACCTGAAAACTTTAGGAAATGATCGAATGGTAGAAAAGGTGTCGTTCTTCAGGTGTGGTTCAGCCTTTTACAGCGGAATATGAACTGGACTGAAAAAAACTTTCAGTCAAAACTATATTTTTGTTTTTAATCCCTGACATCCACACATACAGACTACATCCTATAGAGTCAGATTTACGCTGTTGTGGTCCTCTGTTCTTTTATCTGCAGGTGTACGTAGCAAAGGTGGACCCCACCTCCAGTCTGGGCCTGTCTACAGACTCCATCTACAGCTACAGTATGGGTCACATAAAGAGAGTTCTGGGAGGTGAAGCTCCGGAGACGCAGCCCTCCCGCTGCATGTCCCGAGGTCCCACCGGCATCACCGTGGCTCTGAAAGGTCTGTGAGGAAATGATTTATCCTCTTCCAAAATAAAGAGCTGATTAGAGAATAACAGCTCCTCCTGTTTAATGTGGAGCATTAGCAGAACTAAATAACCTGAATGAGTGAGGTCAAATCTGAGCGAGTGTAAATCCTCACGTCTCGTCGGTTTATCACACATCTGGTTCTGTCCGTCTTTTAAATTTGATCCAGTGTTTCTGTTTCCACTTTACAACCTTCCAGACGTCAAATCTTCATTTAGTTACACCGACCTGTGAGCTGAACGCAGCATCAACAAAAACACTAACTCAGATGACCCACTGACACCGTGTGAACCCGACAGTTCTGTAACACCTTTATACAAATATTTATACTCCCAGATTAAATAGTCCTTAAATGTGCGCTCATTTTAAATACCTTTAAATACCTGAGACTGTCTTTCATATTATTTTCTGTTAAAGCAGGAATTTGAACATCTGTGAAGATAATCAGAAATGTTTAAGTTTGAATGAGTTTTACTGAGAAATGACCGACGCTCCTCTCTTCTCTAATTGCATTAAATACATTCGTCTCCAGATGACAGAGTATTTTCACTTCAGCTCCAAATCTTTGTTTACTTTAACATTTAAGAGCTGCAGATCTCTGCTCTGCATCAGGATACACAGAATATTAATAATAAGTTTATTTTTAAAAGCAGAGGTTCACATATATGTGGACAAATACTCAGAAAGCACCAAAAGAAGGACGTCAGGTTTAGTTTTTGTCCCTGAACTTTGTCAAAGTTTTCACTTTGTTCGTATTTGTTCACAGATTTATACTAAAAAGTCGATTTTTCCTCTGATTCAGTATCAAATAAATAAATAGAGAGCTGAGCTGAAAAAGCCGCGGCTCTGATTGGACGTCCACGCTCTCCACTGTTGCACGCAGGAATGTAAGGCGTGAAGTGCTGGGAGAGTTGGGAAAGCTGCGGCAGCTCAGACAGGCCCGTGGGTAACCTGATCTCTTGGCTGCCAGGCCCAGCTGGTGGAGCAGCTTCAGACACATGGGCCCCAGAGATGCAAAGGGGGGCAACCTTAGACTCCTCCTGGCTGGAGGGGGGTTGGACCGGCTCTCAAACGCTCGATTCAAAGTTATTTTAAGACGAAAATGCTTGAGCCTCATGTCGATTATGAAGGACAAGCGAGGTGATAGAAATCCGTTTCACAATCTCCTCTTTCCAGACTCCTACTGTTCATAACTCTTTAATTTGGAGTGCAGATATAAACAGAATTCTTCACAAGTGTCTAAATGACAAGTTTCACTCCACAGTTTATCACCAGTTCCAGTTTGATAGTCATCAGTGTCGTTTTAATGTCCACTCAGTCCACTCTCGCTCTCTTCATCAGGTTTGAAGGAGAAGTGTGTGGACAACCTGGTCTTTGAGACCCTCATCCCTAAACCCATGATGCAGCATTACATCAGTCTGCTGCTCAAGCATCGCCGCCTCGTCCTGTCTGGACCGAGCGGGACGGGGAAGAGCTACCTGGCCTCCCGGCTGGCTGAGTACCTGGTGGACCGCAGCGCCAGAGAGGTCACACAAGGCATCGTGGTCACCTTCAACATGCACCGCCAGTCCTGCAAGGTGACAGAAACTCTTCAGGATCCTCAAACAGAGCGGTTTTGTCGTTTTCTTCCTCTTCATTCTTCCTCTCTTTTCTCTCCTCAGGATCTGCAGCTCTATCTCTCCAACCTGGCCAATCAAATCGATCGGGAAACCAGCATGTCGGAGATCCCGCTGGTGGTGATCCTGGATGATATTCATGATCCTGCTTCCATCAGTGAACTGGTGAACGGCGCTCTCACCTGCAAATACCACAAATGGTAAGATCTGCAGACACATTTAAACGAGCCGCAGGATTATCGATGTCCTCTTTAAACAAACGTGTCCTTCTCTTTGTCAGTCCTTATATCATCGGGACAAGTAACCAGCCAGTGAAGATGACGGCCAACCACAGTCTGCACCTCAGCTTCAGGTCGGTGAAAGAGAACGTCAGAGAGAGAGAGAGAGGAGCATTTCTTTTATGAATTTAAGAAGTAACATCTGTAAACTGTGGGGATAGAGAGGACTAACTTTGGACATGAGAAATAAAAGATCAATAAAAACAAAGTAGAGCTCAATTAAATACTCAAAAATACTCCAACCTCTCAAGGGTTTTCATTGATCCCACATGTGTGTCATATTGATTATTAGAGGAGGACAATATCAGGTCATGAAGGACAGCTGCATGATGAACGCGGCTGTAATCAACCAAAGAAATTTTTGGAACAATAAACCTGTAAATTTTCGACCAAAAATCGAACTAATCAACTCTGACGACAAACCCCTCTGTGGTGGGGGGCGACAGGGCTCAGCGGAGCGCAGCTCAGGGGGGTGAAAATAAACTGATGTCAGCACAAAACGGCAATTAAAAGCAAATATTATGTTCATCAAACCACCGGACGTTGATTAATGTGGACACTCTTCAGAATGGTGAAAACAAGGGGGGGTGTTTTGAGACAGGCTGTTACCTGTGAAACGGGGGTGCTCTGAAAACACCCCCATTAGCACTTGGTATGTTCCCCCTGATGAAATTTACCATAGACTGTAAACTGCTGCAGAAAAGAATCGAGTCGACCAATCAGAATAAGTCGACTCAGCACGTATCAACCAATAAGTTGACCAGGACTTTACAGCCCTAATGCTGAGAGTGTCAACTCTACATGTTTAAAGTCCTCAGTGTTTTGTGTTAAGCAGAACAGCAAACCGTCTCTTAGTGTTGATTTCACACAGCGCACTGCAAGGATGGTAAACACACACAGACCGTCTCACTCCTGTCCAGAAAATAATCACTCACTGAAATACTGAGTCACTCATTTATCAGTCAAAACAAAGTGAAGATTAAACACAAACATTAAAACTGTTCAGAGCAGTCGTGTGTTCGTTTATATTTCGTTTTAATCAGAGGAGATAATCTCGATTGATCACCTTCAGTGTCATGTGACTTTTTCATCATCTCAGGATGGTGACCTTCTCCAACAACGTGGAGCCCGCCAACGGCTTCCTGGTGCGCTACCTGCACAGGAAAATGATGGAGTCAGAGGATGAGAAAAACCTGACCAATGAAGACCTGATCAGGGTCTTGGACTGGATGCCCAAACTCTGGTATCATCTGCACACCTTCTTGGAGAAGCACAGCACGTCTGACTTCCTCATCGGTACGACACGGGTCTATTTTTCAGAGGACACTAAAAACTCTCCTCTGTGACTGTTTTCTGAATGTGTTTCTTTTTAACGTGGTTTTTTCCCCCCGCTCCCCTTCAGGCCCCTGCTTTTTCCTGTCCTGTCCCGTCACAGTGGAGGAGTTTCGATCCTGGTTCATCGACCTCTGGAATCACTCGATCATTCCGTACCTGCAGGAGGGCGCCAAGGACGGCATCAAGGTGAGAAACTAGAGCAAACAAACCCAGAAGGCGTTCGACATCCTGGTGTAGGTTTCCTCCTTCAGCAGCTCCTCTTTCACGGGAAATGTTGCACTCTAATTTTAATATTACTGGTATGCCGTGACGCTCCAGGTCCACGGCCAGAAGGCGGTGTGGGAGGACCCGGTGGAGTGGGTGCGGGGCACGCTTCCTTGGCCGTCTGCCCAGCAGGACCAAGCGAAACTTTTCCACCTTCCTCCCCCCAGCATCGGCTCCAGCAGCCCCGGTCAACCCTGCGAGGAGAGGCCCCACAAGGAAACCCCGCCCAGCTCCATGGAATCCGATCCACTGGTGAGACGGAGAAGTTTATGATGTTTTGGTTTTGGATTTGTCCGAATGATCCGCCGTCTTAAAGACTTCAGAGCTGGAGCTGTCAGCGGCGCTCATTTCTCCTCTCTCTCTCTTTCTTCTTTGTCGTAGATGGCGATGCTTTTGAAACTTCAAGAAGCCGCCAATTACATCGAATCGCCCGAAAAAGAAGACCCCAGCCTGCCTAAACTTTGAACACAGAGTTTAGAGCGATCACTTAGCACTTCAACTTGTTTTTGTATTCACTGTTTCTCGACGGTGCTCATTCAGGAACAAACAAACACTCAGAAAAGGTTTCAGCTGGATTTCCACAGTCTAACTGGGTTATTATTATTATTATCACAAACATCCTCTGCTATCGAAATAAGACTGTTTACAAGTCATGAATGAAAAGTTCTATCCTGTACGTCCACTCTGTATTTGAGTGGACGACCTTCACTTCACCTTCACGTCTCTTTTCAGCCACGTAAGCCCTCAGTTCTCCACATCGGTGCTAACAGTTCACTCCAAAAAAACTCATCCTAGCACTTAACGACTTCAGGTGACTCCTGCGGCGGCACAGTCCTCCCTCCATCACGGGAAACGGCGTGCTCGTCAACAGGAGCTATTTCTCAATTTTCACGTCTGGTTTTGGAAAAGAGTATGACAGCATCTACTTACTGCAAAAGTCTTTGGTACATATCGACTGTAAAGTCTCTTAGGACAAATCTTAACACATATGCAACCCTGAACTTTACAACCCCAGCAGGTCGAATCGAGTAAATGCCTTAAAAACAAAAACAGAAACGGACTCAAACATCACTTTACACTTCAGCAGAGGAAACCCGGTGCTTTCATCGTAACTACAGCTACAACTATCAACCGTCTGCATCATCCAACCATCTTTCCTTTACAGTAGAGTATTTCATCTAAACTTGCTGTCATACTCTTTTGCATAAAACAACACCTTCTTTATCCTCGCCGCACAGAACCGTATTTTCTGAGCGCTTCATTTCCTTTTTAGCGCAGTTTCAGTAAATGTCGCCATATGTATCAGGTATTAGAAACACAGGGATACTATCACATAAGAAACAGCCCTATAGAGATCGAACAGATGGAGTAAATGCTTTTATATCCACGTCTTTCTTTTTCATTTATTCAGAAAGGAGCACGTTGGTTTCAGATCCCTCTACTTCATATTCAGAGCAGTTATTGTATATATTATTGTGTACATACCATCAGACTACATCACTTATTTTATCTGTATTAGTCGGTGCGATTATCTCTAATACTGAACCAAATACTGTTCTTTATTCCTGCGTATTGACCGTCAAGTTAGAGGTTAAAGTTCAGCTATGAATGTATAGAAAACACTTAAAATTATGATAGTAATACGACCATTTAACAGTATGAATCACTTAGAGGGTGCTTTAATTAAAAAAAGAAGCCTTATTACAACGCCAACACTTTGAACAGCAGCCGAGTAGAGTGACTTTAAAGCTACCTATGTCCATTTCATTCTCAACACGTCATGAACCGAGTCGAAGATCTTAATGTCACTGGTGTTTTCATTTAGGTCCTCCTGGTGCTCTTTGACCACGTCCGAAACCATCCTAGTGTCGAGTGACCATCATGTAGGCTTTCAGGGTAGATTAGTGAAGATGTGAAAATCGATCTGGACGATCATTTCTGGTATTTTTTAGGCCGTGTTGTTGAAGAAGTGTTGAAGACATCCGTGGAGACAGTGAAGTCAGTGTGAGACATTGTATGATGTGACCATGTTGATGTCGTACGGTATTCATGTGTGGGAACATTTAGGTACACATCACTCAAACTAACTGATGAGGAGGATTTAAAGGGATATTCCGGCGTAAATTTAAATTAGGGTCAAACACGCCGTAACACCGAGTTAGACCGCCCCTCCAGAGATGAGTGTCGCCGACCGCTTACTTCTCTAGTTGAACCATAAACTGTATATAGAATGAACGCCGTCTGCCTCCTCGCTGGGTGAAGCTACCCCGAGAACAGCACCCTCTAGTGACTGGCTGCAGTATAGGTCATAAATCCTGCCTCCCTGTGGAGCTGTGCTCAACGCTGCGTTCGAGTTACCTCTGAAGTCAGGTGTCGGAGCTGAAAATGACGTCACACCCGAATTAACAGCCTTTCAGACACAAAATCAAGGCGAAAACAAGATGGCAACATCTACGAAAGTCATTTTAGCGCTTACCTCGTCCGAACATAAGGCAAGCGCTAAAATGTCGTAGGTGTAGCCATCTTGTTTCAGGCCTTCAGTTTTGCTTTTTTCCGACTCTGTAACTGAAACGTCGGGAACTCAGGTATGACGTCATTTTCAGCTCCGACATCTGACTTCTGAGGTAACTCGAACGCCGCATATCTGCAGCCTACGGTGGCGACGTAGACCGCTCTGTATTGCTATCGTGCGGTCGTTACTAAAGTTGGTCTAACTAGAGAAGCAAGCGGTCGGCAACATTCATCTCTGGAGAGGGGTCTAACTCGGTGTTACAGTGTGTTTGACCTTGACTTAAACTTACGCTGGATTATCCCTGTGAACACAGAGCTGAAGATGAAACCCTTTTTAGAGTTCTTTGTTCGTGAAGGAAAGAATCGCTAATGAAGCGAATGAAAAAGCACATGTCCGTGAAAGTGGTGTCCGAATTTTCCGCCTCTTCATGCCGAGCCGTGTCACAGTCCAGGTGCTCAGAGTTAACTCCACATGTACATAAACATCCTGTAAATGAATGTCAGACAGCTTGAGAAGAGAGCCGAATATTTGAGCTGCTTTTTCGCTTTCTTGTTGCACTTTTTGCATCCAGCCGGTAACAAAACTCTCCAGCTAACTCGCAGCTCTGATTGGCCTGTAAACTGAAAAAGAGGGAATGAATTAAACACGTCAAAGAGCAAAATGAAGCGTCTGGCCGATCACACGCCGAAAGATTGAGCTGATGTAAATATTCCTGACAGTATTTCCAGCCGCTCCCCAGTCTGATTCAGCAGGTCAACAAAAACAATCATCTCAACCTTCTCATCTCATCCTCTGGTTGTTGTGCCTGTTGCTCTGTAGTAGCTGTGATTTGTGTTTGCTTACTAGTGTATCAGGACTATGCAGCAACTTCTACTGGTGTTGGCAATCAGCGAATTTCTGTGCTCAAAGAAAACAACGCAGTGTTTTCACATTGTCTGTTTTTTTAGTGCTTAATTTGGACCAAATGACAGGATCAAAGTGCGAAAAGTTCATGACGCCGAGCCTTAAAAAGAGAAGGATTTGTTTTGTACTGCAGTGAAAACAGGGTTTCTTGAGGTAGACAAAAAAACTTCAGATATTTGGGAGCTATTTTGTGTGTTTAGTCCTTTTAAATGGTAACAAAAGTATTAAAAAATAGACTTAAAGTGGTCAAAAGACGATAAACAGATTTAAAAAGATTAAAAATCATATAATAGTTTGTAAGAATTAGCACTTCAGTGTTTGCATAAGTCAATTTAAGTCGATTTAAACCAGATCAGGTTGCTGAATAGTCATATTTTTGCAAAGCTTGTTGTGGACTTAAAAAAAAAAAGAAGTATGCGGTATCTAATGTCACTGGCGTGCAAATGTTAAGGGTTTCTAAGTGTTGTAAATGCATGTAAACTTGCTGTGTGATGAGAAAAAACAACAACATAAATGTATTGTTTAGGAGAACCATACTACATTTCCTTTTTAATACTCCAATGTTTGATATTTCTGTTGGTTTTTTTCTAAAGAATCCTTTGTAAAACCTCATTTCTCTATTTTGTACAGGACATCATTGTAAAGATTGTAAATAGGTCGGCATTCTGGATGCGGCAACAATCATGACAGAGGGGGTAGAAAATCATCCTTGGGAGAAAAAGGTATATTCACGGGAGGTGGGTCCACCACATGGATAAGGCATGTTTCTGAAGGCTTTCATCCACCTTTCACTGGTTGTTGGAATCAATAAAATACATGTTATATTTATGCGGTTGATTTTTGTGTGTCTATACCACGTCTTTATCAGCACAATGAAAGTACAACCCTCACTTCAAAATAGTCAGGATACTGTGTAAGACGTTCAATTTGATTATTTTGAATTCATTTAAGTCAGGAAATAATGCCAAGATGACGTATCTAATGTTGAAACTAAGAAATTTAATGTTTCATTTAAAAAACAAACAAAAACTTTAATACTTCAGAGCTGGATCATGTTTATATGGTTTCCCTTCTTACAGTGAAGTTTTCACCTGAACTCGTCCGAGTCACAACCGTCTTAATTCTCAGATCATCTCAGATAATCAGATCTGATTTTATATTCAGAATTTACTTAGACCCAAACATTATTTTAATTCAAATCAGGTAGAAAATGACAAGAAAAGGATAAAAACATGAGGGGAAAAAGGAAAACAAAAAAAAATGTAAACAAAGAAAAACAACAACAAAATGTCATCAGTTAAGGAAATATATGTCCTTGTACCCATAATAAAAGTACTTTTTATATCACTAGTCAGTTCAGTCTGGGACCCCCTAAACCAGCATCACCCCTCTGTTTAGTTTCACTTTGACCTTTAGGCAAATAATCCATAAAAGGGTCACCATGTGTCCATAAAGAAATCATCATTCCCTTTTAATTTGGCACTTGGCCTTTCCATCGGTAAAACTCTGTTTTTAATGCGGTGACACGTGGGAATCCAGAGATCAGGCCGTCCAATGATTATTATTTTCCTCACTAAGGTTCATTATCCAGACATTTTTTAGTATTTGCTCATGTATCGCCTCTCAGAGGGTGAACCTCTTAATAACTGAAGGACTCAGACTCTTTGGATTCCCATTTTATACCCAGATATGTTTTTGCAGAAGAATCAAATAAGATTATATTATAATAATGAGAGTTTTGGTTGTTGGTATCAAGGATGTATATTTACATATTTATAAAACACATATTTTCAGTTTTAACATTTGATATGTTGTTTTTGCACAATTTTAACGTAAATTTAGACTCTAATTATCTGTAAACATTAAAAAATATGTTTTTTATCATCATTTTACGCAGAGAATCGACTTTTTTTGGAGTTGGGGTCGTTTTACAGAGATTTATTTGCTTGAACTTCAGACTAATGCAGCGACCAAATGTCCTCAGTAATTTAAACTCTCAGCAGATTCATGTTATTGAAGTGTTTATAGGTCAGAGTTTGTGCTGAAAGTGTGATGATGTATGGTGTGTGTGTGTGTGTGTGTGTGTGTGTGTGTGTGTGTGTGTGTGTGTGTGTGTGTGTGTGTGTGTGTGTGTGTTGATGATTGAGGTAAACAGACGTGGTGGTCTGGGTCCTGGTCTATGGAGCCCAGTATCTGTTACACATATTTAATGAGGGGGTGGGACCTGAAGCCCCCCGGGTCCCTATATAAGCCCGTCGTCCCCTCAGAAAAACCGGCATTGGATCTAGTTTTTACGGACTTCACCGAGTTGGGAATTAGCTGAAACCTCAAGATGCCGTCCAAGCCTGCCCCCATCAAGAAGGCGGCGAAGAAGGAACCAGCCAAGAAGGAGGAGAAGGCTCCAGAGCCCGAACCCGCAGCCGAACCCGCACCAGCTGAGGCTGCACCCGCTGAGGCCGCACCCGCTGAGGCCGTACCAGCTGAGGCTGAGGCTGCACCTGCCGAGGCGGCTCCTGCTGAAGCCCCCGCTGCTGAGGAGCCCAAACCCCCCACCCCTCCACCCGCAGATGGTAAAGCACCGCGCGAGCGCTGTGGCGTGACAGCCACGAGCTGCCGTCACGTCTAACCGATACTGTCAGCTTTAAAACAGTCATTTCTCAGTGATCGAACCCTGGAGTTGTTGTTAACTCTTTCATTTAAGCCTCAGTTTCCGGTTAATCAGACGGTAAGAACTCGGTAACCATTACGCACGGGCGCCTGTGCGCGCTCACGCTCAGGGTTGGTCTGATTCGGGTCTTTAGATTCGCCGTAATAATAATGTTAACTGCACGTTTACTGCATAATCCTCCTGCTTGGACTCTTTTTAAAGTTCCTGAAAGTTGAACTCGGGCGCGTTTGTCTTCGTTCAGCAGAGCCTTGTAAAGCTAACCTTCACTCAGGTTGTTAATGTGCGCTTTTTTAACCTCAGTGTCAGCTCCAAACTATCAACCAATCAGAGAGAGATCTGAAAAATTAAACCCTACAGACGGTGACAGAGTCTGGGAGGTCTGATCACTGAAGTAAAACACATATTAACAACCTTTTTCTGAAACATTTCTTTATTATTTCTAATATTTAACATGTCTCTCTCTCTCTCTGCTCTGTGATTTCTGCAAATGTTCTAACCTCTAATATCCACATCAGCTGCTCCTGCTCAAGCTGCAGATCAGCCAGCCGCCCGTGGTCTGACACCCTGAGAGGAGTTACCCGAGTCTCCGAACACTCACCTGTTTCTGCTCTTTCTCTTTGTTGTTTTTATTTTTTACATTTATTTATTTTTAATTTTTTAATTCATTTATTCAGGTTTTTTTCTTAATTTTTTTCTTTATTTCTTTTTTTTCTTCCCTTTTTTTAATTTAATTATCTCATTTTTTTTCTTTATTTTTTTCTTTCTTTACTAATTTATGTTTAAATTTATTTATCTCGTTTTTTTCTTTACTTTTTTCTTTATTTTTGAATTTATTTATTTAGGTATTTAGTTTTTTATTTTATTTACTTATTTATTTTTACACTTATTTAATTAGTTTTTTCTTTATTTTTTAATTCATATATTTATTTTTACATTTATTTAGTTTTTTTTTTTTTTTTTTTTCCTTTTTTTTCTTTTTTTGGATAACTGTAACCTCTTTTATAGCATCTTGGAAATATTACGTGATATTTTTAAGATGCTATAGATCTCTATACTGATCTCTCTAACCTTTTAAAAATCAGCTGCAGCACCTGCTCCAGAGGAACCCCCAGCTGCTGCCGCTGAGGCCCCTGCTGATGGTAAAAACAGACTATCAGTGGATTAACAGCTGATCTTTTATGAGTACTACACAAACTTGACCCTCCTATAGTTAAAGCTAACCACACTAACTTCTCCTAACCCCTTATCAACTGCAGCGCCTGTTGTAGAGGAAGCACCAGCTGCTCCTGAGGCACCTGCTGAGGGTAAAAATAAAAGCCTGAAATAATAACAGACATCTTATATGTTTTAAATCTTGAACCACCCACCGCCTAAAATAAAGCTAATCTTACTAACATCTTCTTCAACCTGTAATATCAGCTGCTGCTCCTGCTGCAGAGGAAACACCAGCTCCTGCTGCTGAAGCTCCTGCTGAGGGTAAAAATATAGGATGGAAAAATAGACTCCTTATATAACCGATTATACATCTGTAACCCTAAACAGTTATGCTAACGACACCTACTAATGCCCTCTGACCTTTATTATCTGATGCTAACCCCGTCTAACCTTCAACATTAGCTGCTCCTGCTCCTGCAGAAGAAGCTCCAGCTCCTGCCGCTGAGGCTCCAGCTGAGGGTAAAAACACATGATGGGAAAACAAACATTTGTGTAATTTATGCATTTGTAAATTTCTAACCGTCAACAGTAACGCTAACTACAAATACTAAAACATTTCTATCTGTGAGCCTTTATTTTCTACGACAGAGTATTAGGGACACATTAAGTAAATAAAAATGAAGACTTCGAGATTAAAGTCGTTAATTTACGAGAATAAAGTCATGATAAAGTCCTTATATTCTAACCTGCTGTTTTAGATGATAGTTGTTGAAATGAGAGACATGGAGCATTTCGTAAAAATGTATTTAAAGATTTGTTTCTCAGACAAGGAGATACTTCATCTTTTGGCACATCAGCACCACATTATCATAAGTATAGTAGTAGTTGGTTACGACTTTATTCTTATAAGTAATTACTTTACTACGACTTTATTCTCATATGTAATGATTTTACTTCATACTTCGACTTTTTCTTTTAAATGAATTACTTTAATCTCGAGTCTTAATTTTCTCAAAGTCCTAATTTTTTTTTGTCTTAATGTGGCCCTAATACTCTGCCGTAATTTTCCGATGCTAACACCTTCTAACCTTCGATATTAGCCGCCCCTCCTGCTGCAGAAGAAGCACCGGCTGCCGCTGCTGAGGCTCCTGCTGATGGTAAAAATAGAGCGAAAAAGAAACTTTAAACGAGCATTTTTCAATTTCTAACCCCTCAATGGTAAAGCTACCTACGACTACTAACACCTGATGATCTTCTAACCTTCATTTCCTGATGCTAATCTCCTCTAACCTCTAAAATCAGCTGCTGCTCCCGCCGCAGAAGAAGCTCCTGCTGCTGAAGCTCCTGCTGAGGGTAAAAAAAACTATAGTGGAAAAAAAAAAACAGAGAACTTTTCTTCAACCTTTAACCTTAAACAGTAAAGCTAACGGCACTTTCCACTAACCTCTGATTTAACTCTTTAACCGCGACTTTCTGATGCTAATGTCCTCTAACCTCTAAAATCAGCTGCTGCTCCCGCCGAAGGAGAAGTGCCAGCACCGGCTGCTGAAGGCGAAGCTCCCGCCGATGGTAAAGAGAAAACTAGAATCAAACACATATATAGATGTCTATATATGTCAAGATATCGGCATATCTAGATGTTTCTATCATATTTCTACTTCTGGCACTCTAAAGGTAAAGGTAAAGCTACCGCTAACGCCACCTACTGACTGCTTCATAACCTTTTGAAAACAGTCAACACTCCCGCTGTTATCATCATCATCATGTGTTGGAACATGTCCAATCTGCTTCATGCACTAATAATATTTAATATCTAACATTCAATAATAGCTGCTGCTGCTCCCGCCGCCGCAGAAGAAGCTGCTCCCGCTGCTGAAGGCGAAGCACCTGCTGCAGACGGTAAACCAGCCTGCAAAACCCACAACCTGTTCCTGCTGCTCCTCTCTCTTTGTACCGTAGACGGTTATTTCATTGGATTTAAAAGAAAAGAGTCTCCAGTATTGTTACGGCTACCTCCCAGTGAGGGAGACAGAGAGATGTGAGATGCTTATTTAATGCTGCCAGTTCTATAATAATCATGCCAATGCCTGTTTAACACCAGCTGAAGCTGCTGAAGCTGCACCAGAAGAGCCTAAAGCGCCCACGCCGCCACCTCCTATTCCCAAAGGTAACCATCTATTCAGAGAAGACGTCACCCGACAAACTCTGAAGTCATTCTTTGACTTTTTTATGACTTTTTAGAAACTTTTTATTGTTGAATTTTAATTTTACAGTTAAAAAATAAAAGCAAAGTCCTGTTCATGCTTTTATTTTGAAAATTCAGGGTTATCATGATGCACAAATACCATAAAGTTAACTTCTTTATTGTTTGGGAATAAACCTGAGCTGTTTTTGATTCAGGTTTTTTATTATTTTAAGTAATGAAGTTGCCAGACAGCATCTAAATGTACCAATATGTTGTAGCTCAGTGGTTCTCAACTGGTGGGTCCCGACCCATAAATGGGTCGCGAACACAGTCTGGAAGGGTCACGAACAGCTGGTCAGAAAAATCAAATATTTAATGTGATATTTATGAGATATTTGATATTTTCTGTATGTGCAACTTGAGTAGTTGTCGTCCTCATGTTGTCCTCTTCAGTTGCTCTGAAATGCACTTTATAAAACGAGTGGATTCACGTTAAAGATCAGAGTCTTTAAAGGTTCTATAGAAGTGGGTCGGGTCCCAGAGTGAGACCCGTTCAGAACCTCTGTTGTCGCTCACAGAATCTTTATCACTGAGTGTTTGTGGTTCAGATCCTTCCAGCTGAATTCATGAAGTCGTTTGATTGATTGAAGACTTGAATCATCTCCTCCTACAAACCTCGACTCTCTAACGCCTCTTTACCCTCTCGCCCTCTCCAAATATCACTCCTGTCATTAACATTTTTGTCGTGGTCCCGCAGAGCCCACCAGCGCTCCTGTGGATCTGTTCGTCGAGGACAAGAACGACACTTCAGTGACCATCATCTGGAGCCAGCCCGAGACCGTGGGACCCACCGGCCTGGATGGATACACCATCGAAGTGGCGAAGGACGGAAGTAAGTCCAGATCTTACTGACGGCTTAGACCGTGGAGGTGAATCGACTCCTGGCATGTGCGTGAAAGAGGTCAGATTATTAATACACCAGCTGACCTTTAGTTTACTACAGAGAGCTTTTACTGCGAGCTCTGAATCGACATGTCCACATCTCAGTGTTTATACGACTTCTGCGATTATATCGATAAAGTTTAACGCTTTTTTAAGTCACGTGTGAATTTGCGGTTTTAATGTAGGTCAGCCACATCGCTGCCTGCAGCTGTCCCTGAAGTGTCACTGGCAGAGTTATTATATCATGAGCTTCCTGACTTCTCCCTACAAGGAAAGAGGCACTTCAGGAGCTGCTGTGGTCCTGCTGGAGGTCCTGCTTTTAGACTCACGGTCCTCGGCTAATATCAGCAGCAGCTCAGTGAGGGCTTGAATTAGCTGACGGGGAAACGCTAATTACACTCAGAGGAGGGATCCGATGAATGAGAGTCAAACATAATCACTGCACATCTGTCAGAGAGACGCTCGTGTTTTTATTCACAGTGAAATCCTTCAGAGGAACTTCATAAACACAGTCTTTATTCAATAATATCAGGATCAATAGAAGCTCTGTCTTATTTCTCTCTAATCAGCTGATGACTGGAAAGCGGTCAACGAGGATCTGCAGAAGTCCTGCCGCTACGTCATCAAGAACCAGACCACCGGAGACCGCCTGAAGATCCGTGTGGTGGCCGTGAACGCTGGAGGCCCCAGCCCCCCTGTGACCCTCCCTGAGGCTGTTCTGGTGAAGGAGGTGGCAGGTAAGAAAATATGACGTTAATCAACATTAGACCTCATTTACTCTGTTTAATTTTTATTTTCTGTAAATCTGTTGGAGAGACTGAGAAGGGGTCAGGTTTAAATAAGAATATTTTCAGACTTGTTTGGTTCACATTATTATTATTATTATTATTATTATTATTATTATTATTATTATTGTTTTGATTATTGTTATTGTTGTTTTGAATATTCTCGTTGGTTTTGTTTGTTTTCAGTTTACTCTCTTGTGTTGCACCAACAAAGTCAAAAAAACATAATGAAAGCAAGCAGGGGAGACTCCACAGGTGTTGGTTTAACTTTAAATAAAAAGTCTCGCTGTAGCAAAATTAGAAATAGGGACAGTCTAAACGCTGGTAAGTATCTTAAAAAAAGTTAAATACTGTGACAATAAAGCAGAGAATTCTCTCGTAACAATGAAAACACACTTTTTGGATGAACTGTAGAGAGAGGAGATCTTCATTTTAGAGAAACTGGAGAATTTTAGACACAAAAGAAGGAAGTTAAAGGTATGAAAAGCAAACAAAAAGGTTTTTACCTGTTAAAACCAAAAAAAAGTGTTAAATTCTGTAAAAAGACGAAGTTTGTGTAGAAATTACTCATTTAATTCGTACATGAAAACGATGAAAAAGTGGCAAATCAGAGTGAAAATGTGATCTTTAGTCTGACAGTCTGAGTCTGATTCTTCATGACTGTGCGATTAAAGCTCTAATTAGACTCTTTCTTAAATATAAAATTAAACTTTTTGAATAAGTTTTAATCTGTAGACAGAAACAAACACATAAGAAGTGTTCAGTAGGATTATTAGATTAATCCCTGTCTTAATGATTCGTCTAATCCGACTGTAACGTCAAACAGAAACATGATTTTTAAAGCCGAGTCCGACCTGAATGTTCCTGAACCTTTAGTCAGAGTCAAACTGAAGCAGCTCAGAGAAGCTTCTTCTTCTTCTCAGCTGTCTGTGTCGTGTCGTATTGAACCTGCGTTACATAAAACTGGAGCCTGAACACAGATTTCAGTCTTAGTCTGAGACCCTGGTCCACCAAAGTCCACCAAAGTCCACCAGAGCAGTTTTTAGGGTCTTAAAGAGGCGGTTTCTCTAAATCACAGTAGACTGTAAATCTGGAGTGATTCACTGTAAAATGATTAATGCTCTAAAAGGAGGAGGGCTGTCACTTCAGCTTTCACACGAATCATCGTTATGCGTAACGGAGACCTGAGCAGGAGGGGCGAGGTCACCCGATACAGACTGAAGTGGCTCTGCTTCAAGATCCACGACCGTGTCCTCCAACGTGTTCATCATAGCAGGAGGTCCAGGTGTGGGATCAACTTATGAAAGGTTTCCGCCAAATGAACCGCAGAGAGTTTGTGGAAAATAGCGGGCGTGTTATCGCCGTTAACCCAGATTTTCTCCCATGGAGGGGTCGGCGTCGCACCGTGAACTCTGCCAGGTTTCATTCTGGAGGGGTGTCAGGGTCCTGTTCTGCAAGATCGATGGCGACAAGTGATCTCAGGAGGGGGGGGTGGAAGAGGGGCGGGGGTGGACGGGTGGTACATTCCTGAGCGTCTCAGATGTACAGAGGGGTGTTGGGGGGTGGGGGTGTGCAGGGTGGTGGATATAGATCCTTGGTCTCAGGTGGCGCCCAAATCTCATGACACTTTCAGAGATTCACTGTTTGCTTTTTGAACATGCCGCAGACTTTACAGCGAGAAATTAGAAAGTGTAATCCTCTTTAATGAAGTGAGAAGAGACGCCTAATAAAAGTGTAAATGAATCTTCAGAGGAGCTTTAAAAACCGATTCAGACAAACGAAACAAACGAAACAAACGAAGAGTCAAAGTCGGCCGCAGAAGAGAGACGGTAAAATCTAATCAGGAGCTTTCTCTCCCCTCTCCTTCCTCGTCTATCTTTGATATATTCGGATGAGCGTGGGTGTAACTGGAGGTGGGGATCGTGCGTCATGGCGGGGGGTGATCCACTACAGTGGTCCGTCTTTATTTAGAGTCCTGACAAATGCTGCTCTGCAGGACTCAGCAGGTGTTCCTCCTCTTTTAACAAATGAGTCCCGGTCCCAAACCTCTAAGTGTGATCTCAAACACCCTCACGGTGGATCACAGTCCTCATGATCCGCTCTTCATGGTGGTTTATGGGATATTTCAGGGTCCAGTGTTTAGCACAGTCCGGATCAGAGGGCGGCTTTACAGTCACATTGTTCACATTAATTTGAAAGAACCTCCAAGCTTCACCAAAGACTTTAAGACTCACAAATCCTTCATGTTTTATTGATTTTAATCCTCCAACAGCAGATTTACATTTCCTACTCTTTCACTTTCTTAGTCTTAAATCATCCGGTCCGGTCCGGTCCGGTCCGGTTCTGTCATGTGGACCAGCTTCAGGTTTCACATGTAGGTTTAGTTCAGCCGGTCGCCTCATGTACAGAAGTATCATCCTTTTCACACCTCGTAGGATGAAATCCTGATCCCCACAGGATTTGGTGTGTATCATCCCCCTCCTATCAGAACATTCAGGGGCGTATCCAGAGGGATGGCCAGGGGGGACAGCTCCCCGGCCACCCCTTTACAAAAAATCTGATTTCCTGCTTAACCAGCTTCTTTTGAATCCTTTTAATGATTAAACTAAGGTCAAGTCAAAGTCTTTAAACTCACTTCTAAACTTTTCTCCTTCAAACACTTCAAATTTAATTTTTTTAACATCTATATCAGGTTTAATAAAAATGCACACAGTACTTCAAGTTTTAGCGACCACCTTTCATACTCTCAGACTACACTGGTGCGACATTATTGGAAATTACATTGGAAATACAAAATAATGGACTTTTTTGACTTTGGATTGAAAATGCAATCAACTGCAACCCACTTAAATTAAATTACAGTACATAGATACGTATATATATATAAAAAAAGACAAAAAAGGGCAAAGAAACCAAATCTAAAGAACCGTCTGAGTCATTTTAAAGAAGAATAAAGTCTCAGATTTTTACAGCCTGTCCTGTTTTGCACAGATTCTTCTTCTGTGTCTCCTTTACTGTTTTCTCCTCATTGTTGCTCAAAACAAAAATCAAACATTAATCTAAAGACAGGAGGCAGATTCACAGTAAAAATGGATTAAAGACTTAATCTAAGTGTCACTTTTAAAGCCTGTTGAGTCAGACCCAGACCCTGACGGCTCCAGTCCAGCCTCTCTGGACTTAGTTCTGCTCGACTTGCTCATCGATTCTGCTGAGATTTGTTGGACTCTCATGCTGAGGCGTCTGAAGAGATGCTAATCGTTGTTTTAAAGCTGATTTATCTTTCACTGATCAGCTGATGGACCAAATAAGGTGTCATTAGAAAGGCTGATGAATATTCGTGGACTTGAACAGCTGATGGTTTCATTTATTTGTTCTTCTATAGATCGTCCTAAGGTCCGCCTGCCCCGCTTCCTCAGGCAGAGATATGTGGCCAACGTTGGCGCCAAGATCAACCTCACCATCCCCTTCACCGTAAGCCGAACACGACTTTTAAAGGATCAATAAATCCGATCTTCACCGTGGTTAACTGTCTTCTTTTGTCCTCCAGGGCAAACCCAAACCCGCGGTCTCCTGGACTAAGGACGGTCAGCCCCTGGACACAAAGAGAGTCAACATCCGCAGCTCCGATAGAGACAGCATCCTGTTCATCCGCGCCGCCGAGAGGGAAGACTCTGGCGTCTACGAGATGTGCGTGAAGGTGGAGGACTTCGATGACAAGGCTCAGCTGATCCTGCAGATCGTCGGTGAGGTTTTCACCCAGAAGAGGGCGCCGGACTGACGTGGTTTCAATCAGACTCTGTAAATAATCGTTGTCCTGTGGTTCTCAGAGCTGCCTGGCCCTCCCGCCAGTGTGAAGATCGCGGACACCTGGGGCTTCAACGTGGCTCTGGAGTGGACCGTACCCTCCGACAACGGAAACACAGAAATCACCGGATACACCATCCAGAAGGCCGACAAGAAGACTGGAGTGAGTTCTTGTTTTTGGATGATGTCCATTCAGATGTTGTCGATATTAACTTCAGTATTTTATGACCTAACGTCTCAGAAATGCTCTTACACCGTTTTTAAATCACTCTGACCAGATTTAACTGAAAGGTTTCCCCAAAAATATGAACCGTACTCATCGTCAAACATTTTTCCTTTCCTTTCTTTGCTCGTGTTTCTCCAGGACTGGTTCACTGTTTTGGAGCATTACCACAGACTGAACGCCACCATCTCCGACCTCATCATGGGAAACACCTACAAGTTCAGAGTGTATTCTGAGAACAAGTGTGGAATGAGCGAGGGCGCCACTACAGCAAAGGAGGAGGCCAAGATCCTGAAGACAGGTCACTTTTTATTTTTTAATTCTCAGCTAATAAAACTCGTCAGTGTCATCGTTATTTATCTTAAAGCTCCTGCGAGGACTTTTGAACAGCTGACCAAACAGACGTAAACGACACCGATGTTTTTAGAGGACATGCAAAAGCAAAAACAGACCATCCAGATTGAGATCGATTATTTCTTCATCGTCATTTTTACGTATTTTACTGACAATATGCTGCAAACTTAACGTACACATGCGCAAAACCAGATAAACAAAAAAAAAATCTAAGTCCCCATTTTAACCACAGGTGGCGCCAAAATCAAAGAAAGTTCCGGTTTGCTAGTTTAGGTGCATTCAAAGGTGAAATCCTGGTTCTTATTTTCCTCAAACTTCACTTCCTCTTGAAGAGTCTCTTTAAATCTTAACTAATGCGACAGAAAACGGCGTGCTGTCGTAGAAGTTTAGCCGTCCATCTAGATGTAAATGACTCGAGTAGCTAAAAACGCCATCGATTCTGTCGCTGTGGAAACCGTCGATCAAACTGTAACATCACAGACGCTGATATTGCTATTGACGCTTAGTTAGGTGGTGTTCATCACAAAGTTTTACTGCCAACTAGTGGCCTGGCATGAGAACTGCAGCCTATGGAAACCATGTACACCCCAGTCGATTTCACAATGACCCCGGGTGACGTGATACTCGAAGGAACCACAGAGTCCTGCTTCAGTATTGTTGGTTTGTCTGGTTTGAAATTGAAAATGAAATATAGTGACCCTGTGAAAGAGTAAAAAATGTCTCTGTAGATCCAATCAGCTCATTTAAAGGCTTAAAAAAGCCGAACAAGTCTTATTTCCCAACAATGTCCATTTATGAAATCACAGTTTTATAAATACCATGCTCCTTTTCTGCTAATATATGATTTTAAATCCTCAAACTGGTTCTTCAAATCTCATATTTGCTCAGAAGCTAACATCACATCTCGTCTCCTTCAAGCAGAAAAGTCGTGGTTTGCTTGTTGAAGATGACCTTTATCAAACTGAACGTCCCATGACTCGTCCAAACTAGAAGACCAAACAGATCTGACCGTCCCACAGTTAATGTCTTCTTTCAGAGGGTTCACGCTCCGCTCCGTTTCTCTCCACTCTCCAGGTATCGAGTACAAACCTCTTGAGTTCAAGGAGCACGACTTCAGCGAGGCACCCAAGTTCACCACCTCTCTGAACGACAGAGCCACCACCGTGGGCTACAGCACCAAGCTGCTCTGCTCCGTCAGGGGATTCCCAAAGGTACACCACCCGCTTTTTCAGGACCGTTTTCTCCCTGGAAACACGAGATCCAAAACAGCTGAGCTGGAAACAGCAGTTTGATAAACACCAGAGGAAGTTCACTTCAGCTCTACAGTGACCGTATAAAACTTAAATTTTAGAGTCAACATTTGATTAAAGCAGCGCCTCGTGTCTTTAACTCTCTTATGGGAAAACTGATAGGGACACGCTGGAGTCCTGTGAGGACCCCCTGGAGGTCCACACCCCCAATTTTAGAGCCGCTGTTCTCAACAACAGCTCGGCAAAGTTTATCTGATGGTTTGAATTACAGACAGTGTCAGACTGACGATAATGGATGTTACTCGACTCATTAAGAATAAAAACAAACCTGCTGATCCAACAGCAACAAACCAAACCTGACGAAGAAACTTTTATAACTTATATTCGTTAACTTTGAAACGTAACACAACTGAGTTACACATCTAGATTTCCAGAACTTAATTCTTGAACATCACAGAGAAGAAGCTGTTTGTCCAAAATCACCATCTAAAAGACGACATTAAACACTGAAATGACGAGGAAAACGGCCGACCTTGGTGCAGGATTTCAGGGCGGTCCCTGGGGAGGACACCCCCTTGTTACGCCTCTGGTTATCACTGACCCTTTAATTGAACTTCAGATGAGAGTCGATTTATTGACACACAAACATGTCCACCTTTATTAACTCAGGCCGTGTCATTTCAGACAGTTACTATTGGTTCTTCTCCTACCAACATACCAACACAATCTAGAAACGTTCGTCCATGTTTGATGAAAATCCAGTTTCAGTCGGACTAATTTATTGACCACGGTGAATCCGTACTGAGTGAATCCTCTGCTCAGAGTCTTTTGTCAGCAGCTGGGCTCAGGTCCTGGCCTTGTTAGCCTGCTGTCTGAGCCTCTCACCTCCTGTTTGAGCTCATAATCCCACCGTGTCACAACAGAGCACAGAGTGGAGATGGTCTCGATGAGAGTTGGTGTTTCTTGCTTTTGAAGCGGCGTAGCAGGAGGAGAAGAGGCCCTGAGAGGTGATGGGTCAGCGGGGAGGCTGGGTCACATGTGTAACATTCCCGGTGAGGCCCCAGGAGGTCCTTAACATGTCAGTGCCATTAAAAGTCCTAACTTGGCTCTGCACTGTTTGTCCACTTCAATCAAGGAGGCTTTCTACAGCCAAGTGTCTGAAACAAAAATAGAAACACAACCGCTGCTTGTTTATTTGTGAGATTATGTTTGTGACAGGATGAGATTAGTCAGTTTTATTACCACATGCCAACAGAAATATTATCTTTCCCTCTCTGCAGCCCAAGGTTCAGTGGATGAAGAACCAGATGATCATTGGTGATGATCCTAAGTACAGGCAGATCTGCGTCCAGGGTATCTGCTCCCTGGAGATCCGTAAGCCCGGTAACTTTGACGGTGGTGTGTACTCCTGCAAAGCCAAGAATGATCACGGAGAGGCAACCGTCAGCTGCAAACTGGAGGTCAAACGTAAGTCAAGAGTCCCAATTAATCTAAAAATATTATATCCAAGCTGTCGTGTTCACTCTGCCTGTATTTTTATGACCCTAAAAAATGGTTCTCTCTTTTTAAACAGAGCCAGCAGTCGCAGCAGAGGCAGAGAAGAAATAGGCAAACATTCACAGTCTCACAGGTCAGAAATCGAATACTCTTCTTTTTCTACGTTTAAGACAACACAGTGAATAAATACATCTAAATATTCAAGAGTAAAGAGTTGACCCCTGAAATTTCTGAGCCCAGTCTGTAACAATCGACTGGGTTTTATTTTGGATTGGTCGGGTCTATATGAGTCCGGACGGAGGTGACATCTGTCTCACCCATGACTTCCTCTCCATACATGGGGGGGCACTAAACTTGGAAAAGGTGGCCTCTGAAGTGTCCAAGAGGTAGCGCCCATAAATTAAATGTGCAGTGGCTCCTCTTGGACTCGGGGAGGTGACTTAATCACATTTCCTTGACTCAGCAGCAGCAGCACAGGCCTCCAGAAGCTCCATTAGACACATTTTACAAGGAGGTTTTTCAGTCCTGCTGTCATTTTCTTCACTTTGTGCTCTAATCCCATGTTAATTTCTGGATTAATCACATCTTTGACACAGATTTTTAATCATAAAAAGTGTCTTCTATAGTTTCTACATCTGAATCTCTGACTCTTTTTCACACCTGTTGTTGTTTTGTTCATCTGTCTCAACCCCAAATTAGGAGCAGAAGGAATGAGGCCTTTACAGCAAAAGGTTTGTGACCCTTTTAGCCGTTCTAAATTCATCCTCCACTCAGACGAATAAAGATTTTAACACTTTGAATTTTGTCTTCCTGTTTGCAGAAAGGTGCTGGGTTCCTGGAAGAACATGTATATATGGCTGGCGACCACACTCCCAAAGCGTTGTTGTTGCCTCTGACCTCTTGCCGAGTGTAACCCTGTGTTGTGATGAACAATTGTTGTCCCTTTTCGCCTTTTCTCATAACAGCACATCATGATCCTTAAGTCCATATCCATGTCCATGTCAGCTTTTTCCCAAACAAAACTGTCGGTTACTAAATTATCACATGTTCCAGATACTGTTCCTCAGTCTAGGTGTACGCCGAGATATTTACAACATGTATTTATGAACTACATGAAACATCTACTTGTTTATATCAATAAATAATTTTATTTCTGCTTTTGTTTTTTCAATTTAATGTGTTTCTTTACTTTGAAGTCCAAGAGGAAGAGTGAAAAAGCTGCTGTCAAGTTTAAAAGTAGCAAAAAAAATGTTAATATTGTGTTGGACGTATCCTTTATTTACTGTATTTAATGAGTGATTGTGTGAAATGCACAGAAGAGAGTGTAAAAACTTGACAAACAGAGGATCATTGTTATCATGCATTACTGGAGCTTTTTGTCCATAAAGGCCACCGTCTCTTAACCAACTATAGGGTGAGCAAGGGAGTTTTTTTAATCTAGAATCTGACTAATAGTTTTTGGTTAATGTTCCTTTTACTAAACACTCGATTTTTAGGTTTTCAGGATGTTTAAGTGAATTTGAGAAGTCTCTAACTCAGCAGCGTCACTTTAAAAAATAGTTAAACTTAATGATAAAAAAACTGGTTGGTGCAGAGGAGGTTGGATATTCATGTGAAGATAAAAAAATAAAAGTCCTTAAACAAGCGTTTGACTCATTTAAAAGCTCCTGTATAGATCTTTGTTTTAAAGTTGATTTTGGCGCCCCCTGTGGACAAAGACTTAAATCTTCTGTCTTGCTGTAAGCTTGCTGAGATCAGAATTTTTAAAGAAATCTCATCTTTTAGTCTGCCAGCAGCCAAATGTATCACCTGCTGACGAGTCTCTAAATCATTTGGTTTGACATCAACCTCCTTTCAGCAGTTTTAGGCATTAAAAACTAAAATATAGAGACTGTCTGCCTCGGTACTAATGGTCTTGTTGTTTTAGTGAGTCATTTAGAGGCATCTTTTTTAATTTCCAACAGTTTTACAGCCAGTTAAAAACTTCTCACGGCATTTGATTATAAAAACCAAAAGACGGCTCCATAACAATAAAGATAATGAATAAAACTTAACCAGACACTTATATTTTAACAGAGCCTGTCAGCTACTCCAAAGCAGAGAACAGAAATGTTTCTGAATGAACCTCCAGCTCAGTATCAATGAGCTGCTGTAGACCAGTGACAACCCTGAGTCAGCAGCTCCGGTCATTTGGCTCGAACAGACCCAAGAGCAAATCCCAGTATGCTTGGATTTCCATAATAGTAATACCAGCCGATAATACTGATCTTGTAACTATTTGGTACTGCGAGTTACTGGCATAGTGATACAGGGGCAGCATGCCAGACATATCCAGGTTACAGAGACACATGGGTTCACACAGAGGCTGACAAAATTAGCCTCAGTGCTCCATCTGGCTGTGGTTATTTTAGGAGTGAGGAGATCAACTGTTCAGATGTACTTTTCTACTACTTTAAGAAACATTAAGAAGGAAAGGATTTCTTATGAATGTAAGAAATGAGCGACATGAAAACACACCTTTCTCAGCCTGATCATGTTCTCTTAGACTTGGTGGCAGGTTGGTGACAAAAATAGATTTGAAAGCAGAACAAAACCTTCATATTATTGCATTGAGATAATGATTAAGTCAGTAAATAAGCTTCATAGTTTCATGAACAGAAAAATGAACCTGCTTCTTTGAGTGTGGCGCCCTCTTGTGTTATAACCTAGCACCACAGGTTGACTATTAAACAGAGGATCAAGAGAGCTGTAAAATCTGAACACATTCATAAATTTCTGCCTCCATGGGTGACAAACTACAGCGTTAAAATTAACAGTCCAAGTAATATAAAGTAAATTAATTTAATCTGAGTGTGAAGCAGAATCCCGGTGATTTAAGGCTCCGTTTTTCACAGATGTGTGTCTTTAACCTGAATGGATCTCAGATCTACTTCTGGAGGGTCCCCCGGTGCTGACACGCTGCAATAGGGTCAGGGAGCGAGAGATTTACGGCCTAAATTAGATCCTGCACCGAGAAAAAGTTTCAACCCTCCGATGAAAAAACCTCCACTGAAACATGGAATCACAATTTAAGAGCGTACTAACTTTAGTGTTATGAATCCAAGTGAGATCTGTTAGGACTGTAAAAATAAACAGAATGATAGTTACTCAGGGTTGGAAGTACCAACACAAGTTATATTGAGGTAAGGGACAAGAATATAGTGTTAAATTGTAGTTTACAGTATTGAAAGAGAGAAAAACTTTGTCCAACGGTTAGCCAAACAACTCTTATGCTAAGCTAGCTGCTAATGCTAATGCTAACACCTGAGACACCTGAACGGCTCCTGTTAGCGCGACAGACCGAGTCCATCTAAACATCCAGGATTTAACCAACTTCATCAACTGTGAGCCATGGAGGACTTATTTCCAGGTATGTTGTTTTCCTTTATTTTAATTACTAATTCTGCTGTTTTTAAATAATTTTATTTGCGATATACAGACAAGAGACGGACTAGAGTAGGGGAGACCGGGGCTTGTTGTCACACTTTTTACACTCATATATTTCTTGGAATCAATACATCATATGTAAACAGAATGTGTACCACAAGAAAGACCGAAGTCTCAAGTATATATTTGGTATTCATGTCATTTTCATATCTTGTGTCAGTGCAGAGCAATCAAATAGAGAGTGTGAACATGTGACGTGTTGCCCCACCATCGGTAAGTTGTCTCACAACATGGGGTAAGATGTCAGTGGATTTTGCAGCTAATAAAACAAGCACAAAATTATTGTTGTTATATTTTTACATGAAAGTGAACAGTTGGGCACAGAAAATATTTATCATTGAGCTAGAAAAAGTCGTTGAACATAGCCATCAAACAAACGTTAACATAAAATATTATCAACATACTCTGGAGTTTTGGAGATCTGTCTGACTCTGTATTTTGGCTGGGGTGAATATTTTGCAGTACCGAGCTGAGGTATGGTAGTTGACATTAAAGTCCTTTATTGTCCTCCAGATTGATTTATTAGCGAGGGTCACCTGTCTGACAGTCCTCAGCATCACGTCAGGAACTGCACTGACATGTTCACTTTTTCTTTTTCAATTCCTGACCATGTATTTTCGCTTTCTCTTCTCTTTTCAACCACTCTTCTCTGTAAAAATAAAGCCAAAATTTCAATATGACAACTGCTCTGTGTTCTCTGTGTTAATTTTAATCCCTTTTAAACATGTGAAAACTAACCCCAAAATGACTGAGACATATTGCCCCAAACTACCATGTTTGCTAATTTGAGCTCTAGCTTAAAGTTAGTTTGAAACAGAACAATGACTGAGGTATGACAGAATTTCTGAATCTCTCCTCTAACAAGTCGACATGTTTCACTGTTATGATTTTTATCTGGAAGAAGCTTATTTTAAAATATATGAAGTTATTTTTTTATTTACTTTGGGTTGTGTGAAATGGTTAATTGGCACTAATCTTAGCTCACAATGTGCCACTTACCCATGTGACAACAAGCCCTGGTCTCCCCTACTGAGGCAAAGTTAAGCTAACATTACTTCCCTAAGGCACTTTGATAAGTAGTACTAGTAGTCTTTGTAGTAGCAGTAGTAAATGCTGAAATGTATTCTAATGATTGCATAAAACTGGTCAGCATGTAGCATTAACATCTAATTTCCTTGCAGAGCAGGTAATATGATCAATTTTCGTTGCTAACCTTTAATTTTTAAATTTAATATTTTGGGCTAAAGAGACTTGTAGATTTACCTTTATCAAATTAAACTGCCCCAGACACAATTTCAATCTCTATTCTCAATACTGATTTAGCTCTGTGTCTCAGTTTCCTCCCTTGTATTAAACCTTAATCCGTTCTGAATGAGACAATCACAAAACATCCTGTGGCTGAAAACTGAAAAACATGAAAACTTTCACCTCCATCACTCCGACCCTGGAGCAGGAATAGAAACAAATGAGCTTGGTGGGATGTGGAGTTGATGAAAAGGTAGGAGGCTTTTGTGATGCAGCATCTCTGAGTCATCTGCTGGTGCTGCTCTAATCGTTGGTAATGGACTGAGCCCGGCCTGGCTGCTGTTATGTCAAGGGTAACGCCAAAGGCAATGAAATGGTTCATCCACCTTGAAGGGGAGTCTGGCTGCTTTTTCGCTGCAGAGGTTTTGGCAGTGTTCCCAGAAGGTTTAATAAGTGTAATGGTGAAACTGGCACTCACACCGGTGTCCTGTTGTTACTTTTCATTAACAAATGTTGCACGTTTAAATCAGTCGGCGGACTCTTCGAGGACACTTTTTTGATTGGTCTGAGACTTGGGCAGCTGAGGTGATATGAGCAAATGATGCTGTTTTGTAAAGTTGAAGTACAGACTATTAATAATGGGTGTAGCCCCTGTGGTGTCTCTTTTTGTCCGTTTTAGGCGTTGACTTTTTTCATTTGGCTGCCACTGTGTTGGTTTTCTGGAGCCAGCAGTGAACACACTGAGACCGAAGAATGACTCTGGAGAAGAATGTTTGGTACATGCCAAGTTATCAAAGCTAAACAGTCTGCCTAATCCTTCACTGACGAATATTCTGGTGTAGTGTTGGGCGGTATGAACAAAATCTTATATTAAGGTGTGAGTATTTTGATATCACGGTGCAGCAGGTGCGTCACCCATCTTTTGGCTCTCAAAATAGATCTTGGCGTGTTTCATCTTTAGGTGGTGGAAGAGGTTTCTGGTGTTTCCTCCTCCAGCAACAACAGCCACACCACACTCTTTGCATAGTATTGTTTTTTTGATCATTGTCCATTTTCTAAATCTGAAGAATCTCCAAACAACCGATGTCGCGACTCGCACCCTTTTTTGGAACAAGTTCCTCCTCCTCTTCCTGGTGTTGGGTGGGTCAGGCTGCCTCCGTTTGCTCGGTACTGCCACTTATCTCCGTGTCCACCATGACCACCACCAGGGAAGCTGTTTCTTCATAGTCAAAACTATGCCAAGCAGTCTGCTGGACACGCTGGTGATTATCGGGAGCGCACCTAAACCTGACCAATCAAATGAGCAAACAAACTCCGCACGACACGCTGGTGAATATATGGAAATGCACCCAAAAGGACGCACTCCGGCTTTCCTGTTAGCGAGCGTAGACAACTCCACACTGACTCAGAGAGATGCAGCAGATATCTGCTCTCTCTCTCTCTCTCCAGTATAAACGGTAGAGCAACATTTCTACGGTAGACACTTTTATACCGTCACACAGTTTACACCGTCTTACCGCCCAACTCTATTCTGGTGGCCTGATTGAGGTTTTTCTTCTGGTTGTTGCTGATTATTGTTGTTTATTTTGTTGCCTATAAGAACAAGGAGCTTTCAGCTCATCAGGGCCCCCCGGCGTGATGAGGGCTCCACAGAGATAGCGCCCCCATCACGCCTACAGATGAGCTAACATCTGCCATCAGTGTTTACTGCAGTTATCTCTGCTCTGTTGCTCCACTTTGGGTTTATAGGGATGGATTCAAAGTCAATATGATTTATTTTTCTGTTGTTTAGACCCAGTGGAAAACACGTCTACTCCTCTTCAGCGTGAGTTGTTTAATTTCGTATGCCATGTAAGATGAGTTAAACCTTTACCTGCCTATGGATCCAGTATAAACAGGGCAAGATTTCCACAAACCCAGAAACATGACTCACAGATGCTAAAACAGTTGTAAGATTCAGCATGTGCGTTATTGTTTTGCAGAAAGTGTTTTCTGTGGCACCCAGCTGTCTCTCAAAGCACTTAATAATGCATAAATGAAAAGCTCGATTTACTTTTACGGAGAGGGCTCATATATGTGTCCTTTACTCATGAAAGTAATATTTTCAAACACTGAAAACAAAGCGTCCTTCCTCCACCGCTGTACGTCTCACACTTCCTTTCTAATCTCGCCAATCTGCTCTGATGAAGTCGTCGGTCTCTGTGCTCGGGCGAGGTCATGCCTCATCTTTAAGTTTCCAACCATCTTGCACAAACTCTCTTCAAAACATCCCGCAATCTTCAATGTAGTCCTCTTTGTTGTCTTTTGCCGCTCTGGCTCAAATTGTTGGCCATACATGTCCCAATACTGATATCCACCATTTCTTGTGGTACTGCAGTGTTTGTCCCATAAGCTTCCAGCAGAAATACAGGGGAAAAGAGCGCAGAGTAAAAGCAGAGGGCTCCGAGGCACAGATAGAGCCTTTAGTGTCCAACACAAACGTATGTATTTCTTTACAGATGAGCAGAAACCTGTAGCTGTAGAGTGATAGAGAAACTCTGCTGTGGAAAATGTGAATAAGATTCACAAGTGTAACAGCTGGAAAATGTACATTATTTTAATCTTACAGCTAACGTAAACATTTGAATTGAAGGAAACAGCCTGTAAGCTAATTTAGCAGCCTGTTTGCTAAGCTATAAGCTAACATAAGGTTTCTCTGAGATTCATGTTAAAAGTCCATGTTGGGATTCACCAAAAATAAACAACATACCTTCATTGACTCACTCCAAAACTGCACTAACTTAATGAGCTCATGGAGCCACAGCATCTATGGAAGAAAACAAACATTTGTAAATACACCGGCATGATGAGAACAAACTATTGTAACAAACACCATTCCTGAGAAAGATTTATTTGGCTTGTGCTCAGATTTATAGTTTTACTTACATTTTATTTGTCATGGAGGAGGTTGATGACTAACACTGCAGCTATAAAGGAGTTCACGTTAACTCTTTTTGCTTTCCAGTCAGTATAGACTAATGGGATCTGTATTCATACACGGTCTATGTGATTAATGCACTTTTGGAGCCACCCTCTAGTGGCCACTTGCTGAAATGCAGTTTTGGGTACTCTCACCACTGCTCAGCTTCTACTTGAGATGTTTTTTTTATTCATCTGTTGTTAAAATCCAAACAATTTAAGAGGATTATGTTTTTGTATGCAGCACACTGCCTCACAATTACTTAAAACACACACACACACACACACACACACACACACACACACACACACACACACACACACGAAAACACATACACACAGTATTTTTCAAAGCAGAGTGGATTTCCCTGGAGGAGCCTGCAGTGGCAGTGTGAGACAGCTCTCCACTGCTGCCCAGTATAGAAAGCGAGGTCGTCTATTGATTTCAGATGGCAGAATGAGACTTCATTAAGTCAATTTAATTAAATCTGAGAAGCTTCATCGTTGAGTGGAAAGAACAGGAGCAAATTTTCAGCCTTTATTTTCTCCAGTTTCTGAGTGTTTGTTTCATTTAGGAGTTTAATTTTTTGGACATTTTTATTTCGAGGTAATACTGAAGCTCATAAAACATGAATAAATGTGAGATATTAAGCTGCCTGTACCATCAGCAGGCGCCGTCATGTTAGATTTGATGTCTTTCTGCAACATACAGACTGACTCCCTCTTGACTTTTACATTTTATGTTTAATTAGCAGACTCTATAATCTCCTTAATGAGGCGGCGGCAGCAGAGATCTGTCACTCCTGCGGCTTATCCCACCTTCTGCTCTCTGTTCAATAATTCAGGAGTTACATGTTCGATGACTGTAAACAAGAAAGAGAGGAAACAGTTTCCTCGTTATGTTGCTGCTGCTGCTGCTGTATCTGCCCGAGCTTCACATCAACTGCTGCTGTGAGGAGGAAAAAAAAAGAAAAAACAACTTCCCATCTGTGTTCTGACTCTATACTGCAGCAAAACCAGCCCGAGCAGACCGGTAACACCCCCTCACCCATCCTCCCCTCTCCTCCTCCTCCTCCTCCTCCTCCTCCTCCTCCCTCCTTCTATCCTCCCTGGTCCTCACACCTCACTGCACACTCAGGTTCCTGCAGAGTTCCTGCAGCAGAGAGGCACAGGAACTAAAGCCGAGCTCTGTGAGAGCCACTGCAGCCTGCTGGTTACCGTCTTCTTCTTCTTCTTCTTCACCTCTCCACTCATTGATTCCTCCGGCTTTCGAGCCACCCTCCCTCTCCTCCTCCCTCTCTTCCTCCTTTCTCCTCCTGCGCCTAATTCTCAAGGCTCAGCACTCCCCGTCTCCCTGTACTGAGGGGAAAAGTGATAGAGCAAGAAGGAAAAGAGGAGGAGCGGCGTTGTTAGTGCGCCACAGAAAAGCTGCCCCCCTCCCTCCCTCCCTCCCTCCAGTACCCAATTGATGACAAGGAGGGTTTTTATTGAGTCACTCCTCAGCCAATGAGCGAACATTGCCGGGAAATACAGCAGAGGAACCGCACCGGCTCTGCTGCTTGTGCTGATTTCACTGTGTGAGAATAATGTTCATCTGTGTGTGAGTGTTTCTGTCATCTGAGCACACCTCTGCAGCATCAGGGAAAGTCTGCTTTGCTCCGTGGACAGGTGAAACTGGGACCTAGACCAGCAGCACTGCTGGTTTTGAGATGTCTTTGAAAAGTGGGATGAACCAAAGTGCAGATTTTTAAAACCTTTTTCTTCTTCTTCTCTTCTCCCCGAGGCTCTTCCCCCCCGTGTCCACTCCTCACTCCTCGCTCAGGAGGCGGCGCATCTCCGTCCAAGGTAAGCAGCATTTCCTCCTCTTCTTCATCAGTTAATGGGTCTGTTCTGTGTGCCGGGTTGTCACAGAGGCACCTAGCCTCATTACGCTGTTCTGTCTGAATGAGAGGAGAGGAGCGAGAAAAAAAGCTCTGCAGAGAGAGGGAAAGAGAGGAGAACTGGCTCAGGGGTAATTAGAGCAGACGCTGTTAGCCGGTCGCCTCTTATTTTAACGCAGAGAGTCTTAAAGTCGAAGCAAATCTGAACTTTTACCACATGCAGGTGAGTCCTCATGGCTGGTGCGTAGTGCTGCAGTATAATGTTACATATACAAACGTGTGTGTGATGGTGAAACCTGAGAACGGGGTTTCTTCCACTGTAGACAAAACAATGAAGCTCAATGGGTTGATTTCTTTTAACATAAATAAGAGGAAACTGATTAAAAGTGAAAGATCTTTGTTTGTTTTCTCATGAACAAGAACAGAAACAAAGACTTTGATGTAGAAAGGAAAACGTTTTTCTCTTCTGTCCATCAGTGTTTCCTCTCCGGGGCTTTTTCCTTCAGTGTGTCAGTCTTCAAATGGATGATGAGAGTCAGCTCACTGTGATACAGTAAAAGCTCTGAGGGAATGACTGAGTGCGTGTGTGTGTATGTGTGTGTGTGCAAAGTCAAATCTGCTGAGCTAGCAGGAGTGAAGGGTCCACGTAAGAGTCTGCAGAGCTGACTGTATCGGTGGGAAACTGTGTCGCCTTAATGGAGGTGAAACCAATAAACATCAAACACCGTTAAAACCCTTTTCTTCGTAGCATTTCAGTGACAAACTCCCTCAGCGGGCCGTAGTGGAGGGTGTTAGTCTCAATAAGCTGCATTTTAATGTTGCGCATTGGCCTCTCATGGGCACTGATTACACTTTAGCGTAAATACAGCCCCCCTCTAAAGCTTCTACTCATTTTTCTTTGTTTCCCAAATAAAAATGAGTCTATTCTCTGTCCCATTCATCAAAATTGTTGTTTCGTCTTCACTCTGCTGCTGTATGTTCCCATCCTGATTATAATGCAGTTCAGGTGACGCGCCGAGTTCCTCAGTCCCTCGGGATCTTTTGAGTACATGACGGGGACACTCCAGAGAGTGTGTGTGAGCCAAATGAGGACTTCCTTTTGGCATCAGCAGAGGTGAACTGAGGGGTGTGTGTAGCTGCAGTATGTCGGTACTTCACACACGTATACACTCACACTGACTCATGCAGCTCCTCAGTCCCACATAGTGCTGTATGTACCTGCTGTGGTGCATTTTGTGCTGCATTAGAAGTCAAACAGGTCTGAAGTACCAGGATTTTCTATAATACACAGTCCAGGTCCTGTTTAGATGTGAAACTGCACCACAGATGGTCAACCTTTAAGATTATAACTTTAATATTCACCTGAAATGTCATTTCCATTGTCTCTAATGAATGATAACTAAAGAGGGCAAACAGATAAACAGGTTTGTCTGTAAGAATAACTGAATTTCAGGGTTTAACGCGGTCAGATGGAGCAGTTTAAAACCACATTCATGATTCTTTCTCTCTCATCATCTGAAGTTTGTGTTTTCCTGCTGAATCTGCTGAGACGCTCTGAGAGGATAAATCATACTGCACAGTGTTGCAGTCTGTGTTTGGAGTGTTGTGATGAAGTCAGCAAAACATTTTTTTAGATGAGACGTACAATAGTTTGTTCCAGTGTCAGATTTATAGACCTGGAGTCTTTATTTGTGTATTTGCAGCGCTGTGAGTGGAGGGCAGGTGAAGATACTGGGTCATCCTCCCTATAATGTTGATCTGTACTTCAGTACATGCATTTAATACGACAATGTTGGGCATATTTATAAACTGCTGCAAAGTCTCATAACATGAGATACTTGGATGGCGATGTAGCTACCTGATCCGTCCCGGAAACCCGATTTGTATGTGCGAAACGTACGTCACTTCCTCTACTAGCCATCTTTGCGACAGCTTGGACATTTGTTTGACAGCTTCGGCATCAGCGAGCTCGCTACTGTCAGAATCGACACTTCAGTTTATCACCAGCAACACAGTTTTCCCCAGAACAGAGTACTTCCCCCGACTGAAGCAGAGCGCCAGAAAGTCAAGAGAATGGCGCCCAGTTTTACGATCAAAGGTTCCTACTACAGCTTGATTGTAAAATTGCAACGTAGTTGGAGAACGCTTGATTGAATGTGAATATTTCATTGCTGTATAAAAACATTGTCCATAGTATGTAGGCTTATGATAATTAATTTAATTTATAAAATAAATAAAATAAATCCCCCCTTGATACTTTGCAAAGTCAGAGAACCACAATTTTGACCAGGTGGTGGCGCTCTCTGTGGCCCAAAAGGTCTTACTGTGCTGGGCAGGAACTCTGGCGAATGCCCTGGCATTAGCTCTGTAGCCTCCTGTTAGCTAGCCTGTCACATCACCAGCCGGTTTCTGAAATCGATCGGTAGTTTAAATAAATTTTCTGAGGTGACGTAAATTTGCACCTGTGCAGTACGGATAGGGTAGGTAGCAATACTAACGACTTACTGACGTAAAATGCATTGAAATACGAGGAGAAGAAGTGATATACACTCACCGGCCACTTTATTAGGTACACCTGTCCAACTGCTCGTTAACACTTAATTTCTAATCAGCCAATCACATGGCGGCAACTTAGTGCATTTAGGCATGTAGACATGGTCAAGACAATCTCCTGCAGTTCAAACCGAGCATCAGTATGGGGAAGAAAGGTGATTTGAGTGACTTTGAACGTGGCATGGTTGTTGGTGCCAGAAGGGCTGGTCTGAGTATTTCAGAAACTGCTGATCTACTGGGATTTTCACGCACAACCATCTCTAGGGTTTACAGATAATGGTCCGAAAAAGAAAAAATATCCAGTGAGCGGCAGTTCTGTGGGCGGAAATGCCTTGTTGATGCCAGAGGTCAGAGGAGAATGGCCAGACTGGTTCGAGCTGATAGAAAGGCAACAGTGACTCAAATAACCACCCGTTACAACCAAGGTAGGCAGAAGAGCATCTCTGAACGCACAGTACGTCGAACTTTGAGGCAGATGGGCTACAGCAGCAGAAGAACACGCCGGGTGCCACTCCTTTCAGCTAAGAACAGGAAACTGAGGCTACAATTTGCACAAGCTCATCGAAATTGGACAATAGAAGATTGGAAAAACGTTGCCTGGTCTGATGAGTCTCGATTTCTGCTGCGACATTCAGATGGTAGGGTCAGAATTTGGCGTCAACAACATGAAAGCATGGATCCATCCTGCCTTGTATCAACGGTTCAGGCTGGTGGTGGTGGTGTCATGGTGTGGGGAATATTTTCTTGGCACTCTTTGGGCCCCTTGGTACCAATTGAGCATCGTTGCAACGCCACAGCCTACCTGAGTATTGTTGCTGACCATGTCCATCCCTTTATGACCACAATGTACCCAACTTCTGATGGCTACTTTCAGCAGGATAATGCGCCATGTCATAAAGCTGGAATCATCTCAGACTGGTTTCTTGAACATGACAATGAGTTCACTGTACTCAAATGGCCTCCACAGTCACCAGATCTCAATCCAATAGAGCATCTTTGGGATGTGGTGGAACGGGAGATTCGCATCATGGATGTGCAGCCGACAAATCTGCGGCAACTGTGTGATGCCATCATGTCAATATGGACCAAGCTCTCTGAGGAATGCTTCCAGGACCTTGTTGAATCTATGCCACGAAGAATTGAGGCAGTTCTGAAGGCAAAAGGGGGTCCAACCCGTTACTAGCATGGTGTACCTAATAAAGTGGCCGGTGAGTGTATGTTTCGCACATGTGCGGTACAAATCGGGTTCCTGGGACGGATCGGGCAGCGACAGGCGGCGTAATCCCTGTGTGTTTTCCTGGCTCTTTTAGCCGCTTGTTTTAAGGTTGTGCTGCCTGCTGCCCACCCAGGAGCTGTGACGTCCAGTTTTTACTGCACTTTGTCGATTCAGTAAATATGTCGCTCATAAGTTTTAGTTGTGAAGAAAAGTCACATCCGTATTCTTTTCCTAAAAGTGGAGACCGGGATTGAGAGATGACCAGTCCAAGTGAGAACTCAACAAGAGCAAAATGACGTCGGTTATTGTTGTAAATTTCAGTATCGGTAAATTTTCGGTTTATCGCCCAGCCCTAAGAACAAGGATTTATCCAGAGAAAAGAACTTCTGGTTAACATGGCTTTCCAAGATTGATTTACTTTGATGATTATGTTGTGATTTTTTTGCTTACATCACAGGTGTGTACGCTCTGTCATGAAAGGGTTGATTTTTTTCTCGTGTTAAAGTTTGTTTGATTGATCGAAGTGAACAGCTAACGTCCTGAGTCTGTTCAAGGTGTTTTATTTTGAAAGTTCTTGGATGGTATCTGCCATCCCCGTGTCTAACTTCCTGTCCAGATCAATCGGCTCCGTTCAGCTTGACTCATGCTGGATATGCTTGAAAATAGACTTGGCGTGTATTTTTAGTGGAGCAGAGCCGAGACTCTTCTGGCGTGCGTCATGGAGCTTCCTGTGGAAATGGAAGCATTGACTGGCTGCGGGTCAGCGCTCGTGGGTTCAGTTCAGCTCTGGGGGGGCAGCACAGGTGGATACTGAGGAACTAAAGGGGTTGGCCTTTTAAACCTTAACCAATCAGGTCAGCCCCTGTTTACAGACCATCCTTATGAATTAGCCTCAGGTATAGACTATTCAACCGCTGCAGTGAAGGCCGCAACGCCAAGCTCGAGGCTTCGAGAGGTCAATCTGTAAATCAATGTGTGATGTTACAGTGGCCTCTCTGCTCTTACTATAGTCCTGAACACGGCCTTTCTTTTCCATCAATATTGTTATTGACTGTTAAAAGCCTCCTGAATCTATCAGTGTTTTTAAAGTAAAGATCTACAAGTGTTTGAAATCTGAGAACAGTCACAGGTGTAAGACTGACGTTAACCGATCGTCTTCTTCCAAAGACTGAAGCAGAACAGAAAGTTTAGTTTCTGCATCTTCATGAGGAGTTGAAATTAAATCAAGTTTGTCTTCTTTAGTTTCAGTCTGAGCAAACAGCAAAGACGTGTGTGGATTTATCCCTCTTCAGGTTTTCTACATTCAAGCTCAAACTCAGATTTCTCACCAGCAGGAAACTCTCATTCAAGCTTCATTTACGCATGTCTGACCGTCTTTAAATATTTCATAGACAGTTCCTGCAGTCGTACGGAGGCGTCTTTGAGCTCCTCTTAAGTTTCCACATTACACCCGCCCCCCCGAGGAGAGGTGAGCCCGCCTGAAGGACTTCTGCTGCTTGATGGTTCATGAAATGGGATTGTGTGGTGTAGCCTATAATCTCATCCTGACTAAACTGAGCTCTTCTTTCACAGGCTGTCAGGTGCATCAATGAACACAGAGCCCACCGTTGATGTTTTTCAATTTGTGCTCGACGCCCACAAACGCTACAGTGTACGCAGTGATCCCGGCCCACATAATGACCCTCCTGATGTGTTTGTGTTGAGAGACGTTTTGACATCTATCACAGGGATGTCAGGGGAGATGTTTTGAGGTCTTCAGAGCCTCCCTGTGAAAGTTGCTGAGCTGATGTCTCTGCCTGTGCTGCAGTGCGTTTTCTGTTAGACGAGTGCCGTCAGCACTACACATCTCTGCCGGAGGGCACACTAGATTTGTTTAACCTGTCTGTAAGAGAGGAATCTGAGAAACCGGACCTTTAGCCCTTTTTGCTTCAACTGTAATCAATCTGCTGTCAAATGTTGGCAAAGACCGAGCGTTTAGTGGATGATTTATAGAGATGATTAAAACAGACGTTGATGCTAAACCTTCAGAGGCTTTCTGTGGAGAGAGAGGAGGGAGATTCAGCTCAAACGCAGGGGCGGATCCAGAGAGGTTGCAAAGGGTGGCAGCCCCTCATCCCCTCTTGAAACATGATTGGCCACCCCAGGTGCCACCTCAAAATCTATAGCTGTGATTGGCTGTTTTTCTTGTCAGAGGCAGAACATTTTTGTGGTGATGTAAAAAAATCTACAACACATACCTTTAACTTAAACTCCTGTGCGATAACACAGGAGTGTTCGCACCCAAGTGGAGCCACAAGAAAATATATATATGTGTTTATATTTGTTTTCTGTTTTGTTTTGTTTTGTGTCATTTTTTGGCATTTGTTAACTTTAATGGGAAGGACAGACATGAAATGGGGGCGATAAAGAGAGGGGAGAAGACAGGCAGCATATGGTCGGGGCCAAACTCGAGCCCACGAGTGCTGTGAGGACCATAGTCCCTGTACATGGAACACGCTAACCTGCTAGGCTATCTGCGTGCCCCAGAAAAATGTATTTTTGACAGAAAGTGCAGGATTTTTTTGCAGCTTTTAAATAACTGATTCTGTCTCACTGAATAGATGAGGAAGTTGTTTTTTTAAAGCTCCTGTGAGGAGCTTTCTGCTTGTGTCAATTTTGGCGCCCCCTTGTTGACAAAGTTGTCTTTGCCCATGCCTAAGTCGTGACTTTTGACCCTGAAAAAGGGACATTTTTTCATCAGTAGTAAATCATAAAAGCAGGACTGTTTCTTCAGCTGCTCGGCTGTCACTTACCCCCTCCTGCAGTTGTTTCAGCCATTAAAAATTAAGATACAAAGACCTTTAATCCTGTCACTGTAGGTCCTTTTGGCTTTTGGAGATCATGAAAAAGCATCTGTATCAGTTTAGGTCTATTTTATGAACATTAAAAAACTTCTCATAGTAGCTTTAAATTTACAGTAACTTCACATGAGTTACATCTAAGTGCAGGGAAAGCCACTCAGTCCCATTAAGCAATTTTAACAACAGTCCTATATAGGGCTGGGCGATGTGGGCTAAAAATAAAATCGGACTTTTTCTTTTCTTTCTTTAAAAAAAAAAAAAAAATAGATTCATGTTTTTATTGATTTGTTTCTCCTCCAAATCAAACATGACTCCAAACACTGTGGCTTGTTTAAGGTCTGACACCACAAAAACAGAACATTTCTATATGACGTATTTTTGGGGGACGAATAGACTCTTCACTTACGCCTCAGCAGCCACGTTGTTGTTGGCAGGATCCCCGGGCGAGCAAGAAAGAAAACCCCATAATGGATTTAATGGATTTATCACACAGCCCTAGTCGGGGTTGGCCCCCTTGACCACCCTTCTGGACACGCCCATGCTCCTGCAGTAAGACTGTATTCACTCCTGCAGGAGGTGAACAGTGAAGCACAAGGAGTAATGCCAGCTTTAAAGGATAGTAAAGGAGCGAGAATAGATTTAAAGAGACCGAGCTCTGCAGCAGTTTATTGATCAATTGATTTGTACATCTGAGGAAATGAACTCAGACTTTTATGATCACTTATCAATTAGACTGAAAACCACAAACATCAAATGGTTATCACTCTCTTTAAACTGTTTTTTTCAGTTTCTTTATTGAGTATCAAAGAGAAAAAGACGACATTTGCAAAACCTCACTTCTGACTTTGAGTATAAATATATATTTTTAAAAATTTTTAGTCGATTCATGGACCTGAGGTTTGACCAGTTTATCAAGAAAACAATCAGCAGATTCATTGATCCTAACAATGATTGCTATTTAAGTTCTGTTGAGGTGATATTTGTATTTATTGATTTTTTTTAACAATTGAACGTCAATATCAGCACTAATCAATATTTGTACCAACAATGAGATCTATCTGAGATGTTCAAACCCTAGTGTTCATCATCTTGCCTCTCCAGAGTGTGTGTGTGTGTGTGTGTGTGTGTGTGTGTGTGTGTGTGTGTGTGTGTGTGTGTGTGTGTGTGTGTGAGCAGGATCAACAGTGTGTTGGTTTTTCTTCATGCTCCATAACTTTGCTGTGTTGATTCACTCTAATCACACTTTATCATCAGCGTCTCCACACAGCAGCAGGAGGAAGAAGCTCTGATAAATCTACTGTACTCTGTAGACAGATAAAGTATGCATAACATTATCACACATTATATGAATAATTTATGTGCTTCCATTATTAAGATAACATTATACTATTTATCTGTAGAGCAATGCCAGCTGTTCACTTCAGTCAAGACTACAGTACGCAGATACGTGTCTGTGACTGTTTGAGCATAAACCTCTGCAGAGGATCAATACTTTTCAGCAAATTGATCTGAGAGCTTCACGACTGAATTAATGTTTTTTAAAAACTGCAATAAGCATCAACAGTCAGGAGCTTAGTTTGTATTCTGTATGTGTGCTTCTGTCCATATGCTGTGAGCCTTATTAGCTTAAATCTAAATACCAGGAGGATAAGAGAGCATGATCAGATTTCATGTTTGGTATAAATTAAATTCACAGCAGCATAATCAGTCTTTGGGGTCTTCTGTTGTTCACTGCTGGGAGAGGAAGTATTGATTTCTTTAAAGCACAGCAGCTATGCAAATGTAATCAAGAAATGTAATTTAAATACAGACACATTAGTCTGATTTACGTTTATTTAAGATAAACTTAAAGAAATACAGTTTAAGATGACTTTTCACTTTTGTATCCTGATGAACCTTTTATTGATTTACAGCCATAAATGTCTGTTAGTAACTTAAACTGAACTAACTGCTTGTTCTGTTGCTATCACCAAAGAATGAGTGAGGATTAATACTTGGTTAATACTAAAGAGGAAACCTTGAGTTAGTTATAGTGATTTAAGCTCTTTTGAGTAAGTTATGCTTTTGAGTTAGTTAAGGTAATTTATGCTCTTTGATTTAGATATGGTAATTTGGGCTCCCTTTAGTTAGTTCTGGTTATTTAAGCTCTTTTTAGGTAGTTCTGGTGACTTAAGCTCTTATGAGTTAGTCATGGTGATTTAAGGTCTTTTGAATCAGTTATGGTATTTTAATCTCTTTTTAATGTGGTATAGTGATTTAAGCTCTTTTGGGTTAGTTATGGTGATTTAAGCTCTTTTAAGTTCATGACGGTGATTTAAGCTCCCTTGAGTTAGTTACGGTAATTTAACCTTTTTTGAATTAGTTGGTGGTTTATGCTCCCGTAAGTTAGCACAATGTCATTAAAACATTGAATATATGTTTGTTATTGTCACCAATGTATCATGAATGGCGTTTGAAGTCATGCACTGAAATAGTAGATTGACATTTAACAGACACAGTCAGACACATGTATCATCAGCATATGGAGGGTCCTGTGTTTGTAGAGGAAGGGTCTTTAATTGAAATGAACAGTATTGGATGACAGACTTCACAGCTGCTTTTTTACATGCCTAGTTACCACATGTTTCAATCGTGTGTTGGCTTTTAATTCACAAACCTACACTAAGAGACACAAAGGGAAAGTTTTTAACAAAGGGGCATCCTTAATAATATAAATGGTGTTTGAACGTTGAGGCAGTTAGCTACCAGGAAAATCTGTTTACATTTTAAAGTTTCAAAAGTAGTCAGATCATTTAAGTTGAATTAAGTAAAAACAGGATTTCCTTCTGAAATGTAGTGCACAAAGAAAATTCTAATTGTATCAGTGTAAACAGCAAAGGAAAGAAGAAAAACGATTTTACTCCGTACTCATTATCGTGCCCTCTTGATGTTGTCTCTAGTTAAGTGAATTCACAAATACAGGAGTTTGTACTCTGTAGAGGTGACTTTTGGTCATACATGCTGCAGTGTTCATGAAATCTCCCAGAAGTATGCAGAGCCACTTTATTTATAATAGTAACCTCTATAGGATAAAGACTGAGCATATAGTGCCCTCAGATGGTCATTGTGAGTCCTGCACCCTGAGATAAAAGGATGCAGAGGTTTAAGGATCAGGCATTTCAACATTAACATAAAATATAATCAGTATTTTGAGCTGAAGTTTAAAGAAAGTGAAGTATAAAGTGATTTACTGTCTAAAATGACAGAAACATGAGTGTTTTTTACTGCTTTCCTGGAGCTTTTTAAAGCAGCAGAGACGTTTTCTAGGATGTGCTGATGGAGGGTTTTTGTTAATGATGCCAATTCGTCTTCTCCTCTCCCTGCACCAAACCCTGACACATTTGGAAATGAGCTGAAGCAGACAGCTGAAGATGCTACATGTGTTTCTGTTATTCATCGCTGACCTCTGAACCACAGACACTTTAAATTATACAGCCTCTGAGTTTTTATCCACTTTAGTTTATGTCTGTTTTAATGGGGGGGGTTGAAGACGGTAAGGAAGTGACTGCTCCCTGTTTAATTAGCCAGCCTCTTCAATAAGATCGGATAGTTTTGAGGCCGGAGGAAAAAAAGAGAAATATAGGAAGTCGTTTCAAACAGATCCGATAATTATTCAGTGAACTCGCGTCCCTTCTGGCTCCTCTTTACTCTGTGTTTCTCCGCCATGTTGCCCCAGATCAGTGCAGCAAGGCACCACATCTGTCTCAGTTAGGGGGGATGCATTTCCTCCTCCTTCCTCCTCTGTGTTTCTAAATGTCAGTTAAGTTAGTTTTAGGTAGGATATATTTTCCTGTAAATAAGGCGGTGAAGTTAGTTTTAGGTTGGATATATTCTCCTGTAAATACGGCGGTGAAGTTAGTTTTAGGTTGGATATATTTTCCTGTAAATACGGCGGTGAAGTTAGTTTTAGGTTGGATATATTTTCCTGGAAATACGGCGGTGAAGTTAGTTTTAGGTTGGATATCTGACGGACATTCTCTGAGGATCTACCGGTGTCTTCTCACTCTCCATAACCGGGAATAACAACAGCAGCGCGGTTAAATCTACTCGACACCCTCACTGTCAACGTCGGTGTTGAATAAGGGACCGTCAATAAATTACCGGTTGATGTTCTCAGAAAAGGCTGTTTTCCTTTAATGGCTTCCATGTCATGTGACCAAAAGACCTAAAAATGATTTCAAATAATAGTACTTAAGTCGACCAATAAGACAAACATTATTTGATCAATTTTCATTGTTCCCCTAAAGTTCTTTGTGTGCTCTTTCTATTCTACTTAGGAGCACATCTGCTCCTTGTTGAAAAAGTTATCGCCCAGCCCTAATCTCACCTGATCAGCTCTAACCCCCAGACTGGACCACGACTAGTTACTAAAAACTACTTTGCATCTTCTCTTATAACTTGGACATCTTCAAATGAAAGTATTTTTGTATTCAAACACAGTTTTTTGAGTTTCAATGGCAGCTCTCAAACTCGACTGTGAGGGAAGTGTTTACTTTCACTTCTCATATTTCCGAGCTAAAGCAGAGCGGCTTTTATGTATCTGTTATGACAAGTATGGACACAGGATCACAGGCCGGTTTTAATGGCTCAGAGAGGAAAGCACAGGTGTAAATAATTCAATTATGATGGCTAAATTTAATTCTGCTGCCTCAGCTCGAGCTTTTGTGCATGCTGACTCACTGTAACACTGTCATGGTTTACAGGGACTCAGAATTAGATCAGAGCCATCATTTAAGTTACGTAATACTCTGTTTTTTTCCAACAGTGCAAAGAAGAAATGTTGTTGGTGAAGTTTAAGCCTAAGGTCTCATGTTATAAATATTAATAGATGATATATCTTGCCCTCTGTGAAATCTAGGGCAGTCCTGATGTTGTTTTCAGCCTTTCATCAGACAGATCTCCTTAACTTTGTTTTCCTGTTTTTATGCTTTCTTTATTTTACATAGTTAGAGGGATTACATCGGAGAAAATGGATTAGGAACTCTAAAACTGTCTCAGTTACACAGGAAAGAATCTGAATTTACTTTAGATGTTTTTATAGTCAGTGTTCAACATGAGATAAAAAGATTCAGTTACACCTTTTAAAGTAGAAAACATTTAACTCAAAAAACCGATGAGCTGATATTTGTTACTCGCATCAGAATCTTCCTGTTCACCTCTTTTTTATTAAACTATGAGATCTGTTCAGTCAGTACTGCCAACATAAAACCAAGTTATACTTTGAATCGAGCTCTGTCCATTTACAGCAAACACATGATGGTTTTAATACACTTTTCAAAGGAGAAAGGTCAAATGGAGGTGGTTAATCCAGGTAATTTGATAGTTTTGTACCCTTCAACTACTACAGGAGGGTATACCTTCATCACTTCTGACTCAAAACAAAAACACAAGTCCTGATCAAAGTTAACTACAAGTTTCTTTTAGTCTAGTTTTTTAGTCTTTTTCAGTATTTTGGCCTTTGTTTAGAGCGGACAGATTAGTGGATTGTGCGTGAAGCAGAACGGGGAGATGGACAACGGCATGGCAGGAAAGGGTCCCAAGTTGGAATTGAATCTGGGCTGCCTGCATTCATGGGGTCCATTTGGACTGCTAGGCCACTTCAGTAGGATGCTCCTTATGAAGAATTGTGATGATTGACTGGTCACCAGCTCAGGTGTGGAGGTAGGGCTGCATGGTTTTGGTTAAAAAAAGCACCATTTACAGTCACCCGAAACGCCATATGACAAAAAACTTTAGCGTTTCCTCCTGAATTTGTTTCCGTGGTGACGGGTTGATCCCGCCTTCAGACAGACTTTACAGCGGGGAGTGGTTTACTCTTCATCTGAAACTGTGAAGTCGTACCAATTCAACACGACTGACTTGCTCTTGTCCTATTTAACCACGAAATTATCACCTTCTTTAGCAAACGCCATGTTTGTTTATATTGGTGTGTGTGGGAACTGCAGGACGGAGGAACATACGGTGGCCAGTAGGTGCGAGACATGATAGAGAGGAAAATGGATTTGAGGATCTACATTTTTTTACATCGTCATAAATAATCCGTTTACAATTTTAAATCGAGTAATTGTGCAGCCCTATGTGGAGGCAAAACTGGCTTTCACTGGCATAAGAATTAAATTTGACTTTAAAATTTTGGATCATGTTGCCAAGTGGTTACAAACATGAAGAAAATAGCAGTGGATCCAGAACTGAACCCTGAGGAACACCATAAAGTAAACTCGCACAACTGTTGACACAGCCAAACGTCTGTTAGGCAGATCAGACCTGAACCAGTTATGATAATAAATCAGTCATACTAACCCGATTCTTCAACATACAGTGAGCTTCAGAACCAAGAACAGTAAGCGACATATTCAAGTAATAGATTTCCAGCTCAGCTTGGAGATAGGTGTATATATGTAGGGCATATTTGTCCACATAAGCTATGGATTCAGCATCTCTGACAGTTCTCTCTCTTTTTTGCTTTGTTCAATAAAGACTTTTAGGTTAAATCCTTCAAATCTATAAGAGTTATTATGAGCAGCTTTACTCTCATAATCCCGCTGACACTGACTGATGTTGCAGCCCTCCTGTCCTTTACTCAGCAGACGGACTCTGAAGCATCATCACGGCAGTAACTCAGTTACAGAGAAAAGCTGCTGTCAAAGCACAAGAGTTTTTCTGTGACAGACATCCACCCACTCTCAGCACCCACAGAAATCCACCTGCTGTTTGCAGACACACTTCTACACAATAAGAAACACACACAAATACACCGTTTTTACCCTGTTGACCAACGACTACTTCCTCCAAGACACCCAAACACTGCAGATGACGTCCAGAGCCAACAGTGGCCATATGGTGTTTTTTGTTTCCTGTTGTTGACGATGCGGTATAATGGGCCGGGGTAGGACTGGTGCCCCAAATGTGTATGTATGTGTGTGTGTGTGTGTGTGTGTTGTGGAGAGAGAGGGGAGGCAGGAAATAAAAGACAAGAAAGGAGGAAGTTAAAGAAGATAAAAGCAAAAAGGAGAGAAAGAAATGAGGCATGGGAGAAAATGGAGGAAGAGTGTGTGTGTGTCTGACTGTCGGACAAACTGCCTTTAGCTTTGTGTTTCTCTGGTACACCCCTGCATTGCAGCACTCCCCTGCAGGAGCTGAGTGAGTGCAGACTTATCCACATCCCCTCTGCCGCCTCACAGGAGACAAATCATCTCGATCAAAGTGTCCCGGCACACTTTGGCACCAGCTGTTCTCTGCATATGTTTGTTATCGAGGGCTTTGATAGCCGCTTGTGTCGCTGTTATTGGCGTCCCAGTGCAGCGCCGTCTTCGGGCCTGACTCAGCCGAAACTCAGGAGGGGATGACGAGTGAAAAAATAAGAGAGAGAGAGATTTACTCATTCACAGATTTAGGGAAGAGTTGGAGAATCCCACAATGCACTGGGAGATTAAGCAAACCATTCTACAGCGCCGTTAGTGCTTTGGCTGCGTTTTGACCTTGCACAAAAGTCTGCCAGGCAGAAAAACTGCTGAGTCATGAAGAAGTAATGATCCATTGAATCTAGTCAAAAGCATTAGCTGATTACAGCTGGTGACCACATCCAGAAAAACAACAAATATTAACAGAACAGAAAGATGTCTCATTTATAAAGGTAAACTAACATGTTTCTGCTGGTTATTGATCAACATTTCAATCAATAGTAAATGGTAAATTGAGGTTATGCACCCTCTTGAAGCTCTTTTACTCTACCGCATGTTTCACATTCACTCATTCACTCATACTGTAATGGCAGAGGCTGTAATACAAAGTAATGGGCTTCCCAGATACACTGCTGACTGTGCCTTTAGAACCGTTCAGGACTGTGTGTCTAGTCTTCCAAGGACACTTTAAATGATCCAAAAGGCTCGGTCCAAACTGTGAATCTGGACCCAAGTCTCTTGATCATTCATGGTGGGTTTTGGGCGTAAATCAGACCAATCAGTGTGTCTGTCCTTCCTCTCTTTAAAGGGGTGTTGCTATTTACACAGCCGATTTCAACCGAATATGGATCGGGCTCAACGTGGCATGTCAAACTTCTCTCTCTCTACATGCAGAAAACAGTTCAGTATCTGTTGATATCTGGAAACACAGATTAGTCAGTATATAGTTGAAGGTTGTAAAAGAAACACAACCCTTATGTATGGATCAGAGGATGCACACAGTGGAGTTGGTTATATCTTAGATGTAGTTTTGGCCGTGTAGGACTGAGGATATGAGAAGAAAGCAGTTAAAGATGTCATGATAAACAGGAAATGGAAAAATATTCACATCTACAAGATCTCTAACCCCGGACAAAACTCAGCAAATACCCGAGATTCTAGCTGATAGTGAGAAGAAGGCGAGGGAAAGCGTGTTGTCGACTCTAACCCCACGTTTTTACTCTTTCACTAATGCACACTCAGGAAAGTAGTTCACCACAGACCACATTCACTCACAGATTTGCTCTTTCCCAGATGCTTCTATTGGTTGGTGAGTTTTGGAAGCTAAAGAGCAACAGAGACCTACACGATGGTGACAGTTTTTACGTTCACACCTACAGGCCATTTTATTAGGTACACCTTCCTAAACCAGGTTTCAGAACAGCCTTATTTCTGTGTGACGTACTTTCAACAAGGTGTTTGAAACCTTCCTCAGAGATTATTGTCCATACAAACAGATGTTCCTAATAAAGTGGCCGGTGAGTGTGTTTCACATATATTTGACTCTCTGTCTGTTGAGTTTGGCTCGTTGTCAACACCGTTTTTCCCCAAATTCCATTTTATTTCTATTTGATTTATAATAGATACTTAGCTTTTAAACTTTGCTCTGAATCAGCGTTTTTGAAGAATTAGATCCCTGTTGTTGCCAAGTTTCTGTTTGTGACTTTGCAGATTTACACTCAGGATCATAGTTAGCATATTGCTAAATGCAATCCTGTCTTTAGGACCTTATACTATTGACACAGCCCAATGAATGAGGGAGCTTTACATGTATACACTTCTTGGCAGAGTTGAAATCCTTTTACTGCAAAATGATGTTTGCTCTTTGAATCCTGTTTGAATGCCTGTCTAGACTTATTTGATTTTTCAGCCTGTTTGTCACTCTGTGCCCACAGCTGAAAAGCCACCCAGAATACAGAAAGAAAAGAGGCTATAAAAGCGCAGATTTGCCCAAGGTCAAACACTCAACACTTCTGAATTTCACTAATTAACACCATTAACTTTGGGAAACCTCTGCGACCCTGACACTGCAGTTATGACGACAGTGCACCGGCCCCGACAACAAACGCAGCCATTAATTTTTAATGCAGAGTTCATGTGAGGAATAAACAAAGAGGGAATCACAGGACGGGTTTATTAGTGAGTGTAGGAGCTGCTTGGACATGTTTACGTTTACATCTTCTTAATCGATTTTCCTCATGAAAACTGGAACTGTTGTTATATTTTCGTTTTAAGGTTTAGTCAGACAAGATTATGCTGAAACAGGACTGAGATTATTTCTCCCTCTGATTGCACATCCCACCTGGTTTACATGATTGGAATTAGACGGAGAGTTGTGAAGCCTGGAAATGTCCAGAGAGTTTGGGAAGGACTCCATTTTTCTGTCTTTTATATGTTGTTTAGAAAAGTGTAGGGACTGAAGATAATAATGATGATAATTATAATGATGATGGTGATGATAATATTGATGATAGTGGTGATAATAATGACAATGATGAAAATGATTCTAACAGTGATAATGATGATAATGATAATCATGATGATAGTGATTATAGTGATGATGATAACGATGACAATGATGATTACTTGAAAATGATGTTGATGATGATAGTGATTATAACAGTGATAATGATGATGATGTTGATGATGATAATAATGATAAAGATGATAATGATAATGGTGGTGATGATGATAATGATAATAATAACGAGGATAACGATGACAACGGTGATAATGATGATAATTATAATGATGATTATAGTGATGATGATGACAACGATGATGATATTGATGATAATGGTGATAAATTAATAATAATGACAATGATGAAAATGATTATAACAATGATAATGATGGTAATGTTGGTGATGATGATGATGATAAAGAAGATAATGATGATGATGATGATGATGATGATGGTGATAATAATTATGATAACGATTATAACAATGATAATGGTGGTGGTGATGATAGCAGCCGTGTTGTCCTACAGACAGGATATTTCTGGGGGTTTTTCCACCCATGCTGCAGTCAATCATACAACAGGATACTGTGCAGTAAAGATTTAAATAATATGACCCTGTGAACAGCATAGTGCCTCACAGATACACCACTGTATCCATGTACAAATAGATGAATATCAGAACCAGACAGCTACTGCAGAAGATAAATAATGAATCAACAACATCAAGGACCAACAATCGCAGTCAAAATGCAAAACAGCGCCACCCTCGCCTTCCGTAACTTGGCTTTTTGGCCTGTTTTGGACGATATAAAAGTTTAATAGCTGCAAGAATAAATAAATATTTGAATCTGTCGAGTCTAAACCTCCTTTCAGGAGGCAGCAGCTCATATTCCTCTACATGAAAAATATCACTGATAATCTTCTCAGTGATACGTCGTAAAGTAGCCTGTTCCTACTCTGCATGGATAATTGCTCTTTAACACCTATGACAGAAAAGCAGCAGAGCAGCTCTTCTCTGTGTGGATGCAGTGAAAGCAAAGACAACAACAAGAGGGCGCTGTCAATAAATCTGTATGATATACCACTATACTACTACACCATAGCTCTTATGGATCCACAGCTCATGTTTACAACCTACAGTATAGGCTGATCTACTCGCTTGTTTCTGGCTGAAATCTGTCTGAACTTATCTCACCCTGGGCAATAAAGTCAGAGGCATTGATAACATATTTTAAATAAGTTTATAAGAACTCAGAGTACCATGGTATTCAACCTTAACTTCAAAAAGTTTGGCCCCTGTGTAAAGTGTTGATTAAAACAGAATTTGATGGTTTGCAAATACGATATTTTTCACACTATAAGGCGCATTTAAAATCCTTTTGGCTTGTCGGAGCACTGCAGCTACCATAGCCTCGTAGAGTTATTGACTGTTTTATTTGGCTTTAGCGCTTTATAATCCGGTGTGCCTTATGTATGAAAATCGATGAGAATAGACGTGTTTATTGATGGTGCGCCTTATAATCAGATGCGCCTTATAGTGCGAAAAATACGGTAATCTAAACCCAGTAACTAATTGAAAATAGTGCAAACTAAGTATATGAAAAGTTAAACCAAATGTTTTATTTTTTTTCTATTCTAAATTTGATGCCAGAAGCCCCCTCCAAAAATTTTGGGACAGACAACAGAACGCTGTTGTTTAGTTGTTTAAAGCTAAAAAAAAAAAAATACTCCCTTTCTTCCAATTTATCAGATTAATTTAAAACAGATTATGTACATAAGGTAAATTATTTCAGAGAAAGTGAGATCCTCAGGAGTTCAGAGAAGAAGAGGTTTACTGAGTGAGTAAATAGCTCAACAATTTCAGATGAATGTTCCTCATTATAATATGACATTTTCATCATCTATAGTACGTTCTTTCATTAAAAGATTCAGAGAAGAGACCAGACTGAGAACCAACTTTGGATGGCTGTGACCTTTGAACCCTCAGGCAGCAAAACAAGACATGCCTTTGTAGTGGAAATCACGTCATTGGCTCTGAATCACATCTAAAAACACGTGACCATGAATGCTGTTTATGATGGAAGAAAACGTACTGGACTTTGTAAAAGGGAAACTCTGTTGACATGATCCAGAAGTGGCAGAGAGGAAAACTGACTTAAACATGTTTGGAACTCATGGACGCTGTTTCTTTTGAGGGACTTTTATACTTTTTCCTAAAAAATATCTAAAATTACAACCAGACAACTTCACCTCCTCGACCTCCTCTTGCTGGTTTTGTTCTCCCATGTCCTCCATCCTTCTCAGCCCCAGCCTGTGCTCAATTACATTTGAGTTTTGAGTCTGGTCAGTTGATGGTAAGGTCAGCTAGCTCATTACCAGAATGAAATACTGACGAATCTGATAAAGAAGCACCCACTTAGCATTTCAGGAAAGTTATACATGGAAGGAAATGAGATATTCCGCCTCAGTGAAGCAGAAGACCGGCAGCGTTGGAAAGTTTTGTAGAAAGTGTCAGGTGAATTTGCGGGTTACAGACAGATCTGATCGCAGATTCTGCTCCACTAATTAAACTTTGGGAAAGACGTGGAATACAAATATCGTCCTGCTTTACTCTGAACATCTGGGCAGAAAAAAAGGGTATTTCTGCTGTGTGAGATCCCTGCCCCCTGCTGGTGGGAAGAGCTCATTGCACTGTAACCTAAGGTAAGAGGAGCCACCTTACACTGGCCTCTGACAGCTGCTGGCTGAAAGGTATTTCCCCAAGGAGAGAGAGAGAGAGAGAGAGAGAGAGAGAGAGAGACACACACAGGGGAGGAGGGAGAGAGTCATTTGAGGAGAAAATAGAGGAGTAGATTGAAATCTGGAATTGAAGATGTTTACAAAATAACTCACAGGGGAGATCTCCACATGCATTTGTTGATTTGAAACCACTTCATAATGGTGAATCAATGTCACGCCGGGCTAAAGGAGATTGGTGTTTTCATCCAAGTCTGAACGTTGAAGCCCTCTGCTCTCATTTACACGCATGGATTTCTCGGTCACACACGAGTCTTTAAAGCGTTGTAATGGATCCCTTCGTCTCTGCAGGGCGGCGTTTATGTTTGTTTTGTAACTGGAGATGATACTCTGCAATCTGCTCACTTCTAATTATCACTGACAACAAGACTCTCAGGGGATCATTAAAAAAAGGCCGACAGGTTGACCTGATCCTTCACGGTGTCTGAATGCCTCTAACTGTGATGGCTCTCTGCGGACGTTTATATCGCACTTTTGAGATCAATAATCGGCGATCCCGTTAATTGCATGAGCTCAGTGTGATGATACTGTGTAAAGTCAGCACGCCCTGAAGAGATCCCCACGCCCGCCTACGACCCACCTTTACCGTTCACCGGCTCTGATCTTTGCTAACTGTGGTTTGATTCAGACACGGCCCCTCCGCCCCCCCAGAGCGTGTGCATATTGATCCTTTACAACTGCCCTCCAATGCTGGACCAAAGAGTGGCGTGCTGCAATCAGCTGTGTGAGCGGCATCACAAATAAGGTTGGAGGGGAGAGAGAGAGGAAGAAAGAAAGGAAAAAAGGAAGAGAGAGACAGAGAAAGAAAGATGGAGACAAAGAGGTAAAGAGGCTGCGTGCATGAGTACATTGAGGGAGAGGCGGAGAGGGAGCAGGGAGGTGTGTGTGGAAAAAGGGGGAGATGGTGAGCACTGGAAGAGGAGGAGGAGGAGGAGGAGGAGGAGGAAGAGGAGGAGGGGTGTAGTGCTGCAGTGGAGAGAAGTGAGAGGAGACTGCAGTCTCTGCTTATGGGAGAGATCAGACCATGTTACCACAGCTCTGAGGGACTGAAGCTCGTTCACTCACTCATATTGGATGGGCCTCCTTACAAAGAGGAATACAACATCTGACCGGTGAGTTTGGTTTCATAGATCTTTGCTGAAAATTAGGATTTAGTTTTGTTTCTCGGTTAAAATCAAATCCAGGAGATCGCTGCCCGATGCCTCTTTTCTGCATTTTAACTCAGTGAGTCATTATAAAGTGAGGCGAGTCTCTGAATACCTGAATATCCTTGGGTGATCCAGGATCTGCCAATGCCTTTTTTTGTCTTGTTGAGTGATGCTGGTCGGTGACAAGCTGCAGGAATCAAATGCAGATAAGGACTGAGTGATGATGGCCTGAAGGTAAACACAGGGCTGAAACAGACCCACTCATTTTTATACACTTTATTATTTTTCATTTTAATTGCTGAGTTATGGAAGTTAGGATGCTGACGTCCTCCTGAGTTATCCTGAATTTTCATGATATTACAGTTAAATTTGACGAAGAGGAATGAAAGTTGTCTGATTTGGCGTTTGTGGCGGTTGCAGCAGAAACTTTGGTCATAATCGTCACATCTTCAGTAGAGAGGAGCAGACAGCATGCGTCTCATGCCCGTACCCGGCGCTCAGGCAATGACTTGACACTGGCCTCAAGCCAATTTCTTATTTGATTGGATGGTCACCTCAGCTGTAGTCTGGTTCTGTGCAATCCTGGACCTCTGATGGACACTATCAGGATTGCTTAGCAACAGTAATCTGCAGGCCTTCAGCACACGGGCCTGAACTCTACAGCGTGTCAGACGCACGCACCTGACCACACATGCTTTACCTCCGCGGTCCACGCCAAAATACTGACGCTGGAATGTAATACGTATCGATTTGTTTCCTGCGAGGGACGACAGATGTGGTTACATCATGAGTGCTGATGGGGAAGTCTGAGGTCTGCGCGGTTACTTTTCTCTTATCATACAGATATCCTCACATGCACTCAGAGCCGTTTTAACGTCTCCACAACAACGCGACCAAAAAGGATCCTTGTTTGAAACTGAGGCGTGTGCTTTTTCAAACAGAAAGAGGAAACCGTCTGATGGAAATCTTCTCTTTTGAACAAACTGATTCAGTTCAAACCTTCATTAGATCCTCGAGAACGGTTAGGATTCCCCTCGTTTACAATGACGTCAAGATGCAGAAAAAGTGCATTAAAAAAAGAGGACGGTTTTAATAATAAGCGATGATAACCCCGAGATTTGTCAGCTGCTATGATACACACACACACACACAGATGCACACATTTTGTTTTATCATTTATTCACGCTGAGTGTTTTAAGCATCCCTCTCCTTTTGTCAAACCTCCGTCTCTACCGTCTCCAGCAGCTACCAAAGATTTCAAAAAGTCTTCAACCTTTTCTGTTAGAGAAGAAACTTTCCCCCCTAAAGCCTGAACAAACAAACAAACAAACAAACAAACAAACAAACAGACAAACAGACATGTGGAGGATCATGTGGCTGCAGGACCAGCGATGGTTGTAAAGTTTCCAGTTATTCCTCTGAGCTGGTGGGGGGGCATGAAAGCATAAAGACAGTGTCCGGTTCACCGTGTTCACAATCACAGACTAGTGGGTCACAGAAATGTATCTGACTGCAGTGAAATTATTCTTCCACTAAATAGCTTTTGCTCCAAATGTCCAATTAGTGCAATGCCACTCTCTGCTTTCAGTAATCTAATTTAAGACAACAAAGAGGAGCATTTCTCATCCCCTGCATTGAATTATAATGCACAGATGATTCTGAATTAATCCAAAGTCAGTCCACGCTACAGTTGTTTCATTATCTGCAGCATATGTTTTACCCTGTTTTGTGCAAAAACAGCGAGCCTCATTTACGCCCGAGCGTCGGCGCCGTCATACCAACAGTGGGCCGGTCATTCATGATCATGCACCGAGAATAGAAACCGAGAGTGAATAATCAGAAGCTCTGTTAAAGCAGCTGGACAGAGGGACAGTGTCAGCTGCTCACAGTGGATTGGGTTGTAAATACCAGTTTGGAAGCTTCCGGTTATTTATCAATGAGTGACTCTGTTTATGTCCGAAAACTGCAAATGTATCAGGGACTAGAAATGAGATGACTTTATCCTGTCGTTTAAGAATATTACACACCTGTACATATTAAATCAGACACATATTCAAACAACAGACGCCTGCAGAGATGCATGAGTGGAGAGGTGTCACAGTGAGTGGGCAGCACACGGACGAGCGCCCAGAAGAGCAGTTTGAGGTTTGGTTAAAGGGCACACAGGAAATGAACTGGCACCCCTCCAGCTACCAGAGTCCAGATCCAAAATCAAGTTCCCTTTTCCTGTCCAACCATGGCCCCCAGTTTTAAATCTAAAATCTAAAAAAGGATCCTTCCCCACCTGGCCTAGAGCAAAATTATGTTTTTGTAAGACATTGTAAGATTTTTAAATGCATATACCAATTAACAGTGTTAGATTTTACATGCACATGTTTTTCAGAAATACTGCAGCTACCTTAAATCAGTATCAGCCTGGAGTGTCGACTTGAGCAGTCCCCGTTAGAAAAGACGAGCTCTGATCCCGATAGTTAATTTATGTGAAGATGCTGTGTGGGAGGTGACATTTCGATGATACCACATATGTTTTTAAGATAATTAGAGTTATGCATAAATTTGCATGAGTTGACTTTCACTATATTGACCTTTTGTATGTCATGTCATAATGCTCTGCTGGGAGGTGTTCCCTGTTCCATGTCCACATATTTCCAGCTGTAATCTGTAAATTCAGCCACGGTTACATCTTACAGGCACGGAAAGGACACTATAGCTGTGTATCATCAAAACTCCACTTTAGAAACCATTGGGTGATATTACTGAGACTGAGTTCATGTTATTTATGAAAGTCTAACTTTTATCAAACACAGCTGAACAACAAAAGCAGAGACTATAAAGTTGTAACTACAATATTTTACATTTGTATATTTATAGTCTATTTGCAGCATAAATGTTTATGAATACACCGATGGACTAATACGTTTGTCAAATTTCTGTTATTTGCAAGAAATGCATGTAAACCTCTTATAGGGCTGCACGATTTTGGCCAAAAATAAAATCCTGATTTTTTTTTTTCTCTGAAAATTCAATTTTAGATTTTTTATTTAGTGACAACTTCATAACATCCTCATAATTGAATAATCCGACTAGGATTTAAAATCGATTAATCATGCAGCCCTAACCTCTTATTGACAGGACAGACAGTTGAGAGACTTTTGCAGCCGGGGAAATTCAGTTGCACTTTTTTTGTGACGGAACTAACTCTCTGACGGAACTGCTGCTAACTCATTAGCTTAAAACTTAAAACTAGCTTGTCTGGAGTTTCCTCATTTACATATTTAACCTCGCTGAAGCGTTTCCCATCATGTTGTTCCTCCCTGTTTTCCAGTCCTCAGACTAAACTCAGCTCGCCATGTCCTGGCTGTACCTTTTTTATTGAATAGACAGTTTATTCTCCAGATTTATTGACTGTCTCTGTTATTGCTCCAACAATTTAGTTACCGGCCGACAATCCATCCACGCTCCATTCTTTCTCTCTGACCCCAAACCTCTAAAACTTCACTGTGGAAAAATAGGAGGGATACATACCTCCGTTTCTGGTCATTCTTCATCGTGACAGTAAATTCTCACATCATCAGCGTAATGGATGACTTTACTTTCATGGATTTCACACCCTTTAGGATGTCTCAGTGGAGAATCTTTTGCCCACTCACATCACTGTTCTCAGTTTAGTCCTTCACAGATGATGAATATTGTTGTTCTGATGACTCCCTGGCTGTCTGTTTATGCGTCCATTCATCTCTCACAGAGCGGAGTTGTTTCATTGCAGCTCTTGATCTCATCATCTGTTAAACAAATGGGATCATCTTAATCTATTAGTCAGTTACTGGGGAGCAGCAGCGAATCAGGAACGATGATAAAAGCTTCTGCTTTTTCAACAACAGCTCACTAATCGACTCTTTTTACACCCTGGCCTTCGTGGCTCGGGGGCATCATTCAGAGTGAATTTGGAAAATATGCTTTCTGGCTCTTTTCCAAAGTGAGAGGAGAAAATCAGGGGCTTTCTTTTGTCTGTTTTCAGATCTGCCTCAGTACTGGAGCCTCTGTGGGAAAAATACAAGCAGCAAGCCCCAGTGCTGAGAAATGAATCCAACGTGGAAGTGCGAGAAAGTGCAGTTCCTTGAGTGTCCACTTGAGGCTGGGTACAAATCCCCTGAAAGCCACATACACACCCATTCTAAACAGCCTGTCTTTAAAGCAAAACTGAACTAGTTTACAGCCTGATACAAGAATAATTTCAGTTTAAATGGTTCATTTATTTCTATCCGCACACTCCATGAGGGGTCTATGTTTTTGCTTGATAAGAGGCACAGCTGGCCAGGAGGCTAAAGGCTAAAGGGAGGCTACCCCTTGCCTTAAGCTAGGTCTGCCAAAAGATTGATGAAGTCTGCCCTCCTGATATCAGACTTCTACTTACTGTTTACAACCAGCACCGCCATCTTTAAATGTCAGCTCAGGGGTTGTGTAGATCATCCGACGAAGTTCCGACTCAGAGCTCAGATATCCAGACTTCCGAGTACAACTGGAACGCACCATTAGTTACATGACGCTACGCATGCTAGCCTGTTAGCCTGGTTGCCATCCACTACTCAGCGACAATGGTGGCGCTCGGTGACACCAGTGCATTATCAGAAAGTCTGGTGACGTTTGACACAATCATTCAAAAGGTTCTGCGTGGCCAGACGCCCTGGACTGGGACACAGCTTATGTCAGTGTTTTATATAGTTTTTGGTGTAAACGCTGGCCCCGCCCACCAGCACCTTTTAAATCTGTGTTCAGGCTGTGAGTGGAGCCACATAGTGAGATGATGATCAGTTTCCACATTCGACGAACCAACTGAGGCAGATTAAGCCAAGAGTTAGCTCATAAAGGATGATACCGTTTTTTCTGTGTTACTGTGTCTGAATTCAGCTTGAACACTCACTGAAAAACCCCAACACTCCTTGTTATTCCCCTCCTGGTCTAATTTTTCTTCTCTCTACATGAACATAAAGTCGACTCATAAAACCACGGGAAACCTCGCAGCCTTTTCTTTTTTTTACTCGAGTTAAAATATTTTCAACTCAGCAGAAAAATGTCGCCTTGAGCTCGCTGTAACCTCGGCAAATCAAACCCTCTTGAATTTTTTTGCAGTGACTTTGTAAGCAATTTTCCTCCTTAGACTCACCTTAAGGCTCTCGAACGCATCCCTGTCTTCGGGGAGGGTTGTCTCATTGAGCAGGTTGCCTGGCAACCAGACCTGTAGTTTACAGAAGCTACAGTGATAGATTAACTTCTGTTCATTTAGAAACAGCCTTGTGAGAAGTCCACTTTTATCATTTATCACTTCAGTTTATGATACGATGAAACAATAAAGTCGTAATTACCCTGATGAGCTTTAATTGGAGACACTATGAATTAAAAACACGACCAATCAGCTCGCAGTTTCTTCTTTGTATGATAACAAAAAAGTAACTCTCCATAGTTTTGATGCCATAAGAACCTCACAGATACAGTATTGAATATATCATCACTGGAGGTGTTTGTTTTTGCATCTTTTATCAGATCAAATTCAGAGTCAGGATCATATTTTCTGCTGGTGGGAGTTAGATTATCTGTCTCTCTGTCACCCTCCATCCTTCACTTCCTCTTTTAGCTCGAAGCGAGAGACTTGACCTGTTGCACCTTTATATCATACACTCTTACAATATTGTATTATTCTTAGCTAACACTATTGTTCAAAGCAGTATACATCCCAATGCTTGCAATTCTCACTCTCCAAAATCCGCCACGAAATTCGCCTCATAAACGCATTCAATAGGAATTGGCAGACTGCACAAATCGCCACCGTTCCTTTTGCGGTGGAAATTTGAGGTTAGATTCATGTTGATGCCTTTAACGAATTAACAAAATCAAACAAGATCAGCACCTATGAGACATTAGTTTTTTCATAAACCTATTTTTAGTGTCTGAAACTGGTACAAGGGGGTAAATCCAGACCTTAAAGAGTTTTGTTTTTACAATTTACACATAAAATATTCACAGCAAATGATAAAGAGACTGTCAAAAGTCAGCAGAAGAGGATTTGTTGTAATAAATCAAAACTCAAGCAAAACTCTTCATTTGGTTTATTTTCACATAAAAAGCATCTTTAATAATTGAATAATAAGCAACATGAATGTTTATGTCCTGCTGCTCCATCACTATGTCATCATGGTTGTATTTTGGCTTCACTTCTCATGACGGCACAGTGGCCATATTGGTAAACAGTCAATAATTCACTCAAGTGTAAGTTACCCACTCTAAAGTATTTTATGCTGATGCAGTAACTTGATGTTTGTGTTTCTGTTCAGAACTGAGGAAGTCAAAGTTTTTAAAAACCTTGTTGTGATCATGTCAGATGAAAAGTTAAGATCATTTTAGTAGTTCGGGATCGACGAGCCTGAAACCATTTAAAGCTTTAGCAGTGGTGAGATCTCAGGTCTCTGTTTAATACCTTTAATGTGTCCCCAAAACCCCCACAGGTCCCTGCTCAGGACAAAGTGTTCAATTAAAGCTCATTTTAGGATCAGATATCCCTCCTGGAGCCGTACACCCCCAATAAGCTGACCCTTCACTTCACTCTCTCCTCTCTCTTTGTCTCATCTCTGCTCGCTTCAGGGACGCTGCACCTAGTCTTTGACAATGAAGTTCAACCTGTTCAAGAAGGCGCAGGCTGTGGCGGCCCCCGAGCCCACCGGCGCTGCCTCGACCATGGCTCCCACCGCCCCCCCGGCCGTCATCTCCACGTCTGCGCCGGAAACCTCTGGCTCCAACAACACAGAGATCAACAAGAATGACATGTTTGAGGAGATCAAGAGCAAATTCTTGAATGAAATCGATAAAATCCCACGTGAGTAAATCTGCAGCGCTGCCTCCGTTCATTTGATGAAATAAAACACATTTTCTAAGAGAGAAACTCCAAAGTTCTGAGTCTGTATCGAATTTGTGGTGTTTTTCTGGAACCCGCAGTGCCTCCCTGGGCTCTGATTGCCATCGCCGTGGTGGCCGCTTTGCTCATCCTCACCTGCTGCTTCTGCATAATCAAAAAATGCTGCTGCAAGAAGAAGAAGAACAAAAAAGGGAAGAAGGGCAAGGACGGCTTCAACATGAAGAACATGCAGGGTGGTGAGGTATGATGCATTGCGCCGAAACAGTCACCTGAAGAGGGCGTGTTCTTCTTTTCTTTCTTCCAATTCAAACATTTCCAAACGCTTTTTCCTGCTGTGTGATTCTGGTTTTCTCTGGCTAACCACGTTTGATCTTTCACCAGCAGCTTTTGTAGCCCAGGCTGTAGAGGACACAAGGAGAGCGCTCTTCCTCCTGCTTTTACTCGATGTCGTTGTTGTTGTGGTGGTTGTTGTTTACTGTGTGATGTACTCCATTGTGGCCGGCGGTGAAAAATGACACACTTTGTTAACGGGGTTACAAAGACAAATGAGTTTTATGTGTGGAAGCAGCAGCACAAAGATTTTATTACGCACATGAAGAGCCCAGAAACAAAGAGAGGACGGCGGCCAATCAATCAGGGGGATAAATGTTCCAAAAAGACGTGATTGATTTGAGAGCCGATCAGCTGACGTCTCCATAGATCGCCATGATCGCAGTGACAGTTAATTAAAGGAGTCAATTACTCGGGCTGGAAAGAAGCGTGTCATTTCTCCCCCTAACTGTGGTGGTGGTGGTGGTGGTGGTGGTGGTGTTGACTGCCCCTCTTTTTTGGTAGCGTGTTTGGTGTCTTGTGAGTTGAATCTCTTCCTCTCTCTGCTCTCCTCCTGTCCTTTTGTTTCCCGCGTTGTGTCTGTCTTGTGTGTGCCTCGTGTTTCATGACTGTGGTGGACTCCCGCTCTACGGTAGGTGGACAGCTCACGGTGATGCTCTCTGACCCCCCGGGGCGGAGGGGGGTTTCATGGAATGAAAGTCGTAGCTTCCTTTGCTCTTTTTTTTTTCTTTCTTTCTTTGTAGCCCCTCCCAACTTTTTACTTTTGTTATGACAGCTTGAGAATGAAACAATGGAAAGCTATGATGTGCTCCATAAACCCCAGAGAGGAGAGTCTAACCATCTAACACATTGTTCCTGGGACAATGTAACTGTAACTCACGCCAATATGAAAAGTATTGGACCAAGAGATGATATGCAAGACACTTTTAACACTATTAATCGATGCATGTGATAAAGGGCATGGTTGGTTGTTTGGGAGACATGGAAACGGTGATGATAACAAAAAAAAACCACATGCATGAAAAGTCAAATCTTTCCTTTTGATTGAAACAAACGAGGAGGAGGTTGGATGTAGAGACACTGGATGGCCTAAGAAGAAAAAACAACAACATTTGCAGTCAAGTTTAGCTCAATACAACCCTGATTTCACAGAGGATGGGATCCTGTGTTAAATGTTGATAAAAGCTGATTTTGTTGGTTTGAAAATCATTTAAATTCAAATTATAAATTGCAAAGACAACAAATCTAGCAGACAAACAGAAAATTTTATCACCTATGAAATATTTATGATTATTTTTAATTTAGCGGCAGAAACACAATTTTAAAAAGTTGAGGTAAAAGAAACAAAACACTGAAAAAGTTTGTTTTGGTCATCTTCAAACTTACTGTGCTGTTCTGAAACAGGTAAGTAACAAGATCAGGAATGAAAATAGAGTTTCAGAGAGGCCGAGTCTCTCAGAATTAAAGATACGAGGAGCGACTGTGTGAGTAAATAGTTCAATAATAGCAGGATAAAATACTTGACCTGAAGGAGGAGGATTTATCATCAGCAGGATATCATGTCGTTAAAAGACCGAGAGAATCTGCAAACAGGACAAAACTGAAAGACTATAATGGATGTCTGTCATCCTCAATCCTTCAGGAAACACTGCATGTAAAAAAAACAGGCATGACTCTGGAGTGGAAGTCACTGCATGGACTCATGTCACTGATAAAAACCCTTTTCTGAACATGATTTCCTGCTGCCTTCACAAATACAGGTTAAAACTTTATATAGAGGAACCCACTGAAGACGGACTGAGTCTGAAAACTGTTGTGTCGTCTGAGGAATCAAGATTGGACAGTCTTTGTGGAAATCATTGACGCCACTTCCTCTCCTCTGAAACTTAAAAACCAGTGTCCCTGATGGTACTGAAATACACAAGTGCCCATGTCAGGGATAATTTATACACCTGAGAAGGTGCCTTTAGTGCTGAACAACAAAAACAGGTGTAGGAGCGATAGATATCAGCATCCAGAAAACTTCCTTTTTCTTCTTGGTTGTTAAAATAAACAGCGATGTATCGCAGTGATAGATGTGACACCTAACTTTAAAAAAAATCATGTTTCTGTAATCACATTAAAAATAAGCATTAGTTTATTAATGAAAGATGAAATTTTCAGTTCCAACATTTGATTAATCGTATTTTTGCTAATTTGAATAAAAAAATAGTTCAAATGATTTACAAACGATCAGATTCTGTTCATTAAAATTTTACGCAGCGCCTCGACTTTTGTGAAATCAGGGTAAATGACTCTGCAGCAAACTGACTGAGCATAATTCAAATAGCTGGCTGTGCCCTTTAATCCTGAATTACATGTACTGTAATAATGGTGAGCTAAAAAAGAGAGGCATTTCTTTGGTGCCACATAAATTTAGAGGCAAAAAAAGGCATGCATTGGATTGAATCTTGAAACAAATGAAGTTCATGTTTTGGGTTTAATAAGACGACAAATTTCTAAAAGCTGTAGGTGATCTGAAAGCCATCTCCTTGCTCTAAATAAGATTATATCCTATTTGCCTTTTTATAATTTTAGTCTGCACTGGCCTTCGCTCTTGTGAGCTAGTTCCTTTAGGGGATCATTTAAAAAAACATTTATTTTCTGCTTCATTAAGTCAAATCAAAGAGTTTCATGCAAATATCTGATTTAATTGGACTTTTTTCTAAAAAATGCATTTATTCCCCCTCTTAGTGGAACTAGCATGCAAAGCCTCAACTGACTCTGGCTGACTCTGAACTGCACAAGCATGTTGAAGGAAATGATCCAAAAACACTGTGAGGAGCAGGTGTGCAGAAACTCCCAGGAGTAGTTTGTATTTATGTGCTACCAATAAATGATGAATGAACCCCTGGTGGTCACCATGAGAGGTGCTGTGCAGGTAAGCAGGAACCAGAACATGTATTTCCCATGTCCAAAAACTCCTGGAGCCCCAGTGTCTGTGGCATGCTGGCTGTTGTGGGGGAGCCCTGTGTTCTGATCTCTGATCTCTTCGTTTTTAACGCCAGGTTTTATCTTCTTACCTTCCCGCTACAGAAACTCCAGGATGACGACGACGACGAGGAGGGAGAGACGGGCCTGACGGAGGAGGAGAAAGAGGAAGAGGAGAAGGAGCAGGAGAAGCTGGGGAAGCTGCAGTACTCCATCGATTATGACTTTGAGAATACGAAGGTCGGTATTCGCTGCAACTGACATCATATGACATTATAGAAACCAGAGGTGAGGTGTTCTCTCGCCGCTTCAGACTCATTTTTATCACGTCTAATAAAGTAACTTTTGCTTAGGGGAGAGAAATATGCATCAAATATTTAATTTAACTAAAAGATACATTGAGTAGAAAAAGGAAAATTTAGCTAAACTTAGTGGACAGACTATCACCCCTCCTAGGGCTGGGCAATAAACCGAAAATTTACCGATACCAAAATTTACAATAATAGCTGACGTCATTTTGCCCATATCGGTATATTCTGTGTCGAAAAATATATAAAAAATGGTTTTGGATGTGTGTAGGTAGGCTATGGTCTCATGACCCTTTAAGACGCTGTCCTACGTCAGAGACGTGACTCCACCCCATCCAGTCTGTAACAAAGAGGGAAAGACAGGTGAGGAGATGGAGGACGTGATATTGATTTGAGGCCATATCGCCCAGCCCTCTGTGCTCCTGTATAGATATAAAAGTTTTATTCTTCATCAACAAAACTAAATGATTTTTATATCCAGGTGACTAAACTCTGATTAAAACAAACTTTGAAATGTTATCGATGATATTTCGGGGCGTCAGAGAGAGAACGCAGAAAACAAAGTATTGATCTTTACAGGGTCGGTTTTATTTGTCCCCTCTGTTTGTTCAGCCCCCATACAACTTCAATTTATGATATTTATGATGTCTCCATACACCGCCATAACTCTTACTGTGTGACACTGAAGGAAAACGTCTGACATTCAACATGATTCCACCCGGACAGGAAGTCTGCGGTGATTGATCACAAAGCTCAAGTTGTCAGACGATGTTATAGAAGCGATTTCTGCTGCAGTGACCCTGAAACGGATGAAAAATCCTCCAAACTTTGGGTTTTCTTTTCTTCTTAAACTTCTCTTTTATCCTACAGCTCACGATTGGCATCCTTCAAGCTGCAGACCTCATATCCATGGACTCAGGCGGAACCTCAGACCCGTACGTCAAAGTCCAGCTCCTGCCCGACAAGAAGAAGAAATATGACACCAAAGTTCACAAGAAAACCCTGAACCCGGTCTTCAACGAGACCTTTGTGTTTAAGGTAAACCTTCTTCTCTGCTCTGCGTTCATTTGAAGCTGTAAACAGAAAGACATCAAACATTCATGGACGACAGTGAGAGAGTCCGCATTATAGATACTCATCCTGACCCCACCACCACGTCGGAGCGTCCTTTACTCTGTTAGAGAGAGAGAGTACCGGCTGGGTCTGGTCTTGGACTCACTGGTCTGTGCAGCTTTAAGTACACGCTGCTCTTTTCTATCCTGGATAATAAATCCCAGAGGGACTCCACGAGGCTGAGCTGCAGGCCGGGAGAATCTGCCCGCCTGAAAATATGCAGCAGCAGGAAAAACAAATTTAGCCGCACTTTCATTTCACAAACAGATTTGATTGGAAATGGAAATATTGTTCTGTAAATAATCACTTTTCCCTTTTTTAATCTAAAACCTTTTGTTTGTGTTATTATGATTCATTTCTTTATTGTGATTGTGTGCAGGAAACAATCATAATAGTTTAGTATAACTGGTCACAAACAAACTAATAGAGTCCCTGAGCCACAGAGCTTTGCTGATTCTTATGCTCCAAATTAGTGCTCTACTGGTCTAAAGGTCTAAGTCCACCCTATATTCAGAGGTTATTCCTCTAGTGGGCAGCCTGGGTTCGAGCTTTTTTCCTGCGTGTCATTTCCTGCTCTATTCACCGCCCTGTGGATAGACTAACTCTCTTAAAAATCCTCATCTTCATATCGGAGAACTTTAATCATCTGGAGCTTTTGAACTTTTTAGACTTTTTTGAATTTATTTGAACATGAACAACAATTAAACAGTTCAAATTAAAGACATAAACACACAAAAAAACATAGAAAAACAGAAAGAAAACAAAAACAGAGTCAAATAATTTTGTCATTTTCGTGTTCAAAGATGGAGTAGGAGGAAGTGGAAACTTGTCTGGTCCCACCCCTTCAGCTTGCACGAACTATCAGTAATTCGTTTACCTGCTTCCAGTTAATAATAACAACAATAATAACAAACTTTTCTTACTTCAGTAAAATCATTCGTTGTAATTAATCAATTTTTAGAGTTACGCCATCTTTTAAGAATCCATTCATCCAGAAAACTTTGTAAAAATCCTCAAACTCATGGGATTTTTTCACCTTTATTTGTTCATGGAGTCACTTATTTAAAAAAAACAATAACTGAGATGTTCATCCACATGATTTTTTACCCGTCCATCAGGTCCCTTATGAGGAACTCGGTGGAAAGACTCTGTGCATGTCCGTCTACGACTACGATCGATTCTCCAAACACGACGTCATCGGAGAGGTGAAGCTCCCCATGAACACCATCGACCTCGGGCGGCCCATCGAGGAGTGGAGGGATCTGGAGAGCGCGGATCAGGAGGAGGTGCTGTTGAGATTCACGCTTTTCAAATCAGAATTATTGATATTTGATGTTTATTTGAGGATCGTCCTCCTGAGATGAAGCGTCTTATCTTAAGGGGGCGCTAAAAACAAGATTCATTAGTGTTCAAACTTTCAAGCCAAACTAAAACTTATCATTTTCTGTGACTTGGTCTAAAAGTAATAAATGATCTTTGAATTCATCGGCTCAGAAATCAGGAGCTTTTACACATAAAAAATCACCTCAGAGCAAAAATGAGACTCTAGTTTATCTCTAAAACCTTCAGCTTTCAAACCTGATATCCTCTCGTTTTCTCCAAGTTTTCCTGGAGTTCATTATCTTAAAGTACAGAAAAACTGGCGCCTCTGTGGCTGATGAGCGTGTGTGCTTGTCATTTCTGTCTCTCCTCTCTGTGCTGACCACTCAGCCTGAGAAACTCGGAGACATCTGCATCTCTCTGCGTTACGTCCCCACCGCCGGGAAACTGACCGTCTGCATCCTGGAGGCCAAGAACCTGAAGAAGATGGACGCCTGCGGGTTATCTGGTAATGAAACACAAATGTTCACTTCATAAAAACACAATCTAGTTTGATAGACTTTTGTTAGAACTGGTACTTTTCCTGTAAAATATGATGTCTGGTTTGAGTTTTACTGCTAACTGGAGGTTTGAATCCTCTTCCTTAAACATTTCAACAACAAAAATCACAGTTTCAGAGTTTCCTTCACTGTCCTCAAAGTCCTCAAACATGAAGCACAATGTTATAAATTTATCTGCACACCGATGGTCACCGCACCTGTTCAGACCAGCTTTTGGTCTTCACAGCACATTCCCAACATCAGAGAATCAGAAACAGTTCATACATGAATGAAATGGTCATAAATATTTACCTGAAGTGATAAAATGTAAGAAAAGATAATAACACAGCTCTGATCTTCGGTTTTTACTGACAACCGTCGCATTGATGCTCTTTTTAGATCCTTATGTGAAGATCCAGCTGCTGCAGGGCGGCAAACGTCTGAAGAAGAAGAAGACCACGGTGAAGAAGAACACCCTGAACCCCTACTATAATGAATCCTTCAGCTTTGAGATCCCTCTGGAGCAGATGCAGGTACGGACCACACACCAAACCGACCCCTTAATAATGTATGTCCCTCTGTGCAAGAAAGAGTTTCATTAAAGGCACCGGGAGGAGTTTTTAACAAAATCTGAAATAGTCTGACTGGAACGTCTTTATGAACTTCGTAGTAAAAGGATCAGATTATGTCTGCAGACTGAATTTTAGTGCCAACAAGCCAATTTTATATCCAAGAACTCAGTGTGTCTGCGATCAGAGCTCCACTGACTCTGAACATGTGAGTGATTGACTGCTCTGAGGAAAAGTGTTAAACCGAACACTTATTTACATTTTTCTGAGGACTCACACGGGGGCTGTGACAGGTACGAGTAAGTCTGCACATCTGGTCACCTTTTGTAATTACGTCTTGTTAATTACAGTTGATAATTTCATGCAACTCATCACTTTGCATCCTGCAAATATCAAACTGGTCTGAATATAACACAGGGATTAAAATACTGAAAATACAATCAAAGAAAACTGGGGTCACCTACAGAATATTCTTGTTTACAACATCAGCTCTTGAAAGAAGATTAAGGCCACAAGAAGAGAAAAAAAATGATTACAGGAGAGAGAGTTTTTTTAATTTCGAGATTAAAGTCGAGATGTAAAAGAGTCTAAATGAAAAAATAGAATTTTTTGACATTAAAGTCAAAATTTGGAGATTAAAACAGTCAAAATTTTGTGAATAGAGTCAAAATTATTGACATAACTATTGAGATAATTTCTATTTTTTTATCTTGAAATTTCAACTTTAATCTTCTTCTTGTAGTTATTTTATTTCTCTTTATGTGGCCCTAATCCTCTGTTGTAAAAACCCAAACTGTCTGATGAAGCAAATCACCATCAAATCCAGTCGCTCTGTCAGATCTCCAATAATAATATATATATTTTTTTTTTTAGATTATTTCGAGTTGAAGTTCCTGTGAAAACTTTGTAGCTGCTGAACGAAACTGACCGAAGTTTTTGACTCTGTTATTTCTGACATATAAAATCGATGGTGGAGTCGGATGGGAGGACGTCAGATCAGCTGTTTTCTGGAGTTCTACTACAATGATTACGGTTGTTTTGTTTGTTGCAAATTCATGCTTTGGATTTCGACACACATTACAGAGTGCTCATGGGAAATGCAGTCTTCATCTGATTTCATGAAAGCTCCTCACAGTGTCTTTAAACCCTCAGACTCACTCCTTCTCTTTTTCTATTGTTGACACTCACCAGACGTCCCTCACTCTCTTTTTCTATTGTTTACACTGAACAGCTGTTCCTCGCTCTCTTTTTCTATTGTTTACACTGAACAGCTGTTCCTCACTCTCTTTTTTTAATGTTTACACTGAACAGCTGTTCCTCACTCTCTTTTGTTTGACAGAAAATCTTGGTGGCGGTCACAGTCTTTGATTACGACAAGATCGGTAAGAACGACGCCATCGGAAAGATCTTCGTCGGCAGCAAGGCGACCGGCCTGGGTCTGAAGCACTGGTCCGACATGCTCGCCAACCCTCGCCGCCCCATCGCTCAGTGGCATGCGCTGCAGCCAGAGGAGGATATCGACGGTCAGCTGGCGTCCTTGGCTGCAAAGAAGTAACGTGCTCCACCAACCAACTAATGCACTAACTCAGAAACCCAAACCCCGCCCCCTTCTCTGCATGAAACCCTCATGACTAATCACATGACAGCCGGTCATGAAACCTGCTCAGCAAAAAAGAGACACCTTAGAAACTCCGCCCGTTCACGGTTAAGTCCAAGAATCTTTTGAAGCATCCCATCTCACTGGTTAGTGTTCGCTGAGAGGAGGAGTGGCCTCAGTTAGCCGGTTCATGACGGATCGACTTTCTTTCATGTGAAGAAACTTAGAAACTGATTTTTAGGGTGCTGAGTCTGAGTGAGGACGACGTGGAAACAAAGCTTTAGTTGAGTTCTTAGAGCATGCTTTACCCCCCCCCCTCCCACTGCTCTGCATTCACCACGCCCAGTATTGTAGCTTGCTATTAAGTGTGCTATAACTTGCAATAGAGAGTCCTGTAGTATTGGGTTATTTCCTGCATAGAGTCTGTTTAAGTCTATTAAATGCAAAAAAGATTTTATTGAGAGTGAATGAGGTCAAAGTCACTAAATGCTGCAAATCCACGCTGAGATCTATTTTTTAAGAAAGGATCGGAGGAGATCTGAACAGGAAACAGTCTGGCAGGGATGACATTCGGTTCGATTTACGTTGCTCGTTTTTGTCTATGCATTCAGTAAAAAAAAAATAATAATTTCTTTGTCTTCAAACAATCTGACGTAGGACAGGAAATCAAGGGTGCCTTTCCTGATATGATACACGAAGCTTCGTCGTTTTATTTTGAAAGGGAAAACATTTCAAAGTCGTTAGGGACACTGTGAATGTGCCATCGGAGGTTTTGTTCGGAGCTGCGCTGACCACTTGGATGTAAAACCTTGACCTGGGTTTGAGGAGAAGGCTAACCAATGATATTCAAACTTTGCTTCTTTTTAACTCAACATCGTTTTCTTTAAAGACTCCATCAGATCAGATCGACGTCTTTTCTTCTCCATCCTGGTAGTTTACAGAACACGCTGCCGTGCACTTCAACGACCGCTCGTGAAATAGATTCAAGATTTCTGTCAAAGAGAAGAAAATGTTTTTTATAGAGAATCGATTCTGAATTGTAAGATGTAGCTTGCACTTTTTAAAAGAACAGGAATTCACGCAAAAATCGCATATTTGTAAAGTCTCAACGGGGCAAACGCCAAATGAAACAACACACTATAGATCAACATATCTTGGACCATTCGCTTGAACCAAATAGAGCTGCAGAATCTAGCATGTATCATGCCTCGCAGTGTCGCCCGATCATCCGTCACAAGCTTTGTAGACCTGGAGACGGACTGCTGCGACGAGGTGGTGCTCAAACATCGTCTGGAGAAACTGTGAGAGAGATTAATGTGCAGAAATGGCAGCTCAGTTCTAACTCTGAGGTTTAAATAAGTAAATACTTGTAATCAAAATTGAAACACCTCTGAATTTAACAGGAAATTGAACTCTTGGCTCCACATCGTTTTTAAATCTGAATCATTATAAATGCAGATGAGTTACAGGGAGTCAAGAATCGAATGAAGCTCAGTCACATCCTGATATTTGGGATAATAGATCTCCATTAAAATTTAGTGAAAACCAAAATGAAATCTAAAAACTGAGGCAAAGATATAATTTTACAAAAAACAGGACAACAGGAAACCCGAGCTGAGAAATACGCAGAATTAAAAGTTGTCGTTGTCTTAGTAACCAGAAGTTTGTGCTGGAAAACAGTGGGAGGGAGTTCAGATATCTGGAGGTCGTGTTCATTAGTGAGGGTGAAACGGATCCTGAGATTGACGGGTGGATTCACGCCGCATCAGCAGTACTGCAGGCGATGTACCGGGCCGTCAAGGTGAAGAGGGAGCTGATCCTCCAGGAGAAGTTCTGGATCTGTCAGTCCATCTGTGTTCCAACCCTCACCCTTGTTCTGAAGTTTGGGTTGTGACTGAGAGACTGAGATCATCGATCCACCAACCAAACTGGGTCTTCTCTGAGGGGGTGGCTGGGCACATCCTGAGAGACAGGAACAGAGGCTCTGACGTCCAGGAGAAGCTGAGAGTAGAGCCGTTATGAGACGTTAGCAAAGGTAGTTCAGGTGTCTGATTAGGAGGCCTCCCTTTTGAGTTTTTTCCAACTGGGAGGGGGTCCTTCGTCGACCCAGAGCTCGCTTAAGGGATCTCATCCCCTCCGAAGAACTCCTCTGGATCCCCCAGGAGGAGCTGGAAACCATTACTGAGGAGGGGGACGTGAAGAGGGGCTGCTGTGACTCGACCCTGAGCAGGTAGAATACAAATATAAATGTCTACAGCTACATAAGAAATGTAATTAAAGGAAATTAAACAGATTTCTGAACACGAAATTCACCCGTAATCGAGGATAACTCAAACAATACAGTTTTAAAGTGACACCTCGGGGGTATTTACATGTTTAATCAGAGATATTTATATCCAATTATTTCAGAGGTGTTTAAATTTTAATTACAAGAAGACAACAGTGAGTGTGTTTCAGAATTAGGACGACAGTTGCAGAGAAAATTCAATAATCACAGACTTTTCCAGCGAGTCCGAGTTTTTCTGCAGGAGGATGAACAACAGCAGCAGCAGCACTGATCGGTCCATTCACCTTCCTACTTCTTCTTCCAATTGTTGACATTATTATGCATCGCGCAAACTCTGTGAATAGGCTCACGCATGTATTTACGAGATGATGTAAATAGCAGCATGTTTTAAAGAGGAACCCTAATTCTATTGTGTATGTGTGTTTGTGTTCTGTGTCCTTTTTGATAATAAAACGGTAAAAAAAAAAAAAAGAGTATGGACTGACTGAAAACTGTGTATGAGTTCTTGCTGAATGAGACTGAAGGGACGTCTGAATGATTCCTGTGTATGAAGAAAAACACCAAATTTCCCACAATGCTGCATGAGTGTCTTTCTGGTTTCCTGTCACTGTTGTGCGTCTTCTGTGCTGAGTCCACTCTGACAGTATGCTTGGGCTACATGTCATGTTATTGATGCTCATTATTCCTGCCTGTAAACTGTCTCTGTGTCTTTGGAGGAGCGAAGTAGCAGCTCCTCTGTTTTTATCTCCGTGTGCTGCTGTCGGTGTTTCCTCTTGATTTCTACCTGCCAGATCAGTGTTCAGTTTCTAGTTTATTAAATGTCGACACACTGGACAATTTAACGGACTGTAACCTCCCTTTAATTAACTTTTACCTTCTCATTTTCAAATAAACCTTCTTACACATGTTCAGTTAAACCTTTAAAAGAAATAAGGGACTTTAATAATTCACTTATGAAATGATATATGTTATTTTAATATTACCGCTGTGTCTAACCGAACGCCATCAATAATCTTTCCATCACAAACGCCATCTCATAATTGGACACGGTCTCAGTAATGAACTGCGATGGGATGAGCTGGTTCTGTGTCACTTGCTCTGAGATATTGACTCTGTGTCATCAGTGACATTTTAATGTGGCATTAGTCAAACCCTTCTGCTTTTTAAAGTCACCGACCACTCATAATATTCCCACGGCGCCCACTTTCCTCTGAGGCCACGCCCACCCAAAGGCCAGAGGACCACATGTTGTTATAATTCACGGCTGAGGTCCAAGTTCAGACTCCAGAGTCCTTATTATTTCAAATACACACGACTGTAAAACTAATATGAAGAGACGTCTGATTATTTTATAACCTGTTTCTGTTGGAGCAGCTCTCAGTGGAGTTCAGGCAGACACGGGTCATTACAGGATGTGCCGAGGTTTATTGTGAAGGAATACCGGAAGTAGTGTTGTTGTTAGCGGGTCGCAATTTATTTATTTATTTATTTATTTTTTTTTTACGTCGGATGGTAGAGGAAGGTCCCGCCTCTGATTGGCTAGAGGCTAGAGGTCAATCAGAGATGGGCTCCGATTGGTTATTCCTTATGTCTGTGAAACGTCATCGTCTGTCGGGTAAGGGTTATGTAGCGTTCGAGTTACCTAGGAAGTCAGATGTTGGAGCTGAAAATGACGTCACACCCGAGTTCCCAGCGTTTAAGTTACTGAGTCGGAAAAAAGCAAAATCGGGAAACAAGATGACTGCATCTACGAAAGTTATTTTAGCGTTTGCCTCATATTCAGACAAGGCGAGCGCTAAAATAACTTTTGTAGATGTAGCCATCTTGTTTCCGCCTCCGATTTTACTCCTTCCGACTTGATAACTGAAACGCTGGGAACTTGGGTGTGACGTTATTTTCAGCTCCGACTTCTGACTTCTGAGGAAACTAGGAAACTCGACTGCAACATTAGGGTTAGGAGATTCAGAATTGCGATAATGTTCTGTAACATTCTGTTCGATGTAGAGAGCTGACAGCCGCTTGGCTTGAGTGTGTGATGACGTTTCACAGCCATAAGGGATAACCAATCAGAGTCCAGCTTTTCTAGCCAATCAGAGGCAACGGAGGCGGGACCTTCCCCTACCATCCATGAAAAAAATATTGTGTTGCCAGGTCTGAGTTACCGTGGGGGAAGAAAAAGAAAAAAAAGAGCGGGCGCTGCTGTCAACACTGAAGACTGCTGCTTGTCTTCTTCTTTATTTTATTACTCACCCAGTATAGTCGTCCTCACACTCAGTTACTTTGGTGGCAGCGGTGAGATTTTCCCAACGTGAATAATGGGAAAAAGTTTGCCGAAGTTTAGCTAAGTAGCTAGCTACCGTTAGCATGTTTATCTTAGCTGCTCAAGTGTAATTAGCACAAATGTGAATGTTTCGTCGTCAGACCTGCACTTTGCGGTAGAAATTAGTTTGGTTCAAAAAAAGAAAAAGGAAAGACTGGAGCTGCTGAAACAAAAATAGGTTATAATATCATAATTATCTGATTAAATCTGAGGTTCCTACTATTAAAGATTAAAGTCACATTGAGAAAGAAACGAACTGAAATTTCAAGAATGAAGTCAACTGAGATATGATTAAAAAAAACTTTATTCATCCTTGAGGAGAAATAAGATACTGTACAATTCTGTAGGTCAGTAATGTTATGAGAATAAAGGAAGATGAGAAAAAAGAAAAAACTACATTTACAAGAAAAGAATTGATGCAAATTTGTAAGAATAAACTCATAAGTTTACATGAATAAATTTGTCAATCATTGAAGAAAATAACCCAGGAGGTCAACAGAGGAGGAGTCTGAGTTAAAATGAGGAACATGGATCATTTTATCCAGTTATTTATGAAAACCTGTTTAACAATAACTTCACAAAAAGCTCCATGTTCATCATTTTGACACCAGCAGCTGACCTATCGCTGTTGTTTCTCTTCACAGTAACTTGTGGACAAACTAACCGAAAACTAAAATTACAATCCTCAGAAACGTTTGTCTGAAACTTTGTAAATTTTCAACCTTATTCTTGAAATCTCTGTTCTGTGACCTTCATTCTCCATCACTCTTAGCTAGATAACACTGAAACGAGTTCAGAGCTTTGCCTTTTAATGTTGAATCCAATGAAGTACATTTAAATAGCTAGTGGGCAGATGCTAACATGCAATCTGAGAAGATCCAGAGCCAGATCCTTTCTGAGATTAGTGAAGAAAGTGAATCTGTAGGTCAGATCATCTGGATTAAAGCGGTCTTCTAACACCATCTGAGCTTCCAGCTGAAAACAGTTAACATGTTCAGATTATGAATTAGATTAACCTTTACATGTAACATATGGAGTATATGGGAATAAATGACCTTATCTCCAGGACGGTCCATCCTCTGTAGGATAATGACTCTGTCGATATGTTCAAGGAGGCTGAGGGGAATACGGAGGAACTCATCCTTCGAGATAAATGTCAGATCTATTTGTAAAAAGGAAACGTCCGTAAAACATGATTTCATGTGATTACACCTTTATCTGTTTAAAGGACTCAAGATAAATAGGTAAATATATATAAATATAAACAGGTGAAAATGAAAATAACAGTTAAGAATGCGCTCTCTAAAACTGTTTTAGTCATTTAGTTTCCTCACTGTCGTGTATCTGTACGAGCTGCCGTTAGACTCCGTGTTATAGACCAACAAACCCTGTATTTGTTTTGTTTTTGTTTTTGTCACTTTTCTGCAATGCAGGCAACAAAATCCTTGTCTTCCTCCTAATCCTGAGCACAGAGCAGACCCTAACAGTGTAGAAAGATGTAATTATTCTCAATGCAATACTGCCAACCAGCTCCTTCAGTCCTGGTCCATATCCTCTGTCCTCTAATGTGAGCATAGCCATGATACAGAACGTCCAAAGACCTGATCACCATCCGGCTCCGTCTCTCACCCACGTCCTGAGCCTGAACGTCTCTCTTCTTTCTGTCTTGTTGTAGAAGTGTGTCCATAGTTGTGCCTTTCTGTGATCTGCATGTTTAATTTCTGTACTAAAGCCATGATTTTTCCAGCAGAAGAAAAAACGTTTCAGGGGGAGAGAAAAGACTCAAACATGGACTCATAAATCACTCTGTGCAGAAACGAGAAACTACGAGGAAACGAACTTTGGGATGTGGTCAGGACATTTCTGTGTTGTCAAAATGTAATCATAGGAAATAAAGGCATTTGAAGTAGCCTGCTGCTGCTGCCTGTGTGGTGTGTAAATAGAGGAAATAGAGGATGCTTTTCCACTTCTGGACAGTAGGTGGCATCATACACAGCATGGAGGTAACACGTGTGTCTCTTATACAAAGTCTATGAAACGTTTTATACTAAAGAGGTTTATCTGGCCTGTTGATGATCAATTTATAAGAAGGTTCATCAATAAAGGCCAGAAAGGTAAAAAAAACTCAGGTGAGATGGAAAAACGCACAGAACTCATCACAGACGATGAACTTGTCAGGTACAAAACTTTTATTTTTTTTACTTTTCTGGCCTTTATAGATGAACCATTTACTCTAATTATGGTGAGCAGCGTAAAAACCATCAGAAGCAGCATTTCCTAATATATTACAAGTGCTCAGTGTGATGGATGGATGGAGTCGAATATCTGAGGTGTACCGTCAGAAACTACGAGTGCTGCAAACTCTCACAAACTAAACATGATGGTTTTCCACATTTCCAGAGTTCACAAAGACTGTGCTCCACTTTACACCGCTAAAATTAAAATGAAAGAGCTACAGGTGTCTTAAAATGAGACATGTAGATTCATTCTCAAATTTCCAAGATAGAGGAGTGCAGGTTTTATGTTTTCTTTAATCTTGAGTACACTTTAAACATTTATAAACTTTTCCAAAGGAGAAATCATAAAGAGCTCATTCAAATTTCTCTTATTTTAGGAAATATTTAGTCTTTTAGTTCAAACCACTGTGAGCGTCTGAACTTTAGCAGATTTCTGTGCTTTTTCATACTGATATAGACGAACGAGTCAACAATAAAATAATTAGTAAGCAGATGAAAACCAACTCAAACGCACCTTAAATGCAGAGCAGGAAACTTTCCAGAAACGACTTTTTGTTTCCAGAGTGAAGACACTTTGCCTGACTTCATCATGTATGCAGAAGTACCACCACAGATTTTTGGCCCCATTAAACAAAACTCACTTTTGACTAAATGAAGTTGAATCTAATTTAATTTAATTTAATGACCACAAATAAGTGATGGACCTTTAAATCATCCTAACATTTCTCCCAGGACGCTCCTGCATGTAAACCTGGACCAAGACAAAGCAAAGGAGTCCACCTGCAGTGATTTCTAATATTAAATTTCCAGAATGACGTCCTGATTTTGCATTTATTACAAGATTGAAAAACAGCTACAAGAATAGGGTAACATATTCAGCAGGTGGTAATGAGTATTATCCAATCAGAGTGACAGAGGGGTCTATCTAACCGAGGTTGAGCGGTGGGAAATGTTCTGGACTCTTCTCTGTGGACTGATCCGGTTAAAGTTCAGTTTGTCTCATCCAGTGTTTTCGGTATTAGGAGTCAATCACCTGTTGTTAAGGTGTTTTATCAATCACAAGTGTTTAATAAGTTTAAAGGTATTTCATCATTCTGCTTTAATTCTCATATGTTGACCTGAAGGCTGATCATGATCCCTGTATGATCATTGATCGTTCTGCTTAATGATCTTGAGGTGAGTTTTCTGTATCACAAAGATGATCATGTTTAAAAGTTGGAGTCTTCCTGCTCCACCACAGACTGTTTAATTTATATTTGACATTATTTTTCTTTGAGTGTTGTCGGTTATGATGTTAAAAAAAGAGGAGTTTTCTTTATCTGTGGACATTAAATGCGTTGAATTGTTTTGTGTCGCAGCAGGTAAAAAAGAGGAAACGCTCGTCATCTCTGACATTCAAGGTAAAGCTCTTAAATCAGAGTCGACGCTCCGGCGTTCCTGAAGAGTGGAGCTCATCCATCATCCTCTGTCCCTGACAGCACACAGCCCATTTTCAAGGTCTGCATACAGAGTGGACAAAATATTGCAGTTTCCATGGTAATAAGTCTCTGAAATACCTGCAATATTTCCTCCACTTAGGTATGCAGGGAAATTCTTCATGACTGCAGGTTTCAGTGAAGAAAAACACAGATAGAGGCGTCGTCGGCCTTTTTATTTTTGTAGAAATACTTTAATAATAAAAAGACTTTTAATTTAATGTGTTTCCCTGCAGGGAATGAGTCACGACTGTAGATCCAGCGCAGTGACAGAGAGCTTCTATAGAAATGTGTAAAAATGTGTTTTTATATTAGAAATGTTTCATCAGTGAATACGAACTATATACAGACATTCAGAGGTTAAAGTTAACAAATAAGAATGCAGGTATAGATGGATATGGCTTCATGTGTTCATCCCTCCTCTTCTTCTCATCCTTTCATTTAGAGAGTTTAGTGATGACCCGGATTAAGGCGCCGTTCTCATCCTTCAGTCTCTGGTTCTCCATCTTCAGCTCGGCTTTGGCCTGAGGAGAAAACAGGACACAGAGGTAAGAAAATATTAGGGGTGGGAGAAAAATCGATACAGCGAAGTATCACAATATTTTTGTCTGATTGTATATATTATCGTCTCATTTATCAAGTATCTTTTTTTTTTAATTAATTGCTAATATGAAGTCAAATCTATGATAAAGGAAAAATAAAATCAACTGTTTATGATCTGATTTATGATTTATTATCATTTCTTTATCATTTCCTTGAAGTAATAATCACCATATTCATTATTTTTCAGATGCTGTCGTTCTTCTGCATTAGCGTCTCGGTCTGATTGTATTTCTATGAAGAAATGATCATAAATGTTCTTCCTTGAGCTGCGTCACCCCGCTGTAGTCCCTAATGGACTGGCCTGAGGTCTCGCTACAAACAAGCGTCTGCTGGAAGAGAGTAGGTGAGTTGTGTTTAGTCTCTTTGCTAAAGAAATGAGTCAAAGTTACAAAGATGTTTGGTGTCTAGTACTATGACTGTGACCCTATATGTCCTGTTGATGAAGTTAGGTGCTGTTCTGAGCGTTATTTGTGGCTATAGAGTGGCGTTTTGGTTGAGCGCGTGGCTCTCTGTATTTCTATCCTGCGGTCGTTACTAAAGTTGGTATAACTAGAGAAGCAAGCGGTCGGCAACATTCATCTCTGGAGGGGGGGTCTAACTCGGTGTTACGGTGGGTTTGACCACAACTTAATTTTAAGACAGAATATCCCTTTAAACCTGGTTTATAATCCTAATATGAGACACTGTTTGGCTTTTAGGCTACAGTCTCTGCTGTTTTTCTGTGACCTTTCAGTCCAGAGAGAAACTAAGACTCAGGAGAAAATGTCCGTTTTTATACGTCTGTTCAATAATTGGATTAACGAGACGAATCTTGAATCCATTCAGTGACACACAGACACAATTGGACCAGACTTTCTCATTGAGGAGAAACAACCAACAGAGCTCCACTGTTGGTCTATTTTCAGACCAGCTCCCAATGTTTGTTTAGAGCCCTCATTCACAGATAACAAAAGCTTTTTGTTTGGACCCTCCGGGGCCGAACACAGCAGACATTTGTGAAGGTTTAGCCTGTAGATGAATACTGATGGCTCACTCGCTGCTGTGTCAAAGTGCTCACACATTCCTCAGGCAGCAGAGCAGAACGGTGACAAATGATGTCAGCTGAAACCTCCGTCGAGAGAGAGAGAGAGAGAGAGAGAGAGAGAGAGAGAGAGAGAGAGAGAGAGGCTAACACCAGAGCTCCAAGTCCCTCTGACGCTCGTCACGGCCCGGATTGTTTATTGTTGTCCTCGTGTCAGACAAACTCTGATTTTTTCTCTCCTCCTGTTATTTCAAACCTTTCATGAAAAAAATGATTGTGTTAACTCAACTTACAGACTAATAAATTACCTTTAGCTGCTCTTCCATATCAGATATCCTCTTTTTTAGACTCCAACTTTCCTACAATGAGGAAAAGGCAGTGAAGATATTGCAAAAACCTCTTCATGAATAAATGAATCAGAGCTGTTTGTGGGGATAAACGGGAGCTCATACCTTCTTTTCTGCCTCCAGCATGTCAGAGCTGCTGTCTCCTGGTCTTTCCTTCTGCAACAATAAGAGGTGATTACCAAAAAGATTACTGCTCAGAGCCTCCAAACGGATAATTATGAAAACCGTGTTATATCTTCATTTATATTCATTACAGTGTGCACATGTGTCTGATATAAAATATCCAATAAAGCTGCAGAAACTCTAAAGCTGCTCACGGTTATTATAGTCAAATTCAGCGCTGGCAGCCTACAGTAATAACAGAGCAGATTCCTTTTATAGCCACAATCCTTCATGTCATATTTCTCTCATTAAAACTAGAAAAGGACACATGAACACAGGGGAGACATTTCAGTCTGTAGTGGTGAGAAAACTCTGAATCATTTATGATTATGACTCTCATATAAAGTTTTTTCAACTCATTTTCATCCTGGATTAACTCTTTATAACTCCGAGTGTTTACCTGAGCTCTCTGCAGCTGGTCCTGGATCACAGTCAGCTCCTGTTTACTCGTCTCCAGTCTGGATTTGAGTCTTTGATTGGTGGACAGAGCTTTTTCATACATCTACAAGAAATGAAACGGGGTGTTTGATTTCTCAGCACAAAGACCAACAAACCCGACCGCAGTGACTGTTTGTACAGAGGAATTAAAGGTGAAGTAGACAGGAATCCGATAAAGAAACATCTTATTTTGTGGTGTATTTACAAAAATCTTTAAATATCAGTCAATAGTTATTAGTTATTGATGACATTTGGTAATATATGGATATCTCTGTGTTCTCTTATGTCTGTGTCGTCAACATTTGAACATTTGGTTGGGAGGGGTCGAGTTTACATTCAAGATTTCTCCCAAAAACTGGAACTTCTTTAGATCCTGACTACAACACCTTTAACTGTTTGTCTACGCTGGTCGTTTATTTTAACTCTGGGGAAATTATCTCGACATTATCGCTGTAAAAGTTGGTGCAGAAATTAATGGGTTTGGCACAAAAGTTTGCACATGTATCTTGCTATGAAAACCCAAATCAGACAGTATTTAGTTGTTGTCTGTATCTTGCTTTGCAGATTTGCAAATGTAAGAGTGCTAACCCAGTTAATACCAGACACAATTTCAACTTCAGTTTAATGAAAACAGGTTGAATCAGCTGATTTCATTTTAGCATTTTTTCCATCAGTGAAAATCTGCGTCTACCTTCAGTCACAGAACAAAACTTTGGTTAATCTGAGAGTTGAGAGGAGGTTAAAACGGATTATTTTTAAAGTAGTTTTACAGCAGCAGTTGAAGTCCTGTCAGTGCAAAAGTGAAGTTTAAGTGGATTTGATGATCACACATTATAGGCTAACAAGAACATTCAGTGACAGTAGAGGATGCACTGTGCATGCTCAGGGTCCTTTAAGCTGTAATGAAGACAGAAAGAGCCTCGAATGATAACGATTGATGGAGTTACTGATACGTAACGACAGCAGCTGTGAGCAGAGCTGACCCACGGTTACAGGTGCTGGACCGGCGTCTGTCTGTCTGTCTGTCTGTCTGTCTGTCTGTCTGCCTGGTGTTGTGTGTTTGTCCTTTTAACATTGAAATGAAAAACTGTCCCAGACAATTTAAGGATTTTTTTAGAGATAATCCTCCTCGATGTAAAGATTTCAGTGTGAATGAAGACTGGAAACAGCCTCTAGGCTGAAAATGTGTTTCTAACTCAGACGTCTTCGTATCGTTTAAAGAAAAAACCTGAGAGCCTGAAACTTGTTTTGAAAAGTTCTATAAGTCACATTTCAACACAAACTCCCTCTTCTCTACTCAGAGGAATATTTCACTGAACTCTGTTGTTGTTGGCTGAGTGACTCAGGGTCTGAATATGAGTCTGAAGAAATCATAAATCAGGTTTTAGAAGGAGGAGGAGGAGGTGACCGTGTACAGTGATGTGGCTTCACTGTGTTAAAGTTGAGGATTGATTAACCAGCAGAGTATTACTGAGTGTGAACTGGTGTTATGATCAGTCCTGCTACCTTGTTAATTGTGTTAATTCAACAGAGACCCGACTCCTCAAAGAAATCTGAGTTTATGGACATTAAAGTTGGAGAATTAATCCTGTCAGATGATCTTCAGACACCTGCTTTCTCCACCTGAATTGTTTGACCAGCAGCTGTTTCACTCGCCTTTTTATAATCATTGTTCGCCGTCTCCTCTTCTGCTTTTTTCCTCGCAGACAGTCTGTTCTCTCGACGTTTGAAGTAAGACTCTGCGTGGTTTGTCGACGTGTTGTTGGAGCCGTCAAATCCAGATCCGGACGAGTTTAATCTGACAAAATGAGAAGGTATTATCCACTCATCAACGCTGCTTGACTTTGTTACTATCAGAGTTTATTCTTATAAAGTCAGACGTGGGTTTCTGTTTCCTCAGGCGATAATTACATCGACTCTGAGTGTCGAGGATGTAAATCAGATCAGAGGAGGCTTACCTGGACAGTCTCTCATGCTGAAAAAGAAGAGAAATATTTTTAGTTTTGACTGAAACTTGAAAGACAGCAGCAGAAAAATGGTCAAAGACATTCTTAATAATCATAATATGAAATATTAAATTCACTAGACCACAGTACAAACCTTAAATGGCATAAATAAACATCAAATCTACAACCTTCTTAATGCAAGAACAATCATCGTCAAACTGTTTCACTCAGATGTGAGAGTTAGAAAATGTTATATCATATAAAGGTAAATCTATTTTATTCATTTTCATTTTCATCATGATGCACAAGAGACACGTTTTGTTTACATGTACATCATCAGACAGATTATTCATTATCAGCACATCCTCTTGAGAGCGAATCTCAGTGAGTCTTTGTCCAGAAATTCCTCCTGGATTCACTTTTATTTTTCCAGTTTTCCAAGAAAAGGTTTATAGTAGTCTCAAATACCGAGCCAAGTCAAAGAGGGAGAGAGGAAATGATCCCTTAAATAAACTGACAAGCACAGATAGCTAAACACATCCAAAAAAGGGAATAGCTCCGACAGAGGCTCCGAGTATTTGCTCATTACGGCCTGTTCACGTCTGAAGGGTTTGAAAGTTTCCCTCATGAGACTTTTCAGAGTGACACACGGGAGAAAAGCAACAGAAACCTAATTAAAAAGTGACCAGTGTTAAAAAGAGGAGAGTCAGTACTGTGAAATAAATCAATGTGAGTGACGAAGACTGTTTGTGTTTCATCCATCATCGCTGTGAGTGAGTCTGAGATCCCCGCAGATTCAGAGAGGGTCACAAAGTTCAGGACAAATAACAAAATGTTCAAAAGGTCTGTGAGAAACTTTCATGTCGTGTTCGCTCTTTGAATGAAATCTGTTTTGTTTTTCTGGGACGCAGACTACATTTCCCATGAGCACCACCACCCTCTGCGGTAAAAACGAGGTCCTTGCCAAAGCTTTCATGTCTTGTGGAAGAAAATGAAAGAAAGACAGATTTTTTAAAAACTTTATGTAAGACAACTTTTTCAGGATTCAGAGTGATGAGGCCATGTGTTGATTTTTGTAAAAATATTATCTGTAATGTGACAGCTGTTTTGAAAACTCTAATATATTCCCACAGACTGACAAAAAGATGATTAACATCATAACCATAGTGTTATGACTCTAATGTCCCAATAACTGTGTGAAGAACATAAACGTCCACATGATTTAAAGAGAGATGATTGTCTATTTGACGACATTATTTCTGTATCAGCCGTGAGACAAAACAAAATGTAAAAATAAAACTGTGCTTCACCCCCTGACTTCTCGGCCAAACTTCACCTGTGCAGTTTTAAAAATAGACGGTTTTATAATCTAGTTTTTCCCCCGGTGATTTTACTTGAAATGAAAACCAAAGAGACACAAAAGTTCCTTTAATATCTGAAATAAGGATCAGTCTTAATGGATTAAAGGAAAACTAAAACCAACTTCAACAACGGTCTAAAACTGTGTGGCTGCACACCTGGGAAAACGCTCACCTGATAAATCAAAGGTGCAGAAGTCACCTGACCAGCCAGCATTCATCAATAATCCCGAGAATCATAACGAACAAATGAAAAGTAAGTTTCATAGTCTGAGTCACTCTCGCTAAAACTGCCAAAGTGTCCATTTGTGTAAAATCCAATCCAAACACACAAACACCATTATTCAGATTAGAGAAATAACTGAGCGTGATGCTGATAATCTCATTTATTTTGTAGTTATCAGGAGGATTATAGGTGACGCTTTTTCAACATCAGTAAAAACTCCTCACAGTGTCTTTAAGTACAGAAACCACACTCAAGCTTCCTCTCCTCTATCTGACTGACTCTGATGAGGATGATGGTAGAGAGGACCGTTCAGCATATGGAGCTAAATCTGCCGCACACTCAACGACCACATTATAACTTGGATACTCGGTCACCTCTCGTTGGCTGTGAGGACGATGAGTTTTCATGTTTCTGGGTTATAACTTTAAAAAACACTTTGGTGTTTAATTCAGAGAGCAGCATCTGTTGTATGTTAAACAGCCACATGAGGTAGCGTCTGAGTGCGTCACACACTCGCTCTCTGCAGCCTCTGTGTTCCTCCTTCCCTTCTGACATGAGTTAAACCTGAAGTGGTCGGTTTGGTCATGTTTGTGAGAGAGTGAAGTGCGTGTTAAAGGTCAGGGGAAACATCATGGGATGGATTAAGAGAGCGTAACTCAACAAGATCGAACCCTGCTCCCCTGGCTGGAGGTCTAACGTACTCTGGCCTGTTCATTGTGACTGACAGCCACACTATAGTTGTCTCATAACAGCAGCACAGCGGAGGCAGCAGCAGCTCTCAGTGATGAACATTTCCCTATATGGTTTGACGTTGGAGCGATAGTTAGAAGTCTGTCTCATGCAGATGCTGAAGGGTGAGTAGGTGAATGTATATGTATTAATTACTTTCCACAAACAAAGTGACGACCATGTAAAGTAATAATTCACAGTACAAAATTAAAAGCACACTGAGCCGGTCAGTAAGACCAACAACACATCAGTTCAGCTCAGACACAGAGTAACACAGAGCAGCTGCAGTCCTCAGTCTGCAGATCCAAACCCAACGCTGCATTTTCTCATCCCAGTTTTTTACATGAGAGACCAGGAATGAATCAAAGCAGGAACAATGACGCCATAACTGAGTATGATAAACAGTCGAATAAAAAAACTGAAAGATTATGTATTTAATGCTGACAAGTTGAACACAATTACCATATTTTCTGGACCATAAATCGCTCAGGATTAGGAGTCACATCAGCCAAAAAATGCATAATGAAGAAGAAAGAACATATACAGGTATAAGTCACATTTTTGGGGGAAATTTATTTTACAAAATCCAAGAGCAAGAACAGACATTTCATCTTGAAGGCACATTAAAATAATAATCTAGCCATCTCTCTTTGAGGTCTAAGGTACGAACAAAGTAGAGAGGAGTAGGGGTGATGTCGGCCACGTGTCAGTATTTTTTGTTGAAGTCCAAAAAAGATGATGCAGCTGAGTGAAAAACTTGTCTTTCACAAGTTTGCATCAATATCAGATCAATATTGATATCGGCTGATACTGAAGGCCACAATATCGGTATCGTATCAGAGGTAAAAAGTTGTATCGGGACACCCCTAGTTGACAGTATGGTTCAGTTTATGATAGAATATGATATGACAGATATGTGTTATGATACTTCATAATAAATAATATACTTTATTGTCTGATACAGAAAATGTATCTTATGTTTAAGCGAATGTAAACTTTGTCATTGTTGATATTTTCGCGCTCTGACACTTTATCTTCTGCTTCAAACTTCTGCTCTTGTTTTTAGACATTTTTAAACATTTCACAAGGACAGGATAACCTAGGAAAATAAGTTTTAAAAATGATGAAATGAAACCGGCTATAAAACAGTATATGCACTGTTTCAACATCAGCGCTCAACCTGAAGCGTCCTCTCTGTCCTTAAAAGTTGAATACTTCTGCATCTGTCAAAGCAAAACTCTAAATATGCTCCAGATTATCACGTATTCAGAGGCAGAACATGCTGTTCCATTTTGTATTAAACTTAAACCTTTCAAACACGGTCCTGTTGTGACAGTGACATGAACTAAAACAAAAAACAGACTAAATCCTGGTGACGGCGAGCGGACTTAAGTTACAGAAACTATGTGTAAACACGGTGATAGGCCTCTGCTGAGACATTTACAAGACCTTCTGGATCTTCACCAGACTCTGATGTCAGCTCTTTTAAGGCTCTCTGGACACTTGGCTCTGCTGGGTAAACGGTCATTAATGATATACAGCGCGCTGACTCGGAAAAGGCTCTGGTTTAGATTAAGCAACATCACATCTAAACAGATGCTGATGGAAACTCTGTTTTTGTGACATTTGTCCTTTAGTTTAAGTCCCGTCACCGTCTCTCCTCCAGGGTCTGTAGATCCCATGAGGAACTTTTTGTCTGCTGACCAGTGATTCCTGAGTGGAAAATGTGAGCTTCCCTGAGGACCAGGAGAGATAAACATCCATAAATACTGCGTCTGAGTTCCCACAAGCCTGCAAGTACTCTATCCCTCCTTCTCTCTGTTCACGTCATCCTGCCTTTCTCTCTCTCTCTCTCTCTTTCTCTCTCTCTCTCTCTCTCTCTCTGTATATTTCCCCAGTGGATTCTTAGTTCACATAAACAGAGGAGATTAACAGCTTATTACAGCCCTGCTTTAGATTGTCCTATGTGTTCGGCTTCTTTGAGCACATCAACGTGTAATTTGATCGGCATATTAAGTTTAATAATAAGTTCATGAGAGTTGTTTGAAGCATGTCTCAGTGTTAAAATAAATTCTCATTATCTGGGGAAACACTGTGGACTAAAGCCGTGTTTTTCAAAAAGGGGCATTTTGAGAGAATAAAAGAGGGCTCTGTGGTTTTTCAAAGACTACATCCACACACACAAACTATGGCTGGGCGATATGGCCTCAAATCAATATCACGATATATTGATCAGTTCACCTTGATAACGATAAATAGATGATAACTACTCCACAAGCTGCTCACCCCCGCCCACATTAACTTGCCGCTCCAACTTTCTCTCCGTCCTCCATCTCCTCACCTGTCTTTCCCTCTTTGTTACAGACTGGATGGGGTGGAGTCACGTCTCTGACGTAGGACAGCGTCTCAAAGGGACATGAGACCATAGCCTACCTACACACATCCAAAAACAACTTTGATTTATTTTTTTGACATAGAAATTATGTCAGTTATTGTCGTAAATTTCAGTATGGTTTTTTTTTTCGGTTTATCGCCCAGCCCTAACACAAATTGATATTTTTGAATAGATTGCTTTTTCACCGTTTAAATAATAAAAACCTGTCCACACCAAGGATGTTTTTGTATATTTCTCTGTCCACACAAGAACGTAGGAATAGTCACAACTGCTCACGTAAACAGTGGGTGGTGATAATGTGCAATCAGTTGGTGATGTCAGCACCATAGAAGAATACTGCACAGTTACGAACAGAGCGTCTTCTTGAGCAAACAGCAGTTGGAAAGCACATGATGTATTGATGTACTCCTATGTAATGGTATAAGAAAGTAGAACAGCAAACTTTAATTAATTATTCATTTATATCGAACGGCATCAACAGACTTAAACATACTGGATGACAGTGAACATGAAAACTCCATTTTCCTTGTGCAAAAACAGCAGTATTAACCTCAGTTATCTCTCTTGTTATCGCTCAGGTGTGCCCCCTAAAGGTGACCCCCAATAAGACGCACAGTGTACGGTCAAGTATATTTACAGTTGTGCTCATGCTGGATGAATGCAGGACCCCAGGGCTAGCATATCTACAGCATGAAATCATCTAAAATGTGAACGCAATAATAATCAGCCGTATTTTATACTTTAGTTTTGTTTTTCTCATCTATCATAATCCGTCGTGTCACACAAACACAGTCATGATTTAGTTGTATGTTTACTACGTCGGTAACAACAGGTGCCGGTTTTAATCCCGAATGGCAGATTATTTATAAGAAAGTTGATTTGTAGTCCAAATGAAAAACGAGCACAGCTGAATATTCAGAGAAGAAACGAGAACAGAGTACAAACTGAAGTCAGAGTTTTTGTGAAAGAGGCAGAGCCAGCCTTCAGCGCTCACATGGAAGTGTTTGTTCAGACCTCTGTTTGGCTTTAAGAAGTAAATTATCAATAAATTATCAAAATTTATTTTCTTTGTAAAATTTTCTGTCTATCTAAAGTTTTTACTCATGGCTGATACTGAAACAAGTGTAGTAAAAAGTAGTAAGTTTAGTCTCAGATGGATAAACTCCACAAACCAAGGTTGTGAGGGGAAACTATTTCACTTTTTGACATCTAACTAAATCAAATCAGAGTCGACTAAGTTTGCACGCAAAGTCGAGCTTTTAAAGCACAATATGCAGAATTTAGAGGCATGCAGCAAAACAGACTTAATATAGATTAAATATAATAATTATGAGTATGTTTGAATCAGAGTTTAATCACCTGAATATAAGAATATAAACTTAAATCAAGTCCTCTTAATTTATATAAAGAAAACATGTTTCTGACATGTTTCTACTGTAGCTCAGAATAGACAAACTAGTACTATTCCTCTTTGTATTTGATAAGTTTCCTTATGAAATGCACTGGTCGGAGGATGGAGAAGAGAGTGGTTGATGTCAGATGAAGTCCCAAAAGCTTTCAAAATACAATAATTCATATTGATTAATGTTTTTGTGGGTAAAAACGTGATAATTATCAAACATCACTCCAGCTTATTTTCCATGAGGACCATTGTTGCTTTACTGACAGGAGGGGTGAGCAAGGGAGCACTTCTGTTCATAACCTGACTGTTTAATATCATGAAATACTCCCAGATCCAAACACTTTGTATTGGAGTATAGAGACAGAAAACATCAGCATGTGTATGTTTGTCAAAGATTCTCTGAAGTTGATAAAGTTAAATGAATTTCCCAAAAACAAAAGATCTTCAGTTCATTTTCCCTCTGTGGCTTCCTACATGTGTTTGACATTGAATGAACCGTACTTGTGTTTGTATTGTGTCATCTGTGGCATTTCCTCCTCATAAACACTCTGTAGAGATTAAAGATAACCAAGTCTCACCCTCAGGCTCCTGGTGGTGGCAGCAGATGAGGCTGGAGAGGAGTCAGAAGAGATGGACTTTCGGAGGCACGGCCGATCCTTGTGCTGAGAGAGTAGAGATGACATCGCTCCTCAGCTGCTGGCCTCTGCATGCAGCTGCTGTGAGGTCCAAGGTGATAAAGTTTTCCCAAAACAAATCAGTGGAGAAAAAAGCAGATGGGTGGAGTTATGATCCAGTCATAAGAAAATCTGATGTTGCCGTAAAAATGATGTGTAACCTTCATGTGATGGTGAGAGTGGATATCTGATGAGAGTGAAAGAACTGCAGAAGTGTGAGAGCTGTAGAGGAAGTGGTGGGACTGGAGAGGAGGGAGGCGGGCTGTGTGTGTGTGTGTGTGTGTGTGTGTAGACACAAGGATCTGACAGCAGTATTGTTCATAAGGGCTCCCCTCAGGGTCACTCAACAAAAAACAGACAAACTAAAGCAGCGTGGGATTCATTAATGAAGCTCTGAGGGGGGGAGGTTACTGTACATGTACATTGTTCACTTTATGTTAATATCTAATGACGTGTGTGTGTGTGTGTGTGTGTGTTTCAAAATAAAGCAATGTTAATTTTATATCTATTTTTTCAGGACTTGTGTGTTTCAAGTATGTGGGTCTGGTTTTGAGTGTATTTATAACTGTTTTAACTGTTGTTTAATTTTTGTTTTACTTATTTTATTAGAAAATGGTCTGAGTGGGTCCTCCCTGCAAAGATTAAAAAACACCTTTAAAGCTCCTGAGAGGGATTTTTGATACATGATGGTTCTGGCGCCCCCTTTGGACAAAGTAGAAGGGGAGACTGGGGTAAGATGAGCCGTTTTTCACATCAAGTCAGTCCTAGTTTTGTCTCTAACTCGTGTATCTGCAGATATTTCAGGATGTTGTTCATCCCTGCAAACGAACAGAATGAGTGTAAACAGAACTGTCATCTTCACAATATAGCAGGACAAAAAAAGTGGTCTCCTATGGTCAACTTACCCCGTGTGTGGGGTAAGTTGACTGTAGGAGCGGGGTAAGTTGAGCCGTATCCCTACTACCCCCCCACCCCCCAGCCCTCCCTCACCTTCTCTCTCCCTAAATAACAGTCACTTCTTCACATTCATATGTATTTTATATCTATTATACACTATTCAAATGGTACATTATTTTTAATTATTATTGCATATATAACTGATAAAAAGTGAAAAATGTTGTTTTGTAAATAAATGTCTAACCCCTTCACCCATGTGCTTCTAACCTTCACAGACTCCGTGAATTGATGACCATCTCCTAAATATTTGGTCAACTTACCCTTTGGCTCATCTTACCCCAGTCTCCCCTACCTCTTGTCTCTCGTTGTGAAAGCAATATTTTCAATCAAAACCCCCATCCTCTCGTCTTTTAACAGTAAAATTATCACTTAATGTGAGTGGGAAGAGTAAGAAATGTTTTTTCAGTCTTCTGTCAGTCATCTAGTCTGACACCCACCCCCTCACAGAAGTTTCAGGTATTAAAAATAACAACACAGACACGATCAGTCAGCTTGTAAATGTTCATAAAGAGGCATCAGTGTCAGTTTCAGTCTGTTTCTCTACCAGTAAAAACTCCAGGGTTCAGCTGTCTCTGAAGAAGATTCAAGGCCTGTCCAGAAACAAGCATTAACAGTCACCTTATTACCTTTTTAAAAAGGGGAAATGAGGCCTTTCAATAATGACCAAGGCCTCAGCTGAAACGACTTATAGAAAGTACATCTGAAAGAGGAAGTCAGACTTAAATATCTGCAAAGACAAGCAGACGAGGTCGTTTCAGGATAAGATAAGAGTCTAAATATTAAAAAAATAAAACTGGTTAGCCAGATGAACTCGAGCAGGATCTCTTAAACTTCAGGCCCTTGTGAGGAACTTTCAGAGAGTAGATTTTGGCGCCCCCTGTGGTCAAAGCGGTCAGTCTTATCTGTGCTGACTTTTCTGTATGCTGTTGATGTCTACAGTTAAAAAGATAATAGGAACTACAAAAAATGTAGTTTTTCTGTTGACATCCTTTAACACAGAAAAAAAGCAAACACCAGAGTTTTATAGTTGTCAAACTTTTAAAGGATTTCAAAAACAGGATATGACATCATATTTTTGATGATTGACATTTGCGTAAGAAGATTTCGTGGATCATTTAAGGGGTTACCCTGTTTGAGCAGAGCGTCATCACAGTGATTCTCCCACCGAACATGACTGTGTAAATGCTGGTTTCAGGAAATGGAGAAAAAACAAATTAACAAATAAAAGCATTTCGGCCTCAAGTTTGTACAATGACGGGAGGCGGAGTCACGTTGTCCATAAACAGTCTATGGTTCTGACCAAAAGGAGTTTTTGTCGTTGGTGGCTGGGCTCAGCCTTGGAAATGGGGGCAAGGTTTTGGACATCTGGTTGTTGTTCCTTCACACTGGCAGGAACCAGTTAAAGTGGTTTGGGTTTTTGATAAGGATGTCTTTAAAAGTGTTCCAGGTGTGCTCAACTACGGGCAATGCAGGAGGGATTATGCACATCCCATCTGACCCGGGGACACCATGGGATCCCAAGAAAGAGCGAGAAAGGGTTGTTCAGGAGAGAGATGTTTGGATTTGACCAACTTAGATAGACGGAGATCTAGTGTGCACTAATGATGAGAAAGTGATTATATAAGTCTGATTTTTTTACATTTGCTCTATGTGTTTTTTCCTGGTGGTTCTTCCTTCATTTTGCAAACACAGCTGTGTTGATTTCAGTCTGGATGATGTTTTTAGTTTCTTCATATTTGAACCGTAAGTGCGCTCTGACTTTGAGCAGTTTGATAATCTCCTGACAGCAGACTTGTCCATGTTTGTTATTGGTCAGAAGTTTCTTATTCTGCTTGGTTCATGTGAGCATGATCACGTTAACGCCAAGTTGATATGACAGGTTGAACATCAGCTTTGTAAAGTCTCTTCTGTCAGAGTTTAGGTAACTAAAAGATACAGGGGTGTGTGTTCAGTCAGTCCCCTCTGTATCAGGGGCCACTGCTTTCCTTTAACAGTCACTCATTGAGAATCTTAAACCTAAATAAAGCTGTGAGCTTTAATCACTTTGACTGACACCGTATCCACTGCAGCAGTTAATAGAAAAATAGAAATAATCGATCTTGCTGCTGATGGTCGGATTTGTCACATTCAGGCAGTTTTAACTTTCACAACAAGCTTCAAACTCCTCAGAGGAGCTTTAATGAAGCTGCTGGTTTGTTTTGACAGTTTAGACACCAGTAAACCTTCTGTGAATGTCTTCAGACACGACTACATTTCCATTTATTAAATGAATGCTATAGAAAATAATTGTGACTGTGAAAACCTGAACAGAAAACATTTACACGTGAAGCAGCCTGACTGTTGGAGGAACTGAGAAGTGTTTGTGGTGAAACAAACCAGGTGCCTCATTTGAAGTCTCAGCTTTCACTTTGATTCTAATTAATTCCAGCTCATGTAACAGTTGGCTTTCAGAGCGAACAGCTGTTATTTAATCACAGGAATAAATAAGAAAATTACCTTCAAATATTTTAATTCCTTCAGTGATGCTTGTTTAGTGCCTGTAGAGTTTCATGGCCGTCTTTAAATAGTTCTGGACACATGGATTTTTTTTCATCGGTCCTGTTATTCCTCATCTTTCATGCATGGCTCACAGCGTGTTTTTTTGCACATACTTGGAGTTGAAAGTAAGTAGATATGTCACAGTGTTCCTATAAAACCCAAGCAGAGATCCTTTTAATGACATAATAATGACTCTGAGTCAAACGTTGGACCCTGTGTTTTCCAAAGTTTATAAAAATTTACCAATTTATCATTTTCTCTCACGGATATTTTTGCCCTTAAATGGAATAACCTCCACCAACAATTGAACGGTAAAAGATCATTCCTATGAGGTCAATTTGCCTCTAGGAAAAGTTACCAGTTTTACAAATATACACGGCAATAACTTGTAGAGAGGAGTCTTTCATTGCAGTGAGACAGTCTGGCTCCATCTGCTGGTAGCAAATGGAACTTTGACCTTTTTACAAAAGGGCTTCATGACAAGTGATCAGCATGTACCAGAGAATCATATGTACTCACATGTACAGCATGTACACTTGCACCATAAATAACATCACAGGGAGAGAAACCACTTATGTAACTGCATTAGATTTCAGGCTGTAAGGATAGTCCTGATCAACTTCTCTGTTATATTTAGAAAAAAGCTCACATGCTCAGTCTCCTTCTCCGCTTTTGTTTCCTGTAATCTGGAGACATTCAGTGAATTAAAAAGGAATTGATTTTTAAATTTGCTGTTATAGTGTTATAAAGATTTTTATTATTATTATTTAACACAAAACTCAAAGACACCGTCTGCTCAACTTTAGCAATCGTCTATCAGGACTTAATTTCAACTGACTAGAACGCCAACAATAAGTAAAACTCTTAACGACAGGAAGAAAATTAGACAAAAAGGCAGGAATTAATTGAAGTCTTTCAATTAATTGAATTATCTTCCTGACTAATCAGTTACCTCTGCCATGGTATAAAATAAAAAGCAAAAACTGTCCATCAGTGTGTTTTCCAAAGTTCTCAGTAACGACTTAAATTTCTTGCTTTGTCTAAAACCCTCATATAATAAAATACAAACAAATAAAAAATATTCATACCCAAGAGAGTTTAAACTTGTTTTTATTAAAAACAACTGACACTTAATTTAATCTTTAAAAGTGTATAAAGATTTTTTTTCAAACATGATTTATATTCATCCTAAAATTTCAAGAATGGACATTTCAAGACACAATCTATTTGTATGAAAATCAATGGAATAAAAGGTGAATTTTTAGTGACCGTCAGTCAAAGCGGCATGTAAAAATGGTTCAGATTGTCTCCATGACTTAAAAAATAAGAGTCTTTAAACTATGAAGCACTTTGGAAGAGTCACTCCTCCTCCTTATCCTCGTCCATGAAGACTTCACTACTTGATTCAGCCGATTGTTCCTCTACATTCTCCCACCAGGACACAACTTCTCCCTCAGATTCTTCTGTTTCTAAAGAGTTGTCCAAAATATCATAGTCCACCATTTCTACTATGACCTCCTCTTCTACTGGCTCCACCTCTTCCTCCTTCTCCTCTTCATCCTCCTCCTCCTCTTCCTCCTCCTCACTCTGTCTCGTTGATTCCTCTTCTTCTTCTTCCTCCTCCTCCTCCTCGTCCTCATCCTCTTCCTCCTCCTCACTCTGTCTCGTTGATTCCTCTTCCTCCTCCTCACTCTGTCTCGTTGATTCCTCTTCTTCCTCCTCCTCCTCCTCCTCCTCACTCTGTCTCGTTGATTCCTCTTCCTCCTCCTCTTCCTCCTCCTCACTCTGTCTCGTTGATTCCTCTTCTTCTTCCTCCTCTGGAGAAATTTCCTTCACTTCTTCTGTTCTCTCCTCTTCCTCCTGGTCCTCTTCAACATCCCTCACCACCTCCTGCTCCAGAGACAGTCCTTCCTGGTTCTCCTCTGACTCCTCCTCTCCTCCATCTGCTGCTTCCTGCTGCTCAGCATCTTCTGGGTTCTTCTGAACTTCAGTGGCATTTGGTGCTGCTGTGGAGACGAGTTCCTCTTCTTCAACTCTCTCTGCCTCTGACTTCGGTTTTGGCAACAAAGGAGCATGCGCCAACTAAGATGAAAAAATATATATTTTATCATTCACTCGTATGGATGTCTGAAGCATCACCTAGAACACCAGTGTACCATGTCCTTAAATACTTTAAAATAATCAGGTACCTGCTTGTGGAAAGTCTGCAGTTGAGCCATGACGCTGCTGTGGAGAGTTTGTGAAGTAAAATACTGCTCGTCTAAAGTCATCTGCACAGCGTGGACTATCTGCTGTAACGCCTGGGCTCGTAAGGCCTTCTCAGCCTTTATAAGATTCCTGAAAAACACAAAAGCATACACAGGATTTAAATCAATTTTCTGTAAAGTAACCAACTCCATCCAGATATGCAGAGAAACATGTGAAAATCAAGCTGGACTTACTTTATCGCAGCAATCTCCTGGTTGTTTTTTTGAAGAGCAGCTTCATGAAGGTGCATAGACTCTTTCAGTTCATCCAGCTCTGACGCTTTTCCTTGAATCTTGGCATTAAGAGCTTCCACTGAAGCAACCTGCTGCTCGACTCCGGAGCATTTGGCGGCTACAGCATCTGTCAGCCCTGCCATGTTTTCAGAGAGTGCAGTATTTCTGCTCAAACCAGCAACAACGCTTTCCTTGATCATCTCAAACTCCTCACTTTGGTTCTTGAACAAGGCTTGAAGAGTCGTGACAGAGAATGATACTTGGTTCATTTCAGCCAATCGGGTGTCCATCTCATCATGAAGGTCCAAAGTCTGTGAGAAGAGATCTGAGTTCTTCAGCCTCTCTGATGCGGCCTGGGCGACCTCAGCCTCCTCCTGTGCCTGTTTGTGAGCCTTCTCCAGGGCGAAGATCCTCTGCTCCACATTCAAACCTGAATCAGTCTGCAAAGAAAGACAAATTTAAGCCGTGATTTCTGACAGTTTTCAGGCATGGACTTGGATGTCATATTGCTGTAGAAGGCAGGTTGTGCAAAGCAGAAATATGACACCATAACAAAAAAATTTCAACTGTGAGAAAATGTTGTTCATGAGTTGGAGTATAGGGCCACGCAACCAAAAAGTATCAAAACATGGTATAAAAAAAAAGGGTTGGATTTTCTTTTTAACTTTCTCCTCAATGTGATAATAACCAGGGCCTGAATTTTCAGTTAGACACACAAGTATTTTATATAATTTGTCATTTTCTTCATCACATTTCTTACTTAAATTAATATTAGAATTCATACCTCATTTAAATTGCCATGCAAACCTCCTTATAGTGCTGTGAAATTGCAGAAATAGTAAAATCAGTGTTAAAATTATTTTATTTACAACTTTAAATGAAGCCTTCAAGTCTCTATTATTATTTAATAGTAACCTTTAAGTGTGTAAAGGTTTCTGAAACGTGACCATGATATGAGCTGTTCAAAGAGGGGACAGGCCACAAAAACAACAGGTGTCACTATAAATATCAAGTGCACTACTTTGACACGTGTTACAATCTTGGCTTTTCAAAGTAAATCCCACTGAGCAGCAATTTTATTAACAATATCTTACAAATGACATTACCTCAAAGTGGTATAAATAACTTTTTTATAAACATTAATTTATATTCATAATATTTCTCACAGGCAGTCCCCTTGTCTAAAAAACAGGAAATGGATTACCATTATCGTCAGAAAACGTTTTGTTTGGAGGGCTCGGGGCAGCAGGTGTTCTGTAGAACAATGCTACCTGCCCAGATGCGTTACAAAGCGGGTGAATTTGCGCATGCGTCACATATACCGCCAAAAATTTAATCCTTTTTTTCCTAATATCACGGTCAGGTATCTCTCAAAATGTATAACAGAATATCAAATGTGTCATCTGAGAATAAAAATAGAGTTATTCTAGTAAGTAATATGAAGTAGTACTGTAGAGGAAGCTTGTTTGATAAGGGATATTGATACCTCCCGCTGACCTTCCGCGCTACGGTAGCATTTTAAGCCAAAACACCACAACTCGGGAGGACGCCGGTGTTCCCCAAAAGCAGTTACCCTCCTGCAAGTCTGATTTTACCCGAAAGAGACCCAGTAATGAACTAATTTCACCCATGTTAACCATAAAACAAACCTTAAGTAGATCTTGTATGTGTAAAAGTTTATAAACTTTGACCAGCCCGGTAGAAACCGACGGTGAGAAAGTTAGCTAGCTAACTCGGTGAACTTACCTGCTCGCCTGTTGAGTCCATTACCTGCTGGAGGTTCGTGATTCTCCTTTGGATTGTAGTAAAAGACTCCGTCAGTTGGTCGATACTTTGCTGCTGTTGTACATAAAACCACCCCATTATGCTGACACCGACCACGAAGACAATAATGAACAACAATGCTGAAGAAATTAAGGAGTTTATCACTCTTTTGGACGGCGGGGCCGAAGGCTCTAGTAAAATGGAGGTGTCATCGAGCTGCGGCTTCTTCGCCTTCCGCCGGGCCATGGCTGCAGGAACAGGGAGAGGGGCAGTGGACGGACTGGAGGAGGTAGGGGTTCTCAGGGAGTGGGATTCAGCAAAGTGTGCCCTCTTGTCTTGTTTTACTTAAGATATCACGTCGTGTATTTGCTGCCTTTGCCCTAGTCAGTCATTGGACCCCCATGATATTCACAGCAGAGGTGGGGGGGCGTGACAGCACATTATGTAACTACAGCTCTGGTGAGTGGCTCTGATCCACTGAAACACTAGTGAGTAAATACTCAACTGAGTCCATCATAACACTATGAAATTAAAGAAAATGAAATTCGTAAGAAATAAAACAACAAGAGCAGCAAGGTGCAGACAGTATTAATGTGGCTTTAGAGACCAAATAGTAAAAGTTTTATTTTAAATGGTTATTAATAAGGACCAGAAAGAGAGATCACATTACACTGATTTTAAGGTCTCTGCATTAGTCACCCGTCTCTTTTAAAATAGATTTTAAGGTTGTTTTATTGGTTTTTAGGGCTCTTAATTGCTTTGGCTCATCTTATTTAACTTATAAGCCAGGTAGAGTCCTCAGGTCTTCAGGCAGTTCTCTGTAAACATTACCTAAAGTTAATACAAAGATATATGGTGAGGCATCTTTTTATTACTATGACCCCCGTCTACGATACAGCTTACCTGAAGACCTGAGGACTGCTCCTAATCTTAACGACTTTAAAACCAAACCCGAAACATACCTTTTCGTCTTGTTTTTAACTAAAGTTTATATCATTAACTTAAAGTGTTTTAGCATTTATCCCTTTCTAGTTTTAATGACAGGATCGTCTTTTAATGAGGTATTATGTTGCTCTTATTTTAGTATCTTTAACTGTTGCTTTTATTTCATTTTATTTATTATTTCTTAAATTTCATTCCATGTTTCTTTGTTTTTAGATTTTAACCTAACCTCCAGTGTTTCCTTATCTTGAGTTTTAAAAAAATGTTTCCTCAGTGCGCATATTCCTGTTTCCATCAAGTTCATGCATTTTAATTCTGTTTCTGTTGCATTTAGATCATGGGGTGGGAATGAGGGGTTGGGCTGGGGTAGATTTGGGTGTTCTTTGTATCTTTATTGATGAATGATGTATTTCAATTAGTAAAACATTATCTAATACTCCTTTTTAGAGTGTTAAATGTGTAGCATGGTTATTTTAGAGTTAGGGAGACAAACTTTAAAATAAAATGTGTTACTGTGTGTATCAGAAGTTCCTGAGTCATTTGAATACTCTGGAAAGCCTGTATGCACAGGAATGTAAACATGGATACACTAGATTTAGGCGCTTTGTTTTCCCTCTAAAACTCAAGTGAAGTGGTGATAAAAGAGTAAAAATCTGGTGCAAATCCACAATGTTATCTGCAGTTTAATTTAACCCTAACGAGTGGTTATTTGACTTACTGTTGCCTTTCTATCACATTTAATCTGTCATCCTGCACACTGGACATTTCTCTTTTTCAGACCATTCTCTGGTTGTGAGTTAAAATCCCAGCAGATCAGCAGTTTCTGAAATACCGGCCCATCGGGCTCCAGCAGTGTTCAAAGTCACTTAAATCCCCTTTCTTTGGGGAATTTTCTCTACAAACCTAAGATCATTCTTTTTTTTTTTTTTACTCCATTACAGCTGATGTGCACCCTTCCCTGGTTCCAGCATGGCGTTTATGATAATGGCGTTCTCCAGGTGAGAGATTTAACTGTTTGGAGCATTTATTTTAGTCTCACTGCCTGCACTACAAAATGCACTACAACAAATCAGCCCAATTAAAGGAGCACTTTTTCTGTTTTTTCTTTACTGAGGCACCAGATTGCAATCAGTTTAGAGTCTAATTAGCATAACCCTGAAATCTGTCTGCTTTCCTTTCCTTCCCTTTCCTTTTTTAAATCCTGTGTGACTTCTGTGTCTGTCCAGGGCCCTGCAGGATTATGTCCCTCAATGGACACTGAAGGAGCTAATTAGGAAAAACGGCAAAGAGCTTCAAACTCTAAAGGACATGGCATTTCTCAAGGTAAGAACTCAAGCAGGAGGAGGTTTGGTATATACAAATGTCAGGAACCGGCCTCAGACTTAGACTGGAACAGAGTTATTTCTGAATAAGCCTCGTTAGAGCAGTGCATTAGAATATAATCTGACTGATGCATAGACAGTAAAAACCACAGTTCACTGGGCTGTGTTTGAGCACTTTAATACACGGCACTAAAAATGTCAGCATCTCTGTCACACTAGAACAGCCTCAGTGTACTTTAAAAGAGAAGTAAGTCAAACATTTTAAAAAGGAACAGGAAGTTAAAACAAAGATACTTAAAAACAGACAGTGCTGTCTCTGCACAGTAATTTAAGACTTAGGAAAATAATAGTGCTTTATGTCACACAAAGTGCAACAAGATTAAACTACTAACATTCCTACATGATATATCTTGTTGTCAAAGCTGTGCGTCACTCTAAGGGCTTCAATAAGATTTTATTGTTTGATAAAATAGCGAGGACTTCGATGGTTCAGTCTTGGTTCAGGTGTCGTAGACGTTCTTCATTCTGTAAAATAAATATAAATATAACTGTACACACTCATATATATGTATATATGCACACAGTTGTTATACCGGATATTTATTGCCTTAAAATGTCTTAGACTCTCTGTGTTTCACCTCTGACATGCAGTGTCATTGAAGACTCAGCTGTCCCGAGTTTGTTCTCAATGAAGACTTTGTACTCCCCGTAGTCTTTGGGCGTCACCCTCAGTATCATCATTGAGCACACGCCGCAAACATTCGTGATGTGGTAGTTTGCGTTTGTGTTCAGGCTGATATTATTGCGATACCACGTCACACGTGGCGTAGGATCGCCCTTAATTGCACAGCTCATGTGGCACTCATAACCCTTAGGAGCTGTGCGCATCTTGAGGGGAACGATAAACGATGCAGGCGACTGGAAGTCGAAGCTCTTGGACTCGGGCATTTTTACCTGGAAGTTATCTAAAACACAAGAAATGCAATATTTAGGGGGTATAAAAGTTAAAATACAGAGGTCTTATAAGCACATGCTGTATCAGGGACAGGAGCAGATTTATCTAAATAGATGTAAATCAGACAGATTTGATCAAAAAGGGACCAACCTTTTTCCTTCTTGGTTTCAAACACTGGAGATACAGAGGGTGGAGACAGACCCATGTCATTTTTGGCAAACACTCTAAAGTTGTACACTCGTCCAGGTATGATGTTGACGATTGTGAATTTATTATTAAAGAGGTTGTCTGCAGCTATTCTCCAAGTGGGTTTGAAGGAGTCACGCTTTGAGACCATGTAGTGAAGTCGGTCGTCCCTCTTCTCATCTGGAGAGGGGGTCCAGGAGAGAGTCACTGTTCCTAGGATGTTCTCCAACAGCTCCACTGGACCAGGAGGCTTGGGATCATCTGTAGCCATGTTTGAAACAGAGACAGGGACACAGGTTGTTGTTTTTTCAGGGTTAGTTTAACTCTTACCATATATTGAGCCAAGCCAAGAGGAAACATATCGATAAAGCCAGAAAAAAAATGCTGTAAAGCTGTATTTAGGATACCTTTTTACTGCTATAATTCTCAGAGGGTTGTAGTTTGGAGTACTATGATTTACCTGTAACTCTTATTTCAACATTAAAGCTCTCCTGGCCTACAATGTTCTTCACATTTATGGTGTAGATGCCGGTGTCGGACCGCTCAGATGTGGGGATTAACAGCTGAGAGCCCTTGTCAGAGTTGGTAATTGTCACATGCTTGGGTACGGGAACGCCATCTTTTAGCCAAGAGATGTCTGGGAGGGGTGAGGCCTGTGGGTAAAGAGTGAAAAATAGATGGAGTTGTTGTTGTAATGATTTTTACAGAAGTCCTGGCTTAAATGCTCAGATTTAGAAAGTAATTGTTCTTCAATTAACCTCATTGTAAGGATGTAACAGTACCAAAATCTCACAGTATTTCTATAGCTGTGACCAGATGAGTGAAAAGCACTGCGCCTGTTTGTGGCTCTGTGTAGCTCCAGCTTTTGTCTTCAGTTCTTGTGATTTCTTGAGCTCTTGCCCTATTATTTGGAGCTGAGGCTGTAAACACCAGAGTCTTGTAGCCGTGGCTTTATTTGTTTTCTTTGCATTTTCTCTCTAACTTTTATGAGTTAAGATTTGCCTGATGTGGCCTCTTATATTACTGGTATTTCCTGATATGGAGGTCACTGCAGTCTGGCAGTCTCTTTCAGATTTTAAAGCAGAAGAGGAAGCATATAAAATTTCAGAATCTCCTTTCTGCTACTTATCTGGGAAATGCAGAGGGCAAAGACGATGGTCTTTGTAACTCCCATTACCCACCGCTCTTTGCTTGGAAGATCTCTTGTTTCATTCTGATACAGGTTCCTGACACTGTTTCCCCCCTGGGATACCGTAAAATTCACAATACTGCTACATCTCTACCAAGTAGGAGAAATATTGTCGGTGCGTTACCTCAAAGTTGATGTTCAGGCGAACAGTGTTCCCAGATTTGACCACCACGAAGGTCTTCATGTTGCGGTCCTTAAATCGTGGCTTTACTGTGTATGAAAAATTAAAAAGACAGTGTTTGGATCCTTCTATATGTTGTACTTATCATTGTACAGTATGTAAAGATAATAATAATAATACATTTCATTCATAAATGCCTTTCTAAACACTCAAGGTCACTTTACAGAGTAAAAACAGCAGCAAGAAGTAAAGTAAGATAAGATAAAATAAACATAAAAATATGACAAGGTAAATTACAAAGAATGGGTTGATCTGAACAGGTGGGTTTTGAGTCTGGATATGTGATAATTTTAATTTTTTTTGTACTATTTTGTGAGCTCATTCTTACTTTAATAAGGATTACTGCATGTAGAAATTATGGCCAAAACTGTACATAAATAGTCACTCTGCTAAAATTTCATTCATTTGATGTTTTATCCAGTTTTTAAAATACTGTAGCTCGTCTAAAGGGTCAGTTTACTAGTTTATTTTTTATTATTATTTTACTAAAACAGTTCAAACTTGAGAAAACATTAAAGAAAATTACAGAGCAGTAGCTCAGCATTTCTGATCATTCTGGGACTATTTGAGCTTTGTGCAGATTTATCATAAAAGAATATTGTGACTTAAAACAACATTTACTGATTAAGAACAGACTTTTTTTTCCACACACAACTCAAAAGGACAAATTTCTTTATTTGAGTTTTAAATTTCTCACCAGGAGGAGGCATGGCGATGAAGTAATTGTCAAAGCCCTGAGGCTCTCCATCCCCTCCATAATTGGTGGCGATTACTCTCACCCAGTATGTGGCCATTGCTTTCAAGCCGAGCACAGTGTAGGAAGTCAGAGTAGTTGGGGCAGCATTACAGCGAGTCCAGTCGAGGTTTTCTATTGGTCTGATCTCTGTGAAGTACCCGTGGGCTTCATCCTCCACACCTTTAATTTCTTTTGGTTTAGTCCAAGCCAGAGACAGTGAGGTGTAATCGGAGGACGTTAATTTCAGGTCTGTGACTTTGCCTGGAGGTTCTGAAATTATAACAAGGAGTTATAAGCCTGGTGTTGCTGTGCTTTGATATTACAAACAAGCTACAGACACTCTAACATTACCTTTCATTAGCCTTTTCAGTGAAGACAGTTAAGGTGGAATATAAAAGATAGATGTAACTGCTGTACTTACTCATTGGATCTCTGGCAATTACTGTGTCACATGGGATACTAGGATCTCCAGCACCAGACAAATTGATAGCAGACACCCTAAATTCATACGCTGCACCTTCAAAAACATCCTTGACTGCGTACTTAGTATCTGTGAAGAAAGGAAACATGGTTATGTTTACAACACTGCAAATTATAGTCTATTACTGCCGCTGAATACCTGTGATAGGCCCTCCTTGGTTCACAAGACTCCAGTAATTGGTGCCTTTTTTGTTCTTTTCCAAATTGTAACCCACTATCTTGGTACCCCCGGTGTCACAGGGAGGAGACCATGACAGGTTGATGCAGTCTTTAAAGGCACTGACCACTTTAGGTGCTGATGGGGCTCCAGGGTATCCTTTAGAAGAGAAACATAAATCAAAGTATGGTTGGGTATGATTAAGGCTGGGCAATTTGGCCAAAAAAATGATCACAATATATTTTGTCATATCGTCTGATCTCGATTATTATCACAAATGAAAATAAATAAATAAATAAATAAATAAACTGCCAGTTTTAAAGCTTCTGTCCTAAAAACTCAAGAAACTCCAGATTAGTTCAACATTTTTATTAACATACAGAGTAAATAAAGCAAATTAAATAAGACCAACACAGGAAAAAAAATTACAGTCCAACAAATGTAGATAAATACTAAATAATACAGTGAACTAGTTTAGAGTCCTGAGTAGGGCTGGGCGATAAGCCAAAAATTTACTGATACCGAAATTTACGACAATAACAGACGTCATTGCCCACATCGGTATATTCAATGTTAAACAAAAAAAAAATTAGGATTATTTATTGTCCATTTATCGTTATCGAGGTGAACTGATCAATATATCGTGATATTGATTTGAGGCCATATCGCCCAGCCGTAATACCAACTATTACACCTTGAGCCTCAGAGGCTTTAATTAAAGTCTTACGTAGGACACCAGCTGGTATGTCTTCTGTCTGAAGGTAGTCGCTGATGCCCTCTGCGTTTTTGGCTCTGATACGATAGCAGTATCTCCTTCCTGGAGTTACATCTGTGTCTTTGTAACTCGGGTCGATACCGGAGATCTCGCCTAGGTTTGACCATTTGTTGCGCCCGACCTGTTGACGTTCTATGATATAGTTAGTGACCGGGCATCCACCATTATCTTTTGGCGGTTTCCATTTGAATTCAACAGATGTAATCGCACTCTCCATAATGTCCACAGGCCCTTGTGGTGGAGTTGGTTTATCTGTAGAAAAGAAGAAAATAACTTAAAACTAATGCAAAAGATTAACTGAATAAATAAATTTGTGATTTGGGGAAAACCTCTCTTCACTTACCCAGAACAATAAGTTTGGAAGTTGCCTCCAGTGTACCAAATTCATTTTTTATTTTGATTTTGACCTCTCCGCTGTCTTTTCTTTGGCACTTGGTCAGGCGAAGTCGGCTCTTTGTATCAGAGGTTTCTATCTTAACATTGAGGGCCGGTAAAAGCTCATCATCATCCTTGTACCACTGAATATTCATCGGCGCCCCGCCTGAGAAAGGCAGCTTCCACTCTGCAGTTTCCCCCGCCTTTATGATGACCGGCTTTGAGAATTCACCCAGCGCTTCTGCGTCGAACTTTGGGGGCTCTAAAATAAAAAAATAAAAAATTTCAGACACTGAAATTTTCAGACTATCGTTATTTCATAAAAAATCAAAGTATTGCTCTTCACCTTGAATATTGAGGGTTGCTTCTGATTTGCGTCCTTCAGCTTCAAAGCGGTAGACTGCGCCGTCGTCTTTGTTACAGCAGTCAATAATCAACTTGTGGCAAGCTCCATCTTTGATAATAGTTACCCCATCCTCTTTGGTTAGCTTTCAAGATAAGAATGTTTAATTAAAAACATAAAATGCACTTTAATCCTCGCTTGAATCGGCCTTTTGCATTTTGATCAGTCAATGAAAGAAAAACTCATGGAGGCGGTCCTTTATTCTTGATTGACTTACCAGCTTTCCATTTTTATACCAACAGCCTTCGGAGGTTTCGCTGCTGAGTTTGCAGGACAGCTCGGCCCGTTCGCCCACATTAGCCACCGTATCTGAAAGCCCACTAACAAACCGAACACCAGAATCTGTTGAAGAGCAAAGAGGATGTTTAGAGATAACTTAGTGTATTGAATTTAAACATTTGTTCCCTGTGATTCATCTGTGATTGAAACCAGTGCATCATTCCAGTATTCAGTTTGATGCAGTTGAACAGTGTGGGGCAATCTGAGCAAAGAGAGGAAATTAAGGCAGGGCAGTCAGTTAACATGCAGTCTTTCAGATAGTACATTCAATCAATCCCTGTTTCTCTGTTGTTTTGCTATAATTTGCTTTACTGTGTGTCCCCCTCTAGTGGACAGTGTGAAAGACTACAGAAAATGATTTAGAGTTTGGAAATATGTCAATAAGCTACATGATCCTGTAATGATCATTTTCATCCCAAAATTTGACTGCACATGTTTCCCTTTAATTATTAATGAAGGGTATATGTATTAGCAGACACATTCAAGTCTTTAATTGTGAAACGATATCAGTCCTTTAGTACTGCAGTAACTTTTCATCAGTTTTACCCGTGGCAGCTTCAGGAACCAAAGGGCCCGTTCGAAGTCGCCTCTTTTTCTTGTCATCTTCTCCATCCTTTTTATCATCATCTTTTCCATCTGTCAGGTCCTTATTATCCTTTCCTTCCCCGTCACCCTCATCTCCATCAGTCTTGTCGGCAGACCCATCGTCAGCAGCAGCTGGTCTCGCTGCTTCCAAGTCCTCTTTCTCCTTTTGTAGCTTGGACAGGTCATCTTGGTCCCCAGTTTGTTTGCCTTTACGACCTTTGCCTCCAGTTGGATCAGCTGAGTTACGAGGACAAGAGTGAAAGAAGTGATATAATTTATTCTGATTATTATTGTGTTGATGCCTTGTTTTGTAATCCTCAATCATTATTTTTCATAATGATCTCAGGTATCAAACCATCCAGATTACATAAATATTTGACAAGTTGGTATGTATTCTACGGAAGCATATTTCATTCACTCAGAAAAAAAACAAACAAAAAAAACCCTGTTTTTCAGAGTAATTTTTTCTGTTATTCAGACAATTTTTTTCTGTTTTTCAGAGTTTTTTTTTCCTGTTTTCAGACTATTTTTTTTCTTTTTCAGTTATTTTTTCCCCCTCTTTTTTACAGACTATTTTTTTTTTGTTTTAAAAGCAATTTTTTAATGCTTTTCGGATTAATTTTTTTCTGGTTTTTTTTTCAGAATATTTTTTTTTCTGTTTTTTTGGAGTAATTTTTTTTCTACTTTTCTGACTAAATTTTTTTTTAGGGTTTTGGAGTTTTTTTTGGACCCATTTTTTTGGACTAATTTTCTGTTTTTCAGACTTTTTTAAAATTTGTTCTTCAGACTAATTGTTTTTTTTCTATAGACTGGGGTCATGAAAAACATTTAAAACTTTCATTAGATGCTTTCATCCCGCTTTGCTTGATTTATTGGAAGCAAACAGAAAGAAAAAAAAATTAGTCTGGAAAACAGCAAAAAAAAAAATCAAAAAACTTTCTCGTTTTTTTTTTTTTTTTTTTTTTTTTGTAAGTGAATGCGATAGGCTTTGGTAATCTTCCACCATGAAACCCACGTTCCACTGTTAGTGAGGCACTGCTGGAGGTTATCCCTGCGATGGCATGATATGTTCCTTTGTCTGCCAGTCCACAGTCTTTCACTCTCAGTGTGTGCGTTAGTTTGTCCTCTGAGACAGTCATCTCATATTTGTCCCCTTCTTCAAGTGAGGAGTCTTGTGTCGACCAAGTAATTCTGTTCAGCGGTGTGGACAGGACGCACTGAAAGATTGCGTCCTCATTTTCGATGACTTTGGCATCCTTTATTTTTGTCGTGAACTCCACAGAAGGCACTACGAGAGAAGAAATGGTTGGATCACTCATTATCTCTTGGATTGCGTCATGTTAATCTGTATTGTTAAAGCAGCAATAGTCATATCTCACCTTGCAAGTCAGTTGCGAGTACATTTGCGTCTTCAACATCAACCTGGTAAAACCCAGCGTCCTCTGGCTGAGGATCCTTGATGCTGAAAATGTACTTTGTGCCGACTTTCCGTAGACTGTGTTTCGAATTTTCGTCATCCCCGTATGGAACACTTTTCCCATCCTTGAACAAGTAAAGCAAGTATATGAGAAGATCTGATTTCATTATTTTCAGTAAGTTACCTTTGAGCTCATCTCACCTTAAACAGATGAATCTGACTGTTGGGATCACACAGTTTCATGTCCAGGCTAAATTCAGCTCGTCCGTTGGGTTTGAATTCTATTTGTTTCACATTTTCCAGCTTCTCCACAACCTATGAAAGAAATAATGATTTCTTGTTATTAACTCAAATTAAGCTATAAATGACAACAAGACTTTAAAAAAAGCTTGGTGGCTTGAATTTTACAACTATAAGAGGATAGAGTAGCAGAACAAGACAAATATGGAGGACCAAGTTATTTTTGAAAGTCAGCTGTAACCTGGTGATTTATTTGTTTTGAAAGTTTCACTGTTAATGAATGAGAATATTTAAAAACAAATAAAACAGTATTTTAATTAAAGATCAAGGGATAATGATGCATTTTAACTCCAGTATGATAATGATACATGGTCGGTGATATGATAACTGGTGATTTTTGATCAATAAAATGATCTATGATTCAATGACTAGAAATGGATGCATTCATAAAATGGACAGTGCAGATAAGGTCAGGGTTATTAGTGTTATCTCTTACTAGGGCAGAGCTGTCATTAATATTTCACTCCCAGTGTATTATTCAGAAAAATGCCAGCGGTATCGATCATTTCATGGGATGTGGAATTCTCAACCATATTGTATGTTTGCATAACCTTACAGATAAAAATATCAACAGACACTATGACAACTTTAGCCCTTAGGGGATCAGAGTAAAATCCTGGTCATACTCGAGGATCTCTCTGGATTTGCTTGCTCTGCTGTTGCTGTTGCTATGGGAAACGACAACTGTAACATGTCCACATTTGAGATCTGAAACTATCCTTTTAGCTTTCATAGTGCTGCTGGTACATGCCCAAAACTTCACTGAATGGCAGGCGGACACAGAGGGGTCCACAGGTACAAACAGAGAACTCAAACTGATTCATTGATTCCATTGATTAATTGTGTAGACCTATTCGAGACACATGTACTTGTCAGTCATTGGCGACTTCCTGTACCTTTGCCTGCTCATCTTCTCTCTCCTTCTTCATCTGGTTAAGTCTCTTTAACATCCAGCGGAAATCAGTCACACCGAAATCAAAACAAATTTTTTCATAGTTCTTCTTTGGTGCGGATAAAAGCAATTCCCAAAGCTTAGGATCGATTTCTCCTTCTTTTTTCGGGGGTAGTTGTTTCTTCCTGGTGACTACAACTCTGGAAAAATAAGAATAAAAAGTAGAAAGTATTTGGATAAAACTGAGAGATAGGAGGAAGTGCTGGATGAGTAGAACTTACGTTTTCTTAAGCATAGATCTGAAATCCTGTGTTTCTTGTCCATCTGCCAGAAACAGAGATAAAGTCAGTATAGATTTCCTCAGTGCCAAGTTATTTCACTTTTATACTGTTATCAGCTCTGAAGCTGGTCTAATTCGCTTGAGTCTTGGTTTATGTTTGATTGATTTCTGCTAAGGTTTAAAAGTAGAACAGAATAAAACACCATCGTAAAGTCATGGTGATCCTTAAAAGCAAGGTAGACATTATTCATGACGAAGAAAAATGAAAAACGGACGCACCTTTTTTCTTGGCGCCAACTGAAAAACATTGGTACAAAAGTATCACATCAAAGTGTAAGTGAAAAACCAACAGTCTGTGATTAATGACAATCTGCTCCTCTTCATGCACATTTGACATATTGTGTCTACTAATCTGTCTTTTACCTTGAACTACTTTGAGAGTTGCTGAGCAGACAGCCTGTCCAAACTCGTTGGTGACAAAGCATTTGTAGACGTCCGCTTCCTCTGTAGTTACATTGAACACCTGAAAGAGATGAATCGTCCTAAACTCGTAGAAGAGTACTATGAAATACTTTGGAACTACTGCAACGGCTAAAATACTGAACTTCGGTGCACCTCAATTGTTCATCATTGAGTCGTAATCGCTATCGCTGTATAAGGTGTACATTATTGTGTTTTTTTTTTAGCCATGCTTCCTACCTCCATAATGTGCTCTAGTGATCTTTCATCATATCTTATTTTATACTTTTCTTGGTCAGTCATCTCGCCCTTACTACGCTCCCATGTCACAGTTGGTTCTGGATCGCCACTAACCATCGCCTTGAAAAGTGCTTTTTTACCTGAAAATGAAGATACACTGGGTGAAACAGTGACACATAAATACTGCAGATTGTATTTACTTGTATACCCTTGGAATTAATCTACCTTCTTGAACAGTTGTAGCCATTGGTTTCCTGGTGAAGTCAGGTGTTGACTTCCCCAAAGGTAATCGCTCCAGATACTGAGTGATTGTAACTCCGGGAACTCTGGACCTTTTCTTGATAGCCACTGTAAAGACGGAAACGGGACAGTCAGTCTGAACTGAGTGATGAAATCAAAGAAAACAAAAATATAATAAATGCTTTTAGAGTCATTTTTTTATTCACTGTGGAATACTTTTTGCAGTTCATACTATTAAAATACCCCTGAGCAAAAGGGTGTATTACACTGTGTTTCACAGTATCAGTGAATGCGAGGCAACAGAATCATTCTTTTCAGAATAAATTAGCAGAATTCTTTTTTATAGATACCCCCCAAACTATGTATATACATTCCTTTCAAAGTCAATATTTTCTTTGTAAACCATATCACCCTTATTTTCATCTTATGGTAAAGAAGATGTCATGTTAAACTCAGCTCTGTCAAAACTTTGAAAATCCTATTTTTGTTCATCTAGATATTGAGTTATACATTACTTTTATTAGGGGGTGTACTGACTCATGCTGGGCACTATATATGTATGTATGTATGTATGTATTTTATATGACCTCAACCTGTTATGTAGCGATAGTAACTGTCATCACTGCGTTTGCTCTTGCTTGCAGTAATTCACAAGTTCCACAAGATGTCAGTATTTCCTTTCATTTTGCAAACTACCCCAGGCTCCACATCACAGCAAGCTCTATGTATGTGCTCAGAGAGACCTGTTTGTAATAAATGTATCCAGCTGATTTTGACTGAAGGGTAAAATATACATAACGAAAGTTTCCTAACCAACCAAGATCTGTCCAATATCATACCATTATGACCAGATTGGTAAATGTAGATTTTAAAACCGTATCAATGATCCAAAAGTCTGTGATTCCCAGGTTTAAGGTCGACCACAAAGGTTTAGGAGCAACAATGGAAAGCTCAATTTTTCAATTTTTTTTGCCACATCTTGGGTTGAATTCATAATTCACTCTGAAGTGAAATTGTAAAAGGTAGAAACATGACAATTTCTTCAACCATCTTCTTTTACCAAATCCCAGCAAGAGCACTCTGCACAAGACACGAAGTTCAACCAAACTCTACAGAAATTATGACCCCGGATTTCGACACATTTTTCTGCAGTCATCACTCATTGTTGTGACTCAGAGCTGCTTTATTCACACCACGCTTCAAACATTTCTGCTGCATAACAAAGATTGATGCTGCATGTAGTCATAACTTTATGACTTGGAGGCATCAAATGTGCCAAAAAGGCTGTGTGGTAAAATCAGATCCTGAGCCTCATAGAGCAGTTGCTGTCCTTTCAATTAGTACTACACCAAAGTTTCATAGAATAAAAACTCAGTAAATCGCAGTAAACACATTTCAAAAACTGAAATATTTTGTGCAGAAATCCTCTCACATGACTGGAGTTGTCCTTGACTGCATCGAAAAATAGTTGAATAGGCAGGAAAAATTTGTCATAAACACACAGAAAAAAAAAGAAAAGGAAAAGCCAGAAGAATAAGTAAGTAGTTCCTTTATTCAGTCGTATAACCCTCAATAAAACCACTTTGATTAATGTCAGAAAGCAACAACAAAGTGAACTTCAGAGTGAAACTAGAGCCGCCACTTACTGATAACAAATCACTTATACTGACTAACAGTTCACTCCCTGCTCATTATTTCACCACTTGCAATGTGAATTACTTTCAGATTGTCTATTCTTCATCACTTTTTCTCAGCAGCCCGCTCCAGTTAGAGGGCATATACTGCATATTCATCAAACTCAATGTGTCACCTCTCAAGGGGTTGGTTTACGCTCTTATATCATCTGAATGCAGGCAGGATTCTGGTAACCTTTTCCCTCAAGCATTGATGCTCACAATCCAGGCCTGCTAGGACAGCAAGTCAGCTATTTGCTGCTGCATACCAAACAGGAGAGCTGTTTGGTTTGGACACCGAAAAATGTATGGTTATTTAAAGCAAATAATGTTTTTCATAAGCCAAGATGAGCCACAAAAGCAAGGCCTCTTGAATGAATAGGAATGGACCCTAAAACTTTGTCTTTTATATAAACAGACGTCCATTTGAAGTCCTAAATAATTACCAGGACTTGTCAATGTGATATATTTCTTATAAACTTTACTTTGTCTTTTATAAACTCTTCAGAAATATCTTCTTTTTCTGCTATATTGTACATTCAGATAGGATTTCTGTCACCATGTAAAAAAGAGGTAATAGTCTTTGGCAGAAAAAGAACGAGAGCCCTCTACTATCCAGATACTGTAATATAAAATTCCTCAATCCTCTGCAGCTTATTACGCCCTTATTTCAGTTTCATTTTAAGCCTTGAGTAAAGTTCAAAGTTCTTCTCCCTGTTATCTCTGCAGTTATTTGTTTAGGTAAGTAAGAAATGCAAAGACCTTGTTTTTTCAGCGTATTGAAAGAGTCTAGTCATTGTTATAATGAAGTTACTCAGACTTACCTGCGGCTTTTGGGTCCGGGTTTTTCTTTGAACTCATTGCGACTTTGTTTCTTCACCGTTTAACCAGAAATTTGGTTAACTCCCTGAAACACAAAGACAGTCATTGTTAGTTAAGCCATATCAGTATGCAAAGCAGGTGTAAATGATCTTAAGGTACCTGTTATTTTTATTTTTATATCTTTGCGTGGATGACATGAATCCAACGGAAAAAAAGTAATATGACTAAACTAAAATTTGTATATTTATTCTGTAAATATAGAAAATATTATTCTTGAACCCAGGGTTTTCAAGATATGCAGGTTAAAAATGATAAGGAATCGATCAATAATGTCCCTATCTCAGTCAGATTGTCCCAAATGATATCACAGAATTCACATGACTCTACACTGAAGCTATTTTACCAAAGAGTAGAAATCATCGATGTTTCACAACATTTTTTTTTATATACAGAAAGTTCAAGTAAAGTAGGGGGGATCAGACTCTTAAACTGAGTGTATTCAAATTAAATCACTGCTCATGCTACGTAATAATTGTTGATCCATTTTAAAGTTAGTATTATTGATATTATTTACCTGAGTCAACCTTTGAGAAACAAGCAAGTTTTATTTATTTATTTTTTTAACAACAATTTGTTGATTGAATTTTCAACCATAATAAAAGAAGCGGGAAAATTAAACAATATATATATATATATATATATATATATACACATATATATATACACTCACCGGCCACTTAATTAGGTATACCTGTCCAACTGCTCGTTAACACTTAATTTCTAATCAGCCAATCACATGGCGGCAACTTAGTGCATTTAGGCATGTAGACATGGTCAAGACAATCTCCTGCAGTTCAAACCGAGCATCAGTATGGGGAAGAAAGGTGATTTGAGTGACTTTGAATGTGGCATGGTTGTTGGTGCCAGAAGGGCTGGTCTGAGTATTTCAGAAACTGCTGATCTACTGGGATTTTCACGCACAACCATCTCTAGGGTTTACAGAGAATGGTCCGAAAAAGAAAAAATATCCAGTGAGCAGCAGTTCTGTGGGCGGAAATGCCTTGTTGATGCCAGAGGTCAGAGGAGAATGGCCAGACTGGTTCGAGCTGATAGAAAGGCAACAGTGACTCAAATAACCACCCGTTACAACCAAGGTAGGCAGAAGAGCATCTCTGAACACACAGTATGTCGAACTTTGAGGCAGATGGGCTACAGCAGCAGAAGACCACACCGGGTGCCACTCCTTTCAGCTAAGAACAGGAAACTGAGGCTACAATTTGCACAAGCTCATCGAAATTGGACAATAGAAGATTGGAAAAACGTTGCCTGGTCTGATGAGTCTCGATTTCTGCTGCGACATTCGGATGGTAGGGTCAGAATTTGGCGTCAACAACATGAAAGCATGGATCCATCCTGCCTTGTATCAACGGTTCAGGCTGGTGGTGGTGGTGTCATGGTGTGGGGAATATTTTCTTGGCACTCTTTGGGCCCCTTGGTACCAATTGAGCATCGTTGCAACGCCACAGCCTACCTGAGTATTGTTGCTGACCATGTCCATCCCTTTATGACCACAATGTACCCAACTTCTGATGGCTACTTTCAGCAGGATAATGCGCCATGTCATAAAGCTGGAATCATCTCAGACTGGTTTCTTGAACATGACAATGAGTTCACTGTACTCAAATGGCCTCCACAGTCACCAGATCTCAATCCAATAGAGCATCTTTGGGATGTGGTGGAACGGGAGATTCGCATCATGGATGTGCAGCCGACAAATCTGCGGCAACTGTGTGATGCCATCATGTCAATATGGACCAAGCTCTCTGAGGAATGCTTCCAGCACCTTGTTGAATCTATGCCCCGTTACTAGCATGGTGTACCTAATAAAGTGGCCGGTGAGTGTATATATATATATATATATATATATATATATACATAAAATGTCTGTGAGAGTCAATTTTTTCCCCAAAAAACATATATAAAAACAAATTGTATGCAAATGTTTAAGGACGATGGCTCCAACATACATAACGAATATTTAAGATACATGAAGATAAAACATAAACATAAGTATGTAAATAAATAAATAAAAATGTTAGAATATTTCCTGGATGATTAAACAACATCAACAGTAAAAAAAAAAAAAAAAAAAAAAAATTTCAACATGGAGGCGACTCCTAAAACCTACATCATGTACCATTAGATGCTTTGTAAATATCTGTGAAGAATTAGTTCAGTTGCAGAGGTAATGACTAAATTCTCCCAGCTATGTCCAACATTCTGGATAAATCTTTGTCTCTATGAAAATCTATAAATGGGTCCCAGATGTGTTGAAACTGTTCTTGCTCATCTTTAATTGTTTATGTGATTTTTTACATAGGTAAACTTCTTCACATTTCCTCAAACCACCGTCCAATGTTTGGTCTATGGGGACTTTTCCATGTTGATGCGATTGATCTTTTGGCATGTAAAAGACACAAGTCTATAAATGTCTGCTCTTTACGTTTTATTTTATGTACCTTTGGTTAGATGCCAAGAATGAAGAGTCAAGGCTCTGCTACAGGTTATTTATTTATTTTTTTAAGTGAATGCAATCTCTAGTTACAGTTTATTTGACTTATTCACAACTATTTAATTATTTTTCGTGTATTTCCTTTGGCACTGTTGCAGTAGTCAAGAATATGCTGAAAGTCATGTGACTCAACTTGACCTCGCTGTAACAGCTGGGGTCATGAGAAACAGGGAGACCTAAAAATGGGATCCATGACCAGAAAAGGCTGAGAAACCCTGCCTTGGGGGGTTCTCCTCATGTATCATCCATGTTACCATATGACATCAGCCTGTCAGGGTGGGGTGGGGGTGCCTTGACTCCTGTGTGACTCGTGCAGACATATGGAGACATGCTGGGACACAGTAAAAGGGGAATGTGAAATCCCACCTAGTGGCTGACTCTGCCCAACTGCCTGCGGGGTCAAGTGACTGTGCCTGTGATTTTACTGCTCAGGGTCCAAACATAGACAGGCTCAGAATGTCTTCGATTCAAACTGTTAAGCTGATGCACATATCTGTAAATCTTTTTTATACCACCCACTCTTAAACTTTATGTTTGCAGTGGGACTCTCTTTAGGTGCCCGGCTGTTAACTACTCCAGCAATTGGCCAGAATTAAACACCAAAATCAAACTGGTTCTCTGAAGTCACTCCGTAGGGTTTTTTGTGCTCATTGAAAGGTGAAAACTGTTGATCTGATTTGAAAAAAGGAGGTATTTTAAAGACAGTTAATATGGGGTATATAGTTTGTTTTAACAACCACAGCATTTTATTCAGAACTGGGTTAAAAATTTTTTGATGAAAACTGACAGGGCTGTAATTTAGATTAAGTGTTGAATTTTTACATCAACCTAAATTAGAACTGTTGTAAGAGAAACTCTGCAATTGTGTTTTAGGATAAATGTACATATAAAAGAATCTATTTATTGATCCTGTGATGTAACTAATTCTGTTAAGCAAGCTGATCACTGTCTCGATAGTCAACCCTTTGTTAGTCAGAGGAAGCCAGCTTGGGAGGTTACATTCCTTGCTGAAATATTGAACACAGTTTAGTGTAAATATTGGGATGATCTCAAGAGGCATTTTTTAAAAAAAATTTTTGCAAAAGATTTTAAAAGATCTTTTAGTTTTAATGAATGATGGTATGGAAACAATCCTTTCTGATAATAACAAGCCTGTACAAACATGCATCTGTTCCCCATCCTAACACTCTCTTATTGATAAACATATGAATTAAAAAAAAAAAAAAACACAAAATAGAAAAATCTCAAAAGGAAAAAGCTAAAAACAACGAGGGGGAGGAAACAAACAGTACTTTTGTTGTAGATGCCATCTAAACTTTAGATTCTTAAAGGCTAAAAACAACCCCATACCCTCTATGATGCCAGTAAAACTTGGCTGTGTGTAATGTTAGTGGCCAAACAGACATTTATATAGTTTTGATGAAAGGAGGTAACATATCTGCCAGTAATGAAACTGGAAACAGAACTTTTGCCAGTAAGTTTTTTTTTGAGAGCCATCAATCCAACTTATATTTCTCTGAAGAAAACAGTCCCCGATGCTCGCCTTAGATGTTATTTTCTAAAATGAATATGTCCTGAAAACCCACATAAACACTTCATCAGTATTATTTCCTGGTGTAAACTTATCAATGAATCTGTGTTAGTCTTTTCTGCTCATCATTCCTTAGTTTGCTCCATCTCATCTAATAACATTATTCTGTTGTTACCTGTTTTAATGTACCAAGAGATGCCCTGATTTATATCACTCATCTACATCAGTATGGAATTGGTTTTCCAGAAAATTTATCACATTGTCATACTCAGCAGATTTATTTGTTGCTAGATTAAGCAGGAAGTTTCTTGTAAAGAAAAAACAGATCTTGGACTGACCTTAAGTTCTTTGTTATCCACCCTTCTCGACGGCTTGAACTCCTCGCACTTTGCAGTATCTAAAAAGGCTCACCCCTTTTTGTTCGGTGATTAAAGCTTGAAGCATGTTAAAACCCATACATGGGTGATATGTAGTTGCTAAAAAACCCGTATTATATCAGTGGTAAAGGGTGGAGGTTCCTCTTACTCATCCCTATAAAAGCGATCACTTAGCAGCTGGCTCCAGAAATACAATACGACTTTGAATTTAATCTGTCCTCCCGTTCACAATCATTAATAATCAAGTGTCAGGATGGCTGTCATATTTTTATTGGTATAACTAAGCTGGATGGTCATGTCTGTCAGTTATTGATTATGGACTAACAATAGCCATGAACAGTAATTTCAAATATATGCAAGTTGAGCGATCGAAGCCAAAGCCTCTGACTGGCAGCTTCACAAGATTTCCAGTAATATGATAACTGTTCTATGGACTTTATTAGCCAGTAAATACTAACATGAGATATTTTATATGGTAAAATAATATGTGCTTGGTATTAATGAATTGGCTGTTGGGGTTTGTATCTATGAAAAATCTGACAGAATAATAACTTTAATATTCAGTGACTCACGCTGTACCTGTGACAGAAGTATAAAAAGATGATTGCTCATAGTGTGCTGATGTCTTGGACTTAATGATGTGAGTGGGTTCACATTGTTCAAAGGTTAAACAAGCATGAGTTAAGCCCAGTCGGTTTAAATTGCCCCCTGACCTTGTAAAAGATACCACCAATTACAGAAGTGTAAAAAGACGGATGAGGACACAAGTTGAGAATAAACACGTGTATACGAGAATAAACAGCGTTGACCTTCCAGGAGATGGTTAGTACTGTTACACGGCACAAGTATATCAGAGCCTGTGTTTATGTTGTGTGAAGAACAGTGTTGATTTTGGCAGACATCTTAGATTTAGTAATAGTCTTGAGACAAAAATGCTTTAAAGATCTTATATTATCCTCCTTCTCAGCAGGTTCACACAGGCCTCAGAGGTCCCAGAACAGTCACTTTAAAGTTTGTTGTCTAAAAATCAGTTTTTTTCTGGACTTCAGCCAGCCTGAAAACTCTCTCTAGTGAACTCTATCGAGAACATGCTGTTTCCATGTGTTGCGCCTGGTTCCACCTCCTTCAGCGCAAGCCACGCCCCTCCCTGTCTCTCTGGAAGAGGGGGGCGTGGCTTGCGCTACGGTACCATGGTCTAATGTTTACAAAGAGTGCTAGGTATGGCTCGTAGAAGCGCTGTGGTCCAGTCGTACCAGTTTGATCGAGATTCTGACCCAGAATGAGAGGCTCCTGAAGAAATTCCAACTCTGCAGCAGGACGTTTCTGAACGGTTAGTTACAAATATAATGTGTCTCCATATTTTTATTTTTACTTTGTTCATGTGTTGGTACACAGTGACTTACATGTAGCTAGGTAACATTAGCTCCTGCTAACGGTTATATCTCTGCTGTCTTCTTGTTACTTGAAGTTCTTTTGGTAAATGCCCAATATTGTATGTATAGTTATCTCGGGTGACTGTGTTCTTGTAGTCTACAGAAACAGACTTCTGTGCAGCCAACAACAGAGCAACTGCCGTGCCTCGCTTGTACCGTCGCCATTTCAAACTAGTATTTGCGAGGGATAAAAAAAATAGTGTCTAAGTGGAAATCTTTCGGGGGGCAGAACAAACATCTCGGGCAGGGTCACCAACCCGGAAGGGAGGAGTTATCGTCATCCGTGACGTCATAGAAGGGGATAGTTTCAATTCACTCGTTGGAGCAGACATTTTCTGAAAGGTGGAACAAGCAAGAGAGGAAGGGGATAGAATATTCTCAACTTGGCGAAGGGGTATGTGGACAGGCTGCATATTATTGTTAGAAAACCATTCTGAAGTGATTTTTGCATAATTTGGGACCTTTGTTTTTTACAGGTCGTATCGATGAGAAATCTGACAGAATAATAATAATAATAATAATGCATCAGATTTCATATGACTTGAATATTCAGTGACTCACGCTGTACCTGTGACAGAAGTATAAAAAGATGATTGCTCATAGTGTGCTGATGTCTTGGACTGAGTGTGTGGGTTCACATTGTTCAAAGGTTAAACAAGCATGAGTTAAGCCCCGTTGGTTTAAATTGCCCCCTGACCTCATTAAAGACACCACCAATTACAGAAGTGTAAAAAGACGGATGAGGACACAAGTTGAGAATAAACACGTGTAAACAGCTTTGACCTTCCAGAGGAAATACGGTTAGTACTGTGACATGGCACAAGTATATCAGAGCCTTTGTGTTGAGTGAAGGACAGTGTTGATGAACAGTGTGGTAACTCCTCCCTAGATGGGAGGAGTTATTGCCATCCATGATGTCATGGAAGGTGATAGTTCCACTCCGCCCGTTTGATCAGACATTTTCTGAAAGGTGGAACAAGCAAGAGAGGGAAAGGATAGAATATTCTCATTTTAGAGGGGTTTGTAGACAGACTGGGGATGTTTATTATTGTTAGAAAACCATTCTAAAGTGAATTATGTTTTAAGTTTTATTCACATGTTTGGAAATTTGGACTGAGCAGGTACCAAGTGTTAAAAATCTACAGATGTTCACTCTTAGCTGGATAGTCTACCCTAGACTCTAACACCAATACAATAATGTTCTGTCCCTACTGATCTACAGGGGTGAGGAGAGTGCATGACACTCAGATGAAAGTGGAAACAAAGTGAAATGTACTTACTGCAAGTCAAGGCACAAAACAGTCTTTCTTTGGCTAATATGGTCATGTTCAGTTACATGAACTTTAAATAAAAGTGCAGCGAACAGACATAAGAAAAACCCAGACAACCTGAAAACCACTCTTCACATTACATTCCTAAGCAAAGTTCGGGTCACAATAATGCTGCGTTCCAGTTACCCCGGAAGTCGGATGTTGGATGTCAGAGCTGGGAATGACGTTACACCGGTGTTGACAGTGTTCCAGTAAACAAGTCGGAAAACCAAGACGGACGCCTACTGTCAGCCGTTGTTAGCTGTTGTTAACAATTGTCAGCTGTCGTTAGATGCTGTCAGTTGTTGTTAGCCGTTGTCAGCTTTTGTTAGTTTTTGTTAGCCATACCAGATGAAGTTAACCCATAACACAGTATTTTACTCTTACAATAACCATATCCCCGTGTTCCCAGTTAGACTTTGGGCAGTTCAACATAAACCACTTATTTAATTTCACAAAAACAAAACAGAAGTGATAATAAATAAAACATTACGAGAGCTTTCACAGTTACTCTTTACTGTTGATGCACTGTGCTGCCATCTTTATTTATGACATTGTCGTCAAGTCGGGGTTGGTGAGGATCATCCGACTTTCTGAGTCGGTGAGCCGACTTCTGGGGGGCGTTCCAGATGGATTTCCGACTCAGAGCTTGGAAATCCCAACTTCCGAGTACAACTGGAACGCAGCAAATGTACACATGTAAACTAATTAGTGGAATTTTTGTTGTTCTTGACTTTTTTCCAAGTACAGTATCCAAGGAGGTTTTAATGTTCTGGTTGTTTTCTGTTTCAGTTCTGGTTATCAGACAGATGTTCAACAACTGATTCATTAAAAAAGAAAAAAAAATATGGTCTACCTTCTCATCCGCCCTGGTATGAAGACTGTACTCTGTATTCATGGGGGCTGAATGTAGTGTTGTGAGATGCATGTGTAAATGCAAATGCATTTGGTGCTAAAACAGTGCCCAGTTGTTTTTTCTTCGTCAGTCATAATATGGAAAAAAGGCTGACATAACCAAAGACAAAATACAACTATATAAAATAAACATGGGTTGTATTCTTGTTTTTATTGGTAGGAAGAAATTAGTTTTTGATTACAGGGTAAAAAATTAATTTACTGCATTGAAATGAAGTCTATAAAGATATTTTTTATATGGTTTTGCACAACAGTCACATTTTCAATTCTAACTTAAAAATAGATGAAAACGTTTTCTCATTTTCTAAAACACAAAAATCATTGAGAAGTTTCTCGAAGCACATGCGCCGTTTTAACCTGTTAAGAAAAAGGAAAAACTCAAATTAGCATTTTAATCCAAAAACTTGTCTAATTCTGTAAAAAACCCAACTTCAAACCTCACCTTTGACAGTTAGTACAGTTGAACACTCTGCCTCGCCAAGTGGGTTGACTGCGACAACTCTATATTCACCGCTGTCCATTGATCGCACTCTGAGAATGTACATGGAGCACACGCCAAACGAGTTGGTGAAGTAGTAGTTTTTGTCGAGGTTGATGCAGATGCCATTCAGATACCAGGATATGGTTGGTGTCGGGGATCCTCTGACAGCACATGTCATGTATAATTGGTAACCTTCTGGTGGTGTGTGGACTTTTAGAGGCACCAGAATGGATGGGGGTCTCTCCAAGCAGAGCTCAGCTGAAGAGAGTGCGTGTGAAATGGTGTGAACTTGAAAAAGAAAAAACAGAAAAGAGGAAACAATCGAAAATGTTATTTATGTGAGAAAATTTAGGTCCATAGATCCTCAAACTACACGTGTTAGGGTGACCATACGTCCTCTTTTACCCGGACATGTCCTCTTTTTAGGGGCTGTCCGGCCCTGTCTGAAGGAGTTTATAAAATTCTTCAAATATCCGGGGTGTTGTACGGAAGTTTTGAGTTTGTGTAGCGTGGACTAACTGAGTTAGAAAAGCGTAAGAAAACTCGACCCAATATGAAAAAGACTCAAAATTTAGTATGCATGACTATGCAACTTCACCCCGCTTAGTAGTTTCCCTTTTTTCTGGGATTCAGAACACCAAAAGTTAAAATATACTTAGTTTTAATAGCAAACAACATCGGAGGCTGCTTGTCTTGCCTGTATTCTAAAGCACCAAACTGCTGGACAAGCTGAAATTTCAACTACGGTAACAAAATACATAAATCAATTGGAATTATGACAACCCACCTCTGTTGCAGTTGACGCCCCATGTTGGTGACGGAGATGGATCAGAGAGGCCCATATCGTTCTTGGCATAGACTCTGAAATGGTATTCAACCCCTGGAAGGAGGTTGTTGATGGTGTATGAGGTGGTAAAGAGGCGGTCTGCCACAGTCTTCCACACTCTGGTGTTGGACTCATGCTGAGACACCATGTAGCACAGGCGGTCGTCAAGCTCCTGGTCTGGAGAGGGGGTCCATGATACCAGCACTTTTCCATGGACTGTTTGCTCCAGCTCCACTGGACCCGGGGTCTTGGGTTCATCTAGCATCATATCAAATATTAATAAGACTGAGAACATTTCTAAGAGAAGAAACTCACGCTGTCTATAAACTCGTAATGACCCTTTATGTTACCCCACTTTAGAGGTTCTTGTCTCTTGTCTGGAGTGACACGATTGTACTTGCAAGCTCTTCTGAGTCAAGCTCTGACTTTTTCTGCAGTTTACTCCTTGAGAATTTTGTTGCCCATTCCGAATATTGCTTAGTATAGATAAGGGTTTCCAATACACTTGCCATTGGGATTTAATTGACCAAATATTTTAAAATCAGTGCTGTCCATCGTTAATTTTAGGGGTGTTCACCACTGGTCAGAGCAGAAAATTAAAGCAAATACATCTTTACTGAGTTCAAAGTGATTAGTTCCTCATTTTAGGACCGATAGAAAGTTGATATTTGTGCAAAGTATACAAGACTATAGGGCTGGGTGATATGGCCTTAAATCAATATCACGATATAGTGATCAGTTCACCTCATTAACGATAAATGGACGATAACTACTCCACAAGCTGCTCACCCCCTCCCACATTAACTTCGTCTACTTCAGCCGCTCCAACTTTTGAACCGTCCTACATCTCCTCACCTGTCTTTCCCTCTTTGTTACGGACTGGATGGGGTGGAGTCACGTCTCTGATGTAGGACAGCGTCTTGAAGGGACATGAGACCATAGCCTACCTAGACACATCCAAAACTAACTTTGATTTATTTATTTTATTCGCACCGAATATACCGATATGGGTGAAATGATGTTTGTTATTGTTCTAAATTTTGGTTTATCGCCCAGCCCTACAAGGCCATTAGTTTTTATGTTCTAAAATACAATTAAATACGAAGTCTTGTGGGCACCATAATGTAGAAGCCCTGTAATTTGTCCTTACCTGTGACTCTGACCTCTATGTCGAATGAAGCCTCGCCTGACGAGTTTTTGGCTTTGATCGTGTAGAGGCCTGAATCTGAGCGCTTTGATGTTGGAATAAGAAGCTGAGACATGCCCTCTGTGTTGATGATTTTAATCCACGGGGATATGGGCTCATCATCTAACAGCCAGGTAATCTCAGGAGGAGGCTCAGCCTGGTTATATCAGAAGTAAAATGAGAGGAATCGTGAATGTCACACTTTAGTGACATCTGTCTGAATAATATGACCTGATGAATATGACATGGTTTAAATTGGGGGAGCGAACTATGAAGTATAAATGTGGAAGATGAATTTAGGATTCCTGCCACGGGAGAAAGCCCCAGTTTACAGTATACTCCATCCTCTTACCTCATAGCAAACCTTCACTCGTGCAGAGTTTCCTGCTCTAATAACAATGAAGTCCTCTGGGTCTTTAAAACGAGGTCTCACTGTATGAAAATACACAAAAAAATATTAAATGCTGACAAGGAACAAACTCCAGATAGACTGGTTGAATTTTTTATTGAGCACGTAGAAAGGAGGAAGTTAATTACTTACTGTCGGGATTCTTGGCACACACCATTGCAGAGGGAGGGCTGAGATCACCTGCTCCAGACGCATTTATAGCTGAAACTCTGAACTCGTACTGCGATCCTTCAGAGATTTCTTTAACGGCGTACTTCACATCTGAAAATGAGATTGTTTAAAAAAAAAGGATAAAAATGAGGGATTTTTTTTTCATTTTGATAAATGATAATGGTGTGAGCTGGTAATATGTCAAACCTTCAATGGGTTCGTTAACTGCATTCAGAGCGATCCACTCATTGGTGTCCTTCTTCCTTTTCTCCAGGAGGTAACCGATGATTTGGACTCCTTTGTCGTCCTCTGGGGGGGTCCAGGTCAACTTGATGCAGGTCTTTGAGGTACTAACTACTTGTGGGGCACCAGGTGGTCCAGAGAGAACTTAGGAATGACAATTGGTCTTTTAAACAATGTAAACTTATTATTATCAATAATTAACTTATAATAGAAGACAGAGACACAGAGGATATGTAGGCAATCACAAAACCTATTCTGATGCATTTGTATTTATTACAACTTGAGAGAAATTATTAAAAGCTTTCCTTAGGAGTGTAATATGAGACTTTGCTTACTCATTATGCCGGCCATGATGCTGTCAGCTGTCTCCAAGGCGTCACTGAGGCCCTCAAGGTTTTCTGCGAATATGCGGTAGTTGTATTTCTTTCCATGAGTCACGTTCCTGTCTCTGAAGGTGGTCTTGTCAGCTGAGACGTCCCCAAGTTTTGTCCACAGACAGTGTCCCACCTGCTGCCGTTCGATGATATAGTTGGTGACAGGGGAGCCTCCGTCGTCTTTTGGAGGTTTCCATTGAATCTCAATTCTAGTTGAGGTGGTTTCCACGGTCTCCACTGGACCTTCTGGTGGACCTGGCCGACCTGTCGTTGAAAAAACGTTGTTAGTTGAATGCAGTGCTCAGGTTTCATGTATAAACAGTTTCTTTTCATCCTTGTTTTTGTGTTGCCGTACCGAGCACGATAAGCCGAGATGTTGCCTCCACAGATCCAAAGGGGTTGCTGAGTTGGATCTTTATTTCCCCTGCGTCTGTCATCAGACAGTCTCTGAACAGTAGCCGGCTGTGATTCGGCTCTCTCACAATTTTGACTCCGCCTCCGTCTTTGATCTCAGTGCCATCCTTGAACCAACTGACAACCAAACCCTCCTGAGGGGGAAACGGCATCTTGAAAGCAGCGTTCTGGCCGACTCTGACGACCACAGGTTTGGAGAACTTGTGAAGGTCGTCAGGGTCAAACTCAGGCACATCTGTGAAACATGTAAGCTTATTTAGTTTGATGTACAGTAGCTCTGGGGTTATTTGACGTTTTATTGTAAAATAGTTTAAAATCATACCTCCAACAGTGACCTTTCCTTGGGTACTTAGCTCCCCTGATTGAAAACGGTAAACTCCAGTGTCGTCGTCTGTGCAGCTTTGGATTGTCAGTTTGTGACAGGTTCCATCTTTGGCAATGGTCAGCCCGGCTCCTGAGTTTAGCTAGGAAATCAAAAATAAAGATGCACACCTCAGTTCTGTATAATAATTTCATTTTTAAAATTTCTTTTAAAATTTTTTATTCGTGTACATCACAACATCACAAGAAAGAAGTGACTTGACACAAATTGGTGAATAACGCACACACACACACAAAAAATAATAAAACCATGACATACTTCAGGTATATATAGGTGAGTTAAAGTGGGTGTATGTTGGGTGGGGGATATTATCACAACAACATACAGAAAATGTGAGAATATCCAGTTAATGTTAATAATAATTATAATAAATAATACAAATTAAAAGAGATGAAACAATAGCTTACTAAATAATTAAACCAAGAGTGAGTTCTTTTTTATCATGGTTAATTACAATTGTAAAATAAATAATACATTTGATTATTAATGTTAATTTGATTATGAGATTAAAAAAAGCAGAAAGAACAGGAAAACACATCTTTATATGTTTACTATTATAAGCTGCAAATGATTTGATATGATAAAACAAAACAAAATAAAAATATAAATATACAAATAAGAGTTTTGTTTGTGTGAGAGGCCATGTATTTTGCTGGAGGGGAGTGTGAGTTTAAGCAGAGAAGACTGAAAGTGTGAATTACTGATGGAGTTTTATGGTTAGTATATTGAATTTATGAAGGGTTGCTATATTGAGTCTAGAATCAGTTCCACATATAAAGCTTCCATGTTTGCTAAACGAAAAAAAAACAATATTTAATATTACAAAACTTTATCTTTAAACTTTTAAAGGTCTTTAAACTAGTTTTGACATTTCAACCTAAAATGAATAAACAGAAGAACTTGAACAGTCATTTTATTATCAGCGTCAACTACCTGCTCTCCATCTTTAAACCAGGTCCCTTCACAGTCCAAATTCATGGTCACAGATAATTCAGCCGACTTTCCACGAAGACAATAGGTATCTGACAGCCCACATGTAATTCCAGGATCTAGACAACATAAAGCAAATTTATCCTTCAGTTTCCCCTTTTATACATGGATAGAGCAGCTTTTACTCCAGTATATGTATGCTAAATAGATATATTCAGGAATAAATTAAATACTTACAATGAGTCTCCTTAATTACTCATTAGTATGCTGTCTGAGATTGGTAGTAATGGGGTCCATCAATATCAAAGACAGAACAGCCAGGAAGTAATTAATGAAGAGAATAATGAAAAACTTCCTCAAAAAACAACAACTTGAAAGTGTTGTTTTTCGGTTTAGAATGCAGTCCATATTTTCTTAATTAAAGGGTGCTTAATTAAATATAAGAAAAGTGTTAGTCTGGTTTGGGGGTTTATGATGAACACAAGTTATAGCAGGTTAGTGATGTTGAAACGAGAAGAAATCGGCAAACATGCGTTTTTCAAACTCCGTCAACGAATTCAACATGTTGAATCCAAACATGTTGTTAACATGTTCCACCCTCAAAAATGTTCAAACATGTAGATAACATGTTTGAATGGTGAAAAGTTCTAGATTGGTGGTAATATTTAGATTATTTGTATAATAGTTTTGATTAACAGGTTATTTAAAATCGTTGTGTTACAGTTGTAGTTTTTAAATTGGCATTTGACTTAAAACTGGAGTGCGGGTCCATTTTACTTCAATGAAATGTGCTAAATTTAAGCCCTTAGGAAAGATGAATTCACTTCACTTTGGCATTAAACCCTTCAGGTATGAAAAAGTCAAACGAAGAATGACAAACTCGGAAATCACTTGTATGTGAGGAGAGGATAAATAATGTTGGATAGCCCTAAAGGGATATTCCAGCGCAAATCTCAACATAACCACCGCTTTATAGCCACAAAAAACGCCCTAACGAGTCGATCACCGCGTCTGCAGTGCAAGTAATAATCATCATAATAATCACCATATTAATCATTTTGCTCTGCAGACGCGGTAGTTCTTCTGCTTTAGCTTCTCGGTCTGATTGTATTTCCATGAAGTAATGATCATAAATATTCTTCCTTGAGCTGCGTCACCCCGCTGTCTGGCCTGAGGTCTCACTACAAACAAGCGTTTGCTGGAAGAGAGTAGGTGAGTTGTGTTTAGTCTCTTTGCTAAAGAAATGAGTCAAAGTTAAAAAGATGTTTGGTGTCTAGTACTATGGCTGTGACCCTATATGTCCTGTTGATGAAGTTAGGTGCTGTTCTGAGCATTATTTGTGGCTATAGAGTGGCGTTTTGGTTGAGGTTTGTTTATGGCCCCTCAGACCGCTGTGCATTGCTATCCTGCGGTCATTACTAAAGTTGGTATAACTAGAGAAGCAAGCGGTCGGCAACATTCATCTCTGAAGGGGGTGTCTAACTCGGTGTGACAGTTTGTTTGACCATAACTTAAATTTACGCTGGAATATCCCTTTAAGCTTTCCTGCTATTGAGAGTTCCTGAAAAACGAGGTTGGAAACACACATCCACAATATTATCACTGCTCAAAGAGAGGAAAGTTCCGCACTGCAGATTTAAGAAACTACAAAACATTGATTTAATCAAGTTGTCACCAACATATTGTTATTGTATTTGCAGTTAATGTGTTATTTCAAATCTGAGTTTATTTTATTAGTCTTTAAGTATTGGTTTAATTCTCACTTGATTCAATACCACTTCCTGTATCTGAAGGTGGTTGATCAAGCTTTTCACCACCACAGGCTTTTTCAGTTGGATGGCCTAACAGCAGCGACATCATTAAGTCATTTACACTCAATTCAGTAAATCACTTAATTCTGTAAAGCTGCTGTTATCCCTCTTACCACTTCCTGTACCAATTCCTGTATCACTTCCTGGATCTCCAGCAGTTGTTACTGGTGCTGGTGGTGGTATTTTTTCTGAATGACCTATTAATCCTGGACAGTAGGGAAAGCATTGATATTTATGTTTTAAGAATGACCAATGACTAAATAGCAGTTTTAAAGGTGAATATGGGGTGACTACAAATTCAAAGATGGAAAGCATAATCAGAACATCTGAAAAGCCAGAGTATGGTCTAAAAATAAACATGTAATTTCTAAAAATATTGCACTAATAACAGGCCGATACCTGTCGGGGCAAAAAAAAAAAGGGAAGAAAAAAAATAAATAAATAAATATATATATGTATATATATATATATATATATATATATATATATGTGTGTGTGTGTGTGTGTGTGTGTGTGTGTGTGTGTGTGTGTGTGTGTGTGTGTGTGTGTGTGTGTGTAAAGATAAAAATTAAATTAATTAAAAAAAAAATCTGTCTGTTGATTCCCATTTTCAGTGATCATCAAAACTCAAACAAAAAACAGGATACAAATACAAAACTGACAACACAAAAACTTGCCACAGATCATTACTACCTAGCCATGCAGAGGATGTTTATTATACTATTAAATATAAGTTGGTAAAAAACAATATTTAACCCTAACTTCCCAGAAGCAAACATCCACAACATATGCTTACTACAGAACATAAAATAAAGCAAAACAAACTGTTACATAAGCATTAAAATTTTTCACAAAAGAAGAATTTCAGGACTCTAGAGTTTATAGAAAATTTACTAAAACTTTTATATTTCATGTAAAACTAATCTTTGAGTGCATGCTGCATTTGTCATAAAATCTGAAATTCCTTACCAACGCTTGGTGCCTCTGCGCCCGGCTCCGCGACAACTGAAATCAATCACAACTAATTAGATTTTTGCACATTTTATCAAGATTTGAATAGATTTTTTTACATAATTAAATCCAGTGATAATTTCCCAGCTAGTAGAAAAGCTCTTAATGTGAATTTGATGAAAGTTGAATCATGTCCTTATAAAGCTGGAACCAAAGAGATCAGGTTCTGTATTTCCTACATTTTTTAGTGTTTGGTCACTGTGAGTCCAAACTTTTTGCATCAAATTGAAAATTTTCATATAATTTTGTAAAATCCTTTTTTTTAATATATGATCAAGTTTGCACAATGGTCTAAACCATTTGCAAACTATCACAATGTTTTTTTTTTAATCAATGTTTATTTGTACTTTTTTTAAATTTACGCTGTACATAAACCGAATTTCTTATTTGTACATTTAAAGACAGATTTTTTACAAACCCCCTGGTCATTGTTCTTACCTGGTTGGGGGTCTTTGGGGGCCTCGGTTGGTTCAGGTGGAGGTGCAGCTGCTGCAGCTTCTTTTGCAATCTGAATCTGCTCTTTCCTTTCTTCTCTCTCCTTCTGTAATTTCACCTGTTGCTCTTCAGCGACCTTCTGCAGATCGACGCCAGATCCTCCTGCCCTCGTTGTTTTCCTTTCACATTTTTTGCCCTTCTTTGCATCTTTGTCGGCTGAACAAGAACATGTAGATTTGCAGCGTGCACACATAAAAAATGTACGTCAACAAGACAAGTCATAATTATCCTTATTGACTTTTTCAAGGAAAACGATCAATATTCATGATTGAAAATCATCAAGCGGTGTTTTGCTGAGTAAAATGACTTACGTTCAACAACAAGCCATGCATTGCAAGATTTAATTCCTGCACAAACAGAATAAATTCCTTTATCCACCACCATGCAGTCTTTGACCACAAGCCGGTGAATGAGCTTGTCTTCTGACACCTCGATGTCGAACTTGTCCCCCTGTTCCAGGGGTAAATTCTTGCCAAACCACAAAACCTTGGAGAAGGGATTTGACAGGACACACTCAAAAACTGCGTCTTCTCTCTCTGTTGCTTTGACTTCCTGAAGTTTCACCAAGAAATCCACCATGGGGACTGAGGAAAACGGAAAATTTGATTTGTGTAGTAGGATATACCACCATTCGTTAGATTAAGCTTGTTTTGTGTTTTGATTGAACCGACTTTGAACCTTTTATTTGACTCAGTGGAAAACATACTTTTAAATTCAGTTGAAAACATGTTCACATCCTCAACATCCAGCTGATACAGCCCAGCATCATCTGGCAGAAGGTCTCGAATGCTGAAAACGTACTTTTTTCCCACTCTATTAAGGCTGTGCTTCATTTTCTCTCCAAGCTCTTTTGTATATGGAACCATGACACCATCCTGCGGGTGAAAGATCACATTATTTCCTTGTAGCTTCATATCTCACAGATTTCCTTTAAAACGGAAAGCACCTGAATGTTATGAATCACCATCTTCATCTCAGACTGAAGCTCCTGTCTCTGCTGCGCTCTACAGTTTGTTTTGTAAATCACTGAGAAAATTTCAAAGATTTCTAAAATGTGTATGACAAAGGTGTGCCTTAATGATCCCTTTACCTGCTGAGGCTACAAATTTGTAGATATTTTGTTATTATGGCTGTAAAATGGTCAGATAATGCCCTCAGTCTGAGAGCTTTGGTCCCTATTTCTAGGAGAACTTGAACTTCACTTTTCAACATCTGGTCAGTGATTATCCCACATTATATGGGATTGTCAGCTGTTTAGAGGAAGAAAATACAAAAGCTATTTTGTTTTTTTATGGATTTTATGAGAGCAAATTTTGTTACTGCTTATGAAGTTTTGATTTCACATTTGAAAAATCAACTTAGACATGTTCAGAATCAGAAACAGTCTTTTTTTAAATGTAGGACTCTGGGTCTATTTTGCTTGCTCTGTCTTACTCCACTCTTTTCTTCCTTGCCCCTGTCCAAGTTGCAGTTTTGGTGGTACACCCTTAAAGATTACCATAATAAAAACCATACATCATATTGATATTGATATTTCAGATTGAGCAAATCTTTGAGGAGTTACAGTATTGAGAAGCTGTGTAGCACTCTGCTGATACTTCCTGTGTTTTGCAATGACTGCCTCCCTCATATGGTTACGACTACTAAAGTAAATCATATATGTGCAAATAGAGAGACTTCTGATAATGACTTTTAGTATATTCCTGTTTAGCTGTTTGGTAAAGTCGGCACACTAACCTTGTAGAGAAATATGGAGCTGCTTTGGTCGAGAAGATCCATGTCCAACTCAAAGGATGCGGTCCCATCTGCGTTGACTTGAATGGGTCTCAGATTAGACAGGTTTTTGACAAACTAGGACAAAACAAAGTGAGGTCAGTGGAAATGAAGCACTCATGAAATGAGTATATTTAGGCTGTTGAAGTCGATAATTTTAGAGTTTAGATTACATACTCTTGGGAAAATGAAGCAGTTATTAAAATGAGTTTGTTACATAACAAACCTCCGCCTGCTCTTCCTCTCTTTCCTTCTTCATTTCATTAAGTTTCTTCAGCATCCAGCGAAAGTCGGTCACTCCAAACTCTGTGCAGATGCGCTCATAGTCTTTCTTGTCAGCACTAAGCAGGAGCTCCCAAAACTTTGGATCAATCTCTCCCTCTTTTTTCTCCGTCTGCTCAGATTTTGGACGGATCTTACTGAAAAAAAGAAAGGCACAGTTTTTAAAATACAGATTTATTTTACAGAACAAGAAGTAAGATCAGAAATGAACAAACAAACCCACCTTTTCCTTTTCAACACAGTCTTAAAATTTGCATCTGTGGATTCAGCTGCTGGTTGTAGGGCTTTATTCTTCTTAAATCCAACTGAACAGACAAAGGAGTCGCTCACATTATTGACGGACTGACGCTATTGAAACTGTAAACTGTAAATAATCCATAATAGGCAAACAGTCCTTACCTTCAATAACATTCAAAACCACTGTGACCATGGCCTGTCCAAATTCATTCGTGGCAAAGCATTTATAGGTGTCTGCTTGATCTGGCATGACATTAGGCATCTAAAACATAGAAAGACGAGTCGAGTTTTTGGTCCACATTTTTGGTGGAAAATACAAAGCACATCTTATCTTCTCAAACAACATCAGAATGTTCAAAAATGTGGTTAGTTACATCATATTTTATTAGTTTTGTTATTTGCAGTTGTGATTTTGTTGAAGTGTTGGTCATGTTTATTTTTTAGATAGCTTTTTCTTAAAGGAGCTGGAAAGAGTTTTCATTTTCTCTTGATTTTGGCGGCCACTGTGGACAGAAGCGGTCGTGTTTTAGTGCTTGTCGTCGTAAAGGCACTTGTCTGGCTCCAGAAACTAACTTTTTTTGTGAGCAGTTTGAGGTAACTTACTCTGTAAATGCCTTTACAGAGACTGAGGTTAGTGACACAGAGCTGCTCTGCCTGCCTGTCTGTCTGTCTGCCTGTCTCCGGTGTGGAGGAGCTTCTCACTCTGTGGGAGCAGCTGTAGTATGACACAGGACACACCCACACCCACAGCCGTAACAGACACGGTGTCTGCAGGAATCTACTGCATCTGCAAACTGTGACTAACTGTCACCGTTTGTGTAGTGGCAGTAATATGCGCATCTTCAATGCAAAATAAAGAGAAAAAACGCGTGTGTCGGCTCTGGTCTGAGTGCTGTAAATCGTTTCGTTCGTGGTCTCAACCACTGGCTCCCGTTTTCCCCGTTTTCACTATTTAGAAATAGGTTATCTTCACACAGACGGGCTCATTCGCTGTTGCAGATGACAGGGAGACATCAGCAAAGATGAGAGATTTTTTCAAATCTAGTTAAAAGTTCCTTACGGGAAGTTTAAGTTTTCAAGAGGTGTAATCAGTTTTGCATTCAATCTCTAGTCATTTAAAGTAAAAGAAGCTGCCGTTTCAATCTTCCCTAATTATCTTTAGAAGTCTATTTCAGGTTACTTATTGCTTGTTTTCCATCAGCATGTTGTTTAGGTGTTCGTGGGAGGGGCAAATACTTTCTTTACGCCCCCTGGCAACTGCAGACGTTCTCTAATCACCGTTACACTTTACCAAAAATAGCTATGCATCTGTGAGACATCTTAACCATGATGGAGTAATTTGAAATACAGACCGTATACCGTGTACATATAACTCCTGGCTTGTAATTGAATCTTCTATCTTAAAGAGCAGGGAGGGTAGATTTATGGAGACTTTTACATTAAAATGCCTCTCTGCAGGAGGTCATCTCTCTCAGTATCAGCAGAATCCCATCATGCTTTGCAAAGTAAATGACAAAGCAGATTAGAGGATTACATTGGTGCAATTTTTTGATGGATTTATTCCCAACTCCTCCTCCTGTCATTAATCCATCTATACATCTCGATGCTGTTTTTACCGCCGTTTTACTTCAGCATTTAGTTGTGTAAAAATAACGGGGATTTGATAGCCAGCATCACTTGCCTCGAATGTATGCTCATCGGAAGTTGGATCATATTTGGTCTGGTATCTGGATGTATCAGATACGTCTCCATTATTTCTGCTCCATGTTACTGTTGGTGTTGGATCTCCAGTGACAATGGCTTTAAAAAAGGCAAATTTACCTGAAGAGGAAGAAAGACAAGATCACCTCATAAACCCTGACGAAACAACAAAATGTTTTAATAGTGAACATTTAATTTATTTATATAACTCTAAATATATAATCCAAATTGAATACTTAAAGCCTGTGTTCACAATATTTACGTAATTGATAACAGCAGAGAAGTTGAACGATAGATATGCTGGTCTTCTTGACACGAGTTTATGTGTTTCATTTTATTCTTACTGATACAGAAAACTGGTTATTAAAGTCGGGGTCAGCAGGAAGCCGTCAAAGAAACATCTTTTTTGTGGTGTTTATACAAAAAATCTTTTAATATCAGTCAATAGTTATTAGTTATTGATTAAATTTGGTAATATATCGATATCCCTGTGTTCTCTTATGTCTGTGTCGTCAACATTTGAACATTTTTGAGCGGCCCGCTCTTTCTGACTGTAAACAAAGCCGTTCTCCACCTCCTCTAACCTGATTGGTTGTGAGGCAGACGCTGCTCCCCCGTGTCGTTCAGGAGCCCAAACAAAGTTAGCGTGCTACAATATCGGACAGTAGAAACCAACCAGAAAGTTCGGAAAATTGTCTGAATCCTCCTTTGGCCACGACTGCCGACACAAGCAAGAAAACAAAGTAAATACCGGAGACTCTGGAGGAATAACGGGCGCTTAAAACGGAGGTAGACCGGACAAGAGCTAAAAAGACGGGTCAACATAAACGATGGGGGACGCTTGGGGATCTTGGTGACCCTGTAACCTTTCTGCTGGACAGGTAAACCGCTTTAACAAAGTAAGACAAGTGTCTGTAACAGAAGTGTTTCTTGTCAAACGGACCTGCTGTAGCGTGTTGTAGCGCCATCGCTAAACTGTCCTCCCTCGGGTCCTGGACTATGTCACTTTATCCTAGTTGTAGAAGTCCTGCAAACATTGTGTTTGCTGGTAGTCTGTTGGCATCTACAGTAGCACCAATGCTTTTGACTTTCACCTTGACTGGGCCCCATTTGTAATGATCTGAAGTATTTATCTGCATTATATCTGAATTTAATTGGAACGATACGAGCGAGCAGGAGCGTCTGTTTGTGGGCGGGGCTTGCTGGAGCAGATTACTTGGGGGGGTGGAGTTTACATTCAAGATATCCCCCCAAAATCTGGCACCTTCTCAGGTCCTGACTACCCCTCCTTTAAGTGACGAGTGTCTTTTCTTACTGGTCCAGTGCACAAAAGGCTCGAACCCGATCCGTTATGCACGATCCTGGTAATTGCACCTGAGGATATTTTGTTATATTAACGTTGAAATCATTCCCATGCTATCAGTCTTACCTTCTGGGATGGTCAAAGCAATTGGTTTGCGGGTGAAGTCTGGATGAGTCTTTCCTTCAGGCAGTGTCTCAACATACTGTGTTATCATCACCCCAGGGACCTTAGATTTTTTCTTGATCCCCACTGTCAGGATTAGAAAATGAAATGTCAACGGAAATGAACAACATAAAAAAAAGAGAAAATCACGACCATGATTTCTCTCAGCTCTTAAAACCGTCTGTTTCTCTAACTAATACATCACTCAGGTAAATCATGCTAAAACCCATTCTAATACATGTCGTATTAGAATGTTTGATGTTACTCCATGTTTCAGTTCTCGACTCATTTAGAGTCGTATCCACCAGGCTCTCTCTCAATCACATTAAATTTATCTTTGAACTGTTTCCCTCAGGAATCCATGCCTAGAATTCAACCAGAGAACAGATATGTAGTGATGCACCTACATATCCACACATAGAATATGGGTATGTGAACTGCATACTAATACATCCATCGCATATCAGTTCTCCATGCCTAAGCAAGCAGTGGGGAAAAAAGACAGCTGATGATGGCTTTTCTCTTATCCCCTAAGCCTACCTTCTTTATCATTGAAAATGTCATCACCAGGACCTGATAAAGCACATGTTACAGACCATATACAGTACATCAGCAGGATATTTACACTGGATTATGGATTAGACAGAAACAACTAAGCTTAGCGTCAGGGAAAGAAGATACTGCATCATCATTTGGCGTGTTGAGTGGGTATATGAAAAGGATAATCATATCAGTGCAGGTATTTGGATGTAGTCAGAATTTTCCTTGTTCGTCTACACAATCTGCATTTTAGTTACAGATGCACAAATGTGTGTAAAATGAGTGATTTGAACAATTTTGCTCCAGGGTTTCTGCCAAGTCTTATACGTCTTAAAAAGTCTTAAAACATTGAAAATTCAATCATTTGTATTTAAGGCCTTAAAACGTCTAAAATTCTCTTAAAACTTCATAAAATGTCTTAGATACAAATTTTAAAGGTCTTAAAGATTAATTGATGTTACTTATAAATAAAGATTGATTTGAAGTTGGTTTAAAATGTTCCGATTTCCCTTCATGTTTTTTGTAATTTTTTGTCAGTATGTTAAATGGATCTTTAATCGTTTTCATTATGGTCTTAAAAAAGTCTTAAAATGACTTAAATTTGACTTTTTAAAATCGCAGAAATCCTGTGCTCTGCTTTAGTTCTTCTTTTAAAGTTTAATTAGGGCTGGGCGATATCGCCTCAAATCAATATCATGATATATTGATAAGTACACCTCGATAACGATAACTACACCATAAGCCCCTCCCACATTAACCTCGTCTTCTTCAGCCGCTCCAACTTTTGAACCGTCCTCCATCTCCTCACCTGTCTTTTCCTCTTTGTTATGGACTGGATAGGGCGGAGTCACGTCTCTGACGTAGGACAGCTTCTTAAAGCAACACAAGCCTATAGCCTACCTACACACATCCAAAAACAACTTTGATTTATTTATTTTTTTGACACCGAATAAACCGATATGGACAAAATGACGGTTATTGGCGTAAATTTCAGTATCAGTAAATTCTCGGTTTATCGCCCAGCCCTAATATGATGCCTTTGTAAGATGAGGCCTTGCTAGAAATAATAATCAACTATCTCAGACATAAAGCAGACAGACGTACAAAAATACCGTGACAGCAAAAGTCCCCTTGTCTTTGTCAGATTCTGCTAAAGGGATCAAACTCATCAAGTTACATCCACCCACCCACCCAACCATCCAGTTTTACTGAAATTATTTCCTCTGCTGTCACCCAATATGATTTAGAGAATGAACAGACATACTGATTATGACATTTTATTTTTATTTCAGATACAAGGAGGAAGACATGTATGCAGCAGGACAGGACTCCTCCCTGTATAAGAGTAAGTCGTGTCCTCTTGTCTGTTTTCCTTGAGGTTCAGATTACTGGATTACATGGTCAAATGTAATCTGTTTGATGCTGTTAAACCTTGATAATCTGGAACTTTAGTGAAGTTTGGGGAATGGTGCATTAAAACATGAAGTCCGTTATGTAAGTGCTTACCTTGGCCGGTGGCCGTCCCTTCTGTCACTGTTGATTTCCGAATCATATTCTCTCAGTCCTCTCGGTCCTGGATGGATTCAGAGAAATTTCCCAACTGCGATAAATGATGGACAGAATTTAAGTGAGTTTAATATTTAATGCTCAAATGATCTTCTCACGAACCGTGCCTGGGGAAGAACCAGAAACTTTTCTGTTGCTTTTTGACATATATATACTTTCACTAAATGGGATTGTTCCAGGATTCACTCCAGGTAAAGCCTTTCCTCACACAAAATATCCATCCTGCAGAGTGATTTTTCCTTTCTGTCTTTAGTGTGAAATAATTTTACTGTCTTGGACAAATGTTGAACTGATGTTTCAGTTTACTTTCCCAGTTTGACAGTTTTATGTTGAGCTACATCAGAACTTTTGTTAATCTCCCCGTCTGACAAAGGAGTTATAAATCTGTAATTATTATGATTGTGAGTTTGAAGATTTTGTGTTCCTGTATTGTTCAATATTTGATTAGATTGGTTAATCCAGTTTGTCTTGATTATAGGTTAAACTAGAGACAAAAGCAGGCCTGTCAAAATTGGTTTGGTTTTGCCTTTTAGTGAAACATTCCCTGTTTTTATTGTAAATTGGTACCGTGATAACTGCTTTCTAGATTATAAATTTTGGCATTCGCAGACAAAAAAATTGCAAAATTAGGTGTTCTGGAAGTGTCCAATTCAACATGAACATAGATATGTTCCTGTTCAAACTGCTACATACTGATATCCAGTCAACATGTTTTATGATCTGTTGGCTTCCTTCACAGCAGGGATGTCTATGAGCACACAGCTATCCTTCATTACTCGTGCTAACTTAATTTATGATGACAGATGATATTTTGGAAAGGACTGATGGAACATTACATAGTCATGGATTCAGTGTGACATGGAATGACAGGGTTCTGCTTTACTGTACTGCTGTATAAATTGTCAAAATTGCTCCAAAATGACGTTTGAATATTCGTTCTAAAAAAATAACACAAAGGTTCGAACATATTCAAATATGTAGCTTACACAGTTTGCATCTAACTTTATCTTGCTCAGCATTTTTTCCGTCTGCCCAAAATCTGAAGAATTTCCAACGGAGCGTCGAAAGTTCGTTGGAGTCCAGACCACTCTCTCCGAGTTTGGTTCCGAACATCCGGCCATCCCTCACAGACAGTTTTTGTTGAGTCCTGTGACCAGTCCCTGACCCGTCGTTACAGTGTGCTCACTCGTGAAACAGCCACTGAGTATTTTTTTTCCATTTTTTCCCCACTTAGTTTTTTCCCGCTGTTTTCACATTCATTTTTTTTCAAATATTCAAATATATGTTCGAATTTAGAATATTCGTCGACAGCCCTACTGCTGTACTACTATATGTAAAATCCAGCTGTAAATACCAGGCATGTTCTAATTTTACACCTTTCACTCATGATACCGACATACTCCTTACTTGTGCTAATTTGATGTGCGGTTTCTTACTCTAATGTGGTCGAAGAAGGAGTTATGTTATTGAACTGATGCAGTTATTTTCTGAAAGTATTATTAAGGTTGTCCGATCTCTACATTGTTTACTCTGACAACATCTCCATTGCGCTCTGCCTCCTACTATTAAACAGTTTGATGTGTCTGCACGTTTACAGTCAAAGCTAACGCATGGCTGGGTTGCACATTATTTGAGTTATCTGATCTAATCGTGGCTCAGGCTGTGGAGGAAAGGTGTTAAGCTCTCTGTGCTTCAGGGTGAATAGGTAGACACGCAGCTCCAGCTGACAGACAGGCAGAATGACCGACTGACCAACTTACTTTAGAAACGCCGCACACCTCAGCCGTTAACACCATTGCTGAAAATTCAGTGGTATTTCCTGTCATGAGGTCCCAGAAAGCTCTATTTCTTAAACTCATCGAAACTGCGTGACTGTCAGATAAAATTAGGAACCAGTCCAACAGGATGTTTAGATATATTTTTAAAGAAGCCCTTCTGAAACATAAAGAGAGTCACGTATATAAAACAAGCCTTGGACTGACATTAGTCTATTAAACTATGACAGGAGATTTATCAACATTATGAAACGTCATAGTAAATTACCGTCACAGTCTTCCTGCTAACACGGACACAATTGAACTTCTGTTCTGGACACGTCTGATTTATGACCTCTCTCACATAAAATATTTGCACCAAAGTAGCGCCACCCAGTATAGGTGACTGACAGTCTAGGATGTCGACGGTCCATGACGTTTGGAAGATGAGAAAACGGGATTGTAATCTGAGAGGTCATATGCCACATAAAGCCGAACATCCCATTTCAAACATCTTAATCTGCTCTTAAATCACGGCTGACAGGATGGTTGACTCATCCTACATCCGAACCTGCTCAGTATAACCAGTAATGTTAGATTAATGTATGTTTCATTTTAAGTGGTACTTTATCTATCAAGAGAAAATGAGTAGGGTGAATTCTGCAGTAACCGTATACCATGTGTGATATAGACTTCACATGACTACAGATTCTATGCTGTTGACCTCTGTTTATTTTCTGCAACCAAACCGCTCTTGAATGCTGATGGGAAGATATTCGATGTTGTCAACCCCGGCCAATATATTGAGCTGGAAACTGGGCTGTTTTTAGGGGTTGTAAGGCTGGTCCATTTGCAAGTGAAAGTTGATTTTAACGTGTTTCATCATGTGACCTGTGTAGCATGTCACTGTAAAGGCCAGAACAGCTGCTCAAGTGACCACTGCTGTAATCCTGCACGGGACAGAACAGTCAGAGAGCGAGAGCATCATAAAAATGATGAAAAACAAAACTCTGCTGAGTACATGTTAGGGACCCATGTGACTTTTACAGACTCATCATTAATGCTGATCATGGGGGGGAGCGAGCTGAGAGTTACAGGTTTCTTAATATGGGTTATTAGCAGGCTTGCCTTGGTTACAGAGAGATCTGAGGGGTTGCAGTGTATCATTTTCAGGAGCTGTTAAACCTGAGAAACGAGGAAAGAGATGACGCAGGAACTTTACGGTTAAAAACAAACAAGAAGATAAAAAGTGTTTGTTTTTAAATTAAAGTTTTGCTGAAAGATTTTAAAAGAAAAAAGTCAAAAAATAGTCATGACATCTTAGAAAGTAGATTATAGATTATACAATTTAATGGCTGTTGTAGCTTTCTACATGTAAAGCTTTAGGAGTATTAAATATTTTGATGTCCCAAATAGCCAAAAGAAGTTTGTATATCTATTTTACTCTATCTATCTCTTTATGTTGACTTTTTTTTACTTATTTAATCTATTATTTATCTACTATTTCTACTTTATTTACACTGGAGTTACTCTAAGAAAAAGCAGTTTCCCCCAGGGATTATTAAAGTATTTCTGATTCTCTTAAAAAAAAAAAAAAAAAAAAAGTGTCCACAATAACTCTTGAGATTTGTTTGAAATGTGTTTAAGTAATACTGGATATTAGCATACATTTGCATTACTAAATCCCAAGCAACGCCCAAGATGACAAAATGACTTTCAAACTGAATCTTCGTCATTTTGTTATTACCTCGAAGGATCCATTTTAGTGTGTCTAACTTTGCCTTACAGAATAAAAAATCCTGTTTATATAAAAAAATGAAAATGAAAGCACAAAAACAAGCAGTGAAGTCATGTTAACAGACAAACACCTCTCAGTTTAACCTTACTGTAGCTTCTGTTTTAAGGAGATGTTCAGGGTGGATAAGTTAAATGATCAGCACTTAAACAAACTCATTTACTGAGATTTCCCCGTGGATAAATAAAGTATTCTGGTTCTGAAAAGTCAGTGAACACCTCCATCTAAGAGTGGCCCTCTAAGTGAGATGAATGATGAGCTTACCTCCGAGCTCCTGTGATCCTCTCGAGCCGTGCTGATATTTGAGTGTTGCCTCCTTGCTCTTCAAGCTATTAAGTCTGCAGGGGAATGCCAACGACTATGTGACAAGCTCACACGTTGTCAGACGTAGGGCCTGCCAAAAGGGGGTTTGCTTTTTAGTTTTTGGCATAAATCACATCTTCCTGCTCAGAGGAGGATGAAAAGGTTGAATACAAGACTGGCCATGAGACAGGAATAACTTTGACTTCTTTTAACAGATTAATGAACAAAGTTTGGAGTCTTTGTGGTAACGCTGTTTTTTTTCTCTCTTAAAAAAACATTTTTGTTGTGACCTCTAAGGAGCCTCTTATTCTTTTTAAGAGAAATCCTCCACTGATTCTTTATTTTCAGAAAAGATTTGACAAGTTTTTCCAGATAATTTCACTTCTTCAGACAAAGGAAATCTTATCCTGGAGGTTATTCCAGGAAAGTAAATCAGATTTATTTAGCAGTTTTTTACCTTCACTGTGTATTCCTGTTAACTATTTCATTGGTAAATTGTCAGTCTCGCTCAGATTGTGGAGCTCAGTGTAGGAATAAGTCTGTGGTCAGAGCCAAGTGTTGACAGCTTAGCATGCTACTGCTGACACTGTTAAGAAATTATGAGAACAACAAAATATCATATTCATGTTTAGGCACACTCATAATGTCTATTGACACCAGACAAAAATAAACTCCGTTCATCAGATGTCTAAGCAGGATATAACAACTATGAGCTTTGAAGTGCAGTTACTAAACATGTAGACCCAAATAAAGGATCACCCAAATTATACAATGAACCCTCTTTTCAGAATAAATTTTTAGCAAAAGCATTTTTGAGGACTAAATCTAATACTGAAAAATTAATCCTCAACACTGATTTAATAAAAATGTCTGATTACAAAAGCATAAAATGTACAGACGTTGAAATTAAATACTTATAGTATGAGTTAGGGCTGGGCGACAATGGAAAAAGTTTATCATGATATATTTTTTTCATATCAGTCGACATTGATATGTATCTTAGTTCAACTCCCCTTTTCATTGGATATTTGTATAGTCTACCAAAACATGGCAGAAAAGCATATTGACCATGTTTCATATCAATATCCAGGGAAATGAATTTTTAACATATGTCATGATTGTTTTATCGCCCAGCCCTAAGTGTGAGTATTAAATAAAGAAGCTGCAGTCTGATGGATAATGAGTCCTGTATTTAAAGTCATGTATCTTTAAAAGAAACGTTCAGAAACAGGCTCGTAGACAGGTTTTGAGATGATCTTGGACTCACCCCTTTTGTTTCTGTTTTGTGAAAAAAGACCTCATTACTCTGCCTTACTTATTCGTTAACTTGTCTTTTGTTTAACTTTGTTCGCTGTGTCTCTCCATCTTTTTCCCCCCCCAGCTGGCCTCAGTGATGACAGGCACACTCCCTTTATTAGATTATAGATGTGGTTGATAAATCTTTATCACCCTGACATGTATATGACCAAGTTCAAGCTAACATTCAGTCCATTGATATTATTATGGTTTTGAAACAAGGTTCAGGGATGGTTCAGTATGGAGCTCATAAAGTCCAAACGCTCATGTATCCTTAAAGCAAACACTTAACCTCACGCTGCTTATCCTGCAGTACAGCAGCCTTTGTCATTCAGTGTGTGGGTATGTAAACGTGATGGTCTTCAGACTAGAATAGAAAAGTGATTATCATTCACTTTGATGAAAACAACAATTAAATAGTACTGAGAAATGTTAAATATAGTATATAGAAATAGTCCTCTGATCACTGCTTTTACTGAAAAAATGACTAAATCATGTTTCCTCTCTCAAACTTGTCAAAATAGTTAACACTCAAGGGAAAAGTGTTTGACTTTAAAGAGTTGAGGTTCTTTTTCATTATGTAAAGTTTTTTTATTTAGGTTAGCTTTACTATGGAACCAGGTTATTTGATCTGTCGGTTTCTGTGATTTGTTTGTAGATTGCTGAGTACAGGTTCTAGGATCTTTAACCCATGTCTTTATCTGAGTATAGAGTCACAGCAGTGTAATATTAAATTGCAGTCATCTATCTGTTGTACACACTGAACATCTGGAGGATATTTCCTTACATGCAAAGGGTCATTGAGATTCCTCATGGAGTCCGACTTGCTGGCTCTGTAAGCCCAGGTATTGTGGTCTTAGTAATAACGTAGCTATGCTCTGCAAAGAGCACGATTGTGGAGTGTGTGAGGGGATATTTCTAGCAGAGCAATAAAAGCAGATGCGTGGCTGTTCTCAGGCATGGAAAGCTGATATGAGAGGCTTGATGTTCTTGTAGGCATTTATTGCAGGAGGTCGGCGATGTCAGGGGCTTTGAATTCTGCCTGTAAAACAATAACAGAATATCCTGACTTTACGCAACTCTGTACAACACGGACAAATGTAACCCTACCTCTGTGATGACAACTGTTAAGTCTTAATAGCTGTTTGTGTTTTTCCAGGAATGTATTTAATGGCCTATAAAATTAAATCCATTAACTACGCTAAAGAGGGGCTAAATGGGGTAAAGCAGCTACAGCCTCCTTGTTACTGAGAAATAAATTAGAGCTGTATTGTGTCCTTCATAACATATTAATATCACCACTGTATTTTTATTTCAGTGAAAGAAGCTGGTAAATGTTATTGCCAAGTGGTTACATGTCAAAGCCTTGTACAGTAAACTCCCAGTAAACATTCAACTCTGTCATAGCGAGATGCCACGAGACACCAGCGGTCTCAGTGCGCCCTTGGACTTTACACAAGAAGATGCACAGTTGTTCGCAAGGTCGCACTTGGTCATGCAGATTAAATTTAATCATTTATGACCTTCTATTGTAGTGTCTCAACATCCTTTAAAAAGTGCAAACATTTACTGCAGTCAAGAAAGAAATCCAACATCATATGACAGTTAGCAAAGCAAAAGTAGTGCATGTAAAGCTACAAATGGAAATAGTCGTATTAAAAAGCCACACACTAATCCTGGAAAATGTCTGATGAACTAATGTAATTGGAGAAAAATGAAGCCAAAACTGTTTAAAATCTACCCCCAAAATGTGACGACCGTAATTACAACATTTTGTATAAAAAACATCAGTAGAGGAGAGAAACTGTGAAATTGAATGAGTATCATTTTCATAAGTTAGAACTGGTTAATTCTAGTCATATTTTATTTAAAAGGATGTATTACACTGGATTGCAACAATAATTCTGAGCTGTAACAGCATGAGTGCCTCATTCATTCTGTACAAAATGTGGCCAGGACATGTTTTTGTTTTCGTTGCTTAGCAACAGGCTCAGAGGGTTATAATGGTCACTCACTTCTGTCCAAGAAGTATGAGAAGGAGTGACATTAAAGTTTGATTTCTACAGCCTCCTGAGAGGATATATTTCACAGATTCAGGCAAAATCATTTATCATATTTTTACATTTTTAGTTTCTTATTTTTAATTTCTCAACAACAGCTGTCTCCATGAATAAGGTAAAACTGATGCCAATGAAACTGTCATCAGTGTATCTGTAAAACTCTCAGAAGAGTTAAAGTTAAAGGGTCAGTTGTTAGAAATAGTGTTAAAACTCACACAGTCAGACTGGATTAAAATGTTCCCTCGTTCACTCTTCAGACGTTTGCCTGTGTGGACGTAAAGCTCCTGTGATTCATGCTGTGTGTCTCACCCCCTTACTCAGGCTTTTACCATCCAAATTATTCTGCCTGCAGTCACAAACTCTCTCTCCTTTTCTTCTTTATCTACAACTTGTAGGTTTTTTTGCAGCCCCTCCCATTGTGGAATCACTGCAGAGAAGTGATGGTCTCTGCAGGAATAGGATCCTTTGTAAGATATCAAGACTTATTCTAAACTGACTGATAGATAGATAGATAGATAGATAGATAGATAGATAGATAGATAGATAGATAGATAGATAGATAGATAGAATTCAGACATAGAGATAAAGAGATATATAAATATATAGATAAATATAGATGACTAGATTGATATAGATAGATACAGGTTGTAGATAGATATAGCTTTAAACATATATGTATATGTATATATATATATATATAATGGATATAGATGGAGTTACACAAGCTTATTCCTAATTAAAGAAGACTTATTAAACAAGCTGCAGGCACATTAAAATAAAAATAAAAAAATGCATAAATGAAACTACAGTCGACAGTTGAACAGGTTGACTTTATTCACATTTTGGCACAACTATTAACAGATCACAGTCTAAAACACTCTTAGTGAAAAGACGGAGGTAGTGATTTGACAGTAGCTGACATTTTGTTCTATTTGATTCTGAAACAGCAGAGGAAACTACAATAACAGTCAGTAGGGTCTAAGATAGGCAGGCACACAGTTAACGCTCAATCTAAGTCTTTAGTCAAAGTGCTAATTTCATCTGGTAGAAACAGTGAGGAGAATTCAAGCTCAAAAACAATAACATCATACATTAATTTGTGAAAATAAAAAGTACATATGGAGAGTAGTTTTCTCACACGCGGCTGTTCCAGTCATGAAACAGTAACTGGCATCTTGTGGGAGTTTGGGCCAACTGCATAATTTCACTCTGGAGAAAGGGAACGAAAACAGAATCATTGAAAGTTAGTGAGTTTAACTTGTCAAATATTTTTTCATTCTTTTTATTTGATCTTTTTTTTTTTTTACCTTGGACAATAAGTTTAGTCGAACACTCCACTCTGCCCAGAGAGTTTTCAGCGATGACCGTGTATTCCCCGCTGTCCTTGGGCCCGACTTTCAGAATCACCATGGAGCAGACTCCACATGTGTTGGTGATGTAGTAGTTGGTGTTGGTGTTTAGGCTGATGTTATTTCTATACCAGGTGACATGAGGTTTGGGGTTCCCTGTCACCGCACAGCTCATGTAGCACTCGTAGCTCTCTGGACTGTTGTGGGTTTTTAGGGGAACAGAGAATGAAGGAGGCATCTCGAAGCTGCAGTCCTTGGAGGCAGGAAGGTTTAAAGTAAAGGCCTCTGAAAAGACAGAGGAAACAGGGATAATGATTAAAAGGAGAGAAAACATTGACTGATACCTAGGGCTGGGCGATAAACGGACAATTTACTGATAACGAAATTTACAACAATAACCAAAGTCATTTTGCCCATGTGGGTTTATTCAGTGTCAAGTAAATAAATCAAAGTTAGTTTTGGATGTGTGTAGGTAGGCTATAGTCTCATGTCCCTTTAAGACGCTGTCCTACTTCAGAGATGTGACTCCACCCCATCCAGTAACCATGGTAACACTAATCAATTTGTTACCTTTCCATAAAAAATAAAAAAATTTGAACTTTATTGAAGTTGTGGGACACTGACTGGACTTCTTAACCATCACATGCTAGGGTGACCATACACCCTTTTTTTTACCTGGACATGTCCTCTTTTTTGGGGGGCTGTCCGGCCTTCTCCCAGAGTTAATAAAATCCTTTTGGGGTTTTGTACGGAAGGTTTGAGTTTGTGTTTTGTGGATTAACTGAGTTAGAAGAGCGTAAAAAACACCCGACGTGCTACTATGTGACTCCACCCCGCGTAGTCGTGTCCTCTTTTTCGAGATTCAGAATATGGTCACCCTATCACATACACTTTACTTTATCAATGCTCGAAGAAATTTGGCATTTGGTAGATGTCGCCATCTCGGTTGACTTTATAATTTACACGTCGGACTTGTGGGACCTACCTTTTACCCTCTTAACCTCCCATGGTGCTGAGTCAGAGGGTTTGGAAACCCCCATGTCGTTCTTGGCATAAACACGGAACTTATATTGCCTCCCCGGCATGATATTGATCATGGTGAACTTATTATTGAAGAGGTGATCGGCCACAGTTTGCCAAGAACGTTTAACAGAGTCATGCTTGGTGATCATGTAGTGCAGCCTGTCGTCTTTCTTCTCATCTGGAGACGGGGTCCAGGAGACCGTCACTGTCCCTGACACATTCTCATCCAGCTCCACAGGGCCTGGAGGCTTTGGGTCATCTGAAAACAAATGTTAGCATTACTGAAATTATGAGGAGTACAAACTTTTAATCTGTTATTTGAGACATGTCTGTTCTTCACTTTACCTGTGACTCTTATCTCAACACTCGAGGTCTCCTGACCAACAATGTTCTTCACAATGATGGTGTAGATCCCAGTATCGTGACGCTCCGATGCAGCGATGATAAGCTGGGATGATGTGTCGGAGTTGCTCACTGTCACATGCTTGGCCACTGGAAAGCCGTCCTTGAGCCATTTAATAGCCGGTACAGGAGAAGCCTGTCAGAAACAGAGAACAGCCGGTCTCAGGGGCAGGTTAGTATTTTTCTAAAGAGCAGGTCTGCCACTCTGAAAGGATTCTGAATAAAAAGATTTAAGGTGTTTGATTTTATGATACTGAACCTGGAAGTTAAAGTTGATTCGCACAGAGTTTCCAGCCCTCATCACCATGAAGTTCTTGATTTTTTTGTCCGTGAATTGAGGTCTCACTATGACAGAATTGTAAACACAGACTCGTTGAATAAACGTGATGCACTAAAATTACATGATTACAGGAATTTTCACACATGGACTCACCCGGAGGAGGCATTGCAATGATGTAGTTGTCCAGCTCTTGAGGTTCACCATCTCCTCCCTCATTGGTGGCTAAAACTCTGACCCAGTACATGGCCATAGACTTCAGTCCCATGATGGTGTAGGAGGACATAATAATAGCATTAGAGTTACAGCGACACCATTCTGGGTTTTCTGCAGGTCTAAGCTCCACAAAGTATCCTTTAGCCTCATCTTGGACCCCTTCCTCCTCAGTGGGTTTGGTCCAGCCAAGAGATAAGGTGGTGTATGTGGAGTCTGTCACTTTCAGGTCAATGACCTTACCAGGAGGCTCTGAAAACAGAAACAATGATGACAAACCCAGCACTGAGGAGATCACAGCAGTCCTTTTCTCTGGATTCATACTCACTCTTTGGATCTCTTGCGATCACAAATTCAGATGGTGAACTTGGTTCTCCAGCTCCAGATATGTTGATAGCGGACACGCGGAACTCATACTCGATGCCCTCAACAACGTCCTTCACTGCATACTTCTTTTCTGTTCGTTGACATGTTGAAGAGAATAATTAAATTAAAATAAAGTTTATTTCCTACTTGGCTTGGAAAAAAAAGGTTTCATAAAATAGGAATCTAAACTGTGAATAAATTCATGACAGATAAATGAAGGAGAAGAACTCCCTGACCTCTGATGGGCTCGTCTGGTGGGTTCACTTGGCTCCACAGGTTACTGCCATTCTTGCGTTTTTCAACGTTGTATCCCAAAAGGTTGGTTCCTCCAGTATTGGTGGGCGCAGACCAGACGAGATTGATACAGTCTTTGAAAGCGCTTTCGATTTTTGGTGTTGAAGGAGGTCCAGGGTATGCTGAAAAAACAAGAAAGATATAAAACAAGCCAGTTTTATATTCTTTTACAACTCACTTTAAATCCAGACACACTCTCCAGATAGGGCTGCATGATTAATTGATTTTCAATCATTATTAGATAATTTTAATTTTGACGATGTTAAAAAATTTAAATCCTCAGTTTCCTCTCTATCATGTCTCACGCCTTCAGGCGACCGTAAGCTCCTCCTTCCTAAGGAAGCCCTACCCAGTTCCCATGCACACCGGTGTAAACAAATGTGGCGTTTGTAAAAGCAGGCGATAATTTCGTGGTTAAATAGGACAAGGGCGAGTCAGTCGTGTTGAATTGGTACGACTTCACAGTTTCAGATGAAGAGCAAACCACTCCCCGCTGCAAAGTCTGTCTGAAGGCGGTGTCAACCCGTCACCATGGAAACAAATTCAGGAGGAAACGCAAAAGTTTTTTGTCGTATCGGCGTTTCAGGTGACTGTAAACGGTACTTTTTGAAAACGGGTCAGAGAGTGCATAAATCCGTAAGCTACGACCATTTCATCTCCGTGTGGATGTCCATCTGCATGAGTTTTCACAGAAAACAACAGGGCTTATCGTACAGCCCTACCCTCCACTCCTGTGAATGAATTTCGGTCTCCTGTAAAGAAAGCTCACCTTTCGTTCCTGCCTGAATATCATCAGTCTCCATCATCTCACTGACACCATGACTCGTCTCCGCCCTGATGTGGTAGCAGTACTTCCTGCCATGATCCACATCAGTGTCTTTGTATTTCGGCTCTGGGCCGATCTTGCCTAATTTCTTCCAGCTGTTCCGTCCGATCTGCTGGCGCTCGAGGATGTAGTCTGTGATAGGGCAGCCTCCATTGTCTTTAGGAACCCTCCATTTGAAATCAATGCATGCGGAAGAACTTTCTATGATATCCACAGGGCCCATCGGTGGTGTTGGTTTATCTGCAGTAAGACAGAATCAAGATTAATCCGAAACTTACATTAAAAAAGAAGAATCTACAGGAGTTCACGTGAAACTCACAAACCATACCTAATACAACCAGCTGAGTGACGGCTTCAGCTGTTCCACATTCATTTTTAATCTTGATCTTGATTTCTCCTGAGATCTTGCGATGGCATTTGGTCAACAGCAGGCGGCTGTGTGTGGAAGACTTCTCAATCTTGGTATGACTGTCCTCCAGAAGCTCTTCACCCTCATTGTACCACTGGATCTTTAACGGTTCTCGGCCAACAAATGACACTTTGAAGGCTGCGTCTTTCCCAGTTTTGATGGTGATCGGCTTCATGAATTCAATGAGATCATCAGGATCAATTCTTGGTGGATCTAGAGGAAAAAAAGACAGGTTTATTATAAACTGAGATTAAAATGTTAAACCTTAAATCGTTCATGATGATGATACAGTACCTTCAACATGCAGCACAGCTTCTGTTTTACGGCCGTCAGCTTCACATTTATATTTTCCAGCGTCCTCTTCTGTGCAGTTTTTGATAATGAGTTTGCGATAAGTCCCGTCTTTAACGATGCAGATGGTATCCGTGGCTGTTAGCTAAAACACACACACACACACACACACGCACCCACACATCAGTACAGCTACATCTCAAAGGGGGTATATGTGAAAGCAGTGACTGTTAGCTCCTATATTTTTACCTCTGTCCCATCTTTATACCAGACTCCGTCACACTCCTCATTGCTCAGCTTGCAGACCAGTTCGGCATCAGTCCCAATAACTGCGTGTACGTCTGACAAACCTCCGGTGAAGTACACTCCTGGGTCTAAAAGAAACACAACCTTACTGTTAACCGGGAAAAGTACAGCAGCAAAGCATGAACGATGTTCTTATATATCTTACCGATCACGGTGTCAGGCACCAGTGGACCTGCTCTCACTCTTTTCCTTTTCTCTTGAACCGGTTCCCCTCCGTCTTCTTCAGCCTCAGCAGCCTCAGCCTCTCCTTCCTGTGCTTGACCCTTTTTCTTGGGTTTTGCCTCTCCTTTCTCTTCTCCTTCCACTCCTTCCTCCTCCTCCTCCTCCTCCTCCTCTTCTTCTTCCTCTTCTCCTTCCTCTTCCTCTTCTACAGCCCCTTCCCCCTGTTCCCCAGCAGGGGTCGCTCCGTCTTTGGCCTTTGCCTTTGCCTTGGTTTTTGTTTTTGTCTTTTCACCTGTTTTTGCCTTTGCCTTTTCTTTGGCTTTCGCCTTCTTCTCAGCTTTAGCTTTCGCTAAGGCTTCTGCTTTGGCCTCTGCTTCAGCTTTGGCTTTAGCTTCAGCTTCTGCTTTTTCAGCCGCGGCTGCTTCGGCTTCTGCCTTTGCTTTTGCGATTAATTCTTCTCTCTCTTTCTGCACTTTAGCTTGTTGCTCTTGAGCGATCTTCAGGAGCTCAGGTCCACCACCTCCTGCTCTGGTTGTTTTGCGAACTTTTTTCTTTCCAACTGAGTTTGGATCACTGTCAGCTAATAAAAAATACACAGAATAGAAAAACAAATTCAGGGTCCATGTAAAAAGATTCCTAACTTACTAACGTTGAACAGTTTGAGAAATGCTGTTAAAATCCAAAACACTACCTTCAACTATAAGCCAGGCACTGCAGGAGGTCATTCCAACCTCGGCGGCGTAGATTCCCTTGTCCAATGGAAGGCAGTCTTTCACCACCAACGTATGAATCAACATGTCCTCCGACACCAGGATGTCAAATTTGTCCCCTTGCTCCAGAACGGTATTTTTCCCCTTCCAAGTTATCTTCTTCAGAGGGTGAGAGATCACACACTCGAAGGCAGCATCCTCTCTTTCCTCCGCCTTCACGTCTTGAATCTTGACCAGGAATTCGACCGGGGGAACTGCACCGAACAAAGAGGACATGACGCATCACAAGAGATAACTCATGGAGCGACTGTTGGGCGAAGGATACAGTTCATGACTTTGGTGCTTTCACTTACGTTTGAAATCTGTTGAGAAGATCTTGACTCCATCAACCTCCACTTGGTATAATCCTGCATCCTCAGCACTCACACCGTTGATACTGAACACAAACTTCTTCCCCACTTGCTTCAGACCGTGTTTGATCTCCGTGTCGGCGTCGAAGGGAATCATAACGCCGTCCTGTTAAACAGGAAAGGCTCAGAACTGTCAGACAAGCTGAAATATCTTCAGAGTAAATTACATCATGTGGTTTTATGTGTTTTTCTGTGATTAATCTACGATTGAGATGAATGGTTGTTGTGAAAAATGAATCTCTCACCTTGAATAAGAAGATTTTGCTGGTCGGATCTCTAAGCGACATTTCGAGCTCAAATTCTGCGTCACCGTCATCCCTCAGTTCAACGGGCTTTAGGTTACAGAGTCTTTCAACCACCTAGAAGAAGATCTTAATAAGATGACCAAATCTTTCACAACCGAATAGTGAAGGCTCAGAAACTTTCATTTCTTCTTTTAACCCTCCTCCTGTGTTTGGGTCGGCACTGATCCAATTTTGTTTTTAAATTGCATAAAAGAAAAAAATAATAATTAGAGGAGGATGTTTTTTTTTTATTTCCATTTCGAGATTAAAGTCAAAATTTTGAGATTAAAGTCTAAATTTAAAAAAGTCAATATGAAAAAAGATTTTGAGCTTTAAGTCCTCCAAGTTAGTTTTTTTCTTCTCTAGACTCGTAATCTTCAGAACAGTCTTTTCAGAGTCCGAATACTTAGGACCACACTGTGTTTGTGTGCTTAAAGAGTGACGATTTCCTTATTACTGGATCCAATTCTAAAGAACAGCTTTATAAACTCTTCCACAGAGGACATGTTGTCGAGTGATGAGCGACGATGCTGTTGATTCATTATCAATAATCTCAACATTAAGACTTTTTCATGAAATTTCGTCTTAATTTGCGTCAACTTTAATCTCGTAATTTCAACTTTAATCTCAAAATTTTGATTTAATTCATGAAATTTCAATTTTATTTGTGTCAACTTTAATCTCAAAATTTTGATCTCCAAATTTCGACTAAATTTCCATAATTTAGTTTTTTTTGTATCTCAAAACTTCGACTTTAATCTCCTTCCTGTAATTATTTTTTTCTCTTCATGTGGCCCTAATCCTCTTTCGTAGGAACCTCTATTTCAACACAATTTCAACACAATTTAAAAAAAATCAATGTACTAAATGATAAAATGCTCTGGTAGAAATTACAGCACTCGTCGTGTTAGGGGTGCAGTCGACCCGGTTAGACCAAAAAGCAATAATTAGAGTGAAATCATAATTGCACGGTCAGGCACCACACTGACAGTCAGATCCTCTCCAAATCATGTGAAATTTAGGAAATTCTCATTTTGCCTCATTTTTATCTGCACAAAAAACAACGATGGGCATGTCCAGACATGAGAGATAAATTTAGTGTAGATGTCTGTGTGAGGGGACAAAGAAAGACCCACAACAAATAATATATTAATCAATATTTTCATGGATAATGAAACCTGACAAGGTAACCTAGAGATGAGAACCAAACTCAATGATAGAGAATTGTTTTTAGTCTAATTTGCAGCTGATTTAAGACACGGGTCAAAACTGACCTGTTAACATGGGGGTTCGTAGTGAAAGCTAACACAGGAGGAAGGTTAAAGCGTTCATTCACATCATAATAAATGACCGACATGTTGAAGTTTTTCTGAAACAAACCTTTTCTTGCTCCTGCTCTCTCTCAATCTTCTTTTCATTTAGTTTTTTAAGCATCCCACGAAAATCAGTGACACCATACTGAGCGCAGATTTTCTCATAATCTTTTTTGTCTGCGCTCAACAGCAGATCCCAAAACTTATCATCGATTTCTGGTTTCTTCTCTTCTTTCACATCCATATCAACCCTGGAAGGAGGGGATCATTTTTCAATTACACGGCGATAAGCAAAGAAACAAAAACCATGAAATAACTCCATCATGTGTTATGATTTCATACTTATTTTTCAAGGCCTTTTTGAAGTCCTCTGGTACCTCTCGGATGGCTGCAACGAAAACCAGCAACATGGTCACCACTTTGATTTCATGAGTGACTGATGGAGCACTATAACAGATGAAATACTGGACCTGTACCTGTTCTTGATTCTTGCATGGCTCTGTTCTTTTTAAAGCCAACTGAAACAGAGGAAGTCAAAGGTATGTTGAAGCGATAGTTAGCCTCTTAAAGGGATATATCCCTTTAAATCTGTTCTGAATTGCTGAAGAGCTCGATACAAGATGGTAACTGACCTTCAATAACATTTAGTGCAGCGGTCACAACAGCTTTTCCATACTCATTTCTGGCGAAACACTTGTAGGTGTCAGCTTGATCCACGCATACATCAGGTATCTGTCATATTACAAGAAGATCATCAGATCATTCGCTGTTTATTGATCCTTTTTTCGATCGATCCTCTTTTTGATACTCCGTATTTTATCCCACCTGTAGTTGGTGTTCTCCAGAATTCTTGTCTTGGATGATTTTGTACCTCGTCTCATCGATTTCTCCGTTGTTCCTCACCCAGGTCACCGTCGGTGTAGGTTTGCCAACAACTACAGCTTTGAAGACCGCCAGTTTTCCTGAGAAAATACAATCAGGAATTTAGCTGAATGCCGTGATCTGAAAACATGTGACTAAAAATGAGGTTGATGAATAAATCTGGTTTACCTTCTTGGATCGTTACTGCGATGGGTTTCCGAGTAATGTCAGGGGTGGTCATGCCTTCAGGAAGTTCCTCTACGTACTGAGTGATCATGACTCCTGGTACTCTGGACCTCTTTCTGATTTTGACTGTCATGAGAGAGTTGGTGTTATTTACAGTTTTTATAGATTAAACAGCATTTGTAACATTTTTTTTCTTACGTCTCCGGAACATTTAACACTCTTCAGTAAATTTTTAATCACATGTGGTCATATAACAACTAAAGTAAGGACCACTTACCCTGGCCCGGAGCTGTCGGCTCCTCATCCTTAGCTTTGCGTATTTTGAACATCTTGATTGAGAGAACAGCTGCTCTGCAAGAGAGGGATAACAGAGAAATAATTACGCACTTTTAATACACTTTCTAAACTGACCGTACACTTTTAATCTTACATAGACTTAGACTGAGATGACTTTATTAATCCCACCGGGGGCATTTGGTTGGAGCAGCTTTCATACTGTCACCCTATGCTGAGGAGCAGTGCAGTGGGATCAAAGATCAATAAAAAATTGGTAAAAACATGGATCACTGGCCAATAAAATATAGATAATAAAAGGAATAAAGTGATAAAGAATTTAAAAGAGGAATATCAGAGGGAATAAAAAACTTCAGAAAACGATGAGTCTTACAGACAGGTGAGACATAGCGCTGACTACGACGATGACCTGAGGGCACCGGAGAGAATTCACCGGCCAGCACATGTCCTCGACACGACAAGATGTTTTTTTCCTTCTTCAAAGTTTGTTGGTCACAGAAACTGGTCAGGTCTCTGAGTTTCACTCCCGTCATCTTGGAGTATGTTTTTATAATACTGGACAAACTGTTTTATTCTCTCAGCGTAAGGCTGGAGAACCAGCCGATAAAAGAAAAACATCTGAGACTTTTGATGAAGGACTGATTAAAACGACGGAGAATAGCAGGAGAGACAGAAAATGAGCTCAGTTTGTGTTTCTGTTGCCCTCGCTTCACAATTTCTGCAGTACACACATCAAATCTAAGCTTCTCATCAAAAAAGGTACCCAGATATTTATATGAAGGAACTAAACTAAAAGTACCCGTCAAATACTGTAGTGTGGTGATGGTCTGAAGCTGTCGGCATGACCTGACCACCGTAACTAAAGGAATCCCATTCCTCTGTCATACAGTTTCTCTTATTTGAATTGGGTCACTGTCATCATTGCTTTAAGTGGTGCTTTTATGAGTCTAACCTTTCCCTTTAGAGGCAGAACAAGTCCAACACCTCCTTTAAATAACAACAAACACTATCAAACTCTACTATTCTAACTCTCATCTAACTCTATTATATTTAAATCACTTATTCTCTTTGAGGTTTTTAAGTAAGTAGATCCGTCATTGCCGGAGGTCAAAGAATTTCTGTGATGACAAAATTCTGAATACTTCTCATGCCTTCTGTAGATTCCTGTGAGTGACCAGCCTAATTTTGCAGGCAGCAGGTCACATACCCCATGAAACTATCTATCATGACGCAGGAAGTGCTGTGGGCCGCCAACTGCTTCTCCAACATTGTAATTACTAAGTGGGCTAAGTGTTCTTTGTGTGATCAAAGGAGGACAGGACAAGACAGAAAAATTCTACATTTGCAAGTGTTCAGTGCCCATATATGATTTATTTCCTCTTTTTTCTTTAAAGAAGAGGAAGAACTTTACTCTTTATCTTTACTTTGCAGTTAATCGTCACTGTAATCCCGATCATCATCATCATTAAATTATCTTGAGCATCTTCAGGTAGATTAAGTTCAGACTGCATGTCCAAAATGACTTTTTGAGCAAAACTCAGTCACAACATTTGATGTGAGTTTGGTTTTAGTCGATTTACTCATGTGTTAATAGATCTAAACATACAATTCAATAATGATTTTAAACTTTAAGAATTTAATTCAGATATTGATTTGTAAAAGCAGTGAGTCATTTGAAGAGATTAAAAATCACAAATTGGCTGAAAGTTGTAATTAATCGAGGCCTGAAGATCACAACCACCCATCTTTGACTTTTGACGTACTATATTATTATTACTATAATATATATATGTATTTTTTAGATCATGAAATTCCTACTTTTTTTACACTGATAGAAATTGAAACTGTTGAACCATTTGTTCACACAGTGCATGAACCTCTATCATCTTTAAGTCTCAGAGACTCAGCCTATCATTGGAATGCACTTTCTAAACCCAGTCATGTCGCTAACGAACCTTTTGCAAATTAATATAATTACTTGGGAGTTAAAGGTTTACTTTATTAGCATTACACAACTTATCTGGCGATTTAAATGTTTTAAAAACCGTCAAGTTACGTTTTTTTTTTTAGCAAAAGAGTCCAACATCTTTTTGCAGTTGGTTTGTTGAGAAATCATCATCATCAGGACACTTTTGTCTTCATTGCCGAGCCCTAACTCTTTTTGCTAAAACACGCCTTTAATGGGAATCTTAGACTAACATAAACATGTTTTCTATGAAAGGCTTTTTGTGAACCTCCTTTTCTTGATTATTCTCAACACACAGAGAGGCCTCTGTGCTGTCAGACCACTCAACTTCATATCTGCAACTTCAACTTTAAACATTTAAATAAAGTGAATTTCACTCAGTTCTCTTACTTGAGGAATAACCAGCATATGTCGCAGTTTTCAGCTCTTGGTTTATTTCTGGGGAGCTATACTTGTCTGAGAAAAAATAGCTTTGTCAAGATGAGCTAATTTATGAGTACCTGGCAGCTCTGTGACCCAGCTCTCTGGGCTACACCCAGTGCCACAGCATAAATTTTCGCCTTGTCAGTTTCGGAGAAACAAGATACCAACCAAGTTTTATTATGGGAAAAAAAAAAAGTGTAGGAATACTTCACGTTGTTCAGTTTTGTATGTCTCTTGCACTTTATCAGACTTTTTTAGCATTTCTTTGACATGTTTCAGTCGGTAAACGCTGCTGTAGCTCCATAAGTTCACAGTGTGGGATCATTAAAGTAATTCTGATTCTGATATTCCCATTCTGTTTTTTCTCTTCATGTTAAGACTCTTCCTCCAGCCAAAAAACATACATCATAATAATTGTAAATCTTTAGACTCGCTCTCTGTTGAAGTAGTTAGACCTCACCACCTGGCCATTATACTGAAACATGCATACGTGTGCTGTGTTAGTACATAGGTTAACGGATATTTGCCTCGGCTCGCTGACAATATCAAGAGTATTTGTAATGAAATATCAAACCGTACCAGCATTTCTCTGGTACTTATAATAGTACTTACTATTCAGATCAGGTTCTCTGTTCTCCTCTGTCTGTTGTTCTCGTCAGGTTGCTGCTGCTGATTCTTGAGTGTGGGCTCTTCGTTTTGAGAGGCAATAAAGCCTTTCAGAGACACTCAGCAACCTCACCCACTTCTTTTCACTGGGGGCTCCTGGGGATAGGTTTACTGACATGCACTTTGGCCCCCAAAGTGCTATAGGTTCTTGTAAAGGAGACACCAGAGGAAATGCAATAGAGGAGCTTCCTAATCCCTCCCTCAAAACTGGAATTTAAGATGTTGTAGAACAGCAGGGTGCTTTTGACTTCTTCTTTTAAAAAGTCTCATGAGACAGAAGTGCCAGAAAGCCTGAGCAGCCTCCTTATTCTCTTCTTAAGTGTTGATGTACGCTGCATTATTATTTTTTATACCAACATTGAACAGAGGTAAGTGCCAGTCTCATTTGGATTTGAGTTGATTTTAGGTGTTATCAAACCAAGCTAAAGATTTGTGACCAAAACTCGATGTGTATTACCTTTCCAAGAAACAGTGTCATATGTGCCAATTGTCATTTTTAGCACTAATTAGGACCAAGAATAGAGACGAACAAAGCAAGCAAAAGAAAACGAATTTTTATACCAATGATTTCCAAGCAGTTTAAAGTATTTTAGTAATCTTAATCTCAGTCTTAATCTTAGTCACTTAGTACCGTTTAGCATTGTACTTGTCTTTGAAACTGAGAAGTGTCATCCTGCACTGGTCAGTCATGTCTCAGCCCCGGGTGCAACTGTTGACCCTTTCTTCTTCAGTGACTCTAAACTTGGCAAAAATCTGACCCCACAAATATGTTCAGAGGGGTAATACAAGAAGACTGGACATAAATTATTCACATAAAACGTCATGCAGGTGAACAAGTGGTGTGAATTTTGAAACCTGTTTGCTAAGTCAGGGTTTGACTCAGGGGGTCACACAATAGGCTCACTTCTACCATGAGATAAATGTAGAAACATTTATCATTGAGTATATAACTTTGTCCCAATCGGAGTGTTTTTAATGCGACTTGCAAATCAGGTGAAAAATCCCAAATCATGACTGTAGAGTAAAATGTTTATTTACATCAGTTTTACATGCGTTTGTAAATTTAGTCCAGCCGAAAAAAATTTAAGATTTAACGCCAGCAACACAATCATCTCAGTTTCATCCACATTTACAAAACAACATAAAAAAATGCAACTAGTCACTAAAAGCATGAATGAAAACCTGCGTCTAAAAGTGATTAAAAGCCACATTTAAGACACATTTAAGAAGAACATACTAGACTGGGCTACATTCAAATCAGTCACCGCCAAGCAGTATACCCAGCTGATTGTTTTCGCTCTTTTGCATGCATGCCATTACATTCGAAATACACAATAAATACATGTCCTTAGTTTTCAAGCTTCCATTTAATTTTCGACTGCACAGTTGACATCAAGACAGACAAAAATGTGTGGTTGTACGCCAGACACATTCTTCATATCTGGTTAGATCGACTTTGAATAAATGCAGGAATTTCTTTTTTTATCAAAAAGTAAACAAACCTGAAGGTGTCAAGGGCAAAACTTCATACTTTCACATAAAACATTTGAGCAGTTTGTTTAACTAATTACTCAGTAAGTAAAAGAGCAAAAACTTGGTATCTGTTCCAGTTTTGAAGTAGAGCGCCGTGTTCAGGGTGTTGATTTATTCTGAAAAAAAAGACAGGGATGAATTTCACATTTAAAGTTTTAACATAAACACCAATGTTTCAACCGAAAATACAGTTTTTACCTCTGACAGTCAGTTTGGTGGAGCACTCAGCCCGACCAATATTGTTTTCTGCGACCACCGTGTACTCCCCGGTGTCTTGAGCTCCAACTCTTAATATGAGCAGCGAACAGACCCCACAGGTGTTGGAGATGAAGTAGTTAGTGTTGGTGTTCAGGCTGACGTTGTCGCGGAGCCACGTCACATGAGGTGTGGGATCTCCTTTGATGGCACAGCTCATGTAGCACTCGTATCCCTGAGGAGCCGTGTGCATTTTCAGCGGGACAATGAACTTGGGAGGACACTTCAGATCACACGTCTTTGTTTCGGGCACGGTCACAGTGAACTTTTCTAGAAGACAGCAGATGAGCGTCTGATCAGTTCAGAGATGTCTCATGTTTAAAAATAAAACCATTTAGAAACGGCAAAGCCTGGTTAGAGGTGGGCGATAAATCATCATTCATAATATATCCTCAGAAAAATCCTCAATGATAAATATTTGCGATCTCATGATAAACACGATAAATGCAAGTTGATGACGTAAGTGTGAGCGATGGACTCGCAGTCATAGCCCACACAGAGCAGAATAACGAACAAACATGGATGAAGGTCATGAAGGAGACGTTTCTGAGCAGCTCGTTACTGAACGAGGATCCACATGAGGAATTTCCTTCAAGATCAGGGTTTAGATGAGTCTAATCGGGTCTGCCTGACATTGGACAGTGGATCTGCTGCTGTTCACTCTGTGCGATAAGAGTTTTCAACAAATGTTGAAAAACAAACAAAAAAAACGAATATCGGATTATATCAGCCTGCATCTAAAACCTCCGATATCAGCACTCCGATATAAGCAGTCCATTCCAGACTCCGCTCCGGCACCTGTATCTAGCTCGCCCTGATCCAGCATGCAGAGCCCACGTGATCGCAACAACAGTGTGGACTAAAGTACGAACAAAGTAGAGAGGAGTAGGAGAGATGTTGGCTGTGTGGGAGTATTTTTTGTTTAAGTCTGAGAAAGACATCGCAGCTGAGTGCAAAACTTCTCATTCACAATTTTGTGCCAATATCGGATCAATATCGGTATCATTTTGAAGGCTATTGAAGGTTACAATATCGGTATCATTTTGAAGGCTATTGAAGGTTACAATTTCGGTATCGTATTGGAATTCAAAAAGTTGTATCAGGACACCTCTAGTTGAAAATGTTTTAACATTTGAGACTTGTTTGATGTCATTAGTTTTCTCTCTAACCTACCACTCAAACTTGTGGTTAAGGATCTTATTTGACTTCTCCAACTGGTGATCTCAAGACAAAATGAGTCAGAAATAGAGATCGGAATTAGAATATTTTTTATCGGGACTTTTATCATTATCGCCAAAATGGCAAATCTCATCGTGATAAATGTTTGAGTCCATATCGCCCACCCCTAAGCCTGGTTACCTAAGTGTCATGAAGGACCTACCTTTTTTGGTAGAAATGAGCCACTTTGGTGATTCAGAAGGTTCAGATGAACCCATGTCATTTTTAGCATAGACTCTAAATTGGTACTCTCTACCCGGCATGATGTTGCAGGCTGTCCACTTATTGTTAAAGATTCGATCTGCAACAGTGTGCCAGGTTCTTTTACTCGAATCCCGCTTCATCACCATGTAGTGCAGCCTGTCGTCACGTTTCTCATCTGGAGATGCGTCCCATGAGATGGTCACTGTGCCAGGCACGTTCTCATCAATCTCCACAGGGCCTGGTGGCTTAGGCTCATCTGAAGTTCAAATAAATTACATGTATTTTTTATTATGATATATAACAAAACCATTTACATCCAACTTGACCGTTCTGAACTCACCTGTGACTCTGATTTCAATGCTGAATGTTTCTTGACCAACGATGTTTTTCACGACGATCGTGTAGATTCCAGTATCTGAGCGTTCAGAAGAAGCGATCAGGAGCTGGGACGTACCCTCTGCATTGCTAATAGTCACCTTTTTAGACACTTGCACTCCGTCTTTCAGCCAGATGACGTCAGGCCATGGTGAAGCCTGCAGAGAAACAAACAGTTATTTTTATGTCAAATCTGAAGAAGATTTAAGTAGAACATGAACAATCATCCTGGACATGGAAATAACTGAAGTAATCACCTCAAAGTTAATGTTGAACCGTGCAGAATTTCCAGCTCTCACCACCATGAAGCTCTTAATTTTGGCATCTGTAAAACGTGGTCTCACTGCGTAGAAAAGATGGAAACACTCTTTAGTCATCATTCATTTTAAAACCGACATTTTCTCATGGATACAAGTTAACTGAGACAAAGAATGAAATAAAAATGTTGGCCTTTTCACTTTAAAGTTGTCATGTGCAGACTGTTTTTGTTTCTGTTGAAAAAAACTTTTGAAAATTAAACTTTAATGGTAATATTTGATCAATTCTTTAAAGGATTTTTACTTGGGTCAAAAGACTATCAGTCAGTCAAAATAATTATGATGATCATTTTGATCATGAAAAGATAAAAATTACTACTACATGTGATTAGATTGGGATATTAATAGACTCATAAATTCAGATCTTAATTGTATTTATTTAAATTGTTTAATTCTGTACGGAAGTGTATTGCATTCACTTACCAGAAAAAGAAAAAGGAATTTTTTTTAAAAGATTTTTTTCTCCTTTCTGTTTTTCTGACAATTTTTTTTCCTGTTTTTGTACCAATATTTTTTCCCCTTTCTGTTTTTCAGACAAATTTTTATTCTGTTTTTACCACCACTTTTTTTTTCTTTTTTTCTATTCCTGACTGAAACGAGATACTTCAAAATCCTGCGAGAATCTAATACAATCATAACGTTAACCACCGTGGGTGCTTCAAATAGGCAGATTCTGCAGCTCCAGATCTCCCAGTGTCTCAAACCCAAAAGAAAGTAAAAACTTGATTAAACTAAACAAGCGGGGGATGAAAGCTTCTGATTTTTAATGACCATAACCCCAGAGAGTCGGAAAAACAATTAGACTGAAAAACAAAACAAACAAGCAAAAAAGCACTCTGAAAAAAGAAAAATCTGACCAAAAAAATATTCCAAAACACAGAATAGAAAAAAAAATAGTCTGAAAAACAAAAAGGAAGAAAACAAAAAACAAAAAATAGTCTGAAAAACAGAAAAATCAATCTGAAAAATGTAAAGAAAAATATTCAAAGAAACAGAAAAGAAAAAAAAGTCCAAAAAACAGGAAAGCAAAAAAATAAAAAACTCTGAGAAACATAAAAGAAAAAAAAGTAGTCTGAAAAACAAAACAAAACAAATAAACAAACCCAAAAATAGTCTGAAAAACAGAACATCAGTCTGAAAAAATGTGAAAAAATATTTAAGAAAAAAACAGAAAAGAAAAAAAAATAGTCTGAAAAACAGAAAATCAGTCTGAAAAATGTGAAAAAATATTTAAGAAAAACAGAAAAGAAAAAACACTTTTTTTGGTGAATGCAGCACGTTTCCGTAATTCTGGATTCATTTACCCCAACTGGAGCAGTAATTAGGGAATCGTCAATAATTTTCAACATTAAGCTCCAGTCATGTTTTCTCACCAAATCAATTTGATTAAGAAAACATCTATTTTTTTTTGTTTTAATTAATTTTTAGAATTACTTGATCTCAAATCTGAAAGTTAAACCTTCTTTGGACCTGTGTTTATCAAGTTCACTGCAGACCATTTAGTGTTAATCATGGTAGGAAAAGCTGCATGGGTAACCTTGAAGTACTCTTTCTTACCAGGAGGGGGCATAGAAAGGATGTAATTATCCAGTTCCTGTGGCTCTCCCAATCCTCCATCATTAGTAGCAGTGACTCTCACCCAGTACATGGCCATTGATTTTAAGCCTTTCACAGTGTAGGAAGTCATGCTTATTGCATTAGTATTGCAGCGGTCCCATTCTGTGTTTTCTGCAGGTCTGACCTCCACGATATATCCCTTGGCTTCATCCTCAACCCCCTCAATGTCTTTGGGTTTGGTCCAAGACAGGGAAAGATTTGTGTAGGTGGAGTCTGTCACTTTGAAATCCAAGACTTTACCAGGGGGCTCTGAAACACAGGATTCACAGGGTTGCAGTTTTTTTTTAGGGTATATGAACCGTAAAAAAAAACCAGTGATATTTATATTCTTTAATTAATACCCACTTTTAGGATCTCTTGCAAACACAAACTCAGATGGTGAGCTGTGTTCACCCGCACCAGAGTTATTGATTGCCGAAACACGGAATTCATATTCCATTCCTTCAACCACGTCTTTGACTCCATATTCTTTTCCTGTATGTTAGAAAAATCAGAAGTAACAGCATTAAACTGCGGTGTAATTAATTCTGATCAAATACTTCTAAATATGTAACAGTCAAAGTAACCTCTGATCATCTCGTCCTGAGGGTTGACTTGACCCCACAGGTTGCTGCCCTTCTTGCGTTTCTCAAGGTTGTATCCTAGAATATTGGTCCCCCCTGTGTTGGCTGGAGGAGACCAGGTGAGGGTGATGCAGTCCTTAAAGGCAGAAACAACCTTTGGAGCTGATGGAGGGCCAGGGTATGCTGTACACATAAGACAGACAGACTGTGTTAAAAATCAGTATCAACACCAGATTGTTTCAGCTCGAATTGATTGTAACATTTAGACCATAAATTACTGATCTAATGAATCAAGACACAAGAGACCCGCGATTAAGGCTGCCTCTTTAATGTTTGAGGCATTCCCCACAGGGCCAGCAGATGAACTACCGGGGTAAAGGGGTCAGCGGCTGAGGTTACCTCCACACATTTACCAAAAGCGGATCTTTTTACTCAGTCCAGTCAACATCAAACCAGATTTTGAATATTTCTATCTGCCCTCATGACAAAACAGAAACGGTCAGAATCCCATAAGCATGCCGAGCCAGCTGGAGGTAATGAGGTGTAATCAGTCGGTAATTTTAACACACAGTAGAAGAACAATGAGTGTGTGTATATACGTATATATCTATACTGTATGTGTGTGTGGATGTGGCCTAAATTGCTGACAGTTTGGGAACATCAAAAGCCTTCACAGTCATAATAGCTCCCTAATACTTTCTCTGTTTTCCTCTTTAGTGAGAAATAAAAGGATCTAAAACTCCTCCTACCAAATCCACCAAAAAACTGAAAAACTACAAATGCTTTCTTCATTTTGGACTCGAGGACGGTGTTCCTTTCCCAGGTCAACAATGTCATCGAATGCTAATCCTTTCTGCTGAAGGGAACCTCTGTTAGAACTCACTCCACTCTCACAGCAGGGGATCTATTATCTCCGTATCATTTCCTTCAGCTTTGATGTAAAGTTAAACACTTTCATCTTACATCATCTTCTGTACCTTTTGTACCAGCTTGGATGTCCTCCGTCTCCATCAGCTCACTGGTGCCTATTTCAGTCTCGACCCTGATGCGATAGCAGTACCTCCTGCCATGGTCTACATCAGAGTCTTTATATGTGGCCTCTGCACCGATCGGCCCCACCTTTTTCCAGGTGTTGCGACCGACTTGTTGTCGTTCAAGGATGTAGTTGCCGATCTTGCAGCCACCACTGTCCTTGGGTGGCCTCCATTTGAATTCAATATTTGAGGGGGAGGCTTCAACGATTTCCAAAGGTCCCATTGGAGGAGTTGGTTTATCTGTCAAACAGATAAACACGTTTAATAGACATATTGTTCATGACTCCATGTGATAAACTGTGAGAAATCTGTCCGTACACACCAAGTACAACAAGCTGGCTGATGGCCTCAACAGTGCCAAACTCATTTTTGAGTTTAATCTTGATTTCTCCGCTGTCCTTTCGCTGCAGCTTGCTGAGATGGACACGAGTGTAACCCTCGGAGTGCTCCAGCTTGATATTCGACTCGTCTGAAAGCTCTTCACCATCGAGGTACCACTGAACTTTGATGGGATCCCGTCCAATATACGGCATTTTGAAGGTGGCTTTCTGTCCCTTTTTCACCGTCACTGGCTTTTTAAACACCTCCAGTTCCTCGGTATCGAATCTTGGTGGATCTACAATCATCAAGAGAAACAACACAGACATAATAATGTGCTTTCGTGTAATTCTCATAGACTGTATATAGAACGGATGCTGTCTGTGAAGCCACTGTGAGAACAGCACCCTCTGGTGACAGGCTGCAGTATAGGTCATAAATCCTGCGTCCTCCAGCCATCCTTATAGAGCTGTGGACAAACTTCAGAAATCTACTACACAGAATATAAATGTTTCTCCCCCCAGTTGCAACGTTGACATGTAGTTACTGTAATGGGGCGCTCACACCAAGCGCAAGTAAAATCATCTACTCGCTGAATTTGTGCGAATCTAGACGCCCGAATGAACAGTATTCACTCGCTTCATTTGGTAATTCGTCAACAGTAATTTTAACGATAATCCCTGTAAATTCAACTGGCTGGGTCAAGTGATAGACAAAGGATTTTAACAACTAACAATTCGGCTTCAAATTCGTATGATGACGGTCAATGGTAATTCTTGAGCATTAATGAAACATTTATCATAACAGAGACTAAAAGCACTCTGATAACTAATGCAAGAAATAAATGAAAAAGTTTTTACCTTCAACAACGACCAAGGACTCTGTCTTCCTCCCATCGGCTTCAAATTTATATTTTCCAGCAAAGTCCTCGGTGACTTTGTGAATTTTCAGCCTGTGGAAACTTCCCTCTCTGGAGATGGTTAAACCCTCAGATGATTTAATCTGTGAGAAATAAAAACATGATTGTGACACCCTTAGACTATCTATTAAGTTGTTGTTCCACACGATGACAGCAGTAAGAGCCAGGCATTACCTCCTCTCCATCCTTGTACCATTTTCCCTCACAGTCTTCACTGCTCAGTTTACACTCCAACTCCGCTGCTTCTCCAACGATGGCTTTGCAGTCATTAAGTCCAGCGTGAAAGTGAACTCCTGGGTCTGAGGATTATTCATTAACCAGGTAGTTAGTGAAAGCACACTGTGAAACAGCTTAAATGAGTGTAAAAGTCCTTCTAGAGTTGTTTCAAGATCTTGTAATTGTGGATCTACAATTACAAAGAGTTTAACATCCGTGGTCAGATGTGTCCCCACTTACCTTTTTTTCATGAACATAAAAAATCACATTCTCTCTCTGCTTTTTTTTTGTTGATATCATGTATTTTATGGCTTTAAATTTTCTCATAAAATACATGTTTAAATGAAGATTGTCATGAGTAAACTAAAGAGATTATGGGGTGAAATTCGATTCACTTTGAAGATGTCTTCTTGGTTTTTCTTGTTCGGGAGAGTCCATCTTCTCAAGAGTTAAAACCTTCACACGGTTCGTAAGAAAACAGCAAAGTGGCTTTCATTCATATCCCGGCATTTGTTTCCCTGGACAAAGTTGGCGGTGTGAAATTCTGAGATATCCTTCTTTGGTCCTCGGTGAGTGGAGGAGACGAACATGATGTCTTCAGTGTGCAGAGATTTGTGCGGAGGCTTGTTGTCCAGATAAATCAGCTTCGGTTGGCGTCCATCTTCACGTGACGTACAGTAACACCATAAGAGTGTATCTACACACAAGTCGGTCAAGAACGTGACCATCTTTTAAACGATGAACCTCAACGCACCGACTCATCCTGAATAATCGCGAAAGCAAGCAAAAGTGTGAACATGAAGCACAGCAAGCGAGCGTTTTAGACATTTCACATTTACACACACACACATACGTACAACAACACACACACAGTCTGCAAACAAAACACATGAAAGACAGTCTGACACAAAAAACCCGTAACCTAGAAATCAAAGAAGATCTGATTTTTTAGTTACTGATGTTATAATTCGTCACTGTAAACCAGGGAAACAGTTGTACAGTGTGTTTCAAGCAGAAGCTGTTAATGCGTCAGATTGAGATGGGATAACTTCAAGTGATTCTTCTTGAGGTTAAATCCACGCTTGCTTTGCTCTGATCACTCTAAGAGGCCATCCAGGTGTGATGTTAATGCTTCGATCACTGAGAAAGTCATCTTCACATGAAATGACTTTGGACAGTGACTGTGCTCTCCATGCAGCGATTAAAGCAGCACCAGTAATCTTACCACTAACTGTCTCCACCATCAACGGGCCTCGCTTTGCACGGCCTGAACGCTTGCCAGCTGTTGCTGGCTCACCTCCGTCTGCACCCTCACCATATCCAGCTGCTGGCCCAGTGTCATTATCACCACTGACACCGCCTGGTTCTGTGTTTTTTTTTGTTTTTCAGTTCAGGGGAATATCATCTTAATAAACATCAATCCAACGTTTCTCGTCTGATGTTGGATATCTTATCAATAACATCAATGAAAACAATGACAAAAACTGCAAAGATGTCGCATAACAATATTTAACACAATGACATTTCAATAAGGTATTTGTACACACGCCACATACATATATGTATATATATACTGTATATATGTGTATATATATAAACATGAAGTGGCCCTTTTCATGTTTCAACATCTGTCGGTTATTCACCTTTAATTTGTGTAAAATCTTCTATTATGACAATTTTTATGTGAAGGTGTTTATAACCACAGATTGACAAACATGTAGACAAACATAAAAGCAAACATGATGAACACACACACAAAAAAACACACTCAAAGAAGTAAAAATGGGCTTAAGTGTCAAAGAAGCAGAGAGTGCAGAATTTAGAGTCGCATAAATATGCTGAACTTTTTCTGCTTCTCAAGAGACGAACAACGGCAAACTGACACAGATACGACAAACACAATTAACAGACGATTGTTTTTGGAGTCGACTGGCAGAAAAAGTGTTTTAGAGTTATGTTCCACAACATACCTCTAAAACTGAGCAACGTTCATACAAAGCTGTGATAAAGCAGATTCTGTCACTGCGGTGTGAACAGGACCTTGAGTTTATCGGGGAATTCACTGTTGGACCTTTTGCCACCAAAAGTTTTGGTACAGCGTAGCAAAGTAGAGCTCTGCAGATTCTCTACTCTTGTTAATGCATCTATATTATTTTCTCTGGCGACATTGTCAAAGTCATTTTGGTTTTCAAATGACTTCACTCGTCAGTATTTAGTGCAGCATGCATCCCTCCACATCTCTTACCAACAACTGCTTCGTCAACCTCCACATTTCTCTTTTTGGGGCGTTTTCCTTTTTTCTTAGATTTTTCACCTTGTTGGTCTGTTTCTTCCTCATCATAATCATCTCCTGATAGTGATAACATATTTATACAGAAGTAGGTCAATGCAGAGTATCAATACTTTTGGAAAATATTCTCACAGTCAAAGGATTTTGATCAATTTAATCTAGTCAAAGCAATTATGTGAATTTTTTTATCAAATTGTTGAAGGACTGAAAAATAAAATTTTTGGTTTTTCTCCCTATATTACAGTTAGGGCTGCACGATTATTCGGTTTTAAATCGTAATCAGATTATTTGATTATGACGATGTTAAAAAAATTAAATTTGTCAAATTGATTTTCCTCTCTATCATGTCTCGTGCCTCCAGGCCACCATAGGCTCCTCCCCCTTCCTGTGGGAGCTCTCCCCAGTTCCCACACACACCAGTGTAAACAAACATGGCGTTTGCTAAAGAAGGCGATAATTTCGTGGTTAAATAGGACAAGAGCGAGTCAGTCGTGTTGAATTGGTACGACTTCACAGTTTCAGATGAAGAGCAAACCACTCCGCGCTGTCTGTCTGAAGGCGGTATCAACCCGTCCACACTGAAACGGCGTTTCAGGTGACTGTAAACGGTACTATTTGAAAACAGGTCAGAGAGTGAATAAATCTGTAAACGACGACCATTTCATCTCCATGTGGATGTCTATCTGTATCTCTGAAAACGATCATGTGACACACAGCGTAACTCTTTTATGGCGCCTGAGCATGTCCGACTAAAACAACCTTAATACACATGCTTTTTCCATGCGGCACTACAGCGCCACTTACTGGCTTGGCATATGCACTACATGGTTTTCAGTGATTTCGTTTTGAGGGATGATAGAAAGAAAAAAAAAGTATTTTAAGTTTGATGAAGTTGTCACAAAAATCAAAAATCGAGTTTTCAGAGAAAAAAATCAGCATTTTATTTTTGTAAAATCGTGCAGCCCTATGCTGCAGTAAACAAACGACTAAGTGGGTAAAAAGTTATATCCTTTAAAATCTCTTACCATCAGCCCCTTCTTCACCATCTGCACTTTTCTTTTTGGGGCGTTTTCCTTTTCTCAAAGATTTTTCACCATGTTGGTCTGTTTCTTCCTCATCATAATCATCTCCTAATAGTGATAACAATAATGTCATCAAAAATACTGTAATACAGCATAACACTTTAATACTTAGAAAACTCCCCCACCGATATTTTAGGCAAACTGATCAGTTAAATCTGGTTAAAAGAATTTACATCCAGTTATTGAATTTATGAATTATTCAATCATATTGTATAGGGATTTAAAAAATAAAGATTTAAAGTAATTTTGGTATAATAAAGTAAACAAATTTAAAAGCATCCTTTTAAAATCTCTTACCATCGGCCCCTTCTTCACCATCTGCACCTTTCCTTACAGAGCGTTTTCCTTTTTTCCCAGATTTTTTACCTTGTTGATCTGTTGTTTCCTCATCATAATCATCTCCTAATAGTGATAACAATAATGTTACCAAAAATACCGTAATGCAGTATAACAAATAAATACTAATGTTGGAAAACTTCCCTACCAATATTTTAACTGCACTGATCAGTTAAACTTTGTTAAATGAATCTAAATCTTGTTATTGAAATTATTTATTATTTTATCATATTGTATAGGGATTTAAAAAATAAACTTTAATTTTGGTATAAAAGTAAATAAAATTTACAGCATGCATCCTTTTAAAATCTCTTACCATCAGCCCCTTCTTCACCATCTGCACCTTTCCTTACAGAGCGTTTTCCTTTTTTCCCAGATTTTTTACCTTGTTGATCTGTTGTTTCCTCATCATAATCATCTCCTAATAGTAATAACAATGATGTTACCAAAAAAAAAAAGTCATTCAGCTTTACACTTAAATACTAATTTTGGAAAACATCCTCACCAATATTTTAACTACACTGATCAGTTAAATCTGGTTAAATGGATCTAAATCTTGTTATTGAAATTATTTATTATTTTATCATATTGTATTGGGATTTAAAAAATAAAACCTTTAATAATTTTGGTGTAATAAAGTAAATTAAATTTACTTTATTACATGTTTTTGAAGTCTCTTACCATCAGCCCCTCCTTCACCCTCTGCACCTTTCTTTACGGGGCGTTTTCCTTTTTTTCTAGATTTTTCACCCTTCTGATCTGTAGTTTCCTCATCATAATCATCTCCTGATAGTGATAATAAATGTCAGAATGTCACTAAAAATCACTGTACAGTACTTATTACCATCATTTTTTAGCGGAAATTTTAAACAAAAATTAAACATATTTATTAGTTAAATTTAAGTTTGAAATTTCTCAGAATTTTTGGTCCTTTGTCTTTTTTTTGTTGTTTTTTTGTAGTTTCTTGACTTGATTAAATAATTTGTGGAAAATCTTAAGATAATTAAGAAGTGTAGACAACAGACTTAAAGAAAAGACATTAATCAACATACATCAAGACTTTGACTGAGAGAGTGGACAACATTAGCTGAATTTAAGAGGTTATTTTTTTTTAACTTAAACATTTTAACAAACAAAGAGTTTTTTTTTTTCTTACCTATGACTGTATCTGGAACGAGTGGACCGTCTCTCACACGTTTCTTGCGTCTTCCACCTTTTCCTCCTTCTCCCTCTTCTCCCTCTTCTCCCTCTTCACCCTCTCCTCCCTCTCCATCTTCTCCACCCTCTCCTCCTTTGCCTTTCCTTCCTTTTTTACCCCTTTTCCCTCCTTCCCCTCCTTCTCCACCTTCCCCTTCCTCACCCTCTAAGTCTGAATCTTCGAATGAATCATCAAACTCATCGTCACTTCCACCCTCACCAGCCCCGGCTTTTCTTCCAGCTCTGCCCCCAGCTCCTGCCCCGCTTCCATCTCCTCCCAAACCTTCACCACCAAGTCCATCAACCCCTGCACCACCAGCACCATCAGGGCCTCCAGCACCCCCTGCACCCCCTGCACCATCAGCGCCTCCAGCAGCACCCTTCCTTGTTCTTCCTGCAGCAGCTGCATCTTTGGCAGCTGCGGCGGCTGCGGCCCTCTTTGCCTTCGCTGCGGCCTTTGCGGCGGCCTTAGCTTCGGCTTTAGCTTCAGCCTCTGCCTTCTTCGCTGCTTCAGCCTCGGCTTTGGCGATCGCGTCTGCAGCTTCTCTCTCAGCTTGTTCCTTCTTTGCTTTTTCCATTTGTTCTTCCATTTTCTTCTGGTATAATTCCTGTTGTTCTTTAGCAATCCTTACCAGATCTTCATCACTGCTGGCTCCAGCCATGGTAGTTTTGCGACCTGCCTTCTTTCCCTTATTTGCAGGATCTTTGTCAGCTGAAAAACATAAGTGTCCATGTATTTGTAAGTTTAAGTTGACATTTACAAACAATGACATAGTGAAACATATTTGACATCGATTCATGCGATCAGAGTTACACCTACTCAAAGAGAAAGTAGAAAGTCACGAATTTTCTCACCTTCAACTATAAGCCAGGCGTTGCAAGATTTGATTCCAGCCACAGCAGCGTATATACCGCCATCTAAAGGCATACAGTCTCGCACAATCAACTTGTGGATAAGCTTGTCCTCAGAAACACTAATTTCAAACTTTTCACTGTTTGTTAAAGGGGCGCTTTTGCCAAACCATTTCAAATCTGCCAAAGGTGCAGTCAGGACACACTGGAAGAGGGCGTCCTCTCGTTCCTCTGCCTTCACCTCTTGTATTTTGACTGCAAATTCCACCTCAGGTACTGCAGGGTTACACCAAAAAGAGAGGTTTGATTAGCATCAATTAAGTCAATCTTTGTTCTATCTACCAACATGGTCTTGTTTGAATCGATTCATCGACTATTCTAACTGTAAATTAAAGAAGTTTTATTGCATTCACCTACAAAAACAGGCTTTTTATTCTTCTATTTTTTTGTTCTAATATTTTTCCCCCTCTTTCTATTTTTTGGACAAATTTTTTATTTTGTCTTTCAGACAATTTTTTTTGACTAAACGAGGTACTTCAAAATCCTGCGGGAATCTCATACAATCAGGAGCAGAGGGGGATGAAAGCATCTTTTTTTGAATGATCATGACCCTAGAGAATAGGAAAATCCATTATTTTGAAAAATAAAACAAAGAAAATTCAGGCCGAAAAAGAGGAGAAAAGATATACCGAAAAACAGAAAATGTTAAATCAGTTAATTAAAAAAAAAAAAAAAACGGCCAAAGAACAGAACATCAAACTGTTACTCTGAAAAAAGGTTTTTTTTTGGTGAATGCAATGCGCTTCTGTAGTAAATAAAGAAAAAAAGATATAAAAAAAAAAACATTTTTGGCAAGCAACAATACATGTGTAAGCCTTAGTAAGTAAATAAAAACCCTTTAGGATTGTCTTTTTCATGAAGAACATACCTTTAAAGTTTGTGGAGAAAACATTGACTCCTCCAACATCCACTGAGTAAAGTCCAGCATCATCTGAACCTAATTTTTTAATCTGAAAGATGTATTTTTTGCCGACTTGTTTCAAACAATGCTTTGTTTCTTCTGCGTCTTCTTTGGTGAATGGAACCATGACACCATCCTGTAAAATTTGAAGGCCTTGTTACCATGTTGACAGGAGATGATGTCACATTGTAAAGGTTTAACAGTTACAGTTCGATGGGGCGCTCACACCAAGCAAGTAAAATTATTTGAGGGAATGAATGACATGCTAAGTCAATGCAGAGACGTGACTGGATGCTCGTACTACTCTTGTGTCATTCACGCGAATGACTCGCTCAATTCGTGAGAATGACTCGCTCAATTCGCGCGAATGACACAAGAGTAGTACGAGCATCTAATCGCGTCTTTGCATTGACTTAACATGTAATTGAGCGAGTCATTCGTGTGAATGACGCAAATTACTCGCTTGAGAAAATATCTCAACTCAAGCGAATATTCGATTCCAAGGTGACGTATGAAAACGGACCTGAAGATGTTCACTGGTGTGAAAATATCTATGCAAATCGTTTTTGCCTGCCGGAGACAGATGGACAGGCGCTTTGCAGCTGGGATAGAGCGCCTGTTATTGGTATCCTGGAGGGATATCCTGGCACCGACCCTCACCAACAGGTCGTCAAATTGGATGTTGGTAACATGAAAATACTGCTGGAAATGGCCGCCCTCTGGGTGCAGCTATTGGAGGAGACCCAGACATGGTGACGCCTACATTTCTAATGGTTGTGGGTCTTCCTCAACAAAAACAAAGCAGCAATCTGCTGAACGTGGTTCACTCCTACCATGCTTGATGGAGACTCTCCCGCTCTCTCGTATCCACGTCTTTTTTAACAAAGACAGGAATAAATAGAAGCTCACCTGGAGGAAAGTGAGTGAGGAGGTCGGGTTATCTGGTAAATTATAAAAACCGTTGTCTATCACTTTTATCCCGCCGGCTGAATTGGCAAGGATCACTGCTGAAATTAGCATGAACGGCTATACGTGGTTTTTAAGCACTGTGCTGACATGCAAATCGTGCGAATGGACTTCAATGATTGTCCCAAATAGAGCGAGTCATTAGCGCGAATGAAGCGAGTAAATACAATTCATTCATGCATCTAGTTTTGCACGAATTAAGCGAGTAGAGGATTTTACTTGTGCTTGGTGTGAACGCCCCACAACAGTTTAACAGTTGACGCCTTACCTTGTACAAGAAGATTTTGCTGGCTGGATCCTTGAGGTCCATGTCCAACTCAATTGTCGCACAATCATCATCATCGACTTCAATATGCTTCAGTTTACTGATATGGGTCACAAACTAGAGAGATAAGAAAGACACAAATTGCCAATATAGTAAGAAAGACCAAACGACTGCTAACACGGGATAAATGAGATACCAAACATCGAACATTTTAAGAAGTAATGACATTAAAGGTTGTTAAAACTAAACAAGAATGAACAGACCACATACCTCTGCAATCTCCTCCTCTCTCTCCTTTTTCATTTCGGTAAGTTTCTTGAGCATACCGCGGAAGTCTGTGATTCCATAATCTACGCAGATTTGTTCGTAGTCTTTCTTTTCTGCACTGAGGAGAATTTCCCAGACCTTCTCCTCGGGCTCCATCGGCTTTTCTTCTCGTGTCCCATCAGGATTACTGTAAAGCGACTCTTTCTCTTTAGTCTTTTAGTCTCACACAATGCTAACTGCCATACGACTGTGCTTTTTAAAACTTTTTAAAACAACATTACTAGCATGAGATTTTAAGTAAGCTTACTTTTTATCAGAGAAAAAGAAATCTGTTTCAGTATCTGAAATGTTGGCACTGCTTTTGATGAAAGAGAGTTTAAATGATCTGCAAACCAATCTGCTTTTTTTAATCAATATGTATAAAATCAGCATCCGACTTTTAGGAGTAGATGTACTATACTCAAATATACAAATAAGTTTGTAACAGTTTACTTACCGTTTCTTAAGATTTTTTCTGAATTCTGTTGCATCTGGGAGACCTGAACAAAAACATCAGCCCATCACTCACAGCCAAATTATGTCTTTTGTTGTGAAACACTATTGAGTTTAACTAAAAGTTTATGAATAATAAAGAAACCCAGGGTTCCTATGAAAGTATGGAAAAGTATGGAAATAAATTTGATCAATTTCCAGACCTTAAAAAGTATAGAAAATGAAAAATAAAGTATGGAAAAATATGTATATTTCCAGTGTGTTACCACAGTTCTGAAGTACTGTTTTCCAAAAATAATTCTAAAAGAAAAGGTTTGGGAAAGTATGGAAATTCCAACTGTGTAGGAACCCTGAAAACTGGTTAAAAAAAGACAAAAGAAAAAAAACCATCCTATTTCTTAACATATTTCATAACCCAATGACTTCTAAAAAGGTGCATGGACATATTTTATCAGTCATTAATCAATCATGATCTTTAAGAAAAACATGATTTTACAGAAACCAGCTTTTAGTTTGAAGCTTTGAGGGGAAATCTGTTCATTTTGGGTCATTTTAGCAACAAATAAGTAAAGCTCCACCAGAATTTTTTACTTTATTAAAAAGAACTGGACTGAGTTTTCTCAACTCTACACAGTCCAGTTGCCTGATTTTGGAGTCTTCAAGAAAACCATGACCTGGATGAATGAGAATCTACATGGACATAGACTAGCAAACCGTGCACATTGACGTCATTATGCTTATCTCTGAAGTTCTTTTGATAACCTTAAACTGACACATCAGAAATAAGAATACCTGGTAACACATTACTCTATGCGGATCTTATCCTGTCTACTGAATTCATAACTATTCTGAAAGACCTATAATCTAAGAGCTCTATTTAAAAAAAACTAACTCTTTCTGTTTTTAAAAAACAGACAAGGAGACCCCTCATTTTTTTATGTATTTGTATATTTTATATGAGAACTGAGAATGCCAGCACTTATTCAAATATTGTTTTCATTTTACGACTTACCTTCATTTTTCTTTTGAAGTTCTTTGGTCTTTGAGAACCCAACTTTAAAAAGAAAATTTACTCTGTTAATATTGTGATTCTTGTACAAATGTACCAAAATAGTAAGACAACACATCTACTATTGTTGGTCATAATTATGAAACACAATAATTCCAGGGAATCCTACCCGAAATAACGTTCAAGACAGCCGTGCAAACAGCCCGTCCATGTTCGTTTGTTGCAAAGCACTTGTAGGTGTCAGCGTCCTCTGGAGCCACCTTAGGAAACTATTGAAACACAAACAGGGAATAAATGTCATTTCCATTTTCTTTAAAAGCATGTTGAGTTCAGACTACTTGAGTTCTTTTCCACATTAAATGTCTTTTACCTCAAATAGAAGCTCAGGTGTGAATATCTAGATTTTAAATCTCACTGCGACATGTAAATCTTACCTCTATGGTATGCTCACGAGACGCCTCGTCATATTTCTGCTGGCACATATCAGGGTGGAAGTGTATTTCTCCGTTTGCCCTGCTCCATGTTACTTTGGGTGTTGGGGTTCCCACTACAATGGCTTTAAAGATTGCCGTTTTACCTGGAATGAGATTTGAGTAGAACTTAACAGGAGCGTACAGAGAGTATGTTTAGAGAGAATTGTACAAGACCACTTTAACGTCTAGAAATGATGGATACTCCCTGATATAATTCATGAGAATCAAGATTTGGTCAGGCTCTTTGTTCAGACAAATGATCACATATGTTGATTGACTGGTTGATTGATACAGTGTACTAACTTCCCATTCAACAGTTGAAAGTGATCAGTTAAAGACTTACCCTCTTGAATAGTCAGAGCGATGGGTTTCCTGGTGAAATCAGGGGTTGACATTCCTTCTGGAAGTTCCTCTTTAAACTGAGTTATCATCACACCAGGCACCTTTGACTTCTTTCTGATACCTGATCAAATAAAAATAGATATTAAAAATGAGCCTCTTTCTAGTATAGAGTGAAATGTCAGAATAAGAAGATTCAGCAAAACATGAAACTGTTAATTATTTTGAGAAGTGACCCCCGTGAATCTCCAAAGAATGAGTAGATAAAACATTTATAAGGAGTGTTTGAGACTATTTAGGTGTAATTCAAACTTTGATGATAAATCTAAACCCCGGGCAAAGTGCCCAATGAGTGTCTGATAGACTTATCTCTACATTTTGAATTTTGGGATGTCTTGCAAATTTGTATTGCGAGTAAATTAAGATAACACGAATGGTTTCAAAGCTAACAGGTAAGTCAGTTGACACCTTCACTGTTTTGTTTGTGCTCTTTAACTTCAACTTTACAGCAGCTTATAAAGTGGGCTGTTTTGTCATAACAGTAGTATGGTTATAAATCAGATGCCTTAGCACTGGTTTCATCTTTTTTAAATGTTAAAAAACAAATAAATATATTGACCAACCTTTTGCCTCCCCACTGGCCTCTCTATTAGTAGTGCGTGTTCAACGCTGAAATACACATGCACTCAAAAGTGTTTGTGAAAATGCAAATCTCAGCTGTGATAAACTAATTATTTATACTGAAATCAGTTCAGAAGTCTTGCCATAAACATGAATGTTTATGTCGTGTTTAAAACGTGAGTGGTTAATTTAAAGTTGAACATTGTTTGTGTTTAAAGAGGACCTATAATGACCAGTTTGGGATCTCAGTTTTGACTTTACTGACGGACACGAATGGATTAGTGATCAGCTATTTTTATGAACTTCTTTAAGCTCTGAATGTGGCCTCTTATATAAACTATTTTTCTTCCAAATGTGAAGAATATTTTTGCTTGTTTGACAAAGTCTGTCCTTGCAAACATGTTAGAAAACCATCTCCGTTTCTGTTTCTGTAACAGATCCGTTTATTTCACAGCCTTCTGTCTTGACTGACTTAACCAAGTTTGAATTACAGTAAAGACTGGTGCAAACTGAACACCACTGCAGCTTTTGGTTTAAAAATAAAACTCAAACAAGGCCACTGTAACTCATGTCAAACAATACCCTTCGTCTGATTGGCTACTGAAGTAGGAGCATTGCATCCTTTTTCCTGTGAACTGTTAAGTTACATTCATCGTTTCTCAGTCATAATCAAGATGGCAACTTTCCAAAACCGTCTGTACATGTTTCATCCTGAATTTGATCCAGAATGAGACCATGTGCAACTTCAGCAACAAAAGATTGAACACATGTTCTCTCTCTATAGGACTGTTTCCTCTGTTTTACATGAATAAATTACATCTCTCAAGTAGTCAAAGCTCCATAAACATTTTGCACATACGGCCCAGTCATGAGTCAGTAATGTATAAATAGTTTAAAACTGTCTCCTTCAGAAAGTGATTAGAGCAGGTAACCAGTTACAAGAGTCATTAGTGGGTGGGAGGGACGTTCTGATTACTGACACTACGATGGCATTGTGGTCTGAAATATATTATTCTACATCTACGACCTCTGAATTAAAGTGATTCATAAAAGTGACTAACATTCATCCAGACAGAGTATCAGATTGTCTGATTGTATAAATGTTAAACATTATAGGTCCTCTTTGACTTCAGAAGTTATTGTGGTGTGCCTAAAGACAGCTGACACAGAGTTGGTCTCTGGTCTAACAGACATTGAACTTTATTTTAGGGATCGTCATCAAATTGTTTTGTTTATGAAAATTTTTTTGTGAAGATTCAATTATTTCTTTTCTCAGATATTTTTTGTTTTTATTATGAGGCAGCAGATTACGTAATGATTATAACTGTTGGATGAAGTTGAACGTGTGGAACAAAATGGAACTTTTGCAGTTTTACGAAGAAGGTTACAAAAAGCACTTTGCTTGTAATGAATGAATGCATTAATTTTCTGTAAGTATAGTCACAAAGTATGAAAACTGTCATTAATTAAACCCCATCTCGCTAGATTCAGTTTAGACTGTGGGCACTTCGATGATGGAAAAGTTGGCAGACAGGTCAGTGCCCTACAAATTTATCTGGATCTGATTTTGTTTGTTAGACGGACACATCGATACAGGTTGTATTGTTTTTGCAGGAGTCCCAAAGTCCCGAGATAACTAAAATGGACTAACCGACAACAACCTCAAGGGGGCATCACTGAATGCTGATCACAGGAGTTCAGCTGGTCCAGGGGTCCCTGGTCTCTAATTATTTTCTCTTGGCATGTAAGACCTGCAATAGGCAGAATATGAACTACAGAGTATGTGGTTTAAGTGAGCAGAGATGAGCATGGGGCCCCGGCGTTTTGCACTCTGAAGCACGTTAGAGAAAGATTGCTGGTTGTACATTGATGAGAGCTGAAAACGTTACGTGAGTTTGGCGGTGGACATTGTTAAAAGCCAAGATGTTTGCATGGAAATATTGGTCATTCTGTTCAAGCTGCATGTCTAAGCCAGACATTGATTTCATGGGTCAGTCGGCAGAAAGTTTGATGGAGTATAATTGGCATAAATTTGGTACAGAAAGATTTTTTTTTATCCTAAGTTGATTTCAAATGAGTTTTGAATACGACTATTTTTGTACCCATCCCCAGAATCTTAGGGTCATACACAGGCCTTTACCACCAAAGACTGGAGGTTTCTCGTTCTAAATGCCTCTCACCTAAAATAAAGACTGCACCGGTCATTTTATTTTAAAGAGTTGCTCTCCTTGTTAGTACTACAAGATTGAATTTTACTGTATTCTTTTTGCATTGCTCTCGTTCCCAGACTCTGTGTTTGGCATGGAATGGTGAATGCCAACCATCCATCTTTTTTGTCTTTTTTTTCTAACCAGGATTGTCTGATTGAGACAATTAGTTACCTAAAAAGTCACAGTATGTCGGTGTGCTCTAGGTTAAATGTTTTTTAAAATTGGTTTACCCTCAATTTTTATCATTAATAGCTATGTACACTTTTGTAGTTCAGCAGAGATAAATGCACATAATTTTGTTACAGGGATGGGCGGGTATATTTGACTTGGTTGGTCACTAATTGACACCAGATTGCAAGCCAATTAATTTATAAATATTTATTATCAATACGGTTCTAAAATCTTGGTCTCAAATTGTAGCAGACCCCTTCACGTGCTGGACCTGTAGCTATGGCTGCAGATGTTACATCCTGTTTAACATTTTTTTTTCTTTTAAATAGTGCTATTAGTAATATATTTTTTTAATGGTGCTGAAAGTAGTTTTTTTTTTTTTTTTTAAATAATGCGGAACTTTTTTTTTTTTTTCTTAAGACCAGTTAACTCGTCAGAATTTGACTTTGAAACTGTTTGGAAATGATTTGCATCAGAACATCCCCAGTTACATATACCTCTATTTTGGACCCAGAATGTTAACTTGGGTGACCGTATGTCCTCTTTGACCCGGACATGTCCTCTTTTGGGGGCTACCCGGTCTGTCCAGAGGGAGTTTATAAAACCCTCCAAATGTCCGGGGCTTTGTATCGAAGCCTGTTTTTTTTTTCACTAGCAGAAACGGGCTTCCATAGTTTTGAGTTTGTGTAGCGTGTACTTTATCTTGGCATCACGAACTGTTGTATTTACCAAACACGTTCAATGGTTCATTTGGAAACACACTCTGAGAGGCAGATTTCCACGCTGAACCCTGGAACATGTATTAATTCATTGTGAAACAGTGCAGCGCATCAGTGCGCTCTGCTGCTCTGCTCCTACTCTCAGTTCAAAGCAAACCCACTGATGTGACGCACGCATGCTCTGTCTGCCGGTGAGCGAAAGAAAAGGGAGAAATATTTGTTTGTGACTGTTTGTGATTTTTTTCATTCATTTTTTAATTTCATTTTTCAGTATTTTTCATTATCTCCAAGAGGCCTGGTTAAGTGTCTTTTTGGGAATTCAGAATATGCGTTTAACTGAGTAAGAAGTGCGTAAAAAACACTCGACCCAACCCGGAAAAACCCTTTACCCTCAGTAAATGTAGTCGGAAAATCTCAAGGGAATCCAGAGAGGGAGGCGTTATAGGGACACTTAATCTCATTTGGTGCTCATCCCAAGAAAGTATGATTCATTTGTAATCTTTCCAGTCATACCAAATTCATACTGTTTGCAGAAAATCAGGAAAACTGTAGGGGCCAGTCAAATTAGATCGGTTTTAGAAGAGATGGGGTCACTTCTTTGGGAAGTCCCATTGGGTAAGTTCAATGATTGAGTCTAAACTGTGCCAACATATCCTGTACGTCCTTCAGTTACACGATACGACACATGGAAATCAACGGCAGCAAGAGCCTGGAGCTAGTTTTCAGACTCAATACAGGAAGTTGGTTTAGATGTCACAATTGAATGCATCTGTTGTGACACTGAAAGCTGACTCATCCATTTTTGGATGACACCTTTCAATGGGTGATGAAGACCACATCATACATGCAACTCACCCAACATGGAGTCATGCACTTACAGACGGTGAGTCGATGGTTTGTTTTCACATTTGCTACCATACCTTTGTCTTCAGGGTGACTTCCCTCAGAACCGTCGACTTAACATATAACATGACAGCAGGAGAAGGAACAGGACAGGTAAATATTAATCCTGACAAAAGCACCATGGCAGGTTGGAACTTCGACAGGATTATGGAAACGATCAACGTGAAACACAACACTGTACAGTATATCCCCGGAGAGGGAGGCACGCACACGGACACACCTTTCACAATCACAGAACAGGATATTCAGAGACAGAGACACATCACATTACGAAAGATGGTTAGTCCGACAAAATACCGTTCAACGTGTTAGCAGTGTTGTTACAGCAGCATGTGAATATAGCTGTGCTGTGCAGCTACGGATTAGACTTAACTTCTAGCTGGCGTGGGCGATTTCTCACGGCTGACGTCTCAGGATGATTCTTGCACAGTGCTTGAGAAAAAACTATCCACAGATCTTTTTTTGGGATTTAAATCAACGCTTCATTTCTTCTTCCTCTTCCGAGCATAAACACTAACTTCATTTTCAGTCGTCTTTAATTGTAGCAGAGGCTGGTGACTGAGTCGATTCTCTGTGAAGAGTCTTCCATCATTCGTGCAACCACCAGCTGTTTCTTCGCACTGTTCTTCCGATGACATTCGTTTGACATCTGTTGCATGAGGAGGTTCTCATTTCTTAACATCAGTGAGAAAAAGTTAACTTGTATTTCATGTGTTGGCATCTGGAATATACATGATCACTCATACGGCAGGCTTGTCCTTGTGCAGCTTGTTGAGTAGCGTCAGTACAGCTCAAAAAAAGTATAAAAATAAGGAACAGGTCTTCGCTTGGTGTCTTTGACATCCTTGCTGAAATCCATGGATCTCTGTCTGGACTGGCTTTCACGTTTTAAACTCGGCTGTGGCTCCTGTCCTGGTCTTCACCTCCTCGCTTCATACAAAATTCTTCAGACATCTCGAATGTTTCCCATCCTCTGTAAGGAGCTTTTTGTTGACATTGAACCTTATTGATCGATGAAGTCCAATGTTTCCAGGTTGGTCTTCCTTTTCAAAATCTTGTTTTCAGAAATGCAATCTCGTGTTTCTGAATTTTGCATCAAGAACTGGTCGTATGACCAGACTCAATACTGCTGATTGTATTTCCTCAGATAAGATGAAATATGGTTTCAGACATTTGCAAAACTAAAAACCTTACTGACCTCTTTCGAGAGGGCAAACATCACCCTGCACTCCTGCACTTACCCGCCTGCCCAGCGGCAGTTTGATCGGTCACCTTTGACTTCTTCCACATCTTGGCGTCCTCTCGAGCTCTGCTGATTCAGAAGGCTCTGTCACTGAAAGACCAAAAAGATAGAAGAGGAGAGACCATTAACACGACGTGACACGTGAATCGAAAACAACTCAGAGCTGACAGTCTCTTTAGAGATTGAGGTGTCAACTCGTGAATGGGTATGGCTCTTAATCAAGTCTTTTTGAACATGCCACTCAAAGGGTAAAATTGATTCAAGGAGGAGACTTTCTTTCACACTGCAGTTACTTGAACTGGTCAGTGAGAGGCAGAAAACAGTGGACTTGCACTTTATGTGGGATGGGTATCTATCTCAGGAATCCATTAAAGCCATGTGATAATTGATATGGAACTGGTAAAAGCCTTTAATTAACCAGGAGTTCAGTTATGAGCTAAGGTTTACAGCAGCCCTACTGCACTGAGTACGGAAGTATCGAGTACTTGCTTTTAACTCATGGGAGTCTAAGGTTTGAGTCAAAACCACTTAACATGTCAAGGATGAAGTAATTTAGTGCTTTTCATTGTCTTTGGTCAGGTTACACTTCAAATGGTCCTTCAAACATGTTGAAACCATAGATTGTATGTATTATGGACAACTTGGCTGTGCCTGTCGTCATTATACGAATTTGTAGCCGAATTTCTCTCAGTATTTCCGGGATTTTCTCCACTTCCTGGAACCACCAATTGTGCAGTAGCATTGTAGCGGGAGAGTCGCTGTGATGACGCTCGGCTCAAACAGCGACTCTCCCGGGTGAGCGACCCAATCTCTGTCCTCCCATAGGCTGTATCAAGTGTCAATCATAGAAAACATGAACCCCCTAATAACTTTTAAAAATGGAGCTGTACAGAAAAAAGAGGACTAGAGCACAAACCAGTCTGACAGTAACTACATGTCAACATCACAACCAGGAGGGAGAAACATTTATATTCTGTGTCATTAATTTATAAAGTTTGTCCACAGCTCCATAAGGAGGCGGGGTTTATGACCTATACTGCAGCCCGTCACTAGAGGGTGCTGTTCTCGCGGTGGCTTTACACATGGCATCCATTCAATATACAGTGTATGGTGAAAATAAGATTTATATCTGGCATCACGTATATGTTCATCCTAGAATATTTGTACTGAGATGTTTTGACAAGAACTGAGATTTCACTCATGGAGATTTGAGCTTTTTCAGTGAAGACAGGACGTCTTCAGTCAGGAAGTCAATGGACAGCTTGTGTGTTTTTAACTTCTTTTACTCAGTGACTGATAATACACAGAGGTCAGCTGAGTACAATACTTTTTACAGTAACATAAATAAATCCAAGTAGTTTCTTTTTCCCTCCCCTGGGGCTGAGATAGAAAAACATGTACTGCCTTGAGGAAATCCCAACCTCAGCAGTTTTTATTCTTTTTAGCTCGTTAAAAAAATACGCTGTCATTTAACGAGTAAGTTCATAATTTTAAAAAGGAGTAAATAGATCTTACACTCAGACTGGAAGCTTGTTTACCAGAGCACTGATGGGGTCAAGATCTCAGCTGTAAGACATCAGAACAGTTTTTATGAAAATGCCCACAGTAATACGACACTTACAGGGATCACAATGTGACACTTACGAGGATCAGAAGTGACTCATATTTTATACGCGTCATATTCTTCTGTTGTCAAAGGTCACAGTCGTCACTTTAAGCCATTCCTATTTTTTGTTCTTGTAAAACCTGACCTTATGACTCTCAGCTTAAGAGGTCCTGATTTTCTCATTGGACAGGCATTGACAGTAGGTGTGGTTGTGTGTCTGCATTAAATATTGTTTTCATTATAACTCTGCAGCAGAGAATATTGTTGACACTGAGAGGTGAGTACTCTTCAACCTCTGCTCTTTGTCATGCTTGGTGTGAAAACTATTACCCTAAAGTAGAAGTAGTTCAGAGTGAAGTTAACCAATGATTCCGACTGATCGATGATAACCGATAAATTGGTAGGAGCAACCGGAGCTGAATGAAAATGTTTGACTGTAACCAGATGGTGGCTGATGTGTGTGGATGAAAAATCATAACTGACTGCATTGGCCTTCACTGGGCCTGGATATGTTTGCATGTTGTATGAGATAAACTTCTAATTGAGTTTGAATCATGGTTCACCTCATGATCTTATATTTTAGAAACATTTGGATTAAACTGTATCTGTTTTCTGAAAACTTCATTTTTTTATTTCTCTGAATCAATAAATATCTGTGTTGTTAAGGGAACACATGTTAACTGTTTATTAGTTACTTATATGCTCTTAATAACTCATTATAAATCTTTAATAACACCTTGTTCTGCATGGTTGTAATCTTTTTTTAACCATTAACTGAAGGGTTTCCCTTAAATTACTTTATAATGACGACTTGTTCATAGGAAATAAAGAAGTTGAGGATTTTTTGCCATCTTGATGTGCCTTACTTAGTTACGGCTGATAAAAAATGTTTGTGCTTATAGAAATATCTCATTTATTGATGGTCCACTTCAGAGATTGTCAAACTTATGTTGTTTTCCAAATGTTTCACAGCTAAGAATAAATATCCGACCTAGATTTGTGGTAAAATTTACAAATAAAACTGAGCAGAGCTTATTATTGATACGTATCTGAGAATGGTTCCACAATTATTACTGATCATTAAGCTAAAGATCGAGCTTTGAAAAATAATATCCTTAAACACAGTTTGCCGAGGTGACATTAAAAAGCTCTGTGAATAAGTGATCATAAAGACGAAATGCTCATAATCAGAATCAGATCCAGAGGATTTTTACACCAGGGAACAGCATGAAGCTCAAATATCCATCTTTTTAACATGCATCATTCTTTCACTGAAATCTTGGTCCTGAATATTTTTTACTTTTAAATGCTTACAGTACGTCTGTATGCCCGGCTGAAAATAAAACCTGCTGTCTTGAAAAGTAACTGTTTTATTTTTAGTCGTACACATGCTCCGGCATATGTTTGGGAAGGTTCTGGGCTCCAGCAGCAGCAATCTTGGCTCCTGGTGGATCGTGAAAATAAACTACACAACACATATGGTAATTGCAAAACAGCCGGCAACAGGAGACAGTTTGGCAGAAGTCCCTGTGCATTAAAAGAAACCCACTCCTCTTCCCTCCCACTGAATACTTCTGCCATTTTAGCTCATTACATTTATAGTTTAATGTTTGGCTGAGGCTCTGGTCTGATTGAAATGAATACTGACGTGTGGAGGAGGGGATGTGGCAGACAACAAACTGTCAATAGAATCTGTAAAGCATCTATCACGGATCCTGTCGTTACTGAGAATTCAGAGATTTTTTATCCTGTAGGCTGCACTGTTGTTGCTTTAAAAAACACATGCTTCGTAGTATCATTATGTATAAGCAGAATGTGGGAAGGCAGGCTGGCTGTCACCGCTGCAACATAACAAGTCACCGAGCTTAAAATTAGAGACAGGCTATCTGAAATGTTGGTTGCTGCAGCTGAAAGAAACTGTACCCAGCTTTTCACCCCCTGTCTACCCTCAGAGTTTGTACCAACACTCGTCTTCTCATGTCCCTTTTTTATGGATAAAATCATGAGAATAAATAAGAGATTCTTCACAGAGAGTGTTGGTTTACAGCACAGATGGAGATAATGGAGACAACAATTCATGAGTCTAGTTTTCAGGCGTCTTTACTGGAGTATTTATTGTTCTTACTCTGGTCTCTGATCTCTCTATTGTCTGCATTTTTCATGTGTGCTTGTTGCTTTAGTTTTATGAATGCTACAGGAGTTCTCAGCTGTCTATTTGTATTTATTTGACTTGTTTACTCTGTAACACTGACACTCCCAATTTCCAAAAAGTAGGAGCACCCCGACTACTAAATAGATAACCTTTATTTTGTTGAAAAACAGCACTGTTACTCTGCCTGCAAAAGAAATCCCACAGCATTCTCCTCATCTTCGTTATTCAGCTCTTCTAAGTTGTGTTAGTGAGCTCTCCATCATGTGACAGTGAAGCTCAGTGAAGGTAGTGAGGGCGCACCAATCAAACGTCAGTATTGAAAGCTAGGAATGTCTTGCTGACGTGCGATTGGTTATGTAAGAGTTGGATTGAACAGAGTGATGGTCAGTTATTAATGCCAGCTAAGAGGGGCCCATTACTCTTGACTTATGTTCCAGCCGAGTGGCAGGATACAGTTTTCAGAAATAAAGCCACACTTATTAAAAAGGCCGACTTTTAGAGCAAAATTAAACAGGTTAAAAGATTAAAGAGGTTAAAAGATGAGTTCACAAGACTTCAGTCTGAACCAGTCTCAGATCTGACCCACTGTGAGGAGAGTGAATTTCTGTGTGACTCGTGTTTTAAAGATACTAAGGTTAGTGGATCGGTGAATCAGAGCCACGGCCAACATCACTTAGGTTTGACTGAAGACCTGCCTGTAAGAGGTTAACTATAAAGTAGGGCTGGGCGATAGACCAAAAAATTTAGTGATACCGAAATTTACGACATTAACCGATGTCATTTTCGTCATGTTTTTTTTTTCCTTAAGACCAGTTGACTTGTCAGAATTTGAATTTAAAACTGTTTGGAAATTATTTGCATCAGAACATCCTCAGTTAACTCTGTTTGGGACCCGATATGTTAACCAAACGGCAAATCAAAACTGGAACAGTCTTCCAGTTAGGGCTGGGCGATAAACCATAGATATACTGATACCGAAATTTACAACAATAACTGACGTCATTTTGCCCATATCAGTATATTCAGTGTCAAATAAATGAAAGTTGTTTTTGGATGTGTGTAGGTAGGCTATGGTCTCATGTCCCTTTAAGACGCTGTCCTACGTCAGAGACGTGACTCCACCCCATCCAGTCCGTAACAAAGAGGAAAAGACAGGTGAGGAGATGGAGGACGGTTCAGAAGTTGTAGAAGTAGACGAAGTTAATGTGGGAGGGGGTGAGCAGCTTGTGGAGTAGTTATCGTCCATTTATCGTCATCGAGGTGAACTGATCAATATATCGGGATATTGATTTGAGGCCATATTGCCCAGCCCTAAGTGAAAGTGTGGCTGAGTTAGCATGTTCAACACGGGTACTGCCTCCTCTGATGAACTCTAAAACTTTATAAACAAATGGATGACATCACTTAGACTTCATCCAGGTATTACACAGTCTCATAGTCCCAACACTGTTCCTGTTAGCAGACATTACTAACCAAACACAAGTCACAGTAATTAGGAACTTTTAAAAGGAAAAATAATGAAGCTAAAGTATTTTTTTCACTTGTACAAATACTCCCTAATATGTTTCAAGGCAGTACAGATAAAGTGTCAGGAGTGTATTTGAAAAACAAGGTTATAATCCTTAATCAGATTAATTCATACCATAAAGAAGGAAGAATAACACTGAAAACAGATTATTCTTTGTATATCTATTAACCCGCACTGAAACTGAGCAGAAATTATTCCTCTGATAGTGATTCTTAACTTTAAAATGTTGGGATACGTGAGTGTTAATTTAACTCCACATCCCTGGACAGTACTTCAAATTGGAGCCTTCTTACATTAATTACCTGAGGTACAGATACTGCATTAGTATTTAAAGTTGATACCAGAAGGTGAGGTAGATAAGTTCTCGAGGTGCTAGAAAAACAAATAAGGCGTTGTGTGCGTGTGTGTCTCATTTGTACGTGACATGTGGAAGCCTCCCACAGCAGATCCCTGCACCATTGACTACATGCTCCTGAAATGGCATCTGGTTGCTTCTCAAATGTCTCTCCCTGCATTTCTCAACACGTTGTCGGCTGTACTGAGTGTCACAGACAGAAAGCGGCTTCAGCTGTGTGACACAAAGAGCTGAGCCTTGATGACAAGGCCTCCTGGTGTCAAATGAGCAGCGGCAGCGCCTGATTTCCCCCGCGGGTTTCCTCTTTTTAAATCATTTTTGTGCTTGAAAACATTAAGATGGTATGTTTTAATGTCATTATTAATCACTCTGTTTAATACATTCACTCTTCAGTGTTGTTGTGCTATTAAACAGCTTATTTTCCAGAAATACATTTTGCATGCTCACAGTCTGAGAGAGTGCAGTGTGAAGAGTATCCACCACAGTTCTGTGTCGTCCTTTAATGTGCAGAAGAAAAAAAAAAATCCTATTTTCTGCCAAACTACAACCCACACCCTGCATGGCTCTCAGGCTGCTGCACATCGATTTGATACCTCCATCTTAAGTTAGTCATCATCATCCAACAACCCTACAGCTCTGACCTCAATGCTGCTGCTGCTGTGATCCAGCTCTCCCATTTAAAACCCTGAAACTCTAACTGAGGAGCCTGCATGCCTCACTAAAGTGATTTCATGCTCTGAACACCAAATCTGTGTGTGTCCCCCCTATGTAAGAAAATCCTCTACAACATGTAAACCTATATAATGAATTATTAACATGGTAATCTGAGCAACTGAAATTAGATAGCATGTATAAAAATCCTATTTACTGTAAGCTACCATTCTGCTGTTTGAGCACACTGCATTAGAAATAGACATAAGGCTTGGTTAGAGACATATAATAAGGACACATTTACCGCTCCTGTTTTTGCTTACACTCTCACCAAATAATGAGGCTTCCTGATGAAACCTGTGACTGAACACATGACTCTGATCCTGGCTGTTTTAATCAAAGACAAAGGTGAATTGTAATCCATGTCTCCTCTGTCCAGAAGGCCACCTACCTGTTCCCAGTCCTCAGCTCTCTCAGCTCTGGTCTTCCCTTTCAGGCAGCAGTCTGCTCACGCTCTGCCTTCCCCTAATTTTTTCAATGTAATAGATCCTTCCAGCAGCGTGAGAGTAAGTCTGCGCTTGATGCTCCTCTACTGACTGGACCCAGTGACTGCCAAAAGCTGTTTAGGCTTTTTTGTATTTGTGGTGACTCCAAAGACATTGGGGGGTTGAGTGGGCGGCGATGCGAGGGGGGGAAACAGTGAAGGTTGGGTCAGAGAGAAGGTGAAAGAGCTCTTAAAGAGTCATTTTTTACTAGTTAACACATGCAGGGACCAAAACAAAGTTACAGTTAGCTCCTTTACAAATCTGCAATCTGGGATCACAAGCTAAGGTTTGATTTGTTTCTTTATTTGTTTTTGCCATGCAAAAAAATCACTGTACTGTTTTTTTATTTATGCAAATAAAAAAGAAAATTCTCCTAAAGAAAATACTCTGTTTACATTGTTTTATGTTTGTTTGAAAACACACTTTCAAGGATATACATGGAGATTTACCTGATTATCTTGGTCCATGTGGCGCTTTATCATCAGAAATTTACATCTGAAAAATTTAAAACTTTGTTGAAGTGAAAGAGCATTTGGAGTGAGTGTACAAGCTGACATTTGCAGTTGTTTTGTCACATGGAAGTAATGAAGTATTAGCTTCAGTGCCCAGCATAAGTCAGTACACCCCTATTTAAAAAGTACAATTTCCAAAGTTGAGTCAAACATAATATTTTATTCACCATAAGATGAAAAAAAAGGGTGATATGGTAACTAAACTTTAGCTTCGCTCCCTGAACTTTGACTGGAGTGTATTTATTTTTGCATCCTGATTTTAAATTGAAAAAAACAAAACAAACACGTTTTGGTTCGCAACTTAAAAAATTTGTTTGCAATCAGTGGTTTACATTTGGGGGAGTGTTTTGTTGTCTAGTCTGACATAGAAAATGTTGATTTTGAAAGGAGACCAAAGATTCAGGGTGTAATCATTCATGCTGAGCTCTGTAGATCTGGTACAGATAAATCATTATCACACCTGTAAACCTGTTTTGGTGAGATGTTATTTATGTCACACAGAAAACAATATGAAGCGTCTCGGTCTGTATAAAGCCCACAGGTGAATATAGCTGCTTCATATTCAAGGTTCAAGGCCGCTGACCCTGAATTCCCTCTGTCTCCTGTCTTTTATTACTGTCACTGCACCTCATGTCAAGAGCTGTTGTGTTATTTTAAGACACACTGTGAATGTCCAGTGCATTAAGGTCTTATAAAAAGAAATGATGTGTTGTTTTGGAACATTGTCCCCTCTCATAAGGTGACATACCAAACTCTGTTCGTGCAGCTGTTAGGAGTTTATTCTCTTCTTATAAACATCTGAAACACACCCAAGTGAAAACAACAGACACACAAACGGAAACAAATGAAGTCAACACAAGCAGGAACTGATATGACTCCAGCCATTAAACACCTTTAATATTATTTTTATCTTTATAGTGTTTATTGTTTCCTCTTACAGTCCAGAAAAGTCATGATCTTCAGACAGAGGCACCTTCTTGAAATGTGTTTCTTTGGTCAGGTTACCCAAACCTGTCGCACCCTGACACTTAAACCAGTGATCTTTACTTTCAAGAAACACCAACAGCCATAAATCTGTCATACTTAGAGAAATATGTACCCAGCTATCGTTTTCAAGCAGACGGTCCTGGGCTTGAAGCCATCTTCGAGTTTGTAAAGTAAATGAAATAAATGCAAACTAAAGTATTTATTCTGAAATAGAAATAAAACGACAGGTTTTGTCTTCTATTAGAGAATCAATACACCTTCATTTGACGTTTATAATAACGTCCAGAAATATAATGGATTTCACAATCTAACACAGCGACACTAATGAAGCTTACTATGTGTAATCCAATCATCAGAACTTAATGCTTGAGCATACATACATTTCCCCCCAGCTACTTAACTGGCTTACATGGAAAGATGACACCCCAGGCATGTTCCAGTTTATTGACCGGCGCTTTAGCTGTGTCGTCTGGTCAAGTCGGGGTCTGGGGAGGGTCTGCAGAGAGCATAAAAGCTGTCCCACGCTATATCAGGGTTACTGTGGTGTTGTAAACTATAAATAATGCACGGTGGGGTCGATAGGTGTTAAGTGTTTTTATGAAAAGGTGTTGAGACATCTATATCGAGTCGTTTAGTGTGATAAAGGGGTCTGACTCTTGTGTCTATAGATCAGTTATTGTATGATTAGTGTACTTGATTACAACATAATTAAAAAAAGTTAATCAATTTATGTTTTAATGAAAACAATCTGCTGTCTGTACATTGTTGGATTTAAAGAGCAGTTTGAGCAGGACACACACACACGCTGTTGGATCATAGAAATAAAAATAAACCTTCAGACAGACATATGTTTATCTGGCACGCTCAGTCTAAACTAACGCAGAGCATAAATCAATCCTGCTGTGATTTGAACAGACTGTATTTTATGATGCAGACAGGTGTATTATTCAGTCCAAACTATTTATATACGTGTGGATTGACTTCTACACAGGAACACCTCCGACACTCGCAGGCGTCTGTGGTTCAGGAGGTGAAGCGGGTTAAACTCAGGGTTGTCTGTTTGACCCCTGGCTTCTCCATGTGTCAGAGTATCCATGTGCAAAAACACACGAAACATGAATGTTGCTTCAGTGGGGCAGACGAGCCCTCACACATGGTTCAGTCTGAGGAGATCTGAAAAGATCAGAATGGGAGCGACCAGTTGACTTTAAATCAGATTAATCAAAAGAAAAAAGGGTAAAAAGTTAGTGAGCTGATATCTTTACTTATTTCACCAACATTATTTGTATGCAGTCGTTATATCTGGCGATTCAGCTCTGCTCTGGGGGTCCTCACCCTGTCACATACATGGAATACCAAAGCCTGCAGGGAGGGGGCGCGCACCTCCCCTTTGTTTTATATACATGTATGAAAAGACAAGGCAGGGAGGGCAGCAGCAAAGAGACTGAGATTCAGAACAGGACAGGCATCACCGATAATACATGTTATATATACCAGTAAATCAAACACTGTATGAAAAAACCCAAAGAAATGTGAGCTATTTTGTTATAGCTAGCACATGTCTGATACGGTATTGAAATCGGGCCGATATCTGCAAAAATTAGAATACTGGATTATATTGTCCTGCGTCTAAAATCTCCGATATCAGCACTCCGATACAAGCAGTCCATTCCAGACTCCACTCCAGCACCTCTATCTAGCAGCACCTGGATCCAGCATGCAGAGCCCATGTGATCACGACAACAGTGTGTACTAAAGTACTGACAAATTAGCAAATATGAAGAGTAGTAAGTAGTGGTAGTAGTAAGTTTGTACTAATATCGTATCAATATCGGTATTGGCCAATACTGACGGCCACAATATTGGTATTGTATTGGAGGTAAAAAGTTGTATCGGAACACCCCTAGTTGGCACAAGGTTTATTTAATACCAGTGTTCCCTTAATTGTGTTTATATGTATGCTTTTATTTTGAAGGGGATGAAAGCCGGAAATGCAGAGCTTTTGGGTGAAGGTTGACTCGAACGGTGGTGGCCGAAAAAAGGTGGAACCCATTCTCCCCAAACACCGAGCCTTGTTTAGTAGCCATTATTAGTATTTTTTGATTATTAGTATTTTTTGATTAAAGTTATAAAGTTGAGGTGCTTTTAATAACGCTGGGCTACAGAAAGAATAAGACATGGACAGGGAAAACACCATTTCGATTTTAGATCAGGGGTGTCCTGATACAACTTTTTTACTTCCGATATGAAACCGATATTGTAGCTACATGCTGGATCCAGGTGCTGCTAGATAGAGGTGCTGGAGTGGATTCTGGAATGGACTGCTTGTATCGACGTGCTGATATCAGAGATTTTGGAGGCAGGCCGATATAATCCGATATTTTTTTTTGGCTGATATCGGACCAATATCCGATATCAATATCGTATTGGGACAGCTCTATTTCACATCACGTCACATTCAGCCATTTAGCAGGTTGGGGTCAAGTATCTTGCCCAAGGACATGTAAACATGTGATGGCAGGAGCTGGGATTGAACTCTGACCTCCTGACTGAGAGACTCTACCACAGAGTCACAGCTGCCCCTCGGTTTGTGGTCCTGCTTTCAAACTTTGGTGTTCAGCCTCTCAAAAAGAAACTTAAAATGTCAGGGATAGGAGAAAAAAAAATCACAAAGTGCTGATCCTGTGGAAAAGAAAAACACTGAACAAAGTTTTTCCAAAGCCGGTTTGAAGCTGCAGCACAGCGAGTTAGACAACCTAAATGGGTTTCCTCCAAAAGGTGCAGTCCTTTTATCACCAAAATCCCTGTTTTTGATTCCCCAGACAGCGTTTCCTCGCTCAGCTGTAGAGGGAGGATTGCAGCACAAAGAAGGCATTTGTGCAAAAAGGACTGCTTGTCTTAGATAACACTCTTGTCCGAGTTTTCTCCTGTCGTGTGCCATAACTCTTTTCCTGAACAAAGCTTTCAGGTATATGTGTGTGTGTGTACAGTGATGACTCAGTATTCTGGAAACTCTTTGACCTACTTACCGACTGGCTGCTATGAACCGACTTCTAATGGTCTTTGTCATCATTCATAGTACCTCTGACTGCCTGTTACCTCCTCTCTACTTCATTTACCCTCCATATCTTCACATTGTTTGATACTCTCCCCCAGTAATAGTCACTCTTTTCATTATTTCCACCTTAGTAAGTGGATTATTTTGCAGCTGCATTCATAAGTAATCTGTAGCTTTGCTTTTTTACTTTCTTGATCTGAAATTGCACGACTTTGAAAGTTGCCTGCAATTTCTTTAACAACAAAAATCAACCCAACAACGTCGCAGTTCTTTGACTTCAGAAACATTTTGGTTCCTTTTCACCCTCATTTTTTTCAAGTTCAAAATACACTGTCTGAATTAATTAAAAAATTTTGCAATCTATAAAGGTCGAATATTTTATAAGTTTTGATAGTGAAATGGCAATCAACACACGGTTAACATTTAAAAAGGTCACAGTTTAGTTATGCATGTGCATAAAAATAACCTGGGTGCTTTTGTGCATGAGAATGTCTAAATCATTGTT